ATCCGCGTTCCCGTTCATTTCCGCATTCCGCGTGTTTTCCCGCGTTTAAAGGCCGTCCCGCCTCCAAAAGTGCAACACCCAGATAAACGGACGAACGCACTTGTTGCAGGGACGATAAATGACGTGGTGGACGTGATCTTTACGAGGTGAAGGTAGCAGCGAGACGCAGAAGAAAATCGTTCGGTGATTCCCAAGATTTTGAAGGATCATATAGGTACGTTTCGACGAGGAGGCAGGATTTCTCGCACGAAAACACAAGGTACACATGGAAATTTCTTTCAGCCTCTACGTGAATTTTTATTTCGGTATATATTTTATTATCCTCGTGTCGTCTTCCAGGGGACGATGTCGGGGACGCAGACCACGATTTCCTTTCCCGTACGAAAGAAATGCAGCTTTTACGGTCGCAAGGACGTCGTGAAGGAGGACTTCACGAACGCCACCGCGAGGCACACCCCGTCCGGGTACAACCCCGACCGTGAGAAAGATCGTCACTTTGACCAGCAGCGAGTCCGAGTCCGACTCGGATATCGAAAACGCGACGAAGGATCGCAGGGGGATCGTTGACAGGCGAACTGACAGCTCGCCGAGTCGAGATGTCGCAAATCCAGCGATTTGGATGGTAAAAATCTCGCTACGTTGAGAGATATTAGCTCTACGACTCTCTGTAACTCTGTATAATTATATACAGTACCAGTCAAAATTATATCACCTTTTGATTTTTTAGCATAACTTGTTTAAAAGTGCATGGATCTCTCACACAAATCATAACATGTTTTGAAGAATGGTATAACATATATTGAATTATAATGCAATGTTGTACCAATCTTCAAAACATGTTATGACTTGTGTAGAGATCCATTGTAATTTAAGATGAACATTGTAATTTAATACATAATATATATATCCATATATATCAGCTGATTGTAATTTAACTCTGAGGGATTCCTTGCACCGATTTGTACGTTTTGTTTGATGCCATAAAGTGACAACTTGTACTTTATTTCAGAGCAACACTCTACTACGCCATCCAAACAGAGGAGGCACAAATCGCCCTTGACTCCGTCCACTCTTCTGGACAAATTGAAGCTATCCGGTACCAAAAAGATAGATTAAGTCCTAAGCAGTTATTTAAATCTCGACTTTCCAAAGAAGAAGAGGAGACGAAGGAGGAAGACGAATTAAATTCCAATTTGTTATTTGGATCCAACAAGTATCAGAACGCGCGTAAAGCTCTCCACAGTTCTGCTACGGAAGAGCTGCCTGGAAGGGAGGAGGAGCTGAGCAAGCTTCAGGAATTTTTTCAAAGACACCTGGAGCAAGGAACGTCGACCTCCCTGTATGTGTCCGGGCCACCAGGCACCGGGAAATCCGCCAGCCTCTTCAAGATGATGCGACAGTCGGACTTGAGGTCCAAGCTCAAGATAGTCTATGTCAATTGCACCAGTATGAAGTCCGCAGCAGCCATCTATGCGAAAATAATCAAGGAATTGGCCATAAGCAGTGTCACCAAGTCGGGGAAAAATTCCAAGCCGCTCATAGAGAGATACTTGACGTCCAGCAGGAAGCCATTGCTCCTGGTGCTGGACGAGATAGATCAGTTGGAGAGCAAGAAGCAGTCCGTGCTGTATTCCATCTTCGAATGGCCGTCCCTGCCGAATTCCAAGCTGATCCTCGTCGGAATAGCCAACGCTTTGGACCTGACAGATAGAATATTACCCAGATTGCAGGCCAGATGCGAGCTGAAGCCGACGTTGATGCACTTTGCACCATACACCAAGCAGCAGATATTCGACATAATATCCGCGAGGCTAAATCAAGCAAATGCAAGCGGTATTTTCACCCCATCTGCGATTCAGTTGCTCGCGGGGAAGGTGGCCGCGATCTCAGGGGATATCAGAAGAGCCCTGGACATCAGCAGAAGAGTGGTGGAACAGGCAGAGTCCCATCAGGTTGCACAGGTGCTGCAGCCAGCGAACGACAATGGTAGTGAATTCTCTTTGCAAAGATGAATAAGTTATGAATGTAGAAAAAGTAACTTTTTGTTATTATAGGGTATCTTATTTTAATAAATATTAAAAAATATATAAAAAACATCAGATTAAAAAAAACAATATTTTGAACAAAAATTGTTAGATTTGGAGGATTTTATTTTTAAAATTAGATAATTGATAATCGAATTTTAATTGAGGTCCAAAAATTAATCTAGTTTTTTTAAATGTAACTACTCTAGTTTTTATAATATAATTGTTATAAATTATATAGTTATAAATTATAAAATTATTATAAACTTTTATATAAATATCGATTCCTCATAACATTTGGCATAAACAGTTATAACAAAAAAATGTAAACAAAAAACGTACACAAAAATAGGACAACTTAAAAATTAATAGTTTGAGATACATAATATATCTGTACATTAATGAAAAGTGCAACATAAAGTGTGCAAATAAGAAAATAGAATCGACAATTTTCTCAAATGCAAATAATTAAAAGAATAATTCAATATATATATATATATTTTTTTTTTTATATAGATACAAACATAGAATCCTCGAAGCAAGAAACAGAGAAGCCAGTAGACTTGAAAGAAGTAGTCACAATTCTAAATGGAGTTTATGGTGGTACACAGAATATTGATCAAGAACAGGATACCTTTCCCCTTCAACAGAAACTGTTACTCTGTTCTTTATTGCTTATCCTGAACAAAGGAAGAAACAAAGATATTACAGTTGGAAGAGTAAGTTTGTTAAAACTCACATTAAAGATTATGAGTAATAATATATGATTTGTGTAACTCACCCAGCAAACACCAAGTAACAATTATATAACTGTTAGTTATAATTTCCCACTCAACAATGTAAATGCAATATAACACATGTATTATTATTATTTTATATATATATATATATATATATATTATTAATATAAATATAATTTGATATAATTATATAATTATTTACACATAATTTTTTACTATTTTAAATATAATTATATAATAAATAATTATATTAAAAGTATATACATATAAATAATACAATAAATACAATTTTTATTATCGCTGCAAGTTTCTTTCTTCTCTAAATGCTGCATTTTACTTGTTTCAGTTGCACGAGGTTTACAAGAAAGTTTGCAAGAAGCGCAACATATTCGCCGTTGACGGTTCCGAATTTGTGAATCTGTGCTCGTTAATAGAGACCAGGGGCATCCTGAGAATCGTCGGCCGAAAAGAGGCACGTTTATGCAAAGTAAACTTGCAGTGGGATCAGGAGGAGCTGGACGCTGCTTTCCAGGACAAACAGATGATGGCAGATATAATTAACGACACAAGTTGTTTGTAGAATAATTAGAGATCTTTAATGTTTGTTACCTCTAATTTATTTATTAGCTCCTTTCAAATTTTATATACATAGTGTGAAAGCGAGCATTTGATATGTTGCATCACCATTGCGTGCCTATTATTATTTCTTCAATAGTCAGATCATTGTTAAAATCTAGTTTGTTACAATAAACAAATCTATCACGTAACATTCGTTCAACGAGATATGACAAGGTTTACTGAAGGACTGATTGTACTTTATAAGTGTGAGAGACTGCAATTGTATATTTTTGTATCAAATTTTAAAATTTGTGCAAAATAAGTTCAAGTAGCAAGTCATTTTGACGTCAATTTGCTATTTAGGACGATAGTCTTGCGAGAGAGTGTAATTGAACTGTTTTGTATACTAATATTTATGTCAAATAAAACGTACAGAGTGAAGTTTTTATTCACTTGCATATTTTTTTATTCATACCTTCTGTGCAAAACTATAGATTTGTGTATTTCAAAAGTTTATGTATTATTTTATTTTCTTTCAAAATCCACTGAATTTTTTTAAATAATTAACAAAATTGAAACATGAAGATTTTTTGCATTAATATTTATTTAATAATAAATAAAATATATTATAAAAATTTTTGAAATAACTGATAAATATTTTGTAATGTGAAAAAATGACAATAATTGAAATAAAAAATTTAGACAACAATAAAAAATCTAAAAAAAGGAAACGGGCCCCTGATGTTCTATGCACGATCCTGCAAAGTCAAGTAGAGTTAAAAAGGGTCAGGCTAGGTTAAGTTGTGGAGTCTTTTATACTTGTGTATTGTTTACACTCCAAAAAAATGGATAGAGAAAAGTGACGTAATGAGAAATTAATTGATATTTGGGATTTAATACATAATCTTGAAAAATGTTACATCTTAGAAAATTTCTTCCAAGATTCTTCTCACTGTAATATTAGCATTAATATTTATACTATTTTTCTGTGAATATCTCATATATTATGTAGTACTTGTACAGGTGAGTGTCTGTAATTCCTTGACATTATGTAATTTTCATGTATGTAAATAATATGTCTTAAGTTGAGATTGACAAATTTTAATTTGATTTTTCTAGTGTCAGTGGCCTGTTCTAAACCCTCAAAGGGAAGACATCGCTTTAGATGCAGATGCGACAACTGACAATCCTGTGAAAGCAATGTTCATCGCAGACACTCATTTATTAGGTCCCAGAGAGGGCCACTGGTTTGATAAATTACGTAGGTCTGTAATTCTCAAATTATATATATCAAGAATATATTGTTTTTTTTTTGTACTTATTAGAATTATTATTCCAGAGAATGGCAGATGTACAGAGTATTTCAAACTATGATGACGCTACAGAAGCCAGAGGTAGTTTTTGTGTTAGGTACATATATATAATATTATTAATATTTATTCGGATATATTCTACCACAAAAGAATTTTTTTCTTTCATTTGTAATATATTTTCAGGTGACGTCTTTGATGAAGGACAATGGTGCAGTGCCACGGAATTTGAGAACTACATACGGAGATTCCATTCCCTATTTTATGTACCCAAGGACACTCGTCTCTATGTCGTTGCTGGGAATCATGATATGGGATTTCATTATGGTAAAGATTTGTAATACATAAATTAAATTCTGATATAATTCTATTAATTTTTTATAACTATGATAATTTATAATTTAAAATTTATATTAGATAAAATAAATAATTTAATTATTATACATATAAAATACTTAGTTATTATAGGGTTGTTCAAAAAGTTATTGCGTTTTTTTCATTTGATTTTCAGGTGCGTTTATTTAATATACGTAATGAACATTAATCAATAATATATTGGCCGTTTTGTTCAATGACCTTTTGCCATCTCTCGGGCAATTTCATAATACCGCGTTCATAAAACTTCCTATCTTTCTCTGCGAGAAACTTGTCAAGGTGCTGTTTGATGAGGTCTTCAGAAGCAAACGTTTTACCGTTCAAGGAGTTTTGCAAGGAGCGAAATAGATGGAAGTCTGATGGCGCAAGGTCTGGGCTATATGGTGGATGTGGCAACACATCCCAACCAAGCTGCAATAATTTTTGCCGAGTGACCAAACTTGTGTGTAGTCTCGCATTGTCGTGGTGAAACACCACACCCTTACGATTGATCAGCTCGGGACGTTTCTGTGCGATGGCATCACTTAATTTCTGTAGCTGCTCACAGTAGACATCGGAATTGATCGTTTTATTCTGTGGAAGCAGCTCATAGAAGACTGGTCCCTTCCAATCCCACCAGATTAACAGCATCACCTTCTTTTGGTGGATGTCCGCCTTTGCTTGCCTTTCCGGTGCTTCATCTCGCTTACTCCGACTCCTTTTTCGGCTCACATTGTTGTAGACAATCCATTTTTCGTCGCCCGTGATCATACGCTTCAAGAACGGATCGTTTTCTTCGCGTTTGGTGAGTTGATCGCAGACGTTCATACGCTTTGTCAGATGAATTTCTTTCAACTCATGCGGTACCCAAATATCGAGCTTCTTCACGAAACCAAGCGATTTCAAATGTCCATGAACACTTCCAATGGACACTTTTAGAGCGGTAGCAAGCTCCCGAACCGTTGAATGCTTATTTGCTTGCACCAATGCCTTGATTTTATCGTCGTCAATCTCGGAAGGCCTACCGGAGCGATGAGCGTCTTTAACCGAAAAATCACCACCACGGAATCGGGTGAACCAGTTCTGGCACTGACGTTTTTCAATGACATTTCTGCCGTAAACTTGACGCAACTCTTCCCTTGCTTCAGTTGCTTTCTTCCCTTTTTTAAAGTAATAAAGCAAAATATGGCGAATATGCTCTTCAAAATTCTCCATGTTTAAACTACAATTGCAAGCACAAAACTCGACTAAATTGCGTCAACTTTTTTTTTGGTTTTTAGGTTAAGTGTCAACAACAAAATGTGCATAAACATTTGACATTCATGGCACGCTCAGATACAAATAAATGTGGACAGCGCTATATTGGAAAAAAACGCAATGACTTTTTGAACACGTTTAATGAATAAAATAAATTATTTATTCATTAGATAAAATATATACTTACTTTATTATTATATATAAAATATTGAATTATAATTAAATTAATAATTTAAAATTTATTCTCGTTTAAATATAATAATAATTTAAGAGAAAAATATATAAATAATAATAATTGGAGAAATTATACATATATTCTTATTCTATATTATCTTAATAAATGACAAAATAATCTTTGTTTTGCAAATGATGCATGCAAAAAATATTAAAAATATTTAAATTGTTTAATTATTAAATATATTATATATTATTTAATTAAATATAATATATTATATATTATATAGTTAAATATAAAATATATTTAATTTATTAAATATCTTTTCCTTTAATTTTTAGCAATCACGCCGTATCGTAATCAACGCTTCATTAACGGTTTGAAGAGTCCGAGTGTGCGACGACTGAGTATAAGGGACAATCATTTCGTGTTAATCAACAGCATGGCTTTGGAAGGGGATGGCTGTTTTTTGTGCCGACCGACTGAGATCGCGGTGAATAAGATAGCCAGTGAGATAGCTCGCGTACTAGCCAAAGATCCCTTGTAGTCGATTAATCGCTATATAAATTTCTGTATATCACATTACAGAAGATCTGAAATGCGCGAGAAAGATGAGCAACGATTGTCGCAATGCGAGCGCGATTTCCAAATATAGTAGGCCTATATTGTTGCAAGTTAGTTAGTAATCTGTATTTTAATTTTACAAATAATATACAAAACATTGTTTTTAATTCTAATGTCCAGAGCGAAAAAGCAGGGATATTATTTTTCTTTTTTTCCAGCATTATCCGATGTATCGAGAATCAGATGAGATCTGCAACGAATTGGATCAAGCTCCGGACGAGATAAAGGCCATTAAGTTTCGGGAACGATGGGAATGTTTATCAAAAGAAGCCTCGGAACAAGTACATTTTACTTCACTTTTCTAAACTCATCATTATTTTGGTTTTGAAGCAGCCACTTGATACATTTTGATAGATGTTATATGATTATTTCTATACATTTTAATCTATCAATGACCAAAATTTAACTAACTATCAAAAATATATCTTCCTTCACCCTTAAAATACAAAAAATTTATATAGTATATTTAAATATTACATTTAAAAATGGTAATATTTAAAATTAAATTATTAGAATTATTAAAATTAATTTTTATTAATATAAATTATTTTAATTTTACATATATATCAATTATTTATATATCATCAGCATTAATCATTCTAATATTAAATTTTCTAATTTCAATAATGTTTTTAAAAAATTCATCATTTGAATGTGAATTTGTGATCTCTTAAATTCTCGAATTCCTTTTAAAATTCAGTTTTTTTTATAATTTAAAAAATTTGTTAAAATTACATTATTAATTCCTCTATTATATACACATGTATTTTTATTTATATATTTATACATATATATCCTATTTATATTTTTTACTTTGAATCATAATTCGATTGTTTCATCAGCTTCTAGATATCCTGAATCCGCGATTAATTGTCGCTGGACACACTCATCACGGCTGCAGAAGAATGCATCGGGACGACATTCTAGAATTCACAATCCCCTCCTTCAGCTGGCGCAATAAGGTCAATCCTTCTCTTCTAATGGTAAATCTCGATTCTCTGATTTCAACGTTAACCCATTTAGTGGCCAACATCTTTTGGAACAAGATTTTTGCATAATTCTGATATAATTTTATGTAACAGAGAAATAGAAACTTAAAATTTAATAATATTCCTTAAACTTATTTCATTTCTATTTCAATTTCTGAGATCTTGAGAGAAAATAGAAACAATGAAAATTTCTAATTGAAATATTTTATATTATAAACTTGTGGCCTTTGATGGGTTAATTATTCCTATTTAGAACATGGAATATATCTGAACGTTTTTTTGATTCCAGGGTACTTTCACTGCCAGCAATTACTCTGTTTCAAAGTGTTACATGCCCGTGGAATCTACCGTGATTACTATTTATAAGGTCAGCCTCACATGCGTATTGATATATTTGATTATAAAACACAGACCAAGACGGCATACGTACTCTCGCTTAAAGATGCCTTGAGTGATAAAACCTCCGAGTCGCGACGAGTTCGATTGTGATGACAAAACGCGAACGAGATATAATAATTCTATATACAATGCGATTTATAGAGGCTATAATTCTTAAAATGATGCAGACAAGTCTGTATACATCTTTCATACACGCTATCATTTTTGCATATTATTTACATTAGTAATTGTATAAAATACTTTGTGATATATATAATATATATATATAATTTGCAACGAGATAATCATTTCGATGTACATAGAATTTTATTGCGAAAAAAACAAGACGTTTATTAAAAAATTTTATATATATAATAAGTATTGACTTTTTTATATAAATGTCATAAAACAATTTCGAATTAAGTCCAACGAAAATTAAACGCTTAAAAAGCCGGATAAGTAGGACCAATCTGCCCGCAACACGGATCATGCTCATATTTTTTTACTATGATTGCTATCAATGTAACTTACAATTTAGCGAAATATTAGCCCTTAATATTGAACCGTTTTAGTGAAAAAATAAGATTAAAAATGATACACCTTTGATACGATCGCCATATATTTTTTGTGCAATTTTGGGATAATATTCTACTAGTAATTTTTTGAACCCATAAAATAAGCGATCTTTTAAAAAATAAAATATTCTTTTTCATTTTTTTAAACGTGATATGCTTTTGATACGATCGTCATATTTTTTTGTCAAATTTTGGGATAATATTCTGCTAGTGATAAGTATATTCTAATAGCATATTCTAATAGCAATTAAAGCAAAAGAAATGAGCATGATCCGTGCGAGATCGACCCTCCTTATCCAGCTACAGCTTTTCCAACAATATACGTCTAAAGGAATGAAAACGTAATTGTAGATTGCGAATGTAAAGTAAATACACAAATTTTGTATCGTTATCCTCACTCACTTTGTATGTGTGCTTATTATTATACAACAACGATCGGTCGAGACAAAAAAGAAAGGAATAATACACATTTTAGACTGGCTCATTCGCCATTATAGGCTATATAATACTCTCACACATTAACTGTCACTAATATCACATTACTTGAATATTTTTACACAGTTGTGTGTGCTTATTCTCCTCCTCGATGAGACAAGGAACGATATTGATATATAGCCAACGTTCTGTTTGCGAATTTTATAGATTTTTCTCACATGTGTCGTAGATCTCATAAGTACTTACAGAGGAAATCGCGCGACTAAAAGTCAAATAAAATATAGATGCATGTCGTACAATGGAAACTTCACATTCTCCCATTCCTTATTCGCATATATTATATCAAATAAATTGACTTTTACAGGCGAGGTAAATAATAAGACAAAAAATTCTTTCTTCAAAAAATGCCAAAAAGAGCCTTCGAAAATAATTACAAAAAAAAAAAAAAAAAAAGAAATACGTCAAAGATATAAAACACATTTTTTCCTCCTTATAAATGTATTAATTTTAAATATATTTCTTTCACAATCTAATTCTCAATAGCAAATAAGCAGCTTCCACTGCACTCACGATAAACAGAAAATAGAATCCTTATATCGACACATCAAATATTCATATACAATAATCATACTTCAGTCATAAAAGATCTTATATGCAAATATTTGCAGTTTCGAAACTTCGTGGAAGATGTAGATGCATCCACACTTATATTTCACTTATTCTGTTTCTATACAAAAAACTTAAACCCCTTATCTCTGTCTCTCGCTCTCTCATTCTCTCTCTTAATTAAATTAAAACTCTAAATTGATTCACTCGCATCACTCTACTAGTGATAACTTTGACTAGTCTATCTTGACGGCCGCGTATATCTTCCTGATGAAGGCGTACGCGGCGAAGAAACCGATCGTTCCGGTCAGTAGCCAGAATGTGAGGACCATCAGCGCGGTGTAGCCGAAGTACATGAGGGTCGGCACCAGCTCGGTGATCTCCAGCTTCGTGACGAAATAAAAGACAGAGTAAGCCAACACGTAGACCGCCGAACCGCCGCTCACGATGAAGCTGCGCCACCACCACCTGTAGTCCTGTAAACGAAAATTAAAATGTAGAGACAGAAAATATATTTTTAAAATTATATTCGCAGTTTATATCAAGAGGAAAGATAGAAAAATATGAAAAATATTATTTTAATTTTTAATATTAATATAAAAATATATGTAACATAAATATAAAATATAATAAAATAAATATAAAAAAAATATATATATGTAATATAAATATAAAATATAATAATATAAATATAAAAATATGTAATATAAAATATAATATATAAATGTAAAAATACGTAATATAAATATAATATTAATATAAAATAAGTAAATGTCTTCTTATAATTGTCTCTCTTGTTGTACTTACTTCTCCGCATAGTTGGAAGTAGACCATGACTATCGAAATCTGCGAGCACGAAATAACGAGGATACAGAAAACGAGAAATAGAAATCCAAAGAGGTAGTAGAATTGATTTTCCCACAGTGCAGTCAAAATGAAAAAGAGTTCTATGAATACAGCGCCAAACGGCAAGATTCCAGCCATTAAGGTGCTACAAAATAAGAAAAATAATGTGATTAGAGATAAATGGAGCAAAATTAAAATGAAAGTGTTATTAAAGCCTTAAACTCACCATAATATTGGATTCATATACCATAACTGGTCAGGAACTTGTCTAGGGATTTGATTCGTTCTAACTGGATGTGTGAAGGGCTGCTTACGGTAGCCAAAGAAGTAGCCTAGGTAGACAAGAGGCAACGAGATGCCAAACCAGAGGCACAACAGGGCTACCATGGTGGTGAAGGGGACTGCACCTGAGCTGTGCTTTCCCCATATGAAGAAATTTAGGAAGAAGCACGTCGTGAAGACTATACCAGGATAGAACGTCGCCGTCTGGAATGCAATATCGATTTTTACATTTATATTATCATATTTATATTACAGATTTTTATATTTATATTTATGTTACATATTTTTATATTAAAAAGTAATTGATCTTAGAAACTACAATACTTCCTTATTAATTATAGAAAATTAGAGAAAAATTTATTATATATAGGAAAATAGCGCAATTATTAGTGTGTTACATTTAAAAATATGTTTAAATATATAAAAAAAATGTTTCAAGCAAAAGTTGTTTGATTTTAAGGGGAAGAGAAACTGATAATTTTTAATTTTAACTAAGACCATTTTTCAAAATTATTTTGAAGATGAATTCAGTTTTCTTAATAAAATCATACTATTACCTTTTATATAAATTTTTATATAAATTGATGTATTTAAATTATTTATATAAATAATTTTTAATTTATATTATATAAGATTTCTCGTAAAATCCAGTATAAAAAATTATTTTCTACTTTTTGACATCATTTTTTACATATAAAATATTCATTTTTCTATAATCTTATCTCAATATATTTATGCATAAAATAATAAGAAATCGATTGTAAAAAGAACTTTTTAAGAAAAAATATAAAAATAACTTGCCAATTACAAATTACATACTTTGGTTAACCTTTAATAAAAATAAAATTGAATAAAAAGAAAATTTGAAAAATGACCTTAGTTAAAATTCAAGATTATCACAGTTTCCTTCCCCATCAAAACGCAACTTTTGTATCCTAAAACGTGATTTCTTTTTTTATATAATTAATATTTAAATACTTATGTAATTCTAATAAATAAATTAAATTCATAATTAAATTTTACCAATAGAGCGGCTCTTCTCCATTCCCGGCCTCGCATCGTCTTGTAGAGTCGCGCCGAGAAATAACCGGCGATCAAGCCGGAAAATACGTACAAAAATATCGCACAAGTGCCTAGGGCTCCTCGGCTCGCCGGCGACAGCATCCCCAGCATCGCGAAGACTGCACACAAATATAATAATATTATAACAATAACAATAATAATAATAATAATAAAATATAATAATATTATAGAAATAAGATAAAAAAAATATAATAATAATATAATTGGCGCGTATTCTACGTTAAAAATTGAATAATATATTGCTCACATATTGTGATCAGAGCCATAAAGAAGATCTGGATGCCGCTGCCAATGACGGCGGCAAATAAGCGCGAATTGGCCGGCGGTCGAAACACGTCTCCGTGGACCAGCTTCCAGCCAGTCTCTTCGATGGTTTCGTCCAGACCAGCTAGACTGTCGCTCTCGCCTGCATTGTAACGAGCGATGTCCCTTCTAAGCGTCCTCACCATGATCATCGTCAGAATTCCTGCAAAATTAATGCAGAAAATTAACAAATAATTAACATGCGACATATTGAAACACATTGTTATTAAATTCTTTTAAGTATATCTTGTTTCTTGAAAATCGTATTTTACATACATTTATCAAATATTCCACTGATTTGTGAATTATTAAATTAAAATTTATGTGAAAGACCACCAGATAACAAAATATATTTAATAGTTTTATATAAAAATTTTTAAATTTTTTGCCAAATTAACAATGATACAAAATATTTTATAAGTAGATTCGAATTTGTTTACATAATTTCAAACTCTTTTTAATTACTTTTAAAAAAATGCATTAGAAGAATATTCAAATTTTTTACAAATCTTATAAGAAATCTTATGAAAAATTTTACATTATATACAGAGTGTCCCATAGGAAATTGCTGAAACTAATCAGCTATCATTTTTTAATGCATGCAGTTATTAAGAAAACAAAAATTGTGTTGGACAGAGGAAATTCTGCAGTTTTTAATGGATATAAATAAAATATTTGTATAATAATTTATTTTATTGATAAAAAGTAATGAAAAAAGTGCTACTAATTACATAAAATCACATAAACTAATGATAAATATTTTCAACAGTGCCAGATATAATAGCAGCTATTAAAAGGATCATTAATAACATTAAAAATGACATGTTAGAAAAAGTTTTTACGAGTTTTCGTAAAAGAACAGAATTTTGTACCAATTCAAATGATAATTACCACTTTTTTCAATTAAATAAACTGATATACAAACATTTTATTTATATTCGTGAAAAATTGTAGACTTTCCTTTTTTTAACACAATTTTTGTTTTCTCAATAACTGCATGCATTAAAAGATGACAGTTTCAGCAATTTTCTATGGGACACCCCGTATATAATTAAATTACCGGATAAGAAGAAGACGACGATGAGAGAATTGATGATCGAGAACCAATGAATCTCGACGTCGCTCATGCCCAGGTACACGTCCCATCTGCTAGCCCAACTCACGTCCGATTGTTTCCACTCCACGGAATACAGGAAGAGAAGACGCGTTCCTTTGGGATTGACGAACTGAGGACTCGCCTCGTTCGGCACCATGCAGACATTCCCGTCAAACTTCAACTGAGACGTGTCGACGGATCGAGTTTCTACTTCGAATCCGACTACTCTGAATTCATCCCTAAACAAATGGAAAATGAAACATTTTTTATTACCTCACTCTCTCCCTATGCTTTATTTTTTTTTAAATATCCTAATTTCATCTATTAAATCTCTGATTTAGTTTGAACTCTTGTCAATATTTAAATATAATAAATATAATAAAATAATATAATATATGTTAATATAATTATATATAGTATAATATATTAATATAATTAATATTGAATTATATAGTTATATATAGAATAAATACTAACTCGCCGTGTTTATGATAGCTTAGTATTAGTTTAAGATAATTGTTGATGTACACTTGATCGTTTATCACCCCACCCAGACGATATCCTTGATAAACGAGAACATTATTTGTGTCTTTTTGTTTCTTTCTGGTAGCTGCCGGTAGATTGTCTATTAATCTGAAAAAAAATACACATTTAATAGAAACTAGCAAAACACGAAATATATATTTTTTAAATATATATAATAATAAAAATGCCCTAACAGATGAACAAAATATTCATGCTGGACCATCTGGATTACATGCTGAGAATTCTCCTCGTTCCAGGTCATCAAGTTGGACGAGTCGTGGCACAGCAACCTGCAATTGACATCTTCCCCCATTACGACCTCGTACGGAGTATTCACTATCCTGAGGAGAAAATGAGGAAATAATTAAAATTACATCTATAATAATGAGAGTTGAAGAATTATTTTTATAAAAAAAGGACTTAAAAAATAGAGAGTATCAAGCTGTACCTGTCACCTCGCAGGACCTCCCCCAAATTTTCGGATTTGTAAATAAAGATCTCTTTCTTGGGCCTGCAAAAGGGAAGGGAGTAATATTCGTACGGCAACTGTGTATGAATGCTGGTCATTTTGACAGCTTTCACGTCGATCTTCTGGCCCTTCTTGAACTCCACTGGAGCCACTCCGGGCACGTAAAAGCCATTGGTCTCTATTAAGAGGGATATCACCACTAATACAGCGCCATGCCTCTGTAATCTTCCCTGTATTGGCAAATTTAATTAACATTAAAATAACTTGTTATAACATTGCAAAACATTAAACTGGCAAAGTTTGTGAGCAAAAAAGGAATAATAATAATAAAATAGAATAATAAATATGGATAAAAATAATAACAAAATACAGGTAAAATTGTATAAGAGAAATTCGCTTGCGCAACAAGTGTCTCAACGTAACAAATCTCATTGTCAGTAGACTATTATTAGCCGATGTGTGCACTTTTTACCATGATTTTTCTTCATTTTTTTCTTTTCTAGTTTACAACAGATCTCTCCTTTTGATACACAGAAGCAATTGTGTAAACACAACAAGTGAACACACACATATACACATTAAATATACGTATGTGTGCGTGTATGCCACATAGTTTCGGGAACCCATATACAAAATCGAAAGACAGAAGAGAAACACGACGACGACGTTGAGTGCTCCAAGAGACGATGTCCATGAGTCGAGCTGTCAAACCCGAGTTTAACAAACGAAATAGGAACCGCGCGAAGTTGTGTCATGATTTTTGCGCGTTAATTAATTAACATTAAATTAAAAAATGACAAAGGAAAAATTCTCAGCCGGAAGCCGGCGAGAAGCCGCACTCACCATCATACGCGATTATTCGTCGTCTCGTTATACGTTTTCCACGAAGGCGCGTCCACGCCGTCTCCGTCTATTTCTCTCTCTCTAGCTTTCCCTCTCTTTCTCACGCAGGCTCGCCCTCGAGCTCTCGTCCTCTCGTCGTCGCCACCTCGGAAACTCGCCCACCACGTCGGGACGGTGTTGATAGACGGTCTCCTTCTCGCGCGTGCGCAGCAATGGCGTAGATATTCCGACGAAAAATGTATCAGAGGAGATTATTTAACGGAATTTATGTATCGCAAACACGAGGTTACAGAGTGATATATATTTATATATAATAAACAATGATAATGATGATGATGATAATGATAATAATAATAAAATAAAGATGATAATAATAATAAATGATAATAATAATGAAAATAATGATAATAAAAACAATAATAATATTAATGTAATGTAAGAAAATAATAAAATCATCGAAATATTATATATTTATAATTATAATTATTATTATATTTTATAATACACGATAATTCTTTTATTACCTTTTCTTTTCTAGGAAATGTTATATTTCATGAAGATTCATCAATAATTATTGTAATTTTTTATGCAGAAAATATAATGACAAGTGTCAACAATTTTTCTGACGGTTCCACGAAGCGCCGCATCGTACGCACGTGTCTGTCAGAGCGCGGTCACGTGACCGCGCGCGCATGCGCATTCGCCGCGCAGGCGCGTCACTAGTGGCGCGAAAAGTCCCTAGATGAAAAAATCCCTAAATTCCATAAAACGAGGCAATAATAACAATAAAACAAAAAATTATTACAAAAATAAAGCGAGGAAACCCAAATTGAAAAATCACTCGAGGATATCGATTCTGTAATTTCTTCTAAAGTAAAAATGTGTGAAAAGTGAAAAATTTCCGCCAATCACAAATTGAATTTAAAATGAAATCGATATGCGATTGGTGGAAATTTTTCACGTTTTCACTTTAGAAAAAGTTACAGAATCGATACCCAGTTTTTCCGCACCTATTATATTACAAAACGAGAGAGATTCGCCCGAGCTCGACGACGACGACAAGAATCTTCCCAAGGAGAAGAAACAGAAAGTCAAAATGACGTCAATTTGACGTCATATTGACGTCAATTGACGTTAAATTCACCAAAAAATGACGTAAATTTCGTCAATATGACGTCAAATTGACTTCTCCGTAAATCCCCTTTCGAAAATGGCGCCGCGCGACGTCGTGGTCGCTCGAGCGGAAGTTCCGGGTCGTTGAGCCGTCGAGGAGGACTTTCCCGGTCGCGATCGGCGATCGAGGAGGATCGAAAAATCTCCGGACGCCTCGCGACTTCCAGCGTCGCGCGCGCGACGCGCTGACGTCATCGCTCCTCGACGACGTCACGGACGCTCCGTTGACCAGGGCTTTTCCTTCGGCGAAAAAATACTCTATCCCCACCCTCCGGTCCCCCTCCGAGGAGAGGAAAATATCGTCCCACGTGGGGACTCGTTTAATTACAAGTTACGTTGTTTGGATATGCGTCTGTTCGGCTGATTTTCCGCGCGGAAGGATGGTGCAGGTGAGGAAGATCCTCGACGAAGTGTTCGCGACGCGGTTCTCGGCCGCGCCGCGGAAAATCCGGGCCGCGTAGGTCGCGTCGGGAATTTTTGATTGTTTTTTTTTTTTTTCCTTTCTCTCTCTCTCTCTTCGTTCGTTCGTTCGTTCCTCCAACCCCCGCCTCGCTCGCTCCTTCTCTCTCTCTCGCTCTCTCTGTCATCCATTAGTAAATAGGAAAGATGGCAGCAGATTATTGCGCTTTTTTCCCCCCGTTACTACTTTCGTTTCCCGGGGGCGGACATTTTTCCCGGGGACAGCCGCGGGAAAGTCGCCGGGGACGGGTCGTTCCTCGCGGTGAAACCGTGCGAAATCGTCCGCCGAGCGCGTTTCCGCCGCGGAAATCCCTCGCGGTCGTAGTTTTTTCGGCGAGACGTGTCCGAGAGATACTTTTCGCCGACGCGTTTTTACGCGCCGCGTGCGATCGCCCGCCCCGCCTCTCGAGCGGACGTGTTTCCTCGGCCCCGAGGAGGCCGCGTCCCGACGCAGGAGCCCGCGCTTAACCTATCTATGCGCGCGGAAATACCCGACTTGTAAATAAACAAGACGTCGTCGCGCGGTTACGATAAATCCTCGCGTAATTATTCTCCGGGGGAGTTTCAATCGCGATGATCGTAAGACATTCGTGAAATTCATTCGTGTCGTTTTTATTTTTTTTTTTTTTTTTTTTTTATTGTTTTTTTAATTTATCATCTCCTGAAGATGAAGCTTCATAATTATTTTACACGTTATTTCATTAGCATTCTTTCATGTTATTTTGGATTTTGGAATTTTTCTCATTTTTATTATTTATAATTGTAATGTGTGTTCCCCCAAGTAGCAAACTGATGTCATTAAACGTCGAAATGACGTTTTTGACATTTAATGATGTCAAAATGACGTTTAATGACGTCATGTTTTATTTTATAATTTTTTACATTTATTTATAATTGTAATGTATATTCCAAAGTAGTAAATTGACATCATAAAACGTTGAAAAACGTCATTTTGACGTCATTAAACGTCAAAATGACGTTTTTGACAATGTTTTTTACAATGACATGTTTTACATTTTGTATTATTTATAATTGTAATGTATATTCCAAAGTAGTAGATTGACATCATAAAACGTTGAAAAACGTCATTTTGACGTCATTAAACGTGAAAATGACGTTTTGACGTTTTATGATGTTATTTTGACATTTATTATATTTATAATTATAATGTATATTCCCAAGTAGCCAACTGACGTTATTAAAGATTAAAAAATGTCAATTTGACATTAAATGACGTTATTTAGACTTTTAATGGCGTCAAAGTGATGTTTTTTTGACATTTAATGATGTTGAGTTTAATAACGTCAAAATAATCTACATTAGATCTACCTGGGTTATACTTATAATATATAACTATAATTAATTTAATTATAATTATAATATATATGATAATTAAAATATATATCTGAAATATTTGATAATAATGAGTTTCGATGTGCGCAGGCAATTGACGAGATGGAGCAGAGGGATCTCCCCCAGGCATTCCGCCTGCTGGGGGAGATGAACGCCAATGTTCTGCAGGTGAACCAGCTGGTTGACAACATGCTGGTGCGCGTGAAGAACGGGGAGATCTCCACGGACAAGGGCCTGAGCTTTCTGGAGATGAAGTACCACATGTTGCTCTCCTATCTCATCAATCTCACCTACGTCGTCCTGAGAAAATGCTCCGGAGAACGTATCGAGGGTGATCCGTCGATCGACCGTCTGATCGAGATCAGGACTGTCCTAGAGAAAATCCGACCGATAGACCACAAGCTCAAGTATCAAATAGATAAGCTCGTCAAGACCGCGGTGACAGGTACCGTCAACAGCGAGGATCCGAGTAATTTCAGGGCGAATCCCGACGCCCTGGTGGGCAAGCTCGACAGCGAGGACTCGGACAGCGAGTCCCAGGAGGAGGAGGAGGCAGATGGTTTCAAAGCAACTACACAGCAGTCTAGGAAATCCAACGTTTACGTGCCACCCAAACTTGCTGCGGTGCACTATGGTCGGTTCTAAGAAAAATATCTCTGTTCCTTTTATATGTACAGGGTGTCCTCATTTCAATTGACACAGTCGAATATTGAAGCTATGATGAGAAAATATTTCATAAGTTGAAAGGTTTTAAGTAGCAGCTAGAAACTATATTATAACTTGTCGTTACACCAATTGATTCCTCTCATTATTTTGTGCGTACAAGTATTGAGGTGACATCATCGAAAAATATTTCACAGCTTATGTAAAATTATGTCAAAGTATAAAATATTTTGTAAACTAGTCCTACTCTATAATTTTTTACACTGCAAAGGGATCAATTAGTATAAAAAAATTAAGATAGTTTTATTTTTTTAAATTAGGTTGTCCATTAAATAATTTTGAAAAATCACTATAGTTCAAAATTAAAGATTATCAACTTTTTCCCCTTGAAATCTTTTAACTTTTATATAAAATATTTTCTCATTACAGCAACATTCAACTATATTAATTAAAATGCGACACTACATATATTCTTAAATTATTATATTTTATATATATATATAGATATATATATATATATAATATGTATGTATATTACATATATTATACATATTATTTATTCTATAATATATAATATATAATAATAATTATATATTGATATATAATGTATATTATATATCATAAATAATTATTATTATTACATAATTATATATTTGTCATATAACTAAAATGTGATAGCTCGCATATATTTATTTCTTAAATATATACGAGATACTATTAATTTTTTATCGGCAACTTTTTTACATATATTTTTAATTGTCTGGTCTATCCTGGTTTAATTATATTGTATAATTTATTGAAAATGTAATTTCTTCAGATGGCGACGAAACCATGACGGAGAAAATTCGCAAGGCCAGCGAGAGGGCTCGTAGACGCGCAGTGTCGAACACAGTTCTGCGAGAATTGAAGGAGGAGTATTTGGACGCGCCTGTCGAGGACAGCCAGGGTCTGGGCGAGAAGCGGGCGATTTTGGTGCGCGAGCACAAACGGAAGATCGAGTACGAGGAGAATTACATGACCCGTTTGCCCGTCACCAAACAGGAGAAGCACAGGCGTCGTCAGATCACAACTATGGGCACCCTCGGCGACGAGATCACCACTTTCGGCGAACCATCCGCCAAGAAGAGAAAAGCTCAGAGGAAGGGCAAAGCTAAAAAGAGTAAGAATCAGTTTCTCCAATATTTTTTTTTTTTTAAATTATATATATTATTATTATATATTATTATATATATTATTACATATATTATTACATATGTTATTGTATTATTATATTATTATATAAATATTGTTTATATAAATTATATATAAATATTATATAATTATATGACAACAAAATTATGCAAGAAGATAGATAAAAGATTTGCTAAAGAAATTTATCACCGCAGGTTTCAAGAAAAAGCGGCATCATTAAGAAATGACTTCGGGACTTTGACGAGACCTGGAGTTTCATACAACATTAACAGTTAAGGTAAAAGGCAAAAAAAAAATAAATTTATTCGACTTCTTCTTCGAAACAAAACAGCAGATGCCATTAATACTCGTTACTAAGTTAAGCTAAAAATAACATCGTAACGTCTAGTAATTTAAAGAAAAAAAAGGGGGGGGAGACAACGTCAAGACGGTGTGGAGTAAAAATAGCACGATGGTAATTTATTACTGTATAAGACATACTAATGGTCGTGTAATTGATAATTCTAGTTAATAATGATTTTAATCTTTAACTGTTGTCTGAGAGATCAATTTTGATCTGTGGAGTTGAGGAAGAGAGACACGAGATCCATCGCAAAAAAAAGAAAATTCCACGTGAACGAATAAAGAAGAAAAAAAAAATAGAAGGTTCAAACACGATGGCACATACGAGCTTAATGGAAATTATGTGTCGTAATAGGCGTATAATACTGTATCGTAATGTTGGATCGAGTAACGGATTAAACCGGCTCCAAGATTGAAAATTGTGAATTACACGTAAAAGTTGAAAGCAGAACATTTCTCTGCTTTATTTTGAAATATTCTCCGGCTATATAGGAAAAGAAAAAAAGGAGGAGGAAAATCAGCAAAATATACGCATAGCAGGAGAGGAGAGGCGCGATATTGAATTAATTGTTAAACGGAAAGCGTAAAAATCACAAGACATTCACAGCGGAAGTTGGAAGACTCGAAATTAAATTTAAAAGAAAAAAAGGAAGAAAGAGTTTAGGACAAAAAAAAAGAAGACACACTTATCTCTAGGAACTTTGCACACACAGTCGGCGCAAAAAACTTGTAAAACGAGCAAAAAAAGAAGAAAAGGAAGAAAAAAAGAAGCAAAAACGATATTTCGTCGATATCGCATGTCTTAGGATTTTCTCGCTGTCTTAGAGTAGTGAAGTAGTTACTAGTTTTACTATATTATATGTATGTTTCGTTTGTGTTTTTCCCCTGGTGAAACTGTTGAGGCTATTATAAATATTTGGATGTGAGTCATGTTTTTACGTTAAGTCTCATTTCTCTCTTTTTTTTCTTTTTATTATCATTACAATGTGCTTGTGCATTGTATTTATAATATATAATATATATTGCGTTGTTCTTGCGTTGGATTTAAGCCGTTAAACTTATATTGATGGTAATATAAGGATTAACACGAGCGTGTCAAAATTCAAAATTGTCGTCATGTTCTCAGATTTGATTTTGATTGACTGATTGTTTGATTTCTCGGAGAGAAGAAGAGCGAGAGAAGGAGAGAAAGAGAGAAAGAGAGAGAGAGGAGAGAGAGCTGAGGGGGAGCCTGTCATATCACTTACACGCACACACACACACACAAACACACAATACGGATAACAAAAATGGACAAGATGGACGAAGAAAAGAGGACGATTCAGGGCGATAATCACTTCTGCAAGCATATAAAATACAATATTTGTACAATCAAACCGCGCATGAGTTCGCGGAGAAAGGGGGAAAGGGTATAGGTTGCCATTTTTCTTTTTGAACGTTGTTATCGCATACAACAATGAGCGAGGATCTCGCAAAAAATGTTCCTTTTAAGGCTCCTGGATCCTCGTCAGGACCATGTCAGATTGTGACGTCAGAGGCGTGAGAGCACACGCTGGAAATTCCATTCAAATAGCAAACTGACGTCATTTGACGTTAAAATGATGTATGCTTATTACTTAGGATATTCTATGCCCCCAGGTAGCAAACTGACGTCATTAAACATCAAAATGACGTTTGATGACGTCATGCGACGTCAAAATGACGTATGCTTGCTACCTAGGATACTATTCTACCCCAGGTAGCAGAATGACGTCAGTTTGACGTTTAATGATGTCATTTTGATGTTTAATGACATCATTCGATGTTAAAATGACGTATGCTTGCTGTCTAGGGGTGCGTTCCGTTATGCACTGCAAGTACTGGCACTATGACGTCATGCAAGTGTACTGTTGACAGCGTTCCTTTTTAATTTTGTGCACTTTGAAGCTACTGCAAAATAGTAAAACGGAACGCACTACAGTACGCTTTCAGCAGACTTTTAACTAACCTTTTTCGCTAATAATCATCGAGTGAAAAATTGGTGAAATGGATAATACCATTATTGCATTAATTACATATAATTTAATCGAGAATATATATGATTCGAGTGAGTCATCAAGTGAAAGCGATTTGGAAATGGAATTAATAAATTAAATGAGACGACAAATTAAAATACCTAGAATAAAATGTAAAAATTACGTTAAAAATATTGTATCATTATATTCAGATATGGAATTTAAAAGTTAGTTCCATCGTACACATGGAGGTAGCCATCTTGATTACTGCGAGTGCTTTACCTCGCCGGTTGCAGTAATCGCAACAGGAAATAACGTCAAAATTAATGACGTCATATACTCATGATAGTACTTTCGCAGTGCACTGCTATCTATATCGGAACGCTATTGGTAGTACTGTCAGTACTTGCAGTGCATAACGGAACGCACCCTATGATTTTATTCTACCTCAGGTAGCAAACTGACGTCATTAAACGTCAAAATGTCGTCAAATTATTTCAGATGGCTTTAACATACTTTAAAATACTTAAAAAAAAACTATTCTTTTCCCTGTATAATCAATCAACAACCATAAAATGACTGTCATGCGCAAAAACCAGACAAACTGGGCCTCATATTACAGTCATTTTACAACTGTTGATTGAATATAAAGGGAAGAGGATAATTTTCAGGTATTTTAAGAGTGTGTTAAAGCCATTTGAAGTGCTGTCTCATCGAAATATTTTTTTGTATTACACGTGCAGGCAAAGTGGCACTTTGTGTGCGTGTTTTTTGTGCGGAAAGCGGCCGATTTCTCACGCCGCCATCTAGCGGCGACGCGGTGAGTGAATAAGTCGCATTCAAAGCCATTGCCTACGGCTGAACCGCGTTCAAAGTCATTGCCCACGGCTGAAGCCGTGGGCAATGACTTTGAACGCGGCTATTCCCGCACCGTGCCGTCGCAAGATGGCGGCGTGCGATCGGCCACCTCGCGCACAGAAAACGCGCACAAAGCCACTTTGCCTGCACTTGTAATACAAAATATCGTGTGTATCAAGTGCGGATTGACAATTGTTCACTCGTGTGAGATGGTCCATCCCCCGCACTCGTGACCAATTGTCAACTTTCCGCACTTGATACACAATATACTATTATTTCGAAATGGCACCTAAAAATTCTTAGCTTTTGTGTTCTCTCGCTTCTGACATCACAATCTCAACTTGATTCGGCGAGGAGCCAGAGGGGTCTTAAATATATGCCACGTTCTTTTTAACATTGTTATCGTATCACAACTGTACAGAGATGATATATGTATATGTATACGTTGTTAGAGATGTGTATGCGTTATTTGTAACCCACAATTGCTCACACAGTTCCATGCAGAAGTGAAATCCCCGTCCCCCGCGAAAAAGAAACCAAACGAGAAGGTAGAACTAAACTCGAACTTCGCTGCGTATGCTGGCCAAGGGCTCAACCATCCATAGATATTATATTTTTTACAGAAGTGTTCATAGATTGAGCCAACTTGGCGCGGCGCCGACGATGTGTCGCACACGCCCTTTCACCTGCCCCCTTCGCCCCCTCTCTCTCTCTCTTTCTCTCTTTCTCTTATCTCTCTCTCTGTCTCCGACGATATCTCTCTGTGAGAACGAATTAATTAAAGGAGAAAAAAAAAAAAGAAAAAAATGTGATAATGATTATTCATGAAATAAATAGTTAAAGAGAAACTTAAACAAAATAGCACAATCGCTGGGCATTATTTACAAAGTGCTAGCAAGCCTAATGTCAGCAGCCTTGTCGTATTTGGTATTTAAAAGAAGAAAAAAAAGAAGACTATGACGCTCGAGAATGCCGAATTTTTCGCGGGACGGAGAGATTTCTCTTCGCTCTCTCCTATATAATAAAGAACTCAACTAGCGCGGTTACTATAAATACGGTGTAAGTCGGTATTCGTATTTCGCCCGCAAGAAGAAGACTGTGAAACGTCTCTGGATTTTGTTCGTCGAAGGAACAAAAGAATTGTCCTGATATTCGGCGTCCTCGTGCTTCATTGCATAGACGATAATTTTGTGAAACGCACTTATGATGCGACGCGAGCTGTGAGCCCAAAAACACCGAAGGAAAGACAATTCCGATCATTATTAGCGATGAGATCAAGTATATCGTATAAGTAGGTTCGCAGAAAAAGAGTACTTTTAAATTGACTCGAATCTGAATGAGATAGAGTTGAACTTTATGATTTTTTTTCAAATAGACTGTTGAACCTAGAAAGATAGGTTCAAATCACTGAATTATATTACTTAAAAATGATAATGCCTATATGAAAAGCAATGAGGCCATTCAGCCCAGAGAGATAGTTGCAAAAACAGATGTTTTTCTTTTTCAGTTTCTAGCTACTCTAGGATAGTCAAACTAGCCTAGGATAGTCTAGCTAGTTTATTCTAGACTGTCATAAACTAGTCAAGATAGCTTTTTTTTTTTTTTTTACGCTGGGGAAACCGTCATGGTACCACGCACCTTCGGGTAGAGGTGCGGGTTATGTGGGACTTGTTTACCTTGATCGAGCCACTCGTGGCTCGACCAGGGAGCCCAAGACCTACCGCACTAAAACTCCAGCGAGTGTCCTTCCCGGGCGTTGGATGGGGGGTGCCGAGGATGCTGGTTACCCATGCCGTCTCGGAAACAGTCAAGATAGCCTAGGATAGTCTAGGATATTTTAGCTAGTCTGGGATAGTCTAGCTAGTTCAGGATAGTCTGACTAGTATAGGATAATCTAGCTACTCTATGATAGTCTATTTAGACTATCATAGACTAGTAAGACTAGCATAAATTAGTTAGACTATTCTAGTCAAGATAACCTAGGATAGTCTAGGATATTTTAACTAGTCTAGAATAGTCTGGCTAGTTTAGGATAGTCTGGTTAGTATAAAGAATAGTCTAACTAATCTAGGATATTCTAGCTAGTCTAGGAGAGTCTAGCTGCTAGATAATGCTGTAGTAAATTTAAGTACTCTTTATGATTATTTAAAAATAAAAAATAGTACTTTCAAGTAGGCTGGAACCTGGACAAGTTAGGTTCAAATTCTCTATAAGTACTCTTATAAGTATTCGAATACCTGGATGAAGTATGTTTGAATCTTTTATGAGTCCTTGTGTGACAAATTATGGGAATAGATGAATGAGTGTGCAAATGAGAAGGAAGTATGCATGTGTGGGTGCGTAGCAAGTGTCATACATTTTTTATCTTAGAATTTGAGTACTACTTGTAAAAGATTCGATTTCTTACGACAGAAAGTACTTGTGAGTACCATTTCGAATCTTGCGGGTACTCGATCTGAAAATATTATTTCCTAGAGTACCATTCGAATCTTAGAAGGTGAAAAAACTCGATTATTGGATTTTTAAGTACCAATATTGAAAAAAATACTTGGTCTCATCCCTAATCTTCACGACTCTGAAGTTTCTGAAGATTACTGCCGATTAATAATATATAGCGAACGATCTTTTGCAATAGAACGAAACGTATATTCCTCCCGCAAGGCCTCAGACATTTATATTCTATATAAGCTGGATTTTTATACGTACACACATAAATAAATAATATATATATACATATATGTATATATATGTATATATATATGTACTTTGGGCTCGCGGTTTGCAAGCATAATAAGATGCGCGAAGGAGTATTCATACGAGATACACAACACATATCCACACGCAACATATAGAAGCAGCAAGGTAATAGGATTATTACATTTAATACACTACCTCAAATCAATAGAAATATGGATTTACAGTAATAAAAAAAATAATAAAAATAAAATAAAGCTCCACAGCGGTCGCGCGCGCTCGCTCTGCGCTTCGTCGCGACGATTCTCATTGTTACTGTTTTTATTTCCTTATTTTTTTATACACATATTGTATACCGTTACTTTTTACCGTAAAAACATCTCCGCTTGATACTTTTATCGAGAATGGATTTTTATTCGTCTTCATATGGATATATGAATTTCTCGCCTATCTATGATAATCCTGAGATCGACACGAGAGGGTTCGATTATAATTTATTAACAGGGAATTCCGCATTTCCATTCATTGTCGTAGAAGAATTGATATTTTAATTCCTTCGTCCATTTTTCGCAGAAACAAAGAGAGACTCGATAACCGGGAGAGAAACGGAAATGCAACTTTTTCTTGATTTTTTATTAACCCTTGAAGATCCACCTGTGTGTTTCTCAGGATTAAAAGAGAGAAGACGGACCTACAAATGTACAAATGAAATATTAGAGAAGTATTGTGTGAGAGCGTTGCCGCTGCGGATTTTTAAAAAAAGAAGTAGTCCTTCAAATCCAACAACGCTGCCGAATGCCGAACTGAAAAAAAATGAAGAAGAAAGAAAGAAAAGTATCAAGGAAGAAAAAAAAGCTATCTTTGCAGCAGAGACGAGATGATGATGATGATAGGGATGATGATTTATTGACTACATTCATAGTCTTTGAAGAGAGAGAGAAAGAGAGTACGATGTTTGATTTATATATTGGTGAATTTTCCTCTCTGTAATTTTATGTATACTAATATAAAATGACAATTCTCAACTGTGTGTGAGCGAGAGATGATTGTGAGAGAAAGAAGAGCGAGCGAGAGAGAGAATGAGAGAAAAATCAAGAGAGAGAAAGAGTGTGTGTTTACCTTGTACATTTACAAATTGTGGTTATTACGAATGAATTATGATTATTAATTATTATTATTATTATTCTCACGGATTATACTATGATTATTATTATCATCATGTAGAATGCTTCTTACTGACTGAATAAAATGTTTTCAATGTCATAAAGTGTCTATTGCAGATTATCACTCATTTATATTCACATTTCGATATAGCGAAGAGGAAATTCTTATATAAATATTATTTCTAGAATATATATTAAATATTTATTAAACCTTATATGTATATATATTAAATCTTTAATGTACAAATATTAAAAGGGATAGATTGCTTAAACGATTTTAATTTTTCTCGGGTTTTCAAATATAATATTAAATTTTTGTCTTATTTTCATATCTTTTATTATTATTTATTAATATAAAATATTTTATATACAAAATAGCATAAAAAATATGCTATACTTTGCCTACCTCCATTTCTACAACTTTCTATTCTCAATGTTCAACATAAATGTACTTGAAATATATAATAAAGCAAAAAAAAATAAATACATAAAATTAATGAAAAATATATTTATCTGATAATAAGTTTTAAAACATCAAAGAAAATAAATTTCATATGTGAAATATTATATTATGAGAAAGAAAATGGAGAAAGTCTGTCTGCGATAATCGAGTCTAGATGAATTTCATACTTCTAACTGCTCTCTAATTTCTCTATTTGCAATTCTTCCAAAACGATTTTCAAAACTGCAATTTTTTTATTCTTTTCCGCAAGTTTCCTCTGTAAAGCTTGTATTTGTTTACGCAAGCTTTTAATTTCCGTGGATCTTTCTTGCCTAATCGTTTCCATATTGGAGAAATTCATGTTCCATATTCTTTCAGGTGATATTCTTGTTTCCTTGTCCACAGTTGACCTTTGCTTATAAGGAAAGCGACGTAATAAGGAAAGCGATGTATTCGTTTCTTTATCACGTGCTGGATCTGCGATATAAATTATTATTTCGTACACAAATATTTTGCAATTGTTTATCAACAGATACATATGATTTATCAAACTTACTTAAAACAGAAATTTGTTTAAGATTATCCATCCTATCCATTTCTATGCTGAAAGGATCAGTTAAAATTGTTGCTGAAATAAATTAATTTTATAAAATTCACAATTTATCAATAAACATTACAAATTTAAATTTAAACAATATATAAAAAAAATAATTATTATAATAATATCATACTTTCAACTGATTCAGGTTCAGGTAGCGTTTCTTCTTTACATTTCACGACTGTCTCCATATCATCATACAATGTATCCTCAAATATCTGTAAAAATTGAACAGAATTATAATTTTACATAATTTTCTTAAACCTGATAAAAGTATAAATTATTGAATTACATTATTTTATATATACAGACATTTTTATATATGAGAAATTAAAATACTTGCATGTGGAATTGCGTTTTCTCTCAATCTTACATATACCAAGGATGTGCGATCTATATATTTCTCTTTGAAATGAATAGAACAAAGACGACTTCTGTTTGTAATAGTGTTCTCATCAAGTTTCATTATTCTTATCCATTCCGCTCTCCTAATAGAATCAGAAGGAAATCTGCAAACCATGATAATACATGTAAATTGTGTGAAAAACAATATAAAGCGATCAATCTTTCGTTTATATATTATTATATAAAAAATGTATATCTCAAGAATATAATAAATTAATATTTCTTTAAAATATAATAAGTAAAAAATTAGGAATTAATCAGAATTGTTTGAAATCTCATGGAATATTTTCTCTAATCTTTTTCTGATGCAATCTTTGTCAACGTAACATTTATACTCACGAGTGAAACGTTATTTTCATTACATTCTCGAATTTAATTTGTATCGCAGTTTTTCCAGTAGGATTAGCAGTATTTCTACATCCAACAGCAACGCAACATGTAGGCATTTTGTAAATATTTACATGTATCACAAAGATGCAAATACAAATTATTTTACTCGCATACAAAAATGCTGATCAGTTATGCCTCAACAAGTTTCACTGTAATAAAGATATATAAATTTCCTTTTTATTTCTTCCATTCAGACATTACAAAAAAAATAAAGAATTTATAAACTCAAAAATAAACTTGCATATATATTCATACGACGTATTTTTAATCGATATATAAAATACAGAAGAAGCTTCTTATTTCCCTCTTTATTTCTCAGACACCTTGTATATACAATTAATAATCTCGTATAAACATATATATTTTTATATCATGTAAATAAAAAAAAATATTGACAAAAACGACATACAAAAAATTTATACGAGGCGTCCGAGCACGAGGCTGGAAGTATTGGTCACGTGGTCGTATTACGTCATTCGCTGCGCGTGCGCGTTGACGTTTCGAAGGGGGAGATCGCGTTAACAATATGGCGCAGCCAATCGCGCGCGTTTATTTCATCCTTTCGTGTAGGCCCGTTTTTCGAAGGCGCATTTCGATCCTTATCATCTTCGTTCGCATAATTCATGTTCATTTGCCACGCTTTCCCGACAATTGTTTACTGTTGTTTACAAGAAAACTGGATCGTTTTGACAGTTTAATTTAATTAAACCTCTGAGAGAGAGAGATTGCGTATATTTTTTTTTCTTGTTCGCAAGATGATTAGCGAGAATTTTACGCGCAATTGGAATGACAACTGAACTGCATGTTTATATGCAGCCTTTTTTCCTCGACGTAACGCACATATTTTTGCGCTTTTAATAGATCTGTCTTTCGTTTCGATGACATGTTGCCAAATGATACGTTTGACAACCGGAACTTTAAAAACTGCGTTTTTTCGGGACGATTCTGCGCTTCCTCGACTCACGAAGTTGCGAGGTGAAAATTCTCTTATTGTCATCGTTTTAATATTTAACTTGCAAATTATTTTTACTTTATTATACTTTATATTATATTTATATATTTTATATATTTGATATATTTTTAATATATTTTTATATAATTCTATATTATTTATTTCAATTGTTCACTATTTTGCCTGATTTTGTCAATTATTACCTCTTACTGTCATCAAATTTAATATCCAATGTACTTCTAAATTATTATTTTATTTTTATATTATATATTAAATATTATATTTATATTATATTTATATTTATAATTTTATATAATTGTTATTTATTTCACAACTGTTTTGTCTGATTTTATCAACTATTTGTGATTTTCCAAAGAGCAACCTGTCCAGGGATGAATGCTCGCTGAGGAATTGCCTGAGACACTAGAAAGATCCTTGGAACATGGATCAGATCATTGACATGGAGGACGTCGAGGACGGGATGCGTCCCTCCAAGAGTTCATCAGTTGTCAGTTGCGTCAACTCCAACTCTATATGCTACGTCGCGATTACAATCGCGACCCTGGCCTTCCTCGGCGCCATAGTCTTTGTCTGCAGGGACTACATCAAAGTCCTCCTTCACTGGATTGAGCATCAGAACGGCTGGATGATCGCCGTCATCTTTATAGGCCTGTTCACCGTGGTCTCCTTCCCCATTGTCATCGGCTATCTCTTCCTGATCGTCGCCAGCGGCTATCTGTTCGGTGCTGTACACGGCATAGCAATCGTGATACTCTCCGCGAATCTTGGGATAGCCATAGCTCACGTCACCCTGGGACTGCTGTCCACCAGGCTGCCGATAGGCGCTCTTTTGCAGAGCGACACGGCGAAGGCGATACTCCGCGTCATCTCCGGCCCTCAGGCCTTCAAGATCGTCCTCTTCGCGCGACTCACCCCGATCCCGTTTGGTCTTCAGAACACTATTTTTGCGGTGTGTGCATGTATAGTGTAATATAGGATGTCCTAAGTAGCAAAATGATGTCATTTTGACATCTATGGCGTCACTTTGATATCTTATGACGTTGTTTTGACATCTAATGACGTCATCCGACGTCAAAATGACGTATGCTTACTACGTGGGATACTATTTTACCCCAGGTAGCAGACTGATGTCATTAAAAGTCAAAATGATGTAATCTTTTGACGTTTAATGACATCAAATAACTGCTAGAATATCCTAAATTACTCAAGGAGAACAAAAAGTCACGATAGTGTCAAAATTATGTCATTTTGACGTCATATTGACATCATTTTGACCTTCTGTTCTCCTTGAGTAGCTAAACTAGGATAGTTGAACTAATCTATGATAGTCTTACTAGTCTAGAATAGACTAGTTAGAATATCCTGGACTAGTTAGACTAGTAAGACTATCCTAGATTAGTTAGATTATCCTATTTAGAATAGTCTAACTAGTCTATGATAGTATATGTAGTCTAGAATAGTTAAACTATTACTATTACTAAATATACTATCATAGACTAGTTAGACTATCCTAGAGTAGCTAACTATTCTAGAATAGCTAGATAATTATAGACTAGTAAGACTATCCTAGACTAGCTAGATTATTGCTACCTGGGATACTATTCTACATGTACATAGATTGTATGTATTTATATATTTGTATTTGTATAATTAGGTGAGCAACATAGGTGGTTTTCATTACCATATAGCAAGCGCAATAGGTTTGCTGCCAGCGCAATTAATCAATGTGTACTTGGGCAGCAGTTTGAGGTCGATGCAGGATGTCCTGGAGGACAGATCCACGGCCGCGACCGGCTACGTAGTTTTTTGTTTCCAGGTACGTTTGTGTAACATGTTTCTGTAAAAGAAAGTCAAAATAATCTTTCTCTTATCTCGCTGTTATTACAGATATTAGTGGGACTCTCTCTGATGGTTTATATCGTTCAGAAGGCGCGAAAGGAGCTCCAGTTGACGTTGTTCAAAGCCGATTTCGCGTCCATGGCAAATTCTCCTCATTACATTCTCGATGGTCTGCCAGACTCCAAGATAATATTAACAAATCTAATCGCGTAAATTTGTTTACGCTGCAATTATTTAGGCGACTGCACAGATTCCTTATTACAAATGGCCGGTAGAGCCGAATATTTTGGTCTCTTTTGTTATTATACATATATTGCTACTGTTATTTTTTCCCGTTCGACTCTTGTGTCTTCTTATATGATACTTCCAGTTTTTCGCTAACTTATCAGTGGTGCTTCTAAAATCTAGGCTTTTGAATCTTTCGAGTCCCATTATCAGGGACACGACACATATATCAAGTCTTACCAAAGTTTTAACGTAATTTTAGTAATAAATACATATATATATATAATATATATATATACACATAAAGTTGAACGGAGCACGTGATATTATATCGTTGTAAGCACGTATATTTTCGTAAAAATAATTAATGGACGCAGGGGAAAATTAACGCAGCTGCAAATTACGATGTATAAAGCTTCCTCGCAATAAGAGTACACTATAATTTACATATATTGCTCATACACATATATACACATTTAACATTAATAATTAGAGAGACTGAGAAACTTTACAGTTATATTTTTTACATGTTATCGATCAATTATTGGTCTCTTTCAGTTCTTCGAAAAAAATCCATTGTTAACGCAAACCGTTAATGTTTATGCATTTGTCCGTCTCTTCTCATGCGATATATATTGCATTTGTATATTATACATATATTTATGTATAATGTATATATATATACACATACTCATATTATAAAGATATTATAATTATAAAGCTGTAATATTATAATTATATACATATTATAATTATTGTATATTATAATTTTATATATATATATATATATATATATATATATATATAATATAAAATTATAATTTATATCCCAAATAGAACAGAAAATCAAAATAATATCATTTTGATTTTCTGTTCTACTTGGGATGATAAATCTCTTGGATGGAGAATGCATTTGAATGAATAAATTGAATGATAAATTTGGCATTCTTGAAGTGTAAAATAAATCCCAAACTCATTGTTAGCTTCATAAACGTACTTTATAAACATTTATTATTATTTGCTTTCATTATTTGACTAGAGAGTATTCGCGCGACTATATATAGACATATGTTATCTCTATTTCTCGAAGCACGAAGAAATCAATATATATATATATATTCTAACATTCTCTGGTTCTTCTAACTTCGAGACGTCCATTATATGTGTATTTATATATCAGAGGAATGGCAGAGCGACACGTCGTCTCTCGCGTCTTCTTTTATTATATGAATTATTACAGCAGAAAAAAACTACACTTTTTTCGTCTCTACACGTATCTCATATTTATATATGTATATATACTGGCGTCTCTCTCTCTCTCTCTCTTCGCTCTTTTATTTTCTCTTTACAATTCCATTATATATATATATAGTAATCTAGCGTACAACTCTCTGGAGAGAATCACAATTATATAAAAAATTTCCGCACTTTCCTCACGTTTTGTATTAATTAATTATATATGTACAAAGGTAAGCCACGTTCGGATCTTAGCATATAGTCTCTCGCTTCTTCTATAACGTTTCACAAATATACATATAAGTCGCATTATATATTTTCTCTCGCTTATATATACTACAATAATTTTATTTTTTTTTTAACTCGCGAGGCTGATTATGGGGAAAACAAGGTATATACAAGAAACTTTCAGCCAACAAATGTATACAATAAAACAAGTGCAAATTAAGTAGGATACAGAAAAAACAAGATCTCACGTTTGACTATAATGCGAATATCTACACGCTAACGAGTCTAAAATTCTTTTTTTTTGTTTAATTTAGCCTTGCGTCAAATTAATAAACAATTAGAAAGGAAGAATATATATCTATGGAGAAGTCGAGAAGGGGGAAAAACAAGTCCCCATTATCAACTCGCATCGATATTTGCAATGTAACATTTTTTTTCAAATTTCACATCTCGTCGAAAGGCATTCCTGGTGAGAAAATTCGAATCTTCTTCGATCAATTGAAAAGGAATAAATGAAAGTATTTTGAAATTGGTACATCTAATGAAAAGATATTTTGCATGAGAAAAAGCAAGAAGTTTTAGTCAACTCGAAATATATCTCCCAAATAGCAAATGTATGTCATTTTGACGTTGAATGACGTCATTAGGCGTCAAAGTGACGTCATCTTGACGTCTATGACGTCAATTTGCTACTTGAAATATAAAACGTTTGCACGTGAAACATAAAACTCATAATGACGTCACTTAAAATTTATTTTGAAAAATTTTTTTTATATTATAATTTTTATTTATTCTATTATACTAACAATATTCAATAAGCAACATAAATTTTTGAAAATTATATAAGCAATTATCTTATATTAGGGGACTTTTGAAATTTATGATTTCTGGTGAATAAAGTCATGATGACGTCATTATATGAGTTTATGTTCTACCTGAATGGGTTGTTGCTTTTGTTAGCGTTGAAAATGAGAGAGATAATTATTCAATCGTGGCGTAAACAAATATTACAATCTCCAATGCAAAAAATTTCTTGTTATACAATGAATTATAATTTAAAATCGTAATTAGTAAAGTATCATTTATTAAATTAACTAGAAATTGAAATTATAATTGATTGGATAAGGATCATATGATGAATCACGATCGTAATATTTTCTACGTCTCTTTTCGTCACTACATATATTCCTTTTTTAACTAGAAAAAAATATCATTCGTTTCGCTAAATTTAAATAATTTAAATAATTTAGCGAAGCGAAATAGTTTCTCTAGCTTAAAAAAAAATAAAATAAAATAAAATAAATTCGAGTATATATATCGTGTTGAATAAAACATCCTGTGAATATAAAATTATTTCGTTTGAAGAGAACCTTCTTAGCGCATTTTTTTTCTTCAGCCCTTTGTTCGATATATATATATATATATATATATATATATATATATATATATTATTGCAGTAAACATAATAACAACTTTATGGCCGCGCTGTATAATAACGCATAGTTACAGAATATGGAAGAGATTACCTATATAAAATCAATGTCTAGCTTACTTATGTTATTAGCTAACCAGTCGATTAGAAAGCTATCGATATCACAAAGTTCCGAGGGGGGATTCGTCTCACAAAAATCATACATAATTGTAAATAAGTATAAATAACAAGAGAATGCTCTGCTGGGTTTCTTTTGCGAAAAGGAAAGAAAATTTTCCAACAATTCTAACAAAACGAAATAAATAAAATTGCACAACAGGGAGTTGAAACAATGTAATCCGTTTTTTCTCTCCCTATTATTCATTCTCGATTAAAATATGAAAATATTTATTACGTAACACGGAGGAGCAAATCGCGCCAGTATATAAAATTATGGCAAAGTTCGTCGTCGATCTACAAAGTTGCAACGAAGAAGAGAAACTTTCGAGTCGTCGAACGAAAAAAAAAAAAAAGAAAAAGAATAATGTAACATGCACCAGAGAACATTCCGTCATTCGGGGTCCCGATGAGGAATCCGGTCCGATTATAACGGCAGGAGATCGATCAGATTCGCCCGCGGTTGCGTCAACGATTCCGGGAAGAATTCCGCGAGCTTGTCGTAGAGCTCGGTCCGCAGATTGTGCACGTCGCGTGCGTGCGAGCACTGCTGCGTCGCCGTCCCCGCCGCCACTTCGTTCAGGATCGCCGAGTCCGGCTGGGAGACGTCTTCCAACGAGCCGTTCTGCTTCCGGAATAATATCGACGTCAGTAATTGAAACTGCAAAGAAGTAGCAGTTAGATAGAGACCAAATTGCGAATAATAAACATAAATAAATAATATTATATATATATATATATATATATAATATCTCATGTAAACTTTTAATATATAAAATATATATTAAATAAATATATAATATATCAAATATATATTAAATAATATAATATATATATTATATATATATATATATCTATATATATATATATATATATCTATATATAATATATAAAAATTATAAAAATATATAATATAAAATATGTAAAATATAAAATATATGAATATATATAAATATATGATTTTTTTTTACCTCTCTCGTCTGCTGCGTATCACTGTGATCGATAATCTCAAAGATCTTGGTTTGCAGATACTCAAGAGCTTCTATGCTGTTGCTCAAGGCGAGTTCTTTGAACTTGTGCTTCCTAATGATCAATTTGCATCTCCTCAAGATCTGTTCAGCCGTAGGCCGGCACAATTCCAATTGCCAAAAATCATCGAGACGCAGATTTGGTAAGCAAGATCTGCCTGGATTGCCACCAAATAGAAAATGAACCTGATGGAAAAGTGAAATATTATTACTGAAATCGTCATTTATTTTTTTTTTTAAAAAATGACAAGAATTAAATTAATTAAAACTATTTATATAAATTAATTAAACTATAATTCTATATATATATATATATATATATATATATATTTATCTTTAATTATGTATTTGTTTAATTTTTATAGAAAAGTTACACTTTTACAGTTAAAATGTTTTAATCGTTGTGTCAAAAAGGCATTATTTAATAATTTAATAATAAAAACATTTATTTAGAGAAAAACGCGCACCTTCCTTGTATGATCATAAACGAGTTGATGCGCAAATCGCGGACACGGCTCGTAATCCTGCATTTTGCTCCAATATTTCTCGCCGACATTCTCATTGCGATATATGCATGACCATTTGCTGCTCTGAATATTGTACACCCAGAAAGAATTTTGCACGTTATCATCCCTCTTATCCTTATCCTTGCTCAGACCCTGAAAAATATTGTGTATTTTTTATACACTAAATTATATTAAATATATATGATTATATATAGATTATACAATTATATATTATATACTTTTATCGTAATGTATCTACATTTATCTCTGAATTATTTATTAATATTATTAAATAAGATTAATATGTATTAATATTATTAATATGTATATAATATTAATATTATTTTAATATGTATTACTTATTAATATTTATTAAATAAGTTACAATTAACAATTATTAAGTAAAAATTTTAATTATTTATTATAAATAATTATATTTATAATAAATATTTTATTATAAATATTATTACTTATACAATTTAATAATTCATTAAATTAAATTATTTATTAATATAATTATTTATTAATTTATTTATCAATCTTAATTTTTTAATTTTACTTTATATGTAATTTTAATGCTTAATTTTAACGCTAAATCTCTCGAGCGCGAGACACAAACCGATAAAACGTAAATTTCGCCGAGCTCAGGATCCATGGTCGCTCTCTGGGTGAATCCGGCTGCGGGTACATGACCGGATTCCTTCGTCGTGCCGAACTCGTTGTAATTGATGTACTCGACGTGCTGCGTGTCGACTTCGTAGGTGAAGAAGTCGCTCAGATATTCCTTGCCTCTCTGACCGGCGAATATATACAGCTTTCTCGATCGCTGGAAGAATTACGCGAGGTTACTGATGTCCCTTAACGTCTAGGGAGCAGTCTAGAGAAGGGAGAACCTGAACCGACCGGATGGAACAGCATGGAGTGGCCTGCCCGGGATCTATAGATCGGCATATCTCTCGAGCAGGGCTTGTCGGCGATATCACAGGCGAGTCTGGTCCAAGTGCCGGTCGGCACGTGATAAGAGTACAGACCCGAGAAGTGCGGCTCCGGTATCAGACCGTGTTCGTCGGCACTGAGGAATCATCATAACAACAATCATCATCATCATCATCAACATCATCGTTAGAATTGAAACGTCAAAACTTAAGAAACTCTACACAACTCACTTCGTTGGATGAGCTAGTACTCGTCCGCCGAATACGTAAATGGTGCGTTTCTCCACGTCCATGGACATCTGATGATCGAAAACAAGGGGCGGCCCGCCCATGGTCCCCGTATCCTCCGAGATTCGCGTCCACTTGCCCGACTCGATGTCGTAGACGTAAAAGTCGCTCTTCAAATTCTCGCACGTGCGATACTGCGTGTCCAGATACCTGCCCAAGGTGAACAGTTGCCGTCTTTGAGGATCTAGGCACATCTTGTGGCAGGAACGCGCGCTCGGACCACCCTAGAAGTAAGCAAAATGAGTCAACGAGGACTTTACGTAGACTATATTTCATAAACTTATATATCTTTGCATAACTATATTATTGGGATTAAATTAATTCAAAATAAATTAATAAATAATTCAATTCATATAAATAATTCATATTAATGAATTATTAAATTAAATAAATAATATTTATAATAAATAATTAAAATTCTTACTTGAAAATTGTTAATAGTAAGTTATTTAATAAATGTTAATATATATATTAAAATAATATTAATATTATATACGTATTAATAATATTAATATTAATCTTATATTTAATAATACTAATAGTAAGTTATTTAATAATATTAATAAATAATTCAGAGATAAATCATACATTACGATAAAAGTTATCGAGTACTACCTACCACCGCCTCGGTATCCTTGCATATTAGAGTCCATTTCGCACCTTCTATATCGTAGGACCAAAGGTCAGAGAGGTCCTGATTACCGTCCCATCCGCCGAAGAGATAAAGTACCTCGGCCGTAGGGTCCAGCACCATCTGATGACCTCCCCGCATTCCGGGTTTGGGCTCGCTAGACGATAACTTGGTCCAAATTGCTCTATAAGTTTGAGCATTGATATAATCGCTTAAGAGCCCCACTAAAAATTAACGCATTTAACGATGTTATAAGCTATCAACAGGCTATGAGACAGACATACGAAGGGGAAGATTACTGAGACGCGATCCGACTCGCGCGTTCGGACTCACTCGAGAGCGCGTTGCTGATGAAACGCTCCGCCTGAAAGTGATCGCCCTTGGTAACCAAAAGGTTGTACAACGTCGACAGCCGCGAATCTTCCAGCGGGACGCCGGTGACCCTCTGCAGGGTCTCCACGATCTCGGGTTGCTCCATTTGTCGAAAGTGTTTCATGCACAGCCTTATTATCTCCTTCTGCCGGTACTGCGATGCGACAGATTGATTATATCTCTTGGAAATTGGTAATAAATAAAAATGACAGATAAATCTTTCTCATCTCGTTGATAGATTTACCATGTTGAACCGCTCCAGACAAGGCCTTACAATCTTGGATTCATTGATACCGGTTAATCTAATGTGCCATATGGAAAAGTTGAAACTAGGACCCCAAGACTGCAGTGGAAGAACCTTCAAGTATCGGATGGGAAAGCAGTTGCCTTCGTTTCCCAGAATATGCTTCAGATCGAAGGTCTCTGGTATCGAGTCGTTCCTCAGTCCGCTGAAACATTAAAGTCCAGGTTAAATGACGAAGGAGGCGAATTGATGAGGAGAAAGAATTGTCTATACCTCTCCAGCAGCTCCATCATGTTTTCTGGTTCCAATCCACCAAATATCTTAAATTTCTTTATGTTACACACATGCGTCTTCTCGTATTTGCCAAAGGTGATGTACTTGACGATGGAAGGACTTTGAAGTTTGAGAATAAGGTACTGAAACATAAAATAAAATAAAGATAAAATTAGTACAAATGGTGGGCTAAATAATACTCGGGGTAATTCTTACCTGAGGATGATTGTCGATATCCGAGGACCAACGTGACGTCTGATCCGATGGTTTATCGACCATGATATTTCTGGAAAAAGATGAATCGGGATGAGACAATTGCTAATTTTCGATCATTTTTTTTTCGCTTTATTATTTCGAGTAAGGAAATTTTGAAAAGATTTCGCTGGAAAATTGTTTTTTTAGGTTAAGAAACCGCGGTGCAGGATATTTTCGCCGTCCTTGGAGAAGAATGACGGAAAATTATGACTTACGAACGTCGACTCGAACACTCACTCGGGTATGTAACAAGAAGAATAGCTGGAGCATTTGTAAATCCGATACTCCAGTATCTTTTGAAAATCTCCACTCTCGTTCGACGCCATGTTATACAAATGACATAACCTTCAACCTTCAACCGCTCCGAGATACGTCATAGACGTGGCAAGAAGAATAGAGAGGTCACTGGCCGTCGATTTTTGCCCCTGTCTCTTTACACTTCTGCACTTTTTAATTTTACACTTTCTGCATTTTCTATACTTTGGCACTTCTACACCTACACTTTTTATACTTCTGCACTTCTACACTTTCTATACTTTCGCACTTCTACATTTTATATACTTCCGTACTTTTACATTTTTTATACTTCTGCACTTCTACACTTCCTATACTTCTACACTTTCTATACTTCTGCACTTCTACACTTTCTATACTTCCGTACTTCTACACTTTCTATACTTCTGCACGTCTCTACTTTCTATACTTCTGTATCTCTACACTTTCTATACTTTCTGTATCTCTACACTATCTATACTTCTGCACTTCTACACTTACTATACTTCTGCACCTCTACACTGTTTATACTTCTGCAGCTTTACATTTACTATACTTCTGTCTCTATCTCTATAATTACTATACTTTTACATCTCTACACTTACTATACTTCCGCAATTCTACACTGTCTATACTTATGCAGCTCTACATTTACTATACTTCTGCACCTCTATAATTACTATACTTTTGCACCTCTACACTTACTATACTTCCGCACCTCTACACTATCTATACTTCTGTAACTCTACATTAACTATACTTCTGTACCTCTACACTATTTATATTTCTGTACCTCTATAATTACTATACTTTTGCACCTCTACGCTTACTATACTTCCGCACCTCTACACTTTCTATACTTCTGCAACTCTACACTTACTATACTTCTGCACCTTTACACTTTCTATACTTCTGCACTTTAGAAATTTCTAATTTTTTTCTATCTCTCTCTCCTATTGTTTAATATCTAAATAATATATATATATATATATATATATATATGTATAACAATATTTTTCATTAAAATAGTGACACTTAACATTACTGCGCATGCTCTTCGAACCACGACTTTCCCATCCCGCGTCCATCTCTCCCTTGTCTTATGATCTATGGAGCACTTCGTCTTTGACGTCTGTGGCGTCACGGCTGTACACGTGCGCAGCTGATCAATTAACGATGATTTAGATATCGGAAAAAAGGGAGAAAGGGAGAGAAAAAGAGGAGAGTCCGCAATCTCTGAGAAGTCCCCGGATCGCCTGCGTGCGAGTGACAGTCGTCGCGATAACGTCGGGAGCCGCGAGCTGTCATGGTACGTAAACAATCACGCACAGACGTATCGCCAGCTGTCATCTGGCGATCCCAGAGAATATACGCGCGAGGAATCGTACAGATCGATATTAATATGTTTCTCTCGTATATTAATGCGCGTTCCCCCAGGAGACGGCCGATCAGCTGACGAGCGACAAGGAGACCGCGGACGGGGTACGGCGGGGTACGTCGCGGGCCCTCTGCGAGAGCGACGAGATCGAGAACTCGGACGAGAGCAGCGAGAGCAGACCCTCCGGGGAGAGATGGGCTCCGGTGGGCGCCAACGACGGCGACGAGTTCGGGGACGAGTACAAATACGTCAACGCCAATGTCGAGGAGTGCGTTTCTTTCTTCTGCTTCAACTATAATTAATTATACAGGGTGATCTGCAAAAACACTTGAACAACTTGTTCAAGAGATCGTTTTAAGTAAAAATGTTGGAGCAACATTGGTCGCATCTCAATTAGTTGTAGAACTATGAGAGATCAATGTTTTATTGATGCGATGATAAATGATAAAAATATTTAGTTGCCATATGCTAAAAATGAAACATTTTATTTATGAATTAATTATTATTGTTGGAAAATCTTTATTTCAAATATAATAACTTGTAACAGGGTAATCCTTAATGAGTGTAAAAAACTTGAATAGCTTGTTTGAGAAATTATTTTGATTAAAAAATGTTATATCTACAAAAATCTTATTTTAATTATTTAATATAAAAGTATGAGAAATTAGAATTTTTAAACTATGCGTTAATAAAACAAAACATTCTATTTATAAATTAACAATAGATAAATTAGTCACCTATTTTTGAAAACGTCCTGTATATATGTTAATATTATTTTTACATATTACAATATATTATATCTCTTCTATTTTATCACATTATTATGTAAACTTGCGATTAAAAATGTAAATGGAAGATAAAGCTTATCCAAAAGAGCGCACATTAGACAGATTACATAATTCTCTCTTGTGTTTCCAGTCTTACGTACGATATGGAGAGGGTGAAGATGCTGGAGGAGGAACAGGAGATGTTGAACTCATCTTTGATAGCACTAACCACTCACTTTGCTCAGGTACAAGGATCTAATTATTATATTCATCCACAATTATACTTACTTAATTGTCCTTCTTCTCACATATTGCTTAATGAAAACTCCCTTGCGCAGGTTCAGTTTCGTCTACGGCAGATCGTGGACGCGCCAGCCAGCGAAAAGGAAACACTGCTCAAAGAGTTGGAGGAATTCGCATTTAGGGGAATACCGGATGTACCCAATAGTTTATTGTTAGAGAGCAGATCTATCACGCCGATCTCTCCCGTAGCCTGTGATCGAAGTGTAAGAATCACAGAGAGCACATTTTCTACATTTTTCTCAGCGTAGACGACTTTTCTGCAATATTTTCATCGATAGACCTGCAACGTTGATTTCTCTATCGCTTTGTTTAGCAACTTCGTTTTTATCGCTTTGATGGATAGCTTTATTTGTATCTAGTCATTTTTTCCTTTTTATATTTTTACTTCTATTTCGTATTTTTATTATAGTTTGCCATTTTTGTTTTGCATTTCATTTATTTATGTGAAATTTGAATTCATATTTATGTTTAATATCTCTATTTTCTATTCTTTGAATATCTGAATGTGCAATATATAATTTTTACTATTTTTTTATATTGTATTTTTACATCTATCTTTTATTTATTATATTTTATGTCATTTTTATTTTAAATTATTCCATTTATGCAAGATGTGAATTTATATTTATTTTTAATACCAATGTTTTTTTGTTCTTTTGATATTTGCATAGTAAACATTATATATTATATATGTTTACTATATTTTTATATCTATTTCTTATTTATTATATTTCATGTATTTTTTCTGTTTTTCATTCTATTTATTTATATAAGATATGAACTTATTGTTATATTTTATGCTTGTGTTGTGTTTTTATTTTTTTAATTATTGTCTCCAAATGCGTAATAAAATTTTGCCATGTATTTTTCTTTCGTTTATCCACTTTATTTACACATCCAGACACATCCAATCCTTCTCTACGTATCATTAATTTAAACTGTTGTAGATGAAAACATGCTTAAATGCCTGTTATAATTTTCTATATTTTTTTCTTGGTTACAATTTACAGCACTGATGAGAAAATGTTTTGTATATTTTTTTTTAATGTTTGCAGTTATTTAATATCACCTGATTTTTTTCGCATCTAATAAATATAATATGTGGCTGTAGGTGACTGATGTAATTACTGATGCGGAAGTAGAGTCTAAGATGGCATTGCAGAGAACGAAGCAGAGAGAACTGATAAGTCAATTGAAGTCTCAGTTGGAGGACCTCGAAAAGTATGCTTACGAAACCGGTGACGCCGATCTACCCCAAAGCGTCATCCTCGAGAGGCAAAATATCATAATTAGTATGTTTTAAGACATTTTCATCAAAACTATATTGTTATCATAGATGTATCAAAAGAGGAAACGAAATCATCATAAAACTATGCTCGCAGGTCACTTGAAAGAGAAGCTGAACTTCGACGTCGACGACCTGTGCAAGTTGCCAGCGGATGATCTCAGGTGGCAAGTCGATTACGCCATAAGTCAAGTACGTGAAACTTGGAAAAACATTGCCATGCTTAGAATGTTAATGATGACCTTGACTTTGACCCAAGGTCAAATTTAAAGATCATTTCAAGATCAATTTAATTTTGTTAATTCTCCATTTTTTATTGCATATATTCTTGTAGTTTATTATCTCAACAGCTTTCCAAAACACTATACTAAAACATTTTTTATCCAGTACTTTTTGAGTTATAAAGGTTTGGAGTTAACAATTTTTTTACATCAAATATTATAAAATATCTTGTAAAATTTTTGGTCATTATACCTTAATACTTTTATGCACGGAATAATGAGAATAATCAATTGGTGTAAAGAAAACACATAGTTGCTTTAAAAAGAGTATTTTGGAAAGCTCCAAAGATAAGCTATAAAAATGTGCAATGAAAAATAGAGTGTTTTATTTAAAAAATAAAGTTGACCTTGAAATGACCTCTAAATTTGATCCCTAGTTCAAAGTCAAGGTCACCATATAAAGTGCGCCTTATTTGGAGCCCTACAACTTTTGTATTTAACATTATTTCATAGCATCACTATTTTCAGATCGTCAGCCCGTTGAAGATGAAGGAGCAACTCGTCTGCCAGTTGAAGACCCAGGTGGCCGACCTGGAGCGCTTCATCAACTACCTCCAGGGCGAGGTCAGTACGGAGACCTTAGCTTGCACGTGCGCGTGTCCGGTTCACGCGGGTGGTTCCGGTGCCTCGTCGACCTCGTACAACTCGAAACGGCGCTTCGACCGAGGACGAGGGTCAGCCGTCGAAGATGACGTAAACCGCACCAGGACTTTGAACACCGTGCGGAAGGTGGTCGCGCTCCTGCACATGTTCCTGATGTCGCAGCTGGGCTGCGGCAGCGAGAGGGTGCGGCGTAACTTCGGGATGAAGAGGAACCCGGTGCATAGTTGGCGCGATCTGCGCACCAGGCTGGACATCGCCGTCGAGCACGTCCTGGAGACGCTCGCGGAGATGTCGCAGCGGCGGGACCAGCATCGCCAGCAGCATCCCGACGACGAGGAGGACGACGACGACGACGACGACGACGACGACGTCGTCGTCGATGACGAGAACGATTACACGTCCGACTCGGACACGGCGTCCCACGCCAGCGCGAGGCTCACCTCCGCGGTGAGGAAGCACCTCGCCGTCTCCGTCAGGGATCTCGTCCAGCACGGCCTGACCGCGGACGTGACGCGCTCCGGATCCAGCGTCGTCCCGTTCGTCGGCTGCTTCCCCCAGCGCGACGTCACCTCGGCGAACTTCATGCACGTCTGGGAACTGATACTGAAGTACTACGAGATCAAGAACGGCCAACGTTACAACTCCAGTCCCGCGCAGAAGCTGTCGCAGAGCTTCAACCTCGACCTCGCCGCGGGCAGGATAGCCTCCTCGAAGCAGGTGTTTGCGTTATAAAAGATATATATGCAGGATGTTTATGTTAATATATACATACATATTATATATTAATATTATTTGTATAAATTAATATTTATATTAAATTTATATTATATTTTATATATATTTATTATATATAAAATATATTTATTATATTTATTATATATAAAATATAATATTTAATATATATATATATATAATATTTATATATTTTAATATGTACATATATTATACCAAGTAGTAAACTGACGTCATTAAACGTCAAAATGACGTCATTTTGATGTTTATGACGTCAATTTGTTACCTCAGATATAATATTTATTGTACAATATCTACATGTAATATATTTATATATATAATATGTATGTGTATAATATGCTTAATATTTATCTTTTATATATATATATATATATATATATATATATATATTTATATATCTTTATGTATCTTTTTAGAGTTTATTGACGACTATAGGTAACATTATCGCCTCCCACAGTCCATACAAGAGAAGTTACGATTCGCACTTTAAGGCGTTTGTATGTGCGGCTTTGAAGTGAGTAATAACGTCATACTTATTAATTAAAGCTATTGATTATAGTTATTATACCTTTTATAGCTATAATAAATAACTATAATTGCTATCTGCTAATAAATAATAGCTATAATTAATTATAACTATTAGTACAATTTTTATTAAAATTAATTGTTGTTTTTTTAGTGCGAATAAACTGGTGACATGGCTAAAGTTGATCTTGCAATGCCAATATCTTTTGGAAAATTATTATCTCTCGTGGAGTTACGTCGTAAAGACAGGTATGTGTGCGAAGATTTGATAAATCAAAAACGATGAGTGATATATCTGACCTGGGAAAAAAAACTTTCAGGTTTCCAGGACGCGTTTCACACCTTGGACCGCCTTACCAGTTACAAGTTCAACTTGCCAGTGGACCTGGCTGTGCGACAGTTTCAGAACATAAAGGACGCATTTTGATTGTACAATCTCACCGTTAATATTTCATGCAAATGACAATGTAGGACGTAGACCTTATACATACATGTATCTTCCGTAAACACAAAAGCTATAAGACGAGAAATTGTGAAAACGCGAGCGATAAAAGTGTACAAGGCGAGTCACTGGAAATAGAATATACAGGGTGTCCTATAGGAAATTGCTGAAACTAATCAATTGTCATTTTTTAATACATACAATTATTGAGAAAACAAAAATTGTGTTGAAAAGAGGAAAGTCTACAGTTTTAACGGATATAAATAAAATGTTTGTGTACTAGTTTATTTTATTGAAAAAAGTGATGACAATCACATATGTAAGCTAAAGATTAATATTTTTTAAGTGCGTACCCATTTGAATTTGTACAAAATTCTGTTCTTTTACGAAAACTCGTAAAAAACTTTTTCTAACATGTCATTTTTAATGTTATTGACGATTCTTTTAATAGTTGCTATTAAATCTGACATTGTTGAAAATATTTATCATTAGTTTATATGATTTTATGTGATTATTAGCATTTTTTTCATTATTTTTTATCAATAAAACAAACTGGTATACAAACATTTTATTTATATCCATTAAAAACTGCAGACTTTCCTCTTTCCAACATAATTTTTGTTTTCTCAATAACTGCATGCATTAAAAAATGACAGCTAATTAGCTTCAGTAATTTCTTATTGGACATCCTGTACAAAAAGATGTCTGTGGAACGCAAATTAGATAAAGGTAGATACAACAGAGATATAATTATTTCCCTTTCAATAGAAATTATTATTCCTATTTAATGTGTAATTGTAAAAATGTTAAAAATCATCCAAATTGTACTCTATATAATTTCTTTCGCACCTCTAGTCTAAGGACACTTTTATTTCCAGTGACTCGCGCTATATATAAGACTCTCAAAGTATCGATATAACTGAAACGTTCCTTTTCTTAGTCCCTAAGTGTTCAGTATATATTAAACGCATATATAGAGTTGAATTTGCAATAACTATTAGGCGTAATAATGATTTTACCTTTTAATGAGGTATTCGCAGCAGTATTCGTATAGATCAGTTGTGAATGTACAAACTCGTTTCCTGGTTTTCGCTTATATAGGACGATGATAGAGTTTACGAGTGTTGAAAAAAATTTTATGATTAAAATCTACATATCTGTCGAGATATTTTTCTGTTCGCAAAATGGGAAATTGTGAGCGCGAGGCGTGTTAAAGATACAAGAACTGAATTGAGCAAAGCTAGTCACTTCGAGAAATAATCATTCCATATTTTGCACATTTCATGCTAGGTATCACGCATAAGAAAGATATAAATATATACCAAAGATGTTAATATCATGAGATCGTGACTAGAAACTTGTTGCACTGAACACGTTTATATCATATATAAGACGTTTTATGTATATCTACACTCATAAATTAGTATAAGAAAAATGATATATATAGATGTTGTATAGACTTTTTATAAATTATTGTTACAAAAAAGGTTTAGTCCCTAAAGTCCAGACCTTTTGTGTAAAAACACTGAATTTATAAAGAGTCTGCAACATATGTGTATAAGATATATATAATATATATCTTACAAAAATATAAGTAAGATGCAAATCAAGTCTGCTTTTTATAAAACTGGTGAATTATTTTAAATTAGTTCCACATAGTTATAATGAAACGAATATATAGATAACAAAAATATATGCAAAAGATAACAAAGATTACAATGTAAAGACGTAGTTGTTATGTATAATAATACAGTTCTCTGATTGACACAAATTAGCATGTTTTAGACATTTAATATAACATACACATAATCGAGAAAGTGAAGAATAACCCAAAAGTAATATGAAATTGGTTGTTTATTCCTTTCCGTCAAGGTTGTACATCGGGTAAGAATCTCGTACTTATTCCCTCAAGGTGTTCGTGGTACAATTATATCGATTATTGGATATTTTCAGCGTGATACAATTGGAAAATCTACAACAACGGAAAGAGCGATCGAGAAAAACGGTACAATCGGTACTGTATACACTGTATAGAAATAGTATAAACGGTATTGTCAGCGGTACAGATTCGTGAGACACGATTTATCGATTATTTACAAAGATCACACTACACCGATTGTTCGTTGGAAGAATTTCGCACATTGCGTCGTTGAGCTTTTGTCGCTGTATTTCGCAGAATCGAGGATACTTTCCAGAAACGGATCACAATCATACACTTTGTGACACAATGTCGACTAGAACACTTATTTTTGCTTACTTTTACTTTTTCTACCGCTAGAGGGCAGGGCAGTCGCTTTTCAGTCTTGTATAGAAAAAAATGATAGCAAATAATTGACTTGTTGATAGAAAAAAACATTGTGTCACACTATGTACATCGCTGGAAAGTACTTATTAATATAAAATGGAAGAGCGTCGATGGAGAAACTTATTTCCGAGACAATCTTTATAAATCCACATTGAAAAACAAGAGACAAAAAATTCACAGCGATTCTTAGTAACGCGTGATCATCTATTTTTCAAAAAGATATGGATTTGGGAAATTCTTTTGCGATCGGAAATAAACTCTCCTCGATTTTTTTACAGATGACATTTTTCAGGATGGTAAAAATGGCGAAAATCTTTTTCTTCTCTGAATACAATCAATCGGATATACGCGAATGCAAAAATAAATCGACGAGATCGAAGAAGTGCACGTAGTCCTACTGCATACTCTTACACGCTGAATTATAAGATATTGTAAGGAAATAAGTAAGAAAACAAGAAGAGATCATTATACACGCAACACCTATAGCGCATGTGAATACGATTCCCCCGTAGTATAGGCGCAACAATAACACATTTACTGGAATGTAATTGTGGCAGTGATGAAAAACGGCTAGTGTCATCGATTCAGTCATCGGATTCTCAGTCTCCGGTGTGTTTCGTTAAAATTACAACAAGTCGAAACGAAACAAGCGAACTTATCCTTCCTAACAAGGTGAGTTAGCGAGTCGAAGGTCGCGAACTTAATAAATTAAGGGACAACCAAATAACGCGAATTAGCCTTTTCCATAGGGTATTTACCCATATACCCTACATCGTATGCACACATAAAAATCCTAGAATGCGAATTTTTCTTTACGCATTAAACACGATTAGCGAATTAGAAAAACGCAATTTAAAAAAGAGATATTTAACGCGACCGACGTGTGAAGAATAACTTAATTCAAAATTATTATACAAGAAAATTATTCTAGCAAAATAGCCGGCTTATGTATATATATATATATCAGTAGAAGAGACGCGTTTTTTTCTTTAATTTACAACAATCTTTCGGTGTACACTCACTTAATAATGATTCGCTTAACATTCCTCTTCTTCATAATTCTTATAATTTTTCGGCACACTTAATATAGGTTTCATTTATGTCTTTTTTTTCTTAGTACAGCAAACGATCTAACAACCTAACACACGTCTAACAATCAAGGAGCCTCTAGATATAACGTCGCTAAATGCGCTTTTATAGCCACACCGCATTTATATTATTATTTGTACAGATTCGAGTTATGCTTTGCTTGTAAAAGCGTTACTTGAATCCGAAATTAGAGCTGCCACCTTGACACTTCGCTGTCTGAAGACTATAGGCCCGAGAGTGGAGAAGAAAATATGCACAAGTGTAATAGTGAGTGCAAACGCGAAAAACTCGTTGTTAAAACTCATCCATTTTCTTATATAAAGTACGTATAAAACAAATCTTCGATATATCTCTAATGATGAAAAAAACGCGGAACAATTCGCGCAAAATATTTTCAAAATATTATATAAAATTGTCACAAAATTAACAAATCAAGCATAATATCTGACAAATTTTTTCTCCACCTATATAAATGTTTCACTTTTTAAGGAAAGATAATTCTAGACGACTTTTCAAATTTTATGAATTAATTTAACTAATTAACAAACATAAAACTTACTCAACAAAGACGTAAAAATATTATTTTACAAAAAGCACAATATTTTTTAAAAATAAATTATTATTTTTAAATAAATTAATTTTTTAAATAAATTAAAAAGAGAAGAAAATAGCGTAAAAATCTCTTTCCCAAATTTTTGTACAAATTACACTCGAAACAGTTTTGATTAAAAAAGCAATAAATAGAAAAATATAAATATTAAATTGTAAAATTGTCATTCGTAAAAATTGATTACAAATTAAAATTACACATCGACACATACACACACGAGAATCCATATATTATATATATATATATTTATATTTATATTTTACTATACGAACCGGAGATAAAGAAAAGCTAAATCTCCGGAATTTCCGATTTCGAGAAAATCGGAAAAATGGCAGCTCTAATTGGATAATCGGAAGCTAATTGAACAGTGATTAGAAACGAGCGTCAATCTTCTTTGAGTTAGCACGTTATTCGAAAGATGGAACTTTTCTTTCGGATATCGTGCCAAGTGGAAAGTGTAAAAGAGCAATACTATATGTCCCCCGTCCTCCTGAACCAGGGACAAACATCCACAATTTAGAAGACGAAGAGAAGTTTCAACGCAACGTCGCGTTTTTATTTTATACATTGGTCCTTTTCCGACTTCTCGCGACTGATAAGCGGATGATCTCCGATATCGAGGTGAATCCAACTATAAAAAGGCAGGCAGGCATTTTACATCACACGCATGATACACAATACAGACTTAATTACCTGGAAATGTATAATTAAGTAAGTAGATACACATACAACGTGATATCTCTCCCCCTTTCCCTTATTCTTAATTAATTCATCACACAGCGTGAAATTCGACCCAGGAAGATAATGTTATCTGGCATGTAAATATAACTTTATTAGTTTCACAGAATTTTATATGTATATTACTATATCATATTTTTTCTAAAAGATTTCCAAAAGAAAAGTGATAATTTTGAATTTTAATTAAAGTCATTTTTCAAGGTCATTTTTTAATGAAATTATTCTATTTTTTTTTCAACCATATTTAGCTGTATAATTAAAATAAAATATCCTATGTGTATTTTGTTGAAACACAAATCTAAATTTTTGGTCAATTTATTGAGGACTCCTTGGTATTCACTGCAGCCATGTTAAATTGTGACATTAGAGGCGAAATAATATTACATTAGAAATATTTTGATGAAACACAACTTCCTTTTCCCTTTATAATCGATCAACAACTGTAAAATGACTGTGATATGAGGCTCCATTATTTTACAATTATTTTACAGTTATTGATTGACTGTTAAGGAAAAAAAAACCAATTTCTCGAGTATTTTAAAAGTGTACTAAAACCATCTAAAGTTATGTTTCATCAAAATATCTTTCTCTTTAAAAATGGTACGCAAAAATCTTTAGCGTGCATCTTCTGACGTCACAATCTTACATGGAGGCAGCGAGTATCAGAGCTTTAAAGACAGTTAGAGCAAAAACTCGCAAGACAGTTTCTCGAACCGGATGCAAAATATTGCAAATATTTTTTCACATAATGATAGAATGTATTCGTCCTCCTGCGAATATTTCACGCTGCGCGCGCGATTGTGGAAAAAGAAAAAAATCGAATCGACTATTACCGTCATTATTAAATTCACACTCGAATGCGTAGCGGGACGCTGTCGGATTTGCACTCGGCCTCCAATTCCTGCCTGATGCCGTCGAGAGTCTGATAAATGGTGCGAAACGTGGGCCGGTCGGACGGTCGCCTGTTCCAGCAGAGTTTCATCAGATCGTAAATCGATTGCGGCGTATTGTCCGGGCATCGCAGCACGTTGCCCTCCTTGATGTACTTGACCACCTCCTCGTGGGTCATCCCGTAATACGGTTGCAGCGCGAAGCTGAAGATCTCCCACAGACACACGGCGAACGCCCACACGTCCGACTCGACGGTGTACTTGTTGTAAAGTATACTCTCCAGAGGCATCCATCTCACTGGGATGGCGTCTTGCTCGTCCCCTGTGTTTTTAGAGTATTAGTACAAGGTGAATATCACTGTTCAACGAGAAAAAAAATTAATCAGAACCAGACTGGTTGGTTCTTAAGTTTTTTGGATGCTGAAGACGAATCCAAATTATTCCATCATGGTACAATTGTGAAAAATTTTTAATTAAAGTTGCAAAACAGGCTTTGTTATACAGGGTGTTCCATAGGAAATTATTGAAACTAATCAGTTGTCATTTTTTAATGCATGCAGTTATTGAGAAAACAAAAATTGTGTTGAAAAGAGGAAAGTCCACAGTTTTTAATGGATATAAATAAAATGTTTGTATAGCAGTTTATTTTATTGAAAAAGTAATGAAAAAGTGCTAATAATCACATATGTAACCTAATGATAAATATTTTTAAAGTGCTCACTCATTTGAATTTGTACAAAATTCTGTTCTTTTACGAAAACTCGTAAAAAACTTTTTCTAACATGTCATTTTTAATGTTATTGACGATTCTTTTAATAGCTGCTATTAAATCTGACACTGTTGAAAATATTTATCATTAGTTTATATGATTTTATGTGACTATTAGCACTTTTTTCATTATTTTTTATCAATAAAACAAACTGGTATACAAACATTTTATTTATATCCATTAAAAACTGCAGACTTTTCTCTTTCCAACACAATTTTTGTTTTCCCAATAACTACATGCATTAAGAAATCATGGTCAATAAGATATGGTTAAATGGAATGTATTGTTTGGAAGTTAACTGTGACTTAGGTCACTGATGATTTGCCAAATAAATTTCATTTATGTTTATTTAATCTTAAAGGTTTTTTAGATCACTGAATATGAATCCAGTGTCAAAATTGTCAAATTCCAAATGGTGGATTTATGTAAAAAACGCATTTTTTAAATTTGGATCCCCATATTGAGTATCATTTTTAAAATGTTGGCATTGAATTTATTCAGTGACCTAAAAATCCTTAAAAGCTATTTAGTAAATCGTTAATGATTTAATTATAAGTCGCAGTTAACACTTCTGCAATACAATTCATATTTAGTCATGAATATCTTATTATCCATAACCGACACCAAAAAATTCCTTTGACGTTATTGAACGCCAAATTAATGTCTAATGACGTCATTTGACGTCAAAATGACTTTATTTTGACTTTCCATAACATCAATTTGCTACTTGGGATGATATGACCGAGATAATAGAGATTGTAGAAACTACTTAAAAAGTTCCAATAGACCTATTTCTTCTAGATTCTTTTAATACACCTTCTTCTAGGTCTATTGAACAATAATAGCAATACAAGAGCGAGAAAAACAACCTTTATAATAATCCTGCAGGTAAATCTTCTGTGACAAACCGAAGTCTGCGATCTTGACAATCATCTGATCGTTGATCAGGCAGTTGCGCGTCGCCAGGTCGCGATGGACAAATTTCCGGTCGGACAGGTACACCATACCGGATGCTACTTGCAGGGCGATGTTGATGAGGTCCATGTGCGAGAGCCGCGAGGGCTCGACCCCCGCGGGGCCGTTGTCGTCCGCGCTTGGCACCCGAATGACGTAATTGCTGGGCGAGCAGGAGCGCAGGAACTCGTTCAGATCGCCCCGGCCCATATACTCGAACAACAGGCACATCGGCCGACCCAGGGCGCAGACGCCCAGGAGCTTCACGATGTTCGGGTGATCGAACTCGGCGAGGAGACACGCCTCTCGCTCAAAGTCCCGCAGCAGATCATCCGACGCCTCCTCCTTCAGCATCTTCACAGCGACGTTCGTGAATTCCTCACCCGCGATTAACCCCGGCGCTTTCGCCTGGAACACGCGACCGAACGCGCCCTGACCCAGGTCCCGCACGTAAATGATGTTGTTCCGGGGAAACTCCAGTTTCTCCAACTTCGGGTTCAGCTGCGCGCTCGTCTTGTGATACGCCTCGTTGTTCGGCAGTTTATCCAAATCTATGTTTACGTCCTGCGATAAAAAAAAATGTTAGAATATAGGTCGTATTAAATATAAAAAAGAAATATTTGTTAGTAAGCGTATACCTGATTTTCAGTCGGATTGTAGCCTCGATGACGCTTGTGCAGTCTTTGGCTCAGGATAATAGATAGTAATGCACTGGCTACAATTACAAAACCCAATGCTGATAGTATAAGCACCAGTGTGTTACTAAATAGAGCATCCATCATTATGTCTTTGGATTCAATCTCCACTTTAGTTGTAACGTTATCTGAACAAAGATATTTTGGATCATTATAAAATAAAATCACTACTATTTATTGTATTGGAAAAAAGGGAGAGATATTAATTCATAAAGATATTCATAGAATACATGTACATTTTATAAGTAAATAAAAAAGTTTTTAAATATTATATATATATATATATATATATATAAAAAAAACTAAAATATTATAAATATTATAAAATATAATATAAAATATTATATATATAAATATTAAAATATAAAACTTAAATTACTATTCCTAAAAAATTGAATTTCCCAACTTATTACTCCTGGAATGTTCTGTTACTTGAATGGTTCTAAATGGATAAAAATGGTTCTTGTAATATTTTGATACTCACCACATACAGGAATATCGCAATGCTGCCAGCGTATCGAAGGATCAGTGGTGAAGCACCACGGCACTGGTTCGTCGCCGCCGGCGTTTCTGCAATAATTCTCACTGTATCGAATCTGCGGGAAAACATCGGGCGGCTTATCGTGACTGTGCGGCACCTGCACGCTCCACGATTGGCAGTCTAATCCGTATTTCGTCTTGTTGACCTTTCCCATGTAGAATCTACCATTGCCTCTGATGCAATCATCTATGAAAATAGATACATTGTATGAAAAATAAAAATTAGGTACCTTATACTTTCCATATAATTAGTCTTTATTTATATATATAATTATATATGCCACTATTATATTTTCAAGAGCTACGAAACAACTTACAGGTAACAACTTCTTCGTCCATGTCGGTGAGATGAACGTGGGAGCAGGTAGGGACGTCCTTGTTCACTTTGGGCAGACTTTCGCATTCTGGCAATACAAAGTGGCCGCGTGAACGAATGTATATATCCCTCTGTTTGTTGTCTTCGATGATTGCCCAGTCGTTGAAACAGAATTGCTGTCGTACTGCCATGCAATCCTCGTAGCATAATGGTAGGCCTATCGATTCGTGGCACAGCGGAAACGCATACATGCAGAGCATTTTCTGCAATAAAATAGAAATAGTAATTATATTTAAAAAAGCTTATGGATGTAAATATATTACTTAATATATTAAGTATTTATTACAAGCTTATATATGTATTATATATATTTAAGTATATATTATAAACTTATATAATTAATATATTAAATATAATATATAAATAAATATAAGAGTAATAATATAAAATGTAATATATAAATATATATATATATATATATATAAACATAAATATATAATTTTAAGGTATCACACTTCTGCTGCTGAACGACATGGCTCCAGAAGTGTCTCTATCAGTTCCTCCCAGAGATTCGATGTAATCTTCTCGTTTAGCCATCCTCCAGGATTATCATTGGAATCATTAAACCAGACTTTCCCTATTCCAGTGAGATATTTCTTGCAGATCTTGCCGCTGTAGGGTGCACAGTAGCCCTGCGACTCTGGCTCTGATAGAAAGCACAATTATATTTATAAAATATATATATATTCACATATTCATATATATATATATTCACATTTTAAATATATTAGAAAAAATATACTTTAACATAATTTAAATATATTTGAAAAAAATATTTTAAATATGTTTGAGAAAAATATATTAAATATATTTGAAAAATATTTTAAACATATTTGAAAAAAACATATTAAATATATTTGAAAAACATATTTTACATGTCAAATAAATTTGAAAAAAATTCTTTTTTTTTCAATGCAATACAATAATAATACGTACTTGCTTGTATGGCAGTGAAGCGCAGAAATATCGCTAGCGAAAAAATGACGGCCCAAAACACCATTATTTACATTCATCTATATATACATACATATATACACACATGTGTATATTATTTATTTATATATATGTAACTCTCTATATGTATATATATATATATATATATATATATATATATAAGCCGTTGTAAAATAATGTGAATGCCGAGGAAGGCTCACATGTTCGATGAGCAAAACCGTTGATTCACGAAAGTTTCCACCCTTCTTTGGCTCCCTTCAGCGATTACATCGAGGTATTCTAACAAGAGACGCGATATATTTCGTGTATCCTCCGCGAAACGATTTATCGTCCCGTTCCATAACGAACGACGTAATTAATCACACACATGAGACTCTCTTACTCGATGATTCTTGATTATAATAGATATACTTGCAATTTTTATTGATACTTGTATTCGGCGGCGCCGATCGGGTCAGTATATCATGGCGATAACCGTTTTAATTTAGAGGTTATGGTGGTGCCAGCCATAGACGATGCAAGAATATAGATAGCCAACTCTTATTTCAATTCAAAATAGCGTTTTAAGCGCCATCTGGGCAAATTAAAAAAAAATTTTGATATTAAAAATTTTTTTTAATTTAAATTAAAATTTAAAAAATTTTTTCAAAATTTAAATTAAAACATTTCTCTAAAATTTAAATTTAAAAAACTTAAAATTTAAATATAATTTTTTTTAATTTAAATTAAAATAATTTTTTTTAATTTAATTTAAAAAAATTTAGAAATACAGAATTAACATATGCAGCAATTATATTATAATATAAAAAATGAAAAATCGCACAAATACACAGAAAAAATAGCAAATGTCAAGTCAGAAATCTAATAATAAAAATCAAATTATTTAAATTCAATTGTATTTATTTATTATAACATTTATTATTAAATCAACTATAATTTTTCAAGAATAATACATACAATTTTTTGAAAAGAATATTGCAAAATAAAATTGAGGCATAGAAATGTCATGGCGCGCCTATTTCTACTTGCGCGCGCACGCGCGCTGTCACTACTTGCGCATGCGCAGAAGAACCATGACAAATAGCGCGGATTCAAAGCACGCGTAGCAAAACGCGGAGTATTTCAAGGTTAAGCACGATTTTATACGTATGCTCACGCCGGGCAGAGTCGACGATTATTCGACAACATGGACAAGGTGTGTCCTGCGGAAGAGGCAGAGACCGTCGTGGCGAACACGTCGCTCGAATCACCGTCGAATATAAGTAAGCGTCAATTCAAGAGAATGCAGAAGAGGAAAAAATGGCTGGAGCGGAAGACCGAAAAGAGGTTAGAGACTCACGCGCCGTTTCAGAATTCGAAATTTTCTAACTTTTTGTCGTAGCTTTCATGTTTTTAAATTTTCAAAGACTATTTCTTCTTATTAGAAAGAGAAATTTATATGTATATATTTTTTATCTTTATAATTTTTAGGTAAACTGGTAAGAAGGAATTTATAATACAATTTTTATTGTTTTTATATTCGTTTTTTATAAATAAAAATATACTAATATATAATGTAAATATATATATATATATTTTATAGTATATTTACATACTATAAAAAATATAGTATATATATTTAATATAATGTATAGTCATTATATTCGACAAACTTTGTGTTAGATCTCACAACTCATATTTCTCTATGCAGATTGAAAGAGAGGGCAAAAGCGAGAGAGAAACGTGCGTACGCGCGCGCGAATAACTTGAGTCTAGGCCCCTCGAGGAAATTCTTGAAGAAAAGCACCATGGCGATTAGTCCCTGCAAGCTAATGGTAGCCATTGACTTGTCCTTCGACGATTTGATGATTGACAAAGATATTGCGAAGCTGACGAAGCAGATCCTGAGGTGCTACACCTTGAATAGAAGAGCCACAGCACCGATGCAATTCTCCCTCACGAGTTTCACTGGAAGGTCACGAGCCGACATGGAGAAACACAATGGATATGAACACTGGGATGTACGTGACGCTGTTTATATTTTTTCTACCTATGATTTAGAGCGATTTGATAAATGATTAGATCCCAAGTAGTAAACTAACATCATTAAACGTCAGAATGACATCATTAAATGTCAGAATAATGTCATTTTGACATTTAATGACACCAAAATGACATATGCTTGCTACCTGGAATGATTCATTGCGATGGTTTGCAGGTGAACTTTCACACGGAATCGTACGTAAACGTTTATCCGAAGGACAAGATCGTGTATCTTACGAGTGAATCTGAGAACGTGATAGATCATATCGATCATGAATCAGTATACATCATAGGAGGCCTTGTCGATCATAATGCGCACAAGGTGAGATATTCTATTCGACTCATCATCTCAGGTAGCAAACTGACGTCAAAAAACATTATTTTGACATTAAATGTCCCAATCCAAGTAGAACAGAAAATCAAAATAATATCATTTTGACGTCATTGATCAAATTTGGAGTTCAAATTTGGTCAAGATGATGTTAAATTGACATTATTTTGATTTTCTGTTCTACTTGGGAAAAAACATTTTGACGTCATTAAACGTCAAAAAAACGTCATCTTGATGTCATTAAATGTAAAAAACGTCATTTTGACGTCATTAAACGTTAAAAACGTCATCTTGATGTCATTAAATGTAAAAAGCGTCATTTTGATGTCATTAAACGTAAAAACGTCATTGCTACTCAGATCTCTTGGCGAATCTCTCTATAAAAACCTGTTTGAAACAGGGTATATGTCACAAGTTGGCGAGAGACGCGGGCGTCACACATGGACGATTACCTTTGGACAAGTTTCTGCAGATGAAGGCGAGAAAGGTGTTGACTATTGACCATGGTATGGAAAGACGTTGAATTTTTTTTAAAGCTAACTAATATCGTTTATATATTTCTACGAGCATTTGAAATCTAGCTATGAGATTAAGATATTTTACAAGCATTTTATAAATTCGCGAGTCATGAGTACTTTTAAAAGTACTTATGAGAAATTTGACAAGTACTTGTTGCTGATAATCAAAATTCGAATATAACTTTCCAAATTTGATTACTTGAAAGTATAATATATAAAATATAATTTATTACGCATATTATTTGAATCCTGGAAAATGAAACTTGATTATTGAATTCGACTCGAATTTACAAGTACATATCGAATTTGATCTCTGCAATTTTTTTTTTGATTACTGCTGCAATGAATAAATTTTGAATAGAATTAAATTTTATCCTAAAGAAATTTATTGTTTATAATCAAATGTAAATAAATTCAAACAATGCGAGTTATATAACTTAAGATTTACATTGACAACGATTGAACTTGTCCAGTTTTCGAGATATTACTGAGGGTAACGGAGGGCAATACTTGGCAAGAGGCCTTTCTGAAGGTGTTACCGGAGAGAAAGAACGCTCGACCGATTGTTCCTGTGAAATCCGAAGAGGAGGAATCGCAAGATTCGAAGCCTGTCGATGTAAATAGTGCAATGCTAGTCAATGTAAATAGTACAATGCAAATCAATGTAAGTAATACAATGCCAGTCGATATAAAAGACGTCTGCGATATTAAACTGGAGAGCGAAAGCGATATTAAACTGGAAAGTAACGTAGAATCGAAGACACTTTTAGAGGAGCACTCGTGTGCGACGTAAATGCGTGAATAGCGGCCTAATTAATGTCAAATGTCTTGCAAAATTAGAAGCTTGCAATGCTATATCCTTGAAATATTCTTATAATACAAGTTTCTACAAAAATGAGAAAAATCGAATTGTAAATATTTAAAATATATTTTTTTAATCGAAAAAGAAGACTCTTTGGATATTAAATATCAAAAATAAAGAGTAATTAAAAATCTAGCGTGATAAGCAACGCGCAAATTGTTTTTTCTTGATAAAATATTATTTGTTTAGTACCTAATGTTCCGGTCCTAATGTTGAACTAACTTTGCAAAAATTCTGGTTTTGAAATTTTCTATACATTTAGGGGGGATAAATAAATTTTTGAAGTTTTTAATCCAAACGCTCTATACTTTCATAGGCATTCAAGATCGAGATATCAAAAAATATTTTACACCAAAGTTTTATTTTATTCGACCACATTAGTAATATTTTGAAAAATAATTTTAAATCTTTGAAAAACAAATATTTTCAAATATTTGGGAAAAAATTGAAATTTTTGCACAAAATACTTTTAGAATTTTTGTATATAACATTTTTGATATCTTGTTCAAAAAAAATTACAAAAATTTATTTTTAATTTACTAAACATGATTTCAATTAGAATCAATTAAGAAAAAATTTGCGCATTTACCGTGCTAAGCTCTTAATTACTCTTTAATTTACTTTGAATATTTATAGTTTTTTTATTACATTTTTGTATGAACTAAAATGTCTATTTAATGCAATTTTGTGCATTTTATTTCGCGAATATATAAAGATAGGAGGATCTTTTTTTATTATTCTGCTTCTAAGACTGCCAAAAGGTTTATAATAATATTTAACTTAATATTTAATTTAATATTTAATTAATTATTATTTAATTAATTTAATATTAAATAAAAATCTGCGCGAGGGAGTAAACTCAATATATCACAAATACACGATATGACATCGTACTTTCATTATCGTTTGTCGTGTATTTCCAAATATTAGAGATGCGTAGACAAGAACAAGACACGGCAGACACCAATTATAAACGAGCTACAAAAACGCGTCCGAGACTCGACAAACGTCTCGTCGGTATCTTCTTCCGCATTTTTTTCTTCTTTTACACATCTCGCAGACAACATGTTACAATATAATACATCCTTACACGTCTAAAACATTTGTTCGCGCTAAACTCAGAGTGCAGCCTCTCTCTCTACATCATTTCTCTCTCTCTCTCTCTTTCGCATCCTCAATTACATTGCACACACGTCGTCGTCGCACTTAATTATCGCAATTAGGTCAAAAAGCGTGAACTCTGACTTCTCAGGGTTAAAACGTTTGTACACAGGTGCATATTTATTACATTGCAAATGTACATACGCCTATTTTTATCGTCCAAGATATTAAATAATACGATATTGTAGCGTATATATCGTATACATATACATATCTACAGTCAGGTCTTCGTTATTCCTTCTTACCGCCTCTGTCTCTTCTCGTTCTCTGTCACTTTTCCCCTTATGATCACAAATAGAGCGAGACGCAAGAAAAGTGATAAAGAAATAAAGCAGAACTGGGGGCTAAAGAGAATAAGGAGGCTCGACCGCATTTGTCTAAATAAATAAATTTATCTTTTTTTCTGCCTCTCGATTCTCTTTGATTCGTTATTTTGTACGCGCGCGAAGAGATGCGCATCGAGAGACATTTGCGAACTTAAACTAAAATCACTTATCTGATACTTAATGTCGTAGATACCCTTATCGAGATCGAGATAATCGAGATTTGGAAGAAAAAGAAAAATTATTATAATTTATCGTTGTTCGATCGGGATTTATTTTGCAGCCGATTATATATATAAAGATTTTTTGGTTTTTCTCTTTTGGACTTTTTTTTTTAAATATTTTTTATTATGTTCAATTTTTATAATCGCACAAATCGAAATAGCTTCCTTTTTTCATCTTCATATCCGGATCGATCTTCATCACATCTCCATCTTCACTATTTCTTCCTTGTCGATTATCTCAAAGTCACTGTCGCCAGCGTTGCTCTCGTCGCTGCTGACCGTGCTTATCTTCTTCGCGTCGAAGGCCTCCTCCTCCGAGGACGAGGACGAGCTCTTCTCAAAGTGGCCGCTCTGAAACTTGATGTCGTCCTCGCCCTCGGCCTCGTTTTCGCCAGCGCTGAGCTCCAGCTCCGACATCTCCACACCGTCCGTGCTTCCCTCTCCGTAATAGGGCAGAGTCAACATCTTCTCGTGGAAAGCCTCTATGAAGTCCTCGTCGTAAAAAGAATCTGCAAGCAACGGCGACGCCAATTAATTCTAAGTAGATTTAATTCCATTTGGAAATTATTTTATTTTAATTATTTATTTATTTTATTTAGTCTTAATATAGAATTTTATTTTTAATTATAGAATTATAGAATATTTAATTATAGAATTTTATTTTTAATTATAAATTATTTATTCTATTTCTATTTATTCTGTTTTTAATTATTTATTTATTTATTTTAAACTTTTAATTATTATTTAATTATTAGGACGATAAATAAGATAAGTATTAGGAGTAAATTTATCCCTTATAAGTTATATTTAGAAGAAATTTTTCTATATATGACATTTATTATTCGAAATGCGAGTTGAATTTTATGCCAAAGTTATATAAGTAGTGAGTTTATTGTTGTTTACCATTCTGAATATCCGACAAAACGCTCGTCGGTGTCGGTGAATGATCACCTGTATCCCCCACTCGATTTAGCACCTGAAGATTCGCCTCTGTCACCACCGGCAAAAATTCATCCCCGATCTCGCTGTCGCATTCCCATTCTGGAAAGAAGGCATAAATATAATGTATGAATTTATTCTAAAATTTATAGTAAAAAATAGGAGAGAATTCATAATAATTATAATTTTAGCACAATTACATATAAAAAATTATTTTATAATAAGTCTTAGAGATGTGCGAATCAAGATTTTCTAATTCGAATCGAATCGAATCGAATTTGCAAAAAAACAACTCTAATCGAATCAACGCGTATATAATTAAACGATAGAATTAAACGGGTTTTAAGTCTTCTTACGCGGTTCTTTGATTCGAATTCGAATTGCAGTGATTCGACGTTATCGAATCTTTCGATTTCGAACTACGTCGATTCGAATTCGAATCGATACAAATAATGCCAGATTCGATTCGAATAATTCCTACATCTCTAATAAGTCTATTTTTTATTTAAATAATATTAATTCATTGTCTTTAATTGTTATGTAAATTAATCTTGAACAATTTTCAGATACAGTGCGAAATGATTCTCTTCCAGAGAAATTCAAACGCTCTTTCTTACCTCTGTGCGACTTGAAGTATTCCGATAGTTTGTCGGAGAGTTTCAAAGGTAACCGCATAATAAGGGGGCCCAATACGATCCCCCAATATATCGATTGATGGGTCGACGAGTTGATGTGACCGAAGAGCCATAGGCCGAACGCCACGAGACAAAGGATAGCGCAGTGCTAGAATAGTACGACGATCGTAAATAACACATTCTCATAATATCTTCCTCCTTTGTAAGATTCCCCTCTTTCTTCCTTTATTTTACGGTATTGAAGAAAATCGATACAGAGAGAAAGAGAGAATTCTCATTAATAGCGTTGGAATTAAATAACTTACAAGGTCTTTTGTTTGCATGGTTCTCTATGATTACTTAGAAAAAAATCTTTCAAGTAGACTCGAATCTGGATCGAGTTTGAATATTAAAATATTTAAATTTGTCATAAGTACTCGTAAAATTCCTCACCAGTACTTAAGTACTTGTAAAATTCCTCATAAGTATTTATAAAAATATTTGTAAAATTCTTCATATTCATAAAAGTAACCCGCAAAATTCATAAATGAGTACTTATGAGGAATTTTACGAGTACTTGTATTTGTATAAAATTAAATTGTATTTGTAAAGTACGAGTATTTGTAAAATTCTTCATAAATACTTAAAAAATTCTCGTAAAATTCCTCATAAGTACTTATAAATGAGTATTTTGAAGAATGAGTATATGAAGAATTTTACAAATATTTTTATAAGTACTTATGAGGAATTTTACAAGTACTTAAGTACTGGTGAGGAATTTTACAAGTACTTATGACAAATTTTATGTTGTATATATGTGTATTGTAACAAGTAATCATAAATAAATAAACTTCTTTAATTCTAGAGTTCGAGTACTCATAAAAAATTCAATTTTTTAAATAAAAATAAAGTACTTATAAATACTATTTCAGACCTTACAAGCGTACTCGATCTAAAATTCGAATATAACTGTTCCAATATATGAGTATATTATTTAATTAGTATTATTTGATTTCTAGAAAATGAAATTCGATTATAGAACTTGACTCGGATTTTTAAGTACTCACCAATCCTGGTTGTTCGTTCCTCAACTGCCGGAGGCTTCTCCACAACCAGTGAAGTCTACTACATACTTTTCGATGTTCCCTGAAATAAATTTATAAAATTAAGATTGTTACTTTTTTTTTTTTATTTACCATCATCGACTACGTTATTTATTTTTTGTTAAATTACTAATAATTTTTATGCACAATTATTATAATAGAATTGATGTAAAATAGTCGCGGCCTATTTGCAATGCAAATTATTGAAAATGTAAAAGGCAATTAATGCGCTTCTTTGATTTGCGTGCAAACAGGTCTTTTTGACAACTCACTCCGCTGGGGCCAGACTGTCCATGAATCTGAAGGCGATTATTAATTGTATAATAAGATAAACGGTGAGAATTCTGAAGGGTATCCGGGAGGTCGGTACTCCAAGTACACCGTAAATCCTGCAACAAACACACATTGTAACTCCTATAAAAATAACAATAATCGTAAATTTCGAGATTATTTCGTTGTACAGAAAACTCGTTGAAGAGAGAGAAGAGTAAAAAAATATCAATCGTTTTGTATATATTTTTATAAATATTATACATATTTTAAATATATATTATATATTTTTATTTATTTAAAATGTAAGAGAGTCGAAAATTGTATTGAAAATATATATATATACGATCGGAAGTTATCACTGTATTTTAATTTTAAGTCTATTTTTAGTTTTTAACTATTTTGTTAAAGAGCTCCCCATCCATCTCTCTCCTTTTCTTTATCCACGTCGACACATTTCTGCGAAATTCTTTGTCCAATGATACTGATTTCCTTCTGACCTAGTTGAAAATTGAGTCTACATTTTGTAGAAGAGATTGATATTTTTTATTTTTCTTTAAATTTCAATATTTCTATACAAAATAATCGAAATTTTTATTTTAAATAAATATATAAATTTTATATGTACAGTTACGTGCAAAATAATAGCACCGGTTGAAAAAATGAGGGGAATTTGTATATTTCCTCCACCAACAAAAAGTGATTATTAAAGGATTTCCTAGTATTCGTCAGTTCGTTCAGACCATAAAAGTCAGAATTTAATCCTAGATATATACAGTCAAGACAGTTAAACATGATGGAGGAAACACAAATTCCCCTCATTTTTTCAACCGGTGGTATTATTTTGCACATAACTGTATTTATGTTACATATTTTTTAGAACAGTTCTATATTTATTTATATAATATCTTCTAATAAAAAATTTTTTTTTTAATTTGAAAAAATATAAGTAAAAATTGGAGACACAAAATAATTGAAAATAAATCCGATACAAAATGAATTGAATAAAAATTTAACGATAAATTTCGATCGTATTTTAAATAAATAAAAATATATATTTATATTACATATGTATATTTTTTTATAATAGTTCTATAATTAATATATATTTTTTTAATGAAATGAAAAAATTGTTAAAATTTTTGAAAAAGTATTGTAAATAAAATCGGCAACAAAATAGTTAAAAACTAAAATTAGACTTAAAATTAAAATATAGTAATAACTTCCGATCGTATATATATTTTCAATACAATTTTCGACTCTTACATTTTAAATAAATAAAAATATATAATATATATTTAAAATATGTATAATATATATTTTTTTATAATAGTTTTATATATATATATATATATATATTTTTTTTTTCCTAATAAAGTCAAAAATTCAAAAACTGTTAAAATTTGAAAAAATGTACGTAAAATCGGAGACACAAAATAAATGAAAATCAATCTAAAAATAGATTTAAAATTAAAATTCAACGCTAAATTTCGATCGTATATATTTCCAATAAAATCTCAAGCTATAAAAGTCTTCGGATCGACATCGAGATCTGGTACAAGGACACTTTTGGCCAAATAAGGACCACGTGCGCGCGCATTTATCTCTCTCTCTCTCTCTCAACGTGCATTATTGCGTATACCGGAAATAAAAGCCCGTGCGCGAGCTAATCAACAAAGTAAACAGGTTCTTATCAGCGATATTTTTCATCGACGACGAAGAAGTTTGAAGAGATAACGCGAGAATTACGCAAGATAGAGAGAAAGAGAGACAGCGCGGCGCGATGACACTAAATGCATAATATTGTCTGCACATGTATGTGTGTGTGTGCATCGGCGATGAAATCCCCACGAGTGCGTCCCGTTCCGGAGCCTTGACCTAGAAGGCGAAGTTACTCTCCGTGGCACACGAAACGTAAAACAGCTGTAACCAGCCAGCGGCGCGATATGACGTCACGGACGGCCGGGAGGCGCGTCAGGCAACAAATGCGAATGCTCGCGCGAGGAGACGGGAAGACGCAGCAGCGAAGCGGTGTGGCGCAATAATAAATATCGAGTAATAAACTCGCGATAACGAAAAGGAGGGACGATAGAGAAGAAAGGGCGAAGCGATCCCTTTAAACAAGCGACAAACAAAAACTCATGACGCATCGGCCAAGTTCGAAAGACGGAGAAAGAAGTCCTTCGAAAAAGGAGAATACGATTTCCTCTTTTTCTTTGTTCTCCTCGCACCTTTGATCCTCGGCCTGGATCGTTAGAACCTAACCTAACCTTGTTCTTCCTTTTTTAATATTAATTAGATATAGAACCTGGAAATGAGAATATTCCCAAGTTCCTGGAATCTAGAAAAAGTGGATCTAATAAATCTGGTACTAGGCTCCAGATATTAAATATAGAACATAAAAATGAATATTTTCAAGTTCCTAGCTCCTAAAAAAAGTGCTGGATCTAATAAACCTAGTATTAGATTCCAGGCATTAAATATAGAGCCTAGAAATAAGTATTCTCAAATTCCTATAGAGCCTAAAAAAGGTGTTGAGTCTAATAAACCTGGAATTAAGTTCCAGGCATTAAATATAGAACCTGGAAATGAAAATTTCCAAGTTCCTGGAACCTAGAAAAGCTGCTAGACCGAATAATAAACCTGGAATTAAGTTCCAGGCATTAAATATAGAACCTGGAAATGAATATTTCCAAGTTCCTAGAATCTAAAAAAGGTGCTAAGGTGCTGGATCTAATAAACTTAGTGTTATGGACTCCAGACATTAAATATAGAACCTGAAAATAAATATTCCCAAGTCCGAAGAAGCTATAACAGGTGCTGGATCTAATAAATCTGGTGCTAAATTCCAGGTATTAAATACAGAACCTGGAAATGAAGATTTCTAAGTCTCCAGAATGTAGATAAAAGTGTGTTGGATCTAATAAACCTGATACTTACTAAGTTTCAGACTGGATCCTAACAAACTATGGATCATCATAATCTATGTATCAGGTGTATCAGGAACTGTATTATAGCACCACTTATTACTACTACCATCTAACAATAAGTATCTATTGAATCTGGCCGAACGTGGAAAAGTTTCCACGAGCTCGAAGACACACACACACACAATGAAGAGGACAAACAATGAGAGCGAAGCACGCGCGCGCGCAAAGTTTGCGTCTCACCAGATCGCCACGCTGAGGACGATGATCAGGTAGACGTTGACGAAGAAGGTAAAGTCCTCCCAGAGCAGGGTCTTCTCCACGGCGCGACAGTATCGGCAGGCCTCGCTGACGCACAAAGGACGACGAGGATGGGGCTCTCCTCCTGAGGAGACCTCCTCCGGGGACAACGACGACGACGATGACGTAGACGGCGTCCGGCCGTCTCCGCCGTCCAGGTCGACGCTCCCCGTCGACGACGACGACGTCGTCGTCCTCGTCCATCCACGTCGGTACACCCGGGCGACGACGTCCCAGGCGCGACACTCCATGACCCGGCCTACGAAGGAGGGGAGTACACGATCCATGAAGACGACGACCTAGACTCGTCGAGCGTCCCCGTCGTTGGCGACGACGATGGTGGTGCTGGTGACGGCGACGGCGATGGTCGTCCAGCGTGTATCAGCTAGACACTCCTGCTCTTCCTCTTCTTCTTCGTCTTTCGAATTCTCAGCAAATCGCAGTAGACGCTACTTCGCCGAGTTACATGGCAAAAGGAGTCATCGACTCTCCCCGTCCACCCGCGAATCGGACGACAACTGCGCGTCGTAAGACGGTTTTGCGTTGGGTATTAATAGCAACGACACGACGCACAACCCGACGACGAATGCGATGAGATACCGAAAGAGAGACTCGACGAGGATCTTCCTCTTCCTCGGCCCTCGAAGGGAGAGAGAGGGAGGGTGAAAGGGAAGGGGGAAGAATAGCGCGTAGAAGCGAGACGTGTAGGGATAGGAAAAAATAGAGAAAGAGAGAAAGAAACGGAGTTTGGGACAGCTGTTCCACAAAGAACACCCCCGTCGAATTTAGGTAAGTATGCAGGTAGGTATTAGTGTATAAGCACTTTTTTAAACTAGCTGATGAATAGTTCTCACATACATACACACACACACACACAATTATATACAAAGTTCAGTTCTTTCTTCTTTCAAAAATCGCCGAGAAACGTTGAAATGACCTCGAGAACCACTCCGGCACTTTAGGGAAAGGAGAACCTGAAGATACGCGCTTTGTGCGCCGTTCTTCGTCTTCTCTTCTGTTCCTCGCGACCCGACGATGATGCGCGCGCGCGATGGAGGCCGACTGACGTATATACACGCGATCTAGTATTATTTCGCACACAAACACACAAAAGACATACATATACATCGGTGTGCCACTCTCGCTCGCTTCCTTCCTCCTTCCCCACCCTCTCGCGCAGCACCTCCCCACCCGCCCGCGCAGCACTCACCCGCCCTCCCCACCCGCCGGCGCAGCACTCACCCGCCCTCCCCACCCGCGGCGCAGCACTCGCCCGCCCTCCCCACCCGCCCGCGCAGCACTCACCCGCCCTCCCACCCTCCCGCGCAGCACTCACCCGCCCTCCCCACCCCCCTCCCTCCTACCCCCACCCTGCCGTCGCGCACCTACTCTCCTTCCCCTCCGACCCTTTTCCCGTGCGCCGTGTGTATAGAAACACGTGACGCCGCAGCGCGCACGCGAGTCGCGCTTATCGTGACGCGCCGGGAGGTGATGCGCATAAATGTGGGAGACGAAAAGGAGAGCACGAGATCGCGATCATGGAAGAGCAAAAGCTCCCTCCAGATTTTTTTAAATAAAAAAAAATATATATATATATATATTTTTAAATAAAATTATAAAAATTATAGTCTTTGGAAAAGATCTAAAAAGGAATTCTATATGAATATGTATATGAAAAGGAGGGAATTTTTATTTAAAATCTGTCCTGATCTTGGTGACGATAAGGAATTAAATCCTTTTGTTTAAAGCTATTTTAAAAAACTTACATTTCTGGGAGATATATTTCATCATCCTAGAATTTATATATATATACCCAGTGAGAAATGACTGGTCGAATCTTCATCGATTCGACAACGAATCGACGTCGATTCAACCATTATTTATCATTGAGTATAATTTAAAAAAATTTTTTTGTTAACTTGACTAAATCTTTTAATTAAATTATTTTGTTTATTGAACATATATTAGTATTTAAGTTAAATATAACGTTTAGATTTAATTTAAATATTTTTATATATGAATTAACAAAATAATATTTAGTTGAAAGATTAGTCAAGTTAACAATCTTTTTCAGTTTATTAGTATTAAAAATTTTTTTTAAACTACAAAAAGTAGCTTTTTTAAACTAATTTAACTTTTGTCTAAATATAAAATCAAAATTATAAGATATTTTATGCAATATTCCTTCTAAGATATGTTCATAAATATTAATTTTAGACAAAAAAGTTTAAGACAAAAATTAAATTGTTTCAAAGGAAGGATATTTTTATAATTAAAAATTTTTTAAATAAAAACATATATGTACAAATATAATTTTTTCATGTATCTTGTGTGTGTATACGCAATTTTGCGTAATTATTCACTTTCTCTTTTCTTTTGCTTCATCTATTGGAGAATTATCTTCCTCTTTTTTTCTCTCTTTCTCAAATAATATTATATGATTTTTCTCAGTATTTTTTAGCCGTCTATTAGCTTCTAAAGGACGAAAGAATTACATCCCGAGGATTAGGCAAAAGAAAAATAGAAAAGGACCACAGAATTAATTCTTAATTCTCTCCCTAATAAACCTTCCTTTTCAACGAATCTTCGTAAGTTCTTATATTTTTTTCCTCGTTATACTGTTTTATTTTGCCGATTGATTAAGCTTTCGATTATCATTGTTAATTAATTCTAATTTCTAGAGACGATGTGTGCATTTTTTTTGTCTTTACTGCGTCGCAACGCGATATATGCAAATTTGCACGTGTTACACATTCAAGAGAGAGAAAGAGAAGATAAAACATGAGAATCGTTAAAAAAATCGGAGAAGCTATAGATTAGAAAATTTTTATTGGATAAAAAAATTTTCCTTGCTTCTCGAACCTCAAAAGAATCTTTTGCGAGCAAAGTAAGCCTATTCTTCTCGTTTATTCCGACCGATTAATTAAATCGCTTCTCGATCGTTATTATTATCAATCCTGGAGCTACATACATGTGTGTGTATTTTTTTTATTAAACTTGTCGGTAAAAGGTAGTCGGGAATAAGCGTGTGTTTCGAAACATATTGATAAACCAGTTTGTTGTTGCCATCCGTTCTCCTTTTCTCGTGATATTTCAATTTTTCAACATGTTTTCGCAAAACATAGATTGCAGAAACATCGAATTGTAGAAGTAAACAATCATTTCTATCCACGTCGTCGTTATTTCGGAGAAATTTTTAGAGGAAAACCGAGATACGCATTATATATGTTATAATAATATATATATTATAATATATTATAATATTATTAAATTATTATAACATAATATATATTATAATATATATAATTTATATTATAATAAATCATGTTATATTATATTAATTATTATAATATAATATAATTTATATTATAATAAATCATGTTATATTATATTATATTAAATTATAATATAATATATATAAATTGTATGAAGAAAATAATATATTATATGTTAATGAACGACGATTTCCCACAAATATTTCCTCTTTCTTCTCTTTTTGTGAACATCTACTTTGTTTCTGTCCAGACATCAATCTTTATGTCTATGCGTTTTCCCCAATCTTTGGAAAGTTTCTACCTGATGTCCCTTTCTGTTACTACAGTTGCTGGTTGTCCTTTATTTTTTATTTTTTTCTTAAAATATCTTTGCTGAATGAAGGTTCTTTTCAAAGGTCCGTTCAAAAAATATCCTTCGAAAATATTCTATTGTTCAGATAGATAACGTGCTATTATAAGAATCAGACACGCATGGGCACAAAAACAAACTTGTTTGAAAATTTACATCCTTTTTGAGCGGTCAGACCTTCCTTTAAATCATCTTCAACAGATAAAATAAATTTTTTTGTTAATCGATTTGCTAAACATAATTCAAAGGAGAGACCGATCGAAACGTTCAAATTAAACCAAGATCTTAAAACGAGTTTTTCGTCATCCCATTTCTTTTATATTAACTGCTTTTCTACCTGTTTTTTATATTTTACTGTCAGCTTTAGAATTATCTTGTGGATGAGTTTTCATTTATATAACTTCTTGGAAAAATATTACAATCCCCCTCCCCTTTTTCACGTCATTTGCTTAATTGTATGAAAAATAAAATGTAAAGTTCGCAGTAGTAAATCATATACGTAGTATATACTAGTAAATAGATGAGTCACATCAGGAAATTTAAATATCTCTCTCTCTCTCACCTTTTGTTCTACAGATACAACAACAAAGCGCAATTTAAACCTAAAGATGTTTATAACGTTTCGTTAAATATCTCTTCATTCTAAATTTCAAGATAATCCAGATAAAAATCCTTAAGGTTGCCAGTAATAATTAATAAAAATCTTTCCTCAATGGTAAAAGTCGACCAAAATGGCAATCATTTATTGTAGATAATTAGTTAAAATACAACGTTTGTATTTTAACTAATTATCTACAATAAATGATTGCCAGTTTGGTCGACTTTTACCATTGAGGAAAGATTTTTTTTCAAGATAATGTCGCATGCTTGAATTCCTGTTAGTGCACATCATATATATATATATATATATATAATATATATTTTATATATGGGATATTTTATATATATATATATATATATATTATATATATATAATTTTATAAATATATATAAAATATTTAAAAAAAAAAATATATATATATATATATATATGTATAATACTATCTATGTTGCACACTAATGAAATATTAATGACATGCCATACAATTTAATTCCGAAAGGAATATTTTTCAACGGAATCAACTAATTTACATACATATCTAATATGTGGAAGGAGAAAGAAGACGCACGAAAGATACTTCAATTATGGAAGAATCCTATATTTCGCTCTCCCTCCGATATCTATGCATCATGACACATCATCACGTGATCCACATCAGATAATAACTGTATGTTGTTAATCTTGCCACGAAGACTCGACTTTTCCTCGTGCGTCCTCTTTTCTTACTTGACTTTTACAAAATAACGATGACATGCGGATGATAGATTTTTCGGATAGTGTTTCAGGAAAGACGAAAAGTAGCAACGCTTACTAACACATCGTCTTTATTAGTCCTCGCCTAAGGCTTAAAATCTAATAATATAGTCTATCGAGTTTCGAGAACAATTTGCGCGAAGTAACGTCGATTACAATTAATTCACGTTAGAATCGAGCTAGTATAAAAAAGAAAGAAAGGACAGATAGTGCGATTAATAACGATATGCGGTTACAGCGCTTGTAAAATTGTCAAAAGAGATAAAAAAGATTTTTTTGGAAATAAACGACGTAATATCTGTGTCGTTCAGTCCCTTTTTTTACAATCCAGAAAAGTAAAATAAAAAAACGCGACTTATTTACTCTCTCTTTCTTTCTCCCTTCTGTCAGAAATTATTGATATTTTTATATATATTTTATATAATATATATTTCTGAATCCTCGTGACTTCTCTTGCTAGAAATATCGCGTAACCGATTAGATAACACTCTTTTGGTATTACATAATATATCTATTGCATGTATATACAGGGTGTCCGGTAACTAACGGACCAATGATACAAATGGATTCTTTGGTCAATTTGGGAACGATTTTTCCTTAGCGAAAATGTCAAAAAAGGTCATCATTTTTTACAACTTTTCAATATTTTCATTATGTATCTTTATAACTAAGCCTCAAATTAAAAATTTTATTATAGTAAACTCTACCTAAAATTAATGAAGAATGTAATTATATTAGACTTTTAACTCCAAAACGTTTAGTTTTCAAAAAACCCATTTTTTCAATCGCTTATAACTCGAAAATTATCGACTTCTCAACATTTTTGCTAAGGAAAAATCGTCTCCAAATTAGCCAGAGGATCCGTCCTTAATCATTGGTCCGTTAGTTACCGGACACCCTGTATATATATATATATATATTTACGAAATAGTACGCGATAATCGTGCAATTATCGTCACCACGTTATCGTTAAAACAAACACGGGGGTTAAAACTTAACTTACATATATCCGAGTCGCGGGCAGTACTTTATACATTTATACAAATTTTCCTATAAACATTTTCGAGTCTCTTTAGTCGCGCGAAAAAGAAATAAAAAAAAGAACGCGCTTAAGTAGATCAATAAAACAATTATAAGGGCGCTCTGCACGATGCTGCCTTTGACGCTCGTCGCTGGCTTCTTTTATCGCCAGCTTTTCGCTCTTCCAAAACGAATTTCTGGCTGACGAAGTTGAAGTTGGACATGTTTAACTTCAGCGCAGCATTAATCAGCGAGTTCGCTGACGAATTAAGAAGCTTGCTCAAAACGAATAAAAGCAGCGTCATGTAAAGCACTCTTTACATTACAGAAGATTCATGCAGATAAATGCATTGTCAAATTTTTCTCGTAAGGATTATACAGGGTGTATCTAAATAAGTGCGAAAAATTCTAGATGATTTTTGTCGAAAATTAAGGAAGGTTTCTTACATAAACATATACTTTTATATCTCTCCTGAGGAGTTCTAAAGAGAGAGGTAAAAATTCAGTTATCTTTTTCTCAGATTTCAGACAAATAAAAATTGAAACGAAAAATATCCAAATATCTTCCAAGTTTCATTTTTTAATTCGTCTAAAATTTGAGAAAAAATAAAATTTTTAGCTCCCTTATTTAGATACGTCCTGTATATCTTCATGCGGATTGCACTAAAAAATATATATATATATATATATGTATAAAATTTTCGACAGTCATTCGTTTTCGGAAGAGTGAAGCCTTTTTTTCTGTCATGATATACAAAATGCAACGTAATATGTGCGAAATATAATTCAGAAATAGATCCAGTATTTGATATTTCGTTTTTTTCCGAATTACACGATCTTTCTAACAATTCCTTATAAATCTATTATAATCAACTAGAATATTTACATTTTCTATCTCATGTAGAATTTGTTAACCAATGACTCATAGATGTTACAGTGTCTCATTGTGACTCACTTTAATTTACTGTTTTTAAAATAAGGCGTCGAAGCCTATAATAATTTGTAGTTTACCCTCTAATCCTTATCTGTGAAGCGATAACAGAAAGTAAATTATAAGGAAGTGACAAATGTGTGCTTAATAGCCGGTGACTGAGAAACAACGTAGAATAAAATCATGTATCCTTCACTTGCTATTTTTTCTCTTCTGGATCCATTCTTAATTATGTTATCGTATATATTAAGCACTCTTTGTATTTGCGCGTATTACTTAAGAAATGCGGTAATGAAGATAATTGAGAGTCGATTGCGAAGAATACCATCGGTCGTGACATTAAAAAGGCACTTGAACGTTAAATATAGCTTAAAACTAGCCTGTCTTCCTTAAACCACGATCGCGATACCGATAAAATATTAACGTTATAATTTTTTTTTAAAACAAATGACGCACGCGCGTCCTAGTGCAGTCTATGTTAATGGCAGTATTTTTAAGTTTTTTCTTTACAAATATCTCAACAAAATATAGAGTATATATCGTATTTAAATATTAGTTCCTTTAAATAATTATGTATACGCTAAAATACGTTAGATCTAGATCTGTTACGCCGTCTAGAGTTACTGTCCCTTTACGTAATTACTCAAGATCTTGCTGTGTGAACTTGAGAGACGAGACGCAGTTGACACTCGCAAATCGCTGCGCAATTCTCTTTTCAAAATCCTTTTCATGTTGAATTATTTTCCAGCATAAGTCGGATTCTTGAACGTCGAAGTCGCTTGCTTGTAGATCGGATTCTCCCCCTACAAAAGCAATGAGGAAAAGATTATTAAAATAATTAACGTACAATAAATCGGAAAATTTCTCTATACTCAATTATATAATATAAAATTTATATATATATATTTATATATTTCAATGATTAATCTAGGCCTTTTATTAAATAAAAACATTAGATATTTAATATAATATATATTTTATATTAATATTAATTTGGATATATAGATATAAATATATTAATTATATATAATTATATAATATAATACTATAAACATAATATATTAATAAAAATAATATATATATATATATTATATATAATTATATTATATATTATATATAATAAAATATAAAATTTTCTGTCCATCACTTATATGATTTTATATCCTTGTATAATACTCGCGCTTCGAGCAATAAAAATTGGAAAACAAAGAGAAAAGCAATTGATAAAAAAAATCCTGATAAATTGTGATACACGACTGATAGATAGTCGAGTCGTACCGTGTCCCACTTGGCCATCATTCTCTCTTTCTCGAATCGAGCGAACTCCCGTCTGTCGTGTAATCGTCGTGAGCAGCTTCCACAGAAGGAGCAGAGCCAGACCGACGAGAACCACTGCCGCGATCACGCCCAGCACGATCCCGAGCATGTAGACTGGGGCGGGCACTCGCGCTCGTTCTGTGCGCGCACCTGGAGGCAGTTGGTCTCGTTGTAGTAGTAAACGAAGTTGTACTTGCAATCGTCCTCGTCCGTGCCGAAGCACGGCACCTCGTCGTTGTCCACGTCGACGATCACCGTCTCCACGCCCTCGGGCACGAATTCCTTGCAGTTCTTGGCGCACTCCTCCGCATCGCTGTAGTTCCCGGTGCCGTACATTTGGCACTGCACGCAGGGTTTCAGCTCCTCGCATCGGCTCGGGCAAGTCGGGCACTTGTTGCAGTGCTTCCCGGAGTATCGAGTGTTGCCCTCCTCGTGACAGATGCACTCCCCGCACACGCAGTCGCCCTGAGGGACAAAGGAGATATATTAATAAAGACGATATATAAAAACTCGCACATTAACTACATTACATACGAAATAAAAAATATATATTAGATATTTAATAATATACATTTAATATATTAAACTATTTGATTATATATAAATACATATCATTAAACATATTGATATATAAAATTAGATATGTAATATATAATATATTAATATATATATATATATATATATATATAGATATATATACACACTAATCTATACATATTAACAATATTAATATATTAAAAATATATTAATATATTAAAGTTATTTTGGGAGAAAAAACAAGTATGATTTTCTTGCACTCACATGACCCGAGCATAGTACACCATTAGTAGTTCCTGGGGCGATGCAGGAATCGTTGGAGGATCTGCAGTTGCAGGATGGTCCCGTCCAACCAGCGTTGCAGACACACTGTCCGCATTCGCAGGTACCGTGATCGGAGCAGAGCTTACCCTGATCACGATCGCAGGAGAAGTTGTCGCACTCGCAAAAGTGTCCCGATATTATCTGCAGGAATAAATAAATTTGTAAACGTTCAACGAATAAATATCATAAGAGCATAATCATTCCATTTTATCTCATTTTATTTACTTATCCATTCTAAATTTCATCTTATTGTTATCATCATCATCGTCCAAAATTAAATCGTGTAATTTAAAATATTGCTTATAAGAGAAAAAATTAATTAAATTAAAATAAATGAAAATAAACCCTCGATGCAACTAAAATAATCGTAAATACACAGGTGAAATAAGTGAGAAGAAAAAAAATAATCGCCATAAAAAGTGATATATATAGGAAAATAAAATGACAACCTCTTTCGTATTGTCTCGTTCCTCGCACTCGCATTGACCACAGGCGCAGGTTCCGCGACCCGAGCAGTCCACGAGAGAGGTGTTGTCTGGTCGACACGACTGAAAGTGCTTGTCGAAACCGGTGAGTTCCTGATGGGGGCTACACTCGCAGCGCTTGCCGAAGAATCCGTCGTAGCACTCGCAGACGCCGCACTTCAGGGTGCCCACGCCGTTGCACTCGGATGACTTCTCCTCGTACATGTGGCCCTGGCGCTCGCACTCGCAGTCGCACAACATCTCTAGGTTCACCGTCAGAGTCTCGTTTATACCGACCTGAAGAAAATGATGAAATTTGTGATTATTGCTCAGATAACAAGCATACGTCATTTTGACATTAAATGATGTCATTTTGACGTCAAATGACGTCATTTTGACGTTGAATGACGTCTATTAAACGTCCTGTAGAAGCATAAATTATGAAACTTGTAATTATTGTCCAGATAACAAGCATACGTCATTTGACATCAAATGACATCATTTTGACGTCGAATGATGTCTATTAAACATCAATATGATGTCATTAAACAACCTGGAGAAACATAAACGATGAAACTTATAATTATATTGCCTAGATAACAAGCATACGCCATTTTGACGTTTAATGACGTCAGTTTGCTACTTGAGTCGATATTTAAGTACTTCCTTACCGGATAAATGTCAAACTTTTGCTTCCACTCCGACCTGTTGGCCGGACAGCTGGTGACTTCGATCTCGGCGATAAACTCCACCTTCGTACCGACTTTCAGTCCGTCGCATTTCGACGTCTCGACCGCCGGGCCGGTGCCCAGGCAGCTGGAGAAGTACTTGACCTTGATGGCGCTGCTAGCCGTGTCCTTCATCTCCACCGAGCTCGAGATGGCGTCGTATTGCTCGCGGATTAGTTCTACGACGTTACTAGAGTCGTCGGAGAGTTTGCCGGCGAAAGAACCCTCCACGTGCTTTGTGAGTCTCTTGTAAACGTTGATCTGTTCCTCGGTGACCGCCCATATGATGTTTATGGCGTTCTGCTTCACCTTCAGATTGATCTGCGAGATGCTCGGGTAATCCTGCAGGGACGAATGGGTGTACGTGCCCCTGGTGTCCAGGTGGCACAGGCCGTCGTTCGGCTTGATGATACCACCCAGCTTGCCGTCACCCGCGTAATGGAAACCAGCGTCAGTCGAGAACACCAGTAATCGACGAGCCTTTTCGCGCCAGCCTATCTGATTCCGGCAAACTATCGCTTGCATGATCGCGTCGAAGCCTCCTTCCGGTGCGTCCAGGTTGCCGGATACAGACGCGTTACGCACCAATCCCTGTAAACGAGGATGTTTGTCTAAAAGAAGCCGTCGAAGATTCTACATCAAGGATAACTGAAGGAGTATTCTCTGAGGGAGGATAGTCCTTCAGTAGAATTAAAATATACATTTTTTTTCTACTGTCAGAATTTTTAAATATATATTTATATATTTTTCTGTACCGCAAAATTGCTCGTGTCCTGAGAGAGCCTCATGATGTTTTTGTATCCGTAAGGCGCCGCGCAGCCGTCGCATGGTTCGATGAGTCTGAAATTAAAAATAAGCCGATGAATATTGACACACAAACACACCTACCTGTATATATACATCTACAGTTCATTTCACTTACGATTTTGGCACAGTATTAACATATGGCATTACGACCTTGTCGACAAAGCTACCAAAACCTAAACGGAAGTTGCTCGTGATCTTGCTCATGCTCTCTACCAATAATTGGCCCAGGTCGGACAACTTCTTCTTGTCGTCCTCCATAGATTTGCTCAGGTCCATAAGATAGTAGAGATCAACAGGATAATCCTCTGCTTGGGAGTATGCAAAGGACATTCTATAAGCTTCATCTGAAACCAATTACATCATAAGTGAAATAAAAATCACAATTGTAATTTTTATTTAATAATTAAACAAAAAGACTCTGGGTATATAAATACAAATTAATTTATATATATAAAAAAATATATTTTAAATACAAATTATATAAAAAAATTAAAATAAAAAACATATAAATATAAATTGTACAATAAATTCAAATATACAAATAAATATGTAAATTAATAACATAATATATAAATAATTATATGTAAAATGAGAACTAAAACATAAATAAATTATGAAATTAACTGAAGAATGAATGAAATTAACTAAAGAAAATTGGAAAATAAGTTTTATTGCGCCTGGCTCTTATTAGCCTACTTCCTGAATTAGTTTTTATTCAATACTAACAACTTACTTATTCTAAGTTTCAAATTGACCTCTTGAGGCCACATTTGCACAGCCTCCTGTCTTCTACTACCGCCACTGCTCGAACTCTCCTTATGGAAATGCGAGGAGGATGAACTGGAAGACGAGAAATTGGAGTATGAGCTCTCGATGCTGTCGTATCCTCCTGCTGCACCACTGCCACCAGCAGTATAACCACCCTTTGTTAAGTTACGGTGTCGCAGCATGCTGAAGACATTGTCAGGATTCCACGTGTACTCAGGAGGACACGTGGCAAATATCTTAGTATTGATATTTGGAAGGAAGCACCTTTTCTCGGAGAATTTCTGTAAATTTTATTCAAAAGTATGAAATAAATGTCAAGAAAAACATCTATTCTTTTATTTATCAGTGTAAAAACTTAGTGCAGAGGACAGACAACAAAAAATTTAGAATCAGATTGATATGGATACTTACCGGTGCTGCGCACCATGCGCAGTGTGGAGTCTGTATACATTCATGGCATGTCTGTTTACTGATACAAGGATTCATGCCGGTCAATCTCTCTGGAGGAGGAAAATTGGCTTGAACCAGCGAAGCTAACAGGCCCGCCACTAGTATAATAGCCCGCACAAGCCATCTTGAGCTGCCGCACATTCTGCAAAGTTACAGAAGACCCAGATATATCTCTCAATCCACTAGACAAATATATATCCCTCAAGTATTAAAACTCTCATAAAATATTAACATTCTTACACATAAAACACAAAAATAAATAACGAAAAAAAATTTCTTCACAAACTGATCAATGATAACAACACAGAGCGTCAAGATACAGAAGAGCAGCTGAGAAAGTGATGAAGTTAGAAATAGCTTAGGACCAATTAGTGTAAAATAACATATAGAGAGAAAAAAGGAATTTTCTGACGGGGAGTATCCGGAATTACACTTACAATCTCGCTGCCATTTTGAGGCGGAAAATAAAAACCGACGAAGACGAGCGAGACGACGGGTCAGTCTTCTGCAGGTTTCTCGCGCTTATTCATACGACGGCGATGCCGTCATCTTTATATTTGCCGAGCAGCATCACTCGCACCCGACTATATGACTAAAGCAGCGGAGGCGAAGCTGATAAAGCAGGCGAAAATATATATTTATATACGTATATATATTCCTCCGTAATCGCTTCTCGTTCTCTTCCCTGTGGCCTGTCTTCCCCAGATGATCAACTGAATTATTAAGTTCTACGGTGCATCACAAATGTTGTTTGGTTGATGTTTCTCCCTTCGTCGCACGGGATCACCATAAATGGCAATCCATCAAACGAAGCGTTCCCGGAGGGAGTGTTCGCAGCGCGCCTGCGTTCGCCCTTTTTGACCACGCGATGACGTCACCCGCTGCTCCAGAGGCGGACCAATCGGAGCGAAGCGCGCTTCGCTCCGATTGGTCCGCGTGAGCGCACACGTTTCTCTTGTACTTTGCAAACCAGGCTTAAGATCTAGTGACTTTTTTCAAATGTTTATGCATGTTTTTTATTAATTATTTTATATTTTTTAATGTATTATTTTATATTTTTTATAGTGTATTATTTTTTATTAATTCTTTTATATTTTTTTATTGATATTTATTTTATAATAGATTAAAAGATTTAATTGTACGTTTATTTAGTTTTAATTTAATTCTGCTCTAAAAGAAAAAAATTTTTTAATTTACAATTAGTTTTTATCTTTATTATATCTACATATGTTGATTTATATACTGTCTTAAAAGTTAAGTGTTAATAAAAGAATAAAAAAAACAGATGATAAATTATAATAAAATTATATATGTACAGACAAATACTTAATATATATAATACAAAATCATATATTGCGTTTTTTTCAAATATATTATTATGTATAATTATAATACGTAGTATTTATTGTCATAATGTTAAATTTTATTGATTTCATAACTCCTTATGGATTATGGAATCTTATGCAAGCTACTGTAGAATTCAAGTCTGATCCAAAGTACACTCTGAATGTGACAGAGATGATAAATATTTGAACTAAACAAAATTATTGTCCTACGCTAAAAGTGTGAGCATCCCACCCAGATAGCACAAGACGTCCTATGGACGTACATTTTATATCCATTTTACGTATGTACGTCCATGGACATGAAATGAACGTCCATTGTACATCCGATTTCGGACATCCATCAGTGACTAATATTTGGACGTCCACAGGATGTCCATCAAATTCTCTTACAGCACGAAATATTGCTAAAATATTGCATAAATATTTTATTTCATTGTATCATAATAAATATTGAAGCAACATTGTGCAAATATTATAAATTTAATATTTTATTGGAGACATTGCAAAATATACTATGCAATATTATCTTGTAATAGTTCCTTCATTTGCCGCTATGCGACGCAAGATTCGCTGTTCATCTCGCTATTAAATTTAGTTAAGAGAATTATAAAGCGCATGCAAAAAGTGGCTATTACAGTTAAATATGTTATAATTATTTTGATCAGTTTAACCTTTCTGATACTATCCCAACACAAAAAATTTAGATATTGAATTAATTGAAAAAATTGAACAAATAAAAATTCGGATAAATAAAATGCGAAAATAAGAAATATTCTGCAATATTTTATGATTAGTATAAAAATGAATTAATTTTGCATGTCAAATTTATTATTGCTTATAAATTTCTTCTTTATGAATTTTAAATGTCATTTTCAACGATATACATGTATAATAAAGAACCAAAATATGTTTATTAAAGATTTAAAATTTATTCATAAAAGATCCAAAATTCGTCCATTAGATCCATAATTAGTTTATATGAGACCCAAAATTCGTCCGTTAGATACATAATTTATCCATTTAAAATCCATAAATGACCAATAATGGACGACTTATGGACGTCCAGACCAGTTGCAAACGGACGTACAATGGACGTCCCTTGTACGTCCGTTGCAGGTAATCTGGACATCCGATGGATGTACACAATGTCCGACCGGACATCCGTTGTACGTACATAGGATGTACTTGTGGTTATTGGGCAGATAGCACCATGTCTAAAATGCACGCATAAGTCATCATTAAGAAATCTTTAAGACATTTTTAAGAAATCTTATGATATGATATCCCAAAGACATCTTGAAAACATCTTAAAAATGTCTTATGGGTGCATTTTGGACATGGTGCTATCTGGGATCCACACATACAGGACGGATGTAGAGATTACATATACATGATAATGACGAAAGAGACTGATGATATATTGAATCCGACACCATAATACCTGTCACTTATACTATGGAAACGGACATAAATTTTAATATAAATTTGCCAACTATTATTGTTTAACAGAATCGAATTCGACTTTGCAAATACCATTTAATGATACAAATAAATGGATCCTTCTCAACATACAACAAACTGGTAAATATATTAAATCATATATAATATTAAATTTTCTATTTCATTTTATTATGCAAAAAAATTATTGTTATATATTTTTATTGTAATGTATTTTTTCATAAAGATTGAAATCTTTTTATATTATATATTATAAACATTAATATTTTTCAAATATTCTTTCTCTCTCTGCAATATCGCTATTAAAAATTAAAAATATAAATATTAATTTCTTAATTAAAATTAATGTACACAATTCTATAAATCGCTTAATTTTTCAAAGCTTTTATTTTTCAATTTGATTACTGGCAAAAAAATTTATAATTATATTATTTTGTCAAAAATATGTATTTTTGTGTTTATCTTCATATTTTTAAAGAAATTCTCTTTTATATTTTTTAAAATAAAATAAATCATTATTATTCAATAATACTGCTTAATTTTTCTGTTATATAATTTTTTTAAACTAATTTTAATTTAATTTAATTTATATTAATTAATTTAATTTAATTTAATTTTTATGACATTTAAATAACGCACGTCACAGTGGCCATGTTTAAACCGCGCGCGTGCATTTCGTGAGTCGAAAGTTGAGTCGTTTCCGTTCTCGGCAGTTGTTTGTTATTGTTTTGCGGCTTTCGCGCGCAGTTACTCGTGGTATTATCGGAGTTTCATCATGCGGATATATCGTGGAATATAATCGCGATTGGATATTAGAAATGTCGCGATCGAGTGTTGTAAGTGTCGCAAATGTCGAAGGAATAGAAATTAATTGATCTGTAATTACTGTCGCGACGTTATAATCTTAATTATGATACGATGTTGCAGTTGCGGAGTAGATGCGAGTTACTTGTCTCATCGTATCCGAGATATAATTTCAAATCATTTGAGAGTAAATATCGTGTTTCCGAATAAATGCGTGTTGTGTAGCATCGGGAATGTCGAAAAAATATATCGGGCGATTATCGTATTATACATTAATATCGTTTTCGCGTCGATAGTGCGACAAATTCGTCAAGTAAACTCCGCGCGACCGTAGTGACGACTTTTCGCGTCGGTAGTGCGACAGTTCCGCCAAGTAAACTCCGCGTGACCATCCGCGGTACAGTTTGTCGCGGCAGTAATTCAGTAATGCGACAATTTCGTCAAGTGAACATGTCCGCAATCCACAATTATTATTAAAGTGAGTTATTAATTATTAATAGTATTGAGAATAAATATCGCCTATATAAATATTCTTGTAATTCTTATAATATAGGAAATGCCAAGAAAAGTAAAATATAAAGATTCTTTATTAATTGTATATATAATTTAATATATACATTGTGTAAAAGTATATACATATATATAAAATATATATTTACGATATTTTATTTATTTATAAAAATAAGTTCAGAAAATTGAAAAACATTTTTATTCTTTATTATATATTGAATATATATATTTATTGAAAATATGTATATATCTATATTTATATTGAATAAAATTTACTTTTTCAATATATAATTATATTTATATACTTTTATAATTTAAAAATCTGTAATTATTTTTCAAAAATCAAGTTTTGTGGGATAAAAACTTTTTTTAATAAGAAGTACTTTTTGATATCAGATAGAGAAATAAACATATTAATAAACACACACAAATAAGTTAATTAATAATTTACTGAATTTATAATATTTATATGTTATATATATAAAAATATCATATAGATAATATTATACGCATGATTAATTTACTAAATAATATGTTTATTTCTAAATTTAAAAACTCTAGCATTTACATATATACATAGTTTGATATATATATATATATATATTATAATGTATTTTTTTATTTATTTATTAATGTATTTTTAAAATTAAAATATATAATCTGAAGTAATATATATATGAAATTGCGCACATTATTACATTTTTAAATATAACATGAAGAGAAAATGAACATATCACACACAGTTACAAATTATATATATCCAATAGATTTGCTCTTAAATTTCTTGGCTTTTTATATTTAATTAAAGAATAAAATCCATATACATATATATATATATATATATATATATATATATATATATATAATATGCAAATCTCGTGTAGTTATAAACTTTCTATATATGTTTCTATATGTAATTCAATTATGCTTTTTTATGATATATATATTTTAGATGTATAAAATTGCATCTCTTTCTTACAACATGCAATAATTGCACAGAATTATTATATATATAATACTTTTATTATTAAGTAAGCGCTTTTTTATTTAAAATTTTAAATGAATGAATGATATATATTTGAGAAAAAATAGTTTTAATAATATTGAACGATATAAAAGAGAGAGAAATGTATAAATAATAAATAAAAATAATATATTCCAATAAAAGATAATATTTTGTTAACATACATATATTATTTAAATAATATTATTTAATATTATTTAAATAAAAAAATAATAAATAAATAAATTTATTATCATACTTTTTCATAGCTAATAATAAATATACTTACGCAAAAATACGAACAGAGAAAATTATATAAAGGATTTTTTTTGTGCTGGAGAATTGCTTCGGCACAATGCTGCCACTACAAAGAAGTAAACAGTCGCTGCATATAATCGATATTATCGTCGTGGAAAAATATAATGTACGCAATATGTTGTGTTTACAATTTTGATTAAATCGTGTGTGCACGAACTTGTCATTTTATCGTGAGACGACGCCGGAATCTTTTCAGTGAGTATTTATATCGTTTGTCAATTAACAGACTTATATAATGAACACAAGATATATATTTGATGAGAAGTGTCGTTGCACGTGAACACGTTGCTCAAAGAGGTTATATTTCGCAGCTAGGGAGAAATTGTGCCTTTAGGTTACGCATATATTTTTGTTTATCGAACATTTATATATATATATAATCAATCAATGACAAAGTTTATTCTTTTATAATTTATCTGCAAAAATCATTTTGTTATACATATATATAGATATTATTTTATTTATATTTCTTTTTTTATCTCTTTAATATACATATATCTTATTTATTGAATAAAATTCATATTATATAAGATTTTATACAATAGACATAAAAAATTTTATTGCAAAATTTTATTCAAATTTAAAAGAAAAGTATATGTTATATTCTTAATAAGGTATAAAATAAAACAACATTATATGCTTTGTTTTATATTAATATTTATTATGTTATTTGTGTGAAGATAAGGCATATAAATCGAAGACCTAGCGAAAATTGCAAAACCTCTTTGTTGATAAATAATGTAGTTACTCTTATCACTGACGAGGTACCTCGTCGGTGCTCTTATTGTATATATTTACTGCATGACTAGCATGACATCACTGCGAATTTTATACTTCTCGATCATTCTTATAGATGGCGCAAAAATGCAGTTTTTATTAAAAGTTTCTCGTTTATATTCTAAAGCTTTTATTATTTACGCATCATTTCTCTGAGTGGAATTATTATTTTCTTGAATTAATTTTATGTGTCATAATCGATAAGTTTTCTTTTATTCTGAACGACGAAGAAACTATATAAATCTTTCGTTTTTTTAAGAGGAAGACCGATTTATCGTCGTGTATGTAAGTTTATATGATTTTAAATGGGTAAAATTTTAAACTGTGTATTATTGCCAATCATTTATAAAAACGCGTGAGAAATTTAAAACGCAAAAAGAGCGACATTATATATATTTATTCTTTATTTCTGAAATATATTTTTATCTCTTGCATCTAAAACAAATATATATTTTTTATACTGAAAAAAATTGTTAACTTGACTAAATCTTATTTCAACTAAATTGCTATTTTGTTCATTGAACATTTATATATATATATGGTATATATATATATATTAGTATTTAAGTCAAATATGTACTTCTTTTCAGATTTAGTGTTATATTTAATTTAAATATATATTTTTATATGTTTAATTAATAAAATAATATTTAGTTGAAAGGTTTAGTCAAGTTAACAAATTTTGTTTCAGAGTAGGAAGATTAAAAAAATTTTTTTATTTTACGTTTATATATTTTTATTAGCATTTCGGGATAAATAAATAAATAAATAAATAAGCTGCACATCGGGAGATTTTCTCATGATATAGTTTTTATTATTACATTAGCATTATTATATGTATATAATTATATTGTATATATATATATATATATGTATATGTATCTTTTGTTTGCGCGAGGTACATTATTTGTTGATATTCGCGCGCCCTAAAAGAGAGCGTTCTTTTTGTTTTCTCGTTCGATTTTCGAGTCTCTCTCTCTCTCAAGGAATCGCGAATTCGAAAAAATACGAATCGACACGACACAGTTCGATACCATTCGATACCCAAATGGCAAGCGTACGCCATTTTGACATCAAATGACGTCATGACGCCATTAAACGTCAAAATGACGTCTTTAAACATCAAAATGGCGTCGATGGCGCCATTAAACGTCAAAATGACATCGATGACATTATTAAACGTCAAAATGACGTCGCTGGCGCCACTAAACGTCAAAACGATGTCATTTTGATGTTCAGTGACGTCAGTTTGCTACTTGGGACGTTTTGACACGCATAAGAAAAATAAAAGGATAATACACACAACACACGAAAAGAGCTAGAGTTAGCGTTAAATAAATAAACAAACGAGACAAAAAATGAGGCGACTTCTGTCTTCGAAGAGAGACAGATTCGCTGCGATTTGGCGATTCATAAATAACGAAGGAACGCGGGCGCCTTTTTTCCTTGACCTCCAGCGATGCGCATCGATCCCAAGTAGAACAGAAAATCAAAATAATATCATTTTGACGTCATTGATCAAATTTGGAGTTCAAATTTGATCAATGACGTCAAAATAATATTATTTTGATTTTTTGTTCTACTTGGGCGATTTCATCATGAAATAATCCTCTATCATCGGTATGACTACCTAGCTAAAGAGCTAATAGTAAATTACTAATAAAGTGGAACATTAAATAAAATAATTAATTCGCGCAAACGCGACGATATCGCAAGGAAGAATCTGGCGCAAGCGTTCTTTCAGCTTAAGTAATACTAATAATAATGATATAATAATGGTAGTAATAAATATATATGTATATATATTATTATTAGACGAGACCTTATATCGCGATAGCTTTGTCCAAGTTCGATCGAGCTTTTAGTCGCCTACGATTTTTCCCAGATCTCGTATTTACTCGTAAAAATGTTGCTCTACTCTCTTATAAATCTTGAAACAATTAATGTATTATAAATATATGACTCACTAAAAATGCATCTTATAATATCATATGAGATAAATTTGCAATAACATATTTTGTTACAAAGAAATATCTTAATTTTTGAATAATAATCTTGCTCATTTTTTTATCGCATCTCAAGAGCAATACAATGCATAATATCTATAATTTTGAATATAAATATAATTAAAAATTTTTGAATTCTTAGTTATGTGCGTGATTTTTCTAAAAAAAATCACTTAAAAATAAATAAGAAAAATGTTAAAAAGTATTAATTTTTTAATGAAGCCTACATCTTATAATCATTGTAAAAAATATGTAAAATTACATAAAAAATAAGTGTAAAATTACACAATAATTAATGAAAATGTGTATATATATATATATATATATATATATTCATTATTTATAGTGTGATTTTACATTTATTATTTATGTAATTTTACATATTTCGATGTAATATAAGTATTCTATATTTTTTATAGTGAGATACAAGATGAAGGAGCGCATAATGTGATTGATTTTTGGGTTTTCATTGATTCAATTTAAGAGAGTACACTTCGATACCCTACTTTTCTCGTGAAAATCTCCGCGTAAGCGCGTTAAATTTGTGCAAAATAAAATTTCTCTTTGCGTCGCGAGTGTATATTTTTATAGCCGTGCGAGCGAGGAGAGTTTTTTCTTTTCCGTAATCTGCCTTTTTTATTCCTTAATCTCACGTCTTTCTTTTACCCTAAGCCCTGCGTACAATAGAAAAAAATATTAGGAACAAATATTAAATAAATAGGAATTATTTTTTCAAAAATCGAAAAACTGATATACAAATACAAATTCAGGTATAAAGTGCTCTTACTGGTTTATTAGCCTTTATTAATCCTTTATACCCAAATTTGTATTTTTATATCAGCGTCTTTTCGATTTTATTACATATTTTAAAATAATTCTTATTCCTAATATTTTTATAATATTTATTCCTAATATTTTTTTCTACTGTGCGCAGAGCCTTAATTTTCTCACAAATATATATTTTCGTTTACAACAAAATATTTACTATTTTGTTAGACCAGAAATGATAATTGCTAAATACTAATTGACCAATTATTTAATTGACACCATGTTTCTGAAAACGCATCTTGTAATTTTTTTTTATAAAATAAAGGAGAAAAAAGATTTCATATTCGTTTCTCCATCGACAAGATATTATTAAATAAAAGTCCGATTATTTGGAGTCTGCCAATCATAAATTGTAATATTGTATATTTTTGTTCGCGACCCTGTTATTAAAATTCTTAGGAACCGAAATAACGTAACTATATAATCCAAAGTTAATAAATTATCATCTTATGTGCTTAGATATTCATCTTCTCTTTCGCAAGATTATGTGCTTCTATATACATATACATATATCTTTTCTCTATATACATACATATATCGATCTGGTTTAGATCGAAATTAGCGATTTTTAAGACTTGCACATTGTTTTCTTCATCGAAAATGCGGAAATGCAAATATTGCAAAGAAAATTTAGGAGATCTTTCGTAAGCTAATCTTAATATTATTCAAGACGCGTCAACATCTGATAAGAACACACAAACCATTTATTTTCATAAATTGTGTTTATTTTCAGAAGCCTCCAATTTTTCCAGATATTTTTTCAAATATAATACAACAACGTTTACTATTTTCCGATCAAAAATGAAATGGCCAATTATTTAATTGACGCTATCGATGTAATTTTACAAAGAAATTTAAGTGTGTGCGTGTGCATATATGTGAAATTTTTTTCATTTTTAATATCCAAATACAATCTTATTTTCAATATAACTATAACTTTGTTAGAATTTTTCAGCTTTACCTAAATCTTTGCAACATTTCTACAACTATCAATATTTGCTACAATATATAATTGAAATGTTTTTCATCGAGTGTAGATATTTTTATAAACGATTTCACGCATCTACTTTGAAATTAATTGTTTCGTGATGGAAATTATATAATATATAATTGCATTAATTTTTCAATTAAAACTTTTTTTGGAACCAAGCATTGCTTTTCTTCACTTTTGTTTAATAGTATCTCGTCGATGGTTTCGATATCCCGATAGTTTTGGTGAACAGCCGTTGTCAGACAATCCAGGAACAAGAAATGGAAAATATTCATCAATAAGGAATATTATTCCCTGTTCCTATATTAAATTTTCTATCCCCTATTACTTGAAATTGTGTAAGAACCTTAAGGGAATGCTGACTAGGTCTGTTTTATCGACAAATATTTTATTTTAATTCTTTTATTGGTTTTACAGAATGAAAAATCATTTTCTAGAATTAAAGTATTTATAATAACAAATCTGGATTACTATATGTGTATTTAAAAAGAAACCAAGAAAGTTAAATATAATTATAATTTTCTTATCGCTTAGGTTAGATTGACCCAATGTAAAAGACCGATAGAAAAATTGTAATTATTTAACTTTCTTGTTTTTTTTATTTACATATGTAGTAGTTCAGCTTTGTTATTTTAAATACTTTAATTCTAATAAAGAATTTTTCATTTTGTTTATAGCCAATAAAGAATTAAATGAAAATAATAGCATCCCCTTAAGGTGATCCTAAAGTCGTTCTGTTTTATTGACAAAACGATCATTTTTTCTGCACGTCTTTCTCTTTATTGGTCGAATAAAATAATAAATACTGTTCCACGATTAAAGTACATCGAAAAATGAAACCCGGATTTATCGATTTTATGTTAAAAAGAGAAAAAAATTTAGTTATTTTGTTTTCGAATAAACTGATCGTTTTGTTGGTACAAGACACCTTTAGGATCTTTTTAGCATCCGCGGACGGTCTTGATATTTCGAATATATTTTTTTCTCACATATGCCACATTATTTCGATAATTCGCTGTAAACGGACTTGATGATGATCGACGTTTGCTAATTCGGAAGCACCTGTCGAGCTCTTTTTTTCTTGTCTCGTTCGCGAGATTTTATGTCATGCCGCGCCGGTAAAATTCACGTATATACATATACATATATAACGCAAAAAGATCCACGTGTGTGACATGTAATACTGGTAATCACTGTCCCGAAGAGATAGCAAGGAGGAGCAACGATCTCTTTTTTTCATACATTATTTTTTACAACATTTCACCTGTCTGTTTTCATCAACTTTCGGAAAATTCGAATCGTTGAATATTTCATCTATTTGTCCTCTGGATTTACCTGGACAGATACGCGATAGACAGCAAGATTTTAGAGGCGGCAAATTTTCTCCGAAATATTTTTTTATTATATATGAAAAATATATATTTTATTTATTTATTTTTTCAATTTGAACCTGAACATTTATTATTAACATCGCGATGCATTGATATAGGCAGCAGATATGGCTCGTCCTTGCTATTTTCTTCACTTTGAATTTTCAATTGACCGTAACAAGCTGTGTTTTATTGATCTTTTACTTAAATGTTTCTTTAAAGAAGCACAATGAGGTCTCCCTTGGCTCCTCGCTGCGCTCGCCGGCCGTTTCCAACATCTCGCGACTGCCTCCTTTATGCCATTTACGGGAACTTATTTCGATTGCCTCTTACGTCCCATGTTGCAGATCTTGAAGTGGCACAGGGACATGTCTGAAACATAAATCACGCGCATTAGTCGTCATAGCTCATTGTCAGTTTCGCAGTTGCTTTTTCCTTATTGTTATTTAGTAATGATCGAGACATCTCGCGGATGCTTTGACTAGGGTGTATAATCCCGGGAAAAACCTGGAATTCTCAGGGAATTTTTTTCTACCTTGAAAAATCCTGGAATACTCAAAGAATTTATTTTGAACTCAGGGCATTTTTTAAAAAATTGCTCCTTTGATTTTATTTTCAAATATACCTTTAATTAATTAGGTTTATATATAGTATATTAAAATATATTTTATTATAAAATATTATATTATTATATTGAAAAATATTTTATCTATGTTAAAAATCATGTATAATAAAAATAAACTTAATTTAAAATTGTATTTAAAATTTTTTTAAATACTTTAATTTTAAAAACTCCATATTCATCTCGACTAAGAGCCAAACGCGATGTTATTGCGACAAATTAAGATAAGAAAATTTTTGGAAACTGAGGAATTTGAATCCTATGGTTGGGATCTCAGAAATTCCCCTTGTTCCTTCTCTAAACATCCCCTGTAAGAAAAGATGAGAAAAATATTGGTCCGAAAGTCGGCTGACTTTAATTTTACTTAGAATTTTGAACAAAAGTACCTGGAAAATCATGAAATTTATTTATAAGATTTGAGTATACACCCTGTTTGACGTAAGAAATTTAAATAAAAAATGCAATAATTAAGAGAATATGCCGGATTAGTTCTGTTTTATCGATTGAAAAGTGAGGTTAGATCAAAATATTTTTATTTCTTAATTTATATTTTGATTGGCTATACAGATTGATAAATCCTTTTTCACAATTAAAGTATTAATATTAACAAATCGCGCTAGCTTATAATTTCAGGTAATAAACAATTTGTATAGCCAATAAATAGATTTATAGTCGAATCTAACCTCATTTTTCGATCGATAACACGAAACTATTTCGACAGCCTCTTAATGCTATTAATAATGATTAAATAATTACAGATATTACATCGTATAAAAATGAATACAGATACATCCAATAAATATGTCCTTTTAATAATATATTTTCTAGTCCATTTTGAAAATGATATTTCTTCAGTGAGAATATCAAAGCATTGATAACTTTTGTACATCGAAAAATTTAATTAATTCAAATTAATTTAATGAATTTGAATAAATATTTTATTTCAATACTGCTTTATAAATAATTTATTTGAAATTAATAATATTGATTTGATGTGAAAAATATTTATTTGATACAAGAAAAGCCTTTTCAAAACAGATAAATATTTATTTATTTCAAATGATTTATAAGGCAGTATTGAAATAAAATATTTATTAATTTAATAATTTTTTTAGTGTATAAATTAAACTTTATGGATTTTGAAGATTTTTTTTAACAAAACTTTTTTTCAATTTTTCTCATTCTTAGGTAAAATTTATTTTAATAGTGATTTAATTTATTGTAAAAAAATTATAAAGATTTAATTAATTATAAAGGAAAAATATAAATAATTGCCCTCGACATTTTTGCTAAGGAAAAGTCAACTCTAAATTCGCCAGAAAATCTAAACGATGTTTTTAGAACACCTTATTTATAGAAATAAATTTATGTAATCTCTTGATTATTTCGACGCTATCAATCGCTAAAATTACATGAGCATTTAATTTTAGAGAAATTGCCTAAAATTCTTTCGAGTGCAATTAACTAACGCAGATTTCACAAATAAAGATGAAATAAAGAAATTAAATATAAAAAACCATTTAAAAAATAAAGAAATAAAATTGTGGAAAAAAATTCGAAAAAATTTAAAATAATGTGCGATATTCCAGAGATGGGTTTCTGAACCGTTCCAAGAATCAATCAGACACATTTAATGCGTCACTTGCCAATTGCTCCAATCAATTGTCATCGATAACGATCGCCTTCGAACAGTCGCAGATTCGTACACGCGTGTCCGAGAAGTTATTCGTATAAGATTACAGTAAATATATGATCGATAGAAAGAGAGAGGATCATTTTTTTCTCTTTCCAAATGTCCCGCAAAATTGCTGAAGAAACGGAAGGAAGGAGGATTCTGTGTGAAAAAATTTTCTTAAATGTATGTGATTAAATTTTTTTCATCCTTAGTTAGGGATCCGGTAATTAAGTAAACCCAGTAAAAGACGAGAACGGCTGGCTTTTTATTTTAACGACTGAGGATTTTACGCGGAAATCCGTGAAATATCTCGAATATATGAATATTAATTAAAAACTCGTGTCAGAGGATATTTTAATTTTTTTTATGCAAAAGATCGTCGTTATGCACAAGCTCGATTGCAATTGAGATTATGATCGATGATTTCAGGTTGACCAATCAAAGCAAAGCAGGCATTTCTAATCTGTATTGCAATAATAGGTATTATTTAATCCTTCTATTTTTTTATCTTAATTAAAATGTTGATGCGCATTTTGCACTCATCTACTTGTTTATTTTTAAGAAACTTGCAAACTTGCATATATTATATGTGCAAAAAGGATTATTATAAATAAATCCTAAATTTATTATTTTTTTTAGAAGAGGGAGGGATATTTTTCTATTTTTCTCAGCGAGATGTCTCGAGGGACAAACTCTCGTTTCACGTAGAATTTGAAACAATATAAATGGCGATATTCTTCTCTCTCGGAGGAAATCGACGAGAAAAATATTTTGGGGAGGGAAAGACAGGCGATATAAAATAAAAAAAATTGTTAACTTGACTAAACCTTTCGACTAAATTACTATTTTGTTAATTACACAAACATATATTACTATTTAAATAAAATATATGTTTCATTAGATTTAATATTTAATTTAAATTAATTTATATTTTATATTTAATTGGGATATTACTATATGTGTATAAATTATATACAGGGTGTCCCATTTTAATGTCTCACCCCAAATAAGTTTTTTTATTTTTGATTGTAGAAAAAAATATTTCAGGACAAAAGTTGTATGATTTCGAGGAGGTGGTGCCATTAGTTTGACCTTGAATAGTTGCTTGAGGGTCATGTGAAGGTCACCTTTAATTTCTTAAATGGAACCACCTACTTTTCATTACAAATTCTTGTAGTTGACATCGAGAGCTTTCCAAAACACTATAATGAAACATTTTTAGCACTCAAATACTTTTCGAGTTGACAAGATCTCCTCACTTCAAGGTGACCTTTACATGCATGACCTTCAAGCAACTATTCAAGATCAAACTAATGCATCACCTTATGTCCTCCTCGAAATCACACAATTTTTGTCTGAAACAATTTTCCTACAATCAAAAATAAAAAAAACTTATTTAGGGTGGGACATTAAAATGGGACACTCTGTATTATATTTAATTTAAATATTTAAAATGTAATATTTAATTTAAATTAAATATTTATATTTTAGTTATATTTACTTTAAATATTTGTATATACATATATTCAATTAACAAAACATAACATTTAGTCGCTCAATTTAGATGGAGCAACCGAATATTTTTTTAGTATAATACTCACAACTAACTGCATTTACGCCGTGTCGTTTGCTGGGGTGCTGCTCGTGGTGAATCATAGCGGCCGGAATCGGCAGCGGTTCCGAATCCTCGAAGGGATAATCCGGGGGATGGGCCGCGTTCGCGCGCTCTCGCGCCTTCGCCTCCAGCATCGCCTGGATCCCGATCTGCTCGTCGGTGATCTCTCGCTCGTCCGCGATCTCCTGCTCGATGTGCGCGTCCACGCGGTGCTTCTTCTCCGCCAGGATCCTCAGGCGATTCATCAACGCCTGAAGGCGACGCGAGAAATTCGTATATAGAGATAAGCGTAATTTTATTCACTTTTTTTCTTATTTTTATTTTTATCAACAATCAGCGATGAGACTGCGCGCTAAGATAATCGGAAAAAAGTATCTTCGGAGACGATAAAGTGAGTTTATCTGTTTTATTAGCTTCTTTTCATCCTCGCGCTCGTTATTAACATATTTTAGAGTTGTGTGACATATTTACAGCATTGCACTTGTTAATACGATATTGTAATATTGCGTTATTAATATTGATCAGGGTTGGGTAAGTTAATGATTTTTTAAAACTAAGTTAAGTTAAAGTTAGTTGCTTATTTAATTAATTTAGTTGAGATTACATTTTAACTGAAGTTAAATCAAAATCATTAATTTTTAAAAACATTTATTTATATTAAATTAGAATTTTGTTTGTTAATTCTTTTAAAATTTATAAGAACAAATAATAAAGAAATTTTGATTTTTAAATAGAAATATATTTTTTGGTAATTACAGTTGATGACAAATGAATATAAAAATTAATAATACTTTAATTTTAAAATAATATGTTTATAACTTATAAAAAAAGACCGTAATGATATTTAGAGATAAAAAAAATTAAATTTGGAAAAAAAATTAATAAGTTTAAGGTCAAAAATAACTAGTTGAAGTTAAAAATTAATAAATTTTAAATTAACTAAGTTAAGTTAAAAATTATTAACATTTTACTCTTTTTTAAATTTTGAACTAATTAATTAATTAATTAATTACTATTACTCAACCCTGACATTTATATACCAATAAATTGTGATTAGCTGCCTTCAGATTAACGAACAGATTTTGAATAATCTAAGAGTTTATATAATATATTATATTTATTAATATATCGTTTATATACAGGGTGTTTCTAAATAAGTGCGAAAAATTATATCCCTCCCTGAGGAGTCACATTTCTTCAAAAGGAGAGGTGAAAATTAGGTTTTTATTTTTTCTAGGAAAGGATTGATTTTACGAAAAAATAAAAGAAATAAAAAAATTTCTAAAGAAATCAAACTTTCTAATGCATATTTTTAGAAACTGACATTCCGATCGGCTAAAAAGTTCTAATAAAAACTTGACTAGGGGTTGTTAGTTTCATCCCCTTACAACGATGTAGGAAGATCAAAAAAATATTAATAAATATCCTTTTTACTAATAGAAAATATCCACCAAATTTCCTTCTTTTAACTCGTCCAAAATTTAAGAAAAAAACTTAAAAATCAAATATTCAAAGAAGGATATATAAGGAAAAGTATATTTTAATGAAAAATTATTAATTTCCGACAAAGAATCATTTCCTACAATTTTTCGCACTTATTTAGAAACACTCTGTATTGCACATTTGTACTGTACTCACAGAATTTTCCACGTCGTCCACAAAATTATCGCTGTAGATGAAGCCCGGTGGTAGAGGCTCGGGTTGGGCGATCGCGAGGACCTTGCTGTTCGTGGCACAGGACGACAGGACGAACACCGCCAGCAGGAAGAAGCTTGTCCTAGCGGCGGCTCGTCGACTAACCCTTTCCGTCATTCCCTCGTATCTCGTGCTCTCTGAAAAAAATAGAAAGATTTTATGCGGTGATATAAAATAGGGATTAAGATTTTCAAATAAGACACTTGTCTGAATTAATGAAAATATTACTCGATTAAATCAGCGACAAGATTTCAGATGATTTTCATCGAAATATTAGTTTCACGTTGAAAAAATGTGTTAACCTGACTAAATCTTTGTGTATTAAATATTATTTTGTTAATTGAACTTATACAAATATTTAAATTAAATGTAACGTAATTTAAATCTAACAAAACGTATATTTGACTTAAATACTAATATATGTTTAATTAACAAAATAGTAATTTAATTCAAGTGAGTAAATCATATCAAGTTAACAAATTTGCTTTCAGTGCACTAATTGTTCTCGGTGTAATTTTATTTGCAATATACTTATTAATTGAAATTACATTATTATCAGTGATTAAACATTGATTTCTTATGACATCTTATTTAAAACAGTTTTTAAAACTTGCAATAAATGCATATCTTATTGGAGATTATTTAAAGTATTTTATCATTGTAAAAATAAAAAAAAATGATTTCTGTCAACAGTTTTTTTAAAATGGATTTTTCGTACGTTTATCTCAACTGTAATATATATATATATATATATATATATATATATATATTATAATGTATACTATAATATATACAATAATATACATTATATACTATAATATATTAAATACATAATATACATATATAATATAATAATAGTTGTAATATATAATATATAAATATGATATATGACATATAATATATAATATTAAAATTATATATACATATATTATTTAATACATTATATACTATAATAATAATACATATAAGGAAATAATGAAATATCTACATCGAGAGATTAAAAAGGCGAGATTACTGATCGAAGAAAGCAAGGAAATGTCGTTTCAAAAAATCGTAAGCGCAAAATTATGTACGTGAGAGGTACAAATGTAATAGTTGACTTTTTTCTTAAATTTGCGAATCAAGAAGACGAGAGCTACAAGAGCACAAAAGGCGAGATTCGCGATTCACATGATGCCGGTCCCCGAGGGTCATCGCGGATTATCCTTTCGCCGATAGGACGTTATCGGTATGGCGAACATATGTATATGTGTGTGCGGTGCGTATATCACGTGATAAGGAATAAAATCGTCTCGGAAAGAGGCGAGGGATCCGACGAAATTGTCGCGAGCGAAATTGCGCGATATCGAGTCACGTCTTAATAATGATAACAATAATAGCGATAATACATGCGCGATTAAGCATCGCGCGTCACGATTTAGATATAATAATAATAATATTATTATTTATAATAATACTAATAATAATAACAATATTATTATTATTAATACTATAATAATAATAATAATATTAATACTAATAATAATAATAATAATATTATTATTATTAATACTAATAATATTATATAATAATAATATTATTATTAATAATAATAAAATTATTATTAATAATAATATTAATAATAATAATAATAAAAATAAAAATAATAAAAATAATAATAATTGCAGATCGCGTGAGCTCTATGTCAAATCTCTTTGAAAGCCGTTTAACGATTATTTATAGATTCTAAATCGATCTCGTTATTAATCTCAATGTGAGCTCGTTGATGAACATCGCGACGCGTTTGCCCCTCCGTCGCAAACAAAATGATTAGAAATCAATTCGCTCGCGTTTCGACGCACAAGCCCATGTTTCAAAGATTATTGGGCACATTTGGCAGAAATAATCGGTAATTTTCTTTGATTTTTTTAGGTTGATTTAAAAATGAAAAAGGGGAGAAAATAAGATTTTGTTCGTTCAGAATTTTGCGCGATCAATTAACGAAGAAGGAAAAAGGGCGGAAACGATTGAATCAGCTGATCGGTGACACTTGTTGACAGCTCCTTTTTTCCCGATTTTATATGCAATAATTTCAAATTTTTTTATTAATACTAATAATATTATTATTATTAATACTAATAATGGATAGGGTGTACGAAGAGAGGAAAATAAAAATTCTATTTTATTTGTCGAGAATTTTACACGATTATTTAATAAAGAAGAAGAAACGACTGAAGAAGAAGAATCAGCTGATCGGTGACACTCGTTGACAGCTGTCATTTTCCCCCGAGAATTTTACGCAATAATTTCGAATTTTTTCGGTTATAATGTACGAAAAAAGGGTGAAAGAGAGGAAAACAAAAATTCTATTCGTCTTGAACTTTTAGAAGAACGAAAAAGCGAAAAACGGCGCTTCTGACTGAATCAGCTGATCGGTGACACTCGTTGACAGCTGTCATTTTCCCCCGAGAATTTTACAAGAATTTCGAATTTTTTCCGGATAGTGCACGATATTCGCGAGAGTGTAACTTACGCTGGTTCGGGAGATCGCGCTCGATTACGTCGACGGGACGACACGCGGTGGCGGAATGAGTCGCGAAGGGCTGTTGCACCCTCTATTATACCCGCGCGTCGGTTATCCCGCTTCGTCCACCCCCGTATATATCCTCGCCACCCACTCTCGAGAAACACATCGCTACCCACACCTGTCCTAGGTGCGACGAGACGAAGAGGAAGGCAGTTTCTCCGCTTGATCCCTTTTTGAGTCCTTTTCCGTACTCTTCGCTCGATGAAACGCGCGAAAGCCGTCGTTAAAGTTATTACCGCACACTCCGAAAATACTTACATCAAAATATTTTTAACATTTTTTTATTATCGAATCAGAGATGTAATATTTTTAATGTTTTTAATGGTTTTAAAAAATAATTTTTTTTTTTTTTAATTAAATACTATTCATTTTTTGTTTTGCATTATTTATTGTATGCTATTTATATGGACGAGATTTGATGTAAGATGGCTCGATTTATCGAGAATGAAAATAGTCATACGAGTCATTTCCTCCCTCTTCTTTTCATCTTATCAAGATTTTTTTTGCTCCTCCGGTATTTTATTTATCTATTAAAGTATTTTAGTAAATAAAATTATTCAGTGCAGATTATTTTGGTTACTCTATATATATTTTTATATGTATACATTTTTGTATATACATTTTTAAATAACTACAATAATTTTTTTTGTTTTTTTTAAATTTTTTAAATTATATTTTTATATTATAATATATATTTTTTATATTATATATATGCATACAATATATATATATAACATTTTATATATTTTTTATATTTATATATATTATTGTTATAGATTACATGTTTGTGTTTCACTTTATACATTTAATATAAACATTTTTTATATTTTTATAATCACAATCGAGGTTTTTTTCAAATGAAAGAAAATATTTCAAATTAATTGATAGAAGAAACTGACGTATGCAATTTTGTTTCACTCTTCAAGTATATATATATAAATATGTAAACAACAATCAATTTTAATCTCTCTAGAGATATTGATGCAGTGCAATTGTGTACGTTTAGCTTTAATGTATGAAGTCCTTTTACAAAGTATAGTTAATCTCAATCAGAGATGTGCAATATTTGAAATAGATGCATTTCAGATGGAATTAAATGTAAAATGCCTATTTTGTATTTTAAATAATTTTTTTAAAAACTTACAGTTTTATTTAAGTAATTTTTATTATCCATTTTCTATGTCAAATCTATTTTTCTCGCAAATTAAAAAACAATTGAGATATGTATTTTGTACAATGCGATGATGCAATCACGCCTTCATTCTGCTTGTATTTTTAATTATGAAAGAAAATAAGACATCTTCTTTTTAAAAAACTTATTTTTCTGAAAGTATATCTACTATCTAAAAATTATTGTAATCATTTTACAAGAATAATCGACTGAATGTCTGTAAATGTATAGACAAAATTTTTAATTCCAAATTGGAATTTATAATTTCATGTATAATTGTTCATGTAATTCAATTTTTATAATTCACACAAGTTAAATAATAAAAGAAATTAAAATTTGAATATAAAAATAATAGTATAGTTAATAATAGTTTAATAATAGTAAGAGAGGGATATAAATAATAAAGAATAAGTATATAAATAAATAAAATAAATATATAAATATTAAACAAAAATATTTTTATTTCAAAAACCATTTTAAAAATATATCTATTTTTTATTTCGTATTTTAAATGTTTATGAAGAAAACATTTTGCATTTTATTACTTTGCACATCTATGATTTCAATAATATTACATACATGTATACAGGATTTTTCTCAAAGATTTCAAAATAGTTTCTAATTTTTTGTTTTATTTAATAATAAATCTATTTTTTTGAATAAATATAATTGAGAAATAAATAAAATAACTTTTTTTATTTTAAGAAAATTCTCGGAAGAGGTTAATTTATTATTGTGTCGAATAACTATTTCAAAATATTCAAAGGACATCGTTGTTTTTTTCGCTACCAATTCGTGCTGTCCATTTTGTTTCCCCGTGGGTGTTTTTATTTATGAATGTTAAATCTGTGTCATATATGATACGTTCTCACCCATATCTCCTTGTGTGACTGGAAAATAGTTTCCATTTATACATATATTATACGGCTACACACGTCCCTTTAGTTGACTTATATTTTTATATTTTATTCTGTTAATTTATTTATATTTTTATATTCTATTCTATTACTTCATTTTTTATTATTAATTTTATTTTTTGTAGAAATAAGTAGCTTTTCATTCATTTGTAACACATGTACAAAACTAAAAAAATTATTTTTACATTTGTTCATTATTATTAATTTTTATTTTATTTCTCATAATTTAAGAATTTTAAATTTGTATCTTTTAGTAATAAATCAGAAATATCACCTCATAAACAGCTTTGTCTTCAATATTCATATTCTTGAGAACTTTAATTAATTTTTTTAACAATTCCAAAAATTATTTTATTTTATATATTTCCTTCAATTGAAATGAAACTTAATTGATTAATTATTATATTTTATAATTTTATTAGTTTCTTCAAAATTAACTTATTTTAAATGTATTTAAAAATGAATCAATTTAATAATTTAAATAATTTATTGAATTTTCAAATTCTATGTCAAATGAGATTCATCTTACAAACTCATTCGGTTTCCTTTCTTCATTTATTCTGCACCATCTATGTACTTATTTAAGCGGGTCAACTCGTTCTCCGAAATCGACCGTCATACGCGGTCTACATCAAATTTTTGCCGCGACTCAATTGCGACGCGCCAATTACACACATTAATACGATGACGAGGAAAATGACGCGCGTTTTAAGGCCGCTGATAATCTCGCGACGCAATGTAAGTGATGAAAACAACCGTGCATGCGTACCTACGCACGCGTACGTGCGTATGCATTATTTGCCGAAGATTGGAATATTTAGGGACTATATTTCCAATCGTTAATATATATATATATATATATATATATATATATATATAATCGCCATTCGTGACGTCATTAATCGCGCGCAAAAAAGACGCTCGAATCATGGATGATTGAACGTATATATGTATTGTATATACAGAGTGATTCATTTTAATCATAAAAATGTTTCAAACACAAGTTTTTAAGGAGGACATAAGACGGTATCATTAGTTTGACCTTGTATAAATTATTTGAAGGTCACGTGAAGGTCATCTTTAATTTCCTACGCCATAAGTCAAGTAAAACTTGGAAAAACATTACTATACGCTTAGAATGTTGATGGTGACCTTGACTTTGACCTAAGGGTCAAATTTAGAGGTCATTTCAAGGTCAATTTAATTTTTTAAAGTGAAACCTACTATTTTTATTGCATATTCTTATAGCTTATCTCGAGAACTTTCCGAAATACTATAATAAAGTATATTTCTCTTAAGCGCTTTTTGAGTTATTGAGGTTTGAAGTTAACAATTTTTTGACATTTTTTTTCGTATCTCCCATAGTGTTCGAAATATTTGCTCGGGATGATTAAAATGAATCACCCTGTGTATAAGTATATATTGTAACGCAAGAGAGATGAGCGAATATTTAAAATTAGATTAGAGCAATGTTCTCTCCGTTCTTGAGAGCCAATCGCGAGGCGATGATAAAGCAGCTTTTCTTATCGCGGCTTATTAGAAAGGAGAAGGAGAATTATCGAGATTCGGTGCAGATTTTTTCTCCGTTCACACTCTTTTCCCCTTCCTCTCTCCTACCCCTCCCACTGATGAAATTATTTTCGTAAGTAAGTCGCAATTTCAAGTATACGCAAAATGTGGATCAAAATATGAAAAGGAGCACGATTTATCACGCGAATAAATCGAGGAGCAAGTTTTTCCTCGAAAAAATTGAAAGAACGATTGAACAATGGATGAAAGGGTTTGTTTCTAATCTAGGATCCTTCACTAATCTGAAGTAAATTATATGTGTAATTTTATGTTTTTTTTTGAATTCCCGAAATATGTTGGTAGTATTTTTATCCTTTGATTCTCAAAGGTATAAAAATGAATTTTTTTATATTATTTTTTTCTTGATTTTTTTATATTTTTTAAAATTATTTATTTTAATTTTATTTTAAAAAATTAATTTGAATAATTAATAATCAATTATTTTATATTATTTTATATTAATACGGTTAGTAATACAATTTTGTTTCAATTAATTATTTGTATTACAATTGTTCTTTTATTTTACAGAATTCTTTTTAATTAAAAATTAAGATATTTTTTCAGAATTATAATTTTTAGAATTAAATGCGAGATTAATATCATGGATATAAAATTTAAAAAAGTGGTCAATTTTTTCATTGCTCATGTTATATAAATGTATAAATAAAAAATATAAGTTTATATTATAAAACTTCCAAGAAGAGTGAAAATTTGTTAAGAAAATTATTAGTAAAATTTCCTAAATAAAAGTTTATTCTTAGCTATTTTGACATTCTTAAATAATGCAAATGTATTAAAATTGTAGAGCTTCTATATTTTTTCGAAAATGTATTACTTATTAGTTTTTATCTATATTGATTTTGCCATGTTAGATTTTTCAAGTGTGTTTTTCTTAAAGTTGCTAATGAAAAAAATTATCAAATACAAAGTTAAATATTTTTAATTAAACTGTTACTAACTACGTGATAAAAAATGTGATTTTTTAAATTTTAACCACTTTTCCGGAGACGAGAATAAAAATATTATAATATTATTATATTCATCAAAGAATGTAAGATTATACGTATATAATTTATAATTTTTATGCAAAAATCTGACCCATCCTTTTTCCTTTTTCAAAAAATTGAGAATATTTTTACAAAATATCTCATAATACGTGAAATTATTTCAACACTGAATGGGAGGCACAAAAACAATGAAAAAAGTTTATATAGATATGTGACACGTAAAGGTGGGTTAGTTTTATGTTATGAAATATCTTGTATATTTTTTAATTATATAAATGTATTCTTGATCAAGATAAAGAATACATTTATAATTAAAAAGACGATTTCTTTACGAGATCATCCCACTTTACTCCAATTTTCGTTAAGATCGAGAGGAAGAGAGAGAAAGAGAGAGTGAGAGAGACAGGAATCCTATTTAAAGCATCTCTATGATATTCCGAGGATTAGTGCATACTCGAATCTAATGAAAGCTTAATAAGAGATTATTGATATACACGTATTATCGCATACGATCTTGGTATTACAGTAAATTGCGTCATACATAGGTCTGTCTTTGGCATTTCGACATTCCAGAAATCAATATGTTAACATCTCCAATGCAAAATTTAAGATGCTCAAATTTCTTCGTTGAGACAAGAAGTGTCCTAGATAAGAATTTGCATACTTTTCTAATATTTTTTCAAATATTTTCAGGGTTAGGTAATAACTAGTTAAAAGTTAAAAAAAAGTTAAAAAGTTAATCATTTTTAACTTAGCTTATTGTTAGTTAATTTAAAATGTATTAATTTTTAACTTTAATTAATTATTTTTAACCTTAAATTTATTAATTTTTTTCCTAAGTTAAATTTTTTCATCTCTGAATACCATTATTGTTTTTCTTGTAAGTTATAAACGTATATTATTTTTAAATCAAAATATTATTAATTTTTATGTTCATTTGTCATAAATTGTAATTAACAAAAAATATATTTCTATATAAAAATCAAAATTTCTTTGTTATTATAAATTTTAAAAGAATTAGCAAACAAAATTCTAATTTAATATAAATAATGTTTTTAAAAATTAACTTTTGATTTAACTTCAGTTAATTTAATCTTAACTTTAACCGAGTTAATTTTTGTTCATGTAACTTTTAACTTAAATTACTTTTATAAGCAACTAACTTTAACTTAACTTAGTTTTAAAAAATCATTAACTTAGCCAACCCTGAATATCTTTATTATCATATTTTGTTTTTACGTTTCAACTCTGTAAAGTGACTAAAAAATTAAATGCTGGCTGATTGCATATATCGACACAGATAAATTTGAATAAGTCTTATCAAAATCTTAAATATAATTTGTATTTACAAATAAAAATTTTTAAATTTTTAATGAAGTCTTTCGAATTCTGAAACTCGAATTTTCTCTCGTCCTTTTACAAAAATAAATAGTTCAACAAAATAATATATTATCCTTTTTCTAATATTTTTTTATCTCTTGTGTGTGTATATATATATATATATATATATTTTTTTTTTTTTTCAAATTGAACTGTAATCAAAGATATTAATTTTTCAACGCGATATATTTTTTCGGTTCTCCAATTTTTCCTCTTACATATTAATAAAAAATTAACCTAAACGTTACACTGAAGAAATCTTTAAAAAAATCAAGGAAAAAAACCACGAATCCTGAAACCGGGTCTAATTACAGTTTTTTCCATCGCGTTGCGAGGACTTTAAATAACATCTCCCATCTACGAGCTTGATTAACGCATATCCTTACGTTATGCCGGGAATCCTGCGCCATGCGTTTGCTTTGTTTAAGGTAAATTACCTAATATCCGTGACGCGCGTGTATGTTATTTGTGAGCGATTACTGTAGCAGTTTACGCAACTACATCGTGGGTCTTCTCCGCTTCGTTCCTTTACGAACATCGCTAATCCAAAGCTCGATTACCCTTGTTAAGACATAACGCGAGTATGCCCGGATTCCTCAGTTAGGCGTATTTAAACACTGTACACACATGGCTTATTAGAATAATTCGGAGAAAGGACTTAGGGAGAGAGATCCGTTCAGAATGCTTCTGATATAGGGTGCTTTCCAGCAACGGAAAACAGTCACAGTGTCGATTTGCAGCTGAAATGCTGCTTATTTTCTTTATTTCATCGCCAGAGGGCAGGGCAGTCACTTTACGGAGCGTTTTCAAAATTTAAAGTTTTTTTGAAAGTTTGTGTTCTACTAGAAACTATGTAGAAAATAAAAATAATAAGATGTTGGGATTTATAAAGTGGCATAAAACGACACAGCATTTTAACTGTCAATTTGGATAGTTTGATTAAGTTAGGTACATATTTTTAAAATATTGTAGGTATACTTTTATCAGATTAGATTGTAAATACACTTCCCAAATAGCAAACTGACGTCATTAAACGTCAAAAGTGATGTCATTTTGACGTCTAATGATATTCGTATGATGTACATTTCCCAGGTAACAGACTACGACGTCACTAAACGTCAAAATGACGTCATTTTGACGTTTAATGACGTCCGTTTGCTACTTGGATTCTAGTATAGATTATATGTTACACACTGTCATTGCTGAAAAGCGCCCATGATCATCACATATAATGCTAATGATTCAATGCGTCTTTTAACTTTAATGATTTTGTATGAAAAAAATTATAAAATAATTATAAAATAATAATAAAATAATAATTATAAAATAAATATAAAATTATATATAAAATGTAAATAATAATTATAAAATAACTTTTTTCATCTCAACATCAGGTGAGTCATCATCATGGCGAGCGACGTCGAGGATGAAGAGCAACAGGGAGAAGAGAAACCCTTTGTTGTAGAACGCGCGAAGACTGGCCGCGCGAAATGCAAGAAATGCAAGTGCGCACTCGAGAAGGGTGAGATACGGATTGGCAAATTCGTGACCAGCTTCTTCGCGGACGGCAAACTGATGCCGGCCTGGCATCATGTGAACTGTCTATTCGAAGCGTTCGCCAAACAGCGCGCGACAACCAAGAGGATCGATGATCCTGCGGAGGATGTGAAGGGTTGGGAGCAGTTGTCCGATGACGATAAGAAGATCATCCTGGACAAGTTGGAGGAATTCGAGAAATCTTGTGAGTATTTTTGTGTCGTAGAAGGTACATTTCCTTTTTTTCGCGTTTTCGCGCAGTCGATGGGAATTAAAATATTTTTCTTACACTTGAAAGGGTTTTTTAAACAAATTTGTTATAATTCTTCTTCATCTCCGAAGCAATTTTTCTCCGAAAAAAATTCCTTCACGATTCTCTTTATTTAATATTTTATACATGTTATTCAGAGTAAAATGATTTATGAAATTTTTAAAATCAAATAAAATAGAGATTTAAATTTTGGTATTGCTCGATATTTTAGGAAACTAAATTTTAAATTATGTAATAAATATAAAATTATTAATCATAGAAAAGATATTTGGGTTTCTCTTTTATATTCGAAAAAAATTCTTTAATGACTCTACTTATTTATTTGTATTATATAATTACTAATCAGACTAAAATAATTTGATTTATAAATTAAAAGAGATATTTTAGAAAAGTAATTTAAATCAGAGATTTCTATTATTAAAAGATATTTGATCTTTTTTTTTCCGAAAAAATCCTTTAATAAAGCTATTTAAATTTATTACATTTATTTGAATTATGTATAACTGTTATTCAGAGTAAAATAATTAATTTATACATTTTTTAAATTGAATAAAAATAGATTTTCGAAAAAATAAATTTTAAATCAGATTTCTAGCTTTCCAAAATATCTTATATATCTTGAAGTTTATTAAGTTTTATTAGCTGTTTTGCAATAACGTTTTATACGTAATCCAATGTACTTTTCTTCGCATTATTTCGAAGCGTATTCGATCTGTGCGTTACACGGAGAAATCATTCAAAGGCTTTCCGGCTTTTCTTTCTGCGAGAGAAACTCGTGCGCTACTTTTAATAGATTTTCTCCCTTACGAGAGAGAAAAGCTTTACAACACGGAAAGTTCCAAAAGAGCTTGATGCTTATAAGAGAGAGATTGAGAACTCTCTCCCAGGAGGGTAAAAAAGTTTATCGATATTGGGGAAAGATTACAACGTGTTATATCGCCCGCGCATTTTTTCCTCGTAATTATTTCGTCTTCAGTACTTAAAAATATTTTCACGTTAATGTACGAATAGCAAGACGAGAAAGTTTTATCAGAAAATTATATTAGTATATAGATTTTTATTTATTTCATTATTAACATAAATTTTAGTAATAAATAATCCGTCAGAATTTTCAAAAAAAAAATAGCATATTATAAAATAAAAAAATAAATATGAACAAAAATTAAAATAAAATAAATAATATATTAAATATAGAATAAAGTAAGTAGAACAATTATATGTAGTTTTTAATTGCAAAAAAATGTATCATTTTCCAGGTCCGACGAAGATTTCAAAAAGACCGCGTCGCCGCGAAAAGCGGCCCCTTCTTCGAGTAGTACTTCGGGAAAAACGCCTGAGAAAAGGAAAAAAGAAACCGCGACGAATGACAAGGAGAGAGACAAAGAGGAAAAGAAGAAGATCTCGTCGAAGGATGACACCTTTCGCGAATTTCGACGCATTTGCAGCAATATCGCCAACGTAGACGCATACACCGACAAGACCGCGATTGTTAAGAGGATGTTCACGAAAGGATTGCAGGGAGGTGAGTACCTCTTCCAGCTTGTTATACTAATACGACAAGATCAACTATGTTATATGCGAAAATTGTCACGAATAAACGGCCGTCGAATCGAAGGAAATAAATTAAGCGCATAACTTTGGATATGTGTTAGGAAGAGCTGTATTAAATGCAAATTATTATTATAATATGGTTTACTCTAATATATTAATATATTAGAGTATTTAATATATCAATTATAATTTCCATATATTAATATATTAATAATATATTAATATATTAATTAATATATTAATTATATATATAATATTTAATATATATTAATATATTAATATATTATTAATATATTAATATATTAATTTAATATCATTTTATTCTGATATATGAAATTAATATTATAATAAATTAATATTAAATTGATATTAAATTAATCATGAGAGATAGAATTATGCGGTGAGACCAAATGTCGTTGCATATATCTTTCTTGAAGAGAAGAGAGAGAGAGAGGAGAGAGAGAGAGAGAGAGAGAGAGAGAGAGAGAGAGAGAGAGAGAGAGAGAGAGAGAGAGAGAGGAGAGAGAGGAGAGAGAGAGAGGAGAGGAGAGAGAGAGAGAGAGAGAGCAGCAGCATTCGCATTTGAATGGAGTTAATTAATTCTCTCATTAATCGAGAATGATATTTTTGCGGGGGCGTTTATTTACGATTCTGCCTGAGATTTTTCCACAATAGAAGAAAAAAGGATTCTCGTGAAAGAAAATTGCTGATACACGTTGTTTCTGATATTGCGATAATGAATCGTATTTAATGAATGGATGAATAAATGTATCCTCTTTTTCTCATCCTTTCTGAAATAATTTTATTTACAGAGGGAGATTCCTCTTTCCACGTAAAATATTTTGTCATTTTTTTCACTTGTGCGGTAATAAATTGAGTGGTCCAGCCTAAATGAAGCTATTTTCGTAGAAGTTATAATATATTACAATGAAATTCTTTCACTCTTTGGTCCTTTTAATGTGAAGAGGAGAGAGAGACAGAATATTGTCGAATTAGATCATGAAATAAAATAATCTCGAAAAATGAGCACATTTTGCAAGATATATGCACATATTTTATTCTGGTGCAAAATCATTCTGACATAAGATATGAAATATCGTAAAATATTTATTTTTTGATGACCTCATCGCAATATTTCTATAGATAAACGTATCGATTCTCGATACATTTTAAAACGATTAAAATAATATATATAAAATAATATGAAAAAAGAATTTGAGGTCTCGAAAAGAAGATATACACGTCATCGGGTCATCGACTCTTCATGTTATACGAAAATTCACAATGACGACTTCGTACAATCAATTCACTTCATAATAGAAGTTTTATATCTCACAGAGAGATGGAAAATAAACATTTTATAAAAATTCGTATAATGAATATATCTAGATAAAAGGTATAAAATTATATGGCGTTTCATCTAGATAATTTTCAGGTAATATTATTTTTAAGACTGCTTAAGTAAACGGTTATAAAAAAAATTGGAAATTATAAAAGGGATATAAAAATATATTCATATTTTTATCTATAAGTTTTTATCGCTTACTGTTTAAGTTCTACTATTTAAGTATTTTTATGTGCTATAACTTTAAATCAAATTATCTGAATATATTATTCTAAATAATTTAGTAAGGATTCCACTTTTTTCATCTAAGATGCAGATATAGATAGTACATATTTTTATTATTTATATAAAGATAAGATGACGCCAAAGTTTCATCTAGATGATCATCTATATAATTTTATTTAACATTTTATTTAAATTTTAGACTGTTTGCGATACTTCTTCAAGGCGGTGATCGAGTTGTCCGTCATATTTTCGGGACTTATCGTGAGATAATTCGACCGGAAACCGGAGTTTGCAGCTTATAATCCGATAACAATATCGTATTATTTTTAGACAATCGTCGATTGCTCGGTCGGAATCACGTATAAAACACGATAGACGCCTCCTTCCAGTCAGGGTTAGCTTAGGTTCGGGTTCCTTGAAATCGAAGACGATATTCTTATATTGCTTATAAAGATTCGAGTAATTAATTTAGAAATGTTTATCATGAAAATCTTCCTCCATTTTAAAGTCGACCAGACTGGCAATAATTTATTTAAAAAAAATTTTAGTTAAATAAAACGTTTCGGCTGTCATTGCAGCCCTATAGTTCAAAATTTTTGAAATCAAATAGTAACATTTTCGTAACAAAAGCAGATAAGGGCCAGGTCACAGTATTGATGAATCGGACTGACTATGTGGGTAAAATGAATTGTTTACTGAAAGATGTTTCCACCTATAAATCACTTAATAAAATCCATTAAACGCTCTCAACGCAAAGATCACGACCTTATTAAAATCTTGGTTGGATAATGGACTCATAGATGATTCGGTTTACAAACAATTGAGATGTACTAATGGCAATTTGCCTCGTGCTTATGGTTTACCTAAGATCCATAAAGTAGGTTACCCTTTCGTATCATAATTTCAACGTTAGGAAGTCCGGTTTATTACATTGCATCTTATTTAAGTGAGATTTTGCAAAATGCAGTCAATAAACCTCGATCTCACATTAAGGATAGTTGGTCCTTTGTTGAAATTATTAAGGATAAAAACATTGATGACGATCATGTCATGATTTCGTTGGATGTGACTTCGCTTTTTACTAACACACCGTGGGAATTAATAAAAGCAGCAATAGAAAATCGTTGGGATGATATCTCACAATTTACTTCATTTAACATGGCACAGTTTTTACATGCTATTGACACGGTTATGCGCTCGACTAGTTTTGTTTTTGATGGAAAATTTTACGAGCAGGTTTTCGGTTCGCCTATGGGGTCTCCTTTGTCTCCAATTTTGTCTGATATGGTTATGGACGATTTGGAATCATATTGTTTGCGTCAATTGGATTTTGAGCCCTATTGTTATTTCAGATATGTTGATGACATTTTTTCAATTATTCCGAAATGTAAAGTGGAGGATATGCTTACGATTTTTAATAGCTTTCACACTCGACTAAGGTTTACGTTTGAATTGGAGAACAATTGTTCCTTAAGTTTTTTAGACACAAACGTTATACGAGTTAATGGCAAATTGACGACTGACTGGTTCCGTAAGCCTACGTTTTCAGGCCGTTATATAAATTTTCTTTCGAACCATCCGATGCGTTATAAAATTAGTGTGATCACAAGCCTCGTGGACAGGGCTATTTACTCGCGGACCCTATGTTTCACGAGAAAAACATCATCTTAGTCAAACGAATTCTTCGTAACAATTGTTACCCGTCAACAGTCATAAACAAAATTATTAACAGGAGACTTAGGGCGATTAAATTTGGCGGTAATTTTGGTGCGTCTAATCGAGATAAATTTGATACACGAAATGCTATAGCGTTGCCGTATATTAGAGGTTTGAGCGAAAATATTACTCGTTGCATAAACAAAATGGAATCGGTGTATTATATACCGTTCCTAAAAATTAGACACATTGATAAAAAGAGGAAAAGATAGTATTGACAACTTAAAAAGAACCGATGTCGTTTATAAGATCGAATGCGCGAACTGTGACTCTACATATATTGGACAAACAAAGCGACATTTAGAAACACGTATTAAGGAACATAAAAATAACATCAAAAAAGACACGACATCACACTCAGTTGTTAGTTTGCATCGGACTTGCAACGATCATGAGTTCCGTTGGGATTCTCCTGTGATTCTGCATCAAGAAAAACAAACCAGAAAAAGAGAAATAGCAGAAATGTTCTATATAAAAAACCAAAGAAAGAGCATTAATTTACAAAAAGATACGGAGAATTTCAGTGGGATTTATGATCGCGTTCTTGAAGCTATTTAATATATTATATTGTCATATGTTACATATTTATTTATTTATTTATTTATTTATTTGACTTTGTATTGACTTTTTAAAAAATTGCGAAAGACACAGTACTCTGGTTTTCTATTTTCTCAACGCGTTAGTGACTAAGTTTTCTGCTAACAGTCAACATCTATTTTTTCGTGCTCACTTCTGTCTGTTACACATTGTTCAACAAAACAATGGTTAATTTTGTCGGGGGTTTGCTGTAAATTTGATTTATTGTATTAATCTGGTACGTAAACATATATATTTTTGTAAATTTATAATTATTTGTATGATTAAGCGCATTAAGAGTATATTTATATGTATATAATTGTTCATAGATTACTTGAAAAGGGCTGCAATGACAGCCGAAACGTTGTAATTTAACTAAAATTTTTTAAATAAATTATTGCCAGTCTGGTCGACTTTAAAATTGGAGGAGAGATTTTCATATTTATTACTGGCGACTGTTAAGGATTATCATTTAGTTTATCATGAAATATTAGAAATAAATATTAGGAATAAATATTCCCTATAAAAATGATAATAACGCGAAGAATAACAGGATTATAAATTTATTTCTATTTCTTTACATCGATTCTCTTTTTATTAAAGTTACAAATAAACACAGGATTGGGTAATAACTAGTTAATTAGTAAAAGTTAATAACTTTTAACTTAGCTTTGTTAATTTAAAATGTATTAATTTTTAACTTCAACTAGTTATTTTTGACCGTAAACTTATTAACTTTTTCCTAAATTAAATTTTTTTAATCTCTGAATCTATCATTATTATTTTTTATAAGTTATAAACGTACTATTTTTAAATTAAAGTATTATTAATTTTTATGTTTATTTGTCATCAATTGTAATTATAAAAAAAATATATTTCTATATAAAAATCAAAATTTTTTTGTTATTTGTTATTATAAATTTTTAAAGAATTAACAAACCAAATTCTAATTTAATATAAATAATGTTTTTAAAAATTAACTTTTGATTTAACTTCAGTTAATTTTATCCTAATTTAACTTTAACTGAGTTAATTTTTCATTCATGCATTTTAAAAATTTTATAAGCAACAAACTTTAACTTATATATAATTTAGTTTAAAAAAATTAATATCTTATCTAACCCTGCAAATGAATATAAGAATGAGAACAGACGATATACAATAGAATCAACTGTTTTGTATGTGAATTGTGTTGAAATTTGAGAGTAGTTATAATGTTATAAAGGCCAATTTTTCCAAGGTTAATGATCTGTTTTAAACAATCGGGGTGTATCACGGTTGACTGATAAATCACACATTGCTCAAAATTTGTTTTGGCAGCATTTAAGATACCCGTGGACAGATATTAAAAACAAAATGTTAACACATTGTATTTTATTGTTTATTATTTGAGTACGATGATATATTCAAATTTTAAATTACATTTTTTTATTGATATCGAAAGGCAAAAGAAGAATGATAAATTCTTTCTCTCTCTTTCTTTGATAAAACTGAAGCATATGCAGAGGGAATAAAGAGAAGAAATATTTATTTCACTTTCTCTTGAGGGAAATTTTTTAAACATAAAAAGAAGAGTAGCATCGTTGAAGAAGAAAGAGTGACGCATTTAAAAAATCGAAAGCATTTCAAAATATCGAGCATATTTCAATTTCAACAAAGTTCCACTTTGTGCAAAATTATCCCAGTTGCTTCATCTATATCGTAACAAAAGGTTGCTTCCCGAAGACAAAGATGAAGAATTGAAAATAAGGATCTAAGTAGCAAACATTTTCACGTTAAATGATGTCAATTTGTTACCTGGGGAAGATCCACTTCGAGTAGTAAACTGACGTCATTAAACGTCAAAATGACCATTTTGACATCGAAGACGTCATTTTGACATTGAATGACGTCATTTTGACATTGAATGACGTCATTAGACGTCAAAGTGACGTCATTTTGACATATATGACATCGTTTTGACATCGAAGACGTCATTTTGACATCGAATGACGTCATTAGACGTCAAAGTGACGTCATTTTGACATATATGACATCGTTTTGACATCTATGACGTCATTTAGACATCTATGACGTCGTTTTGACATCTATGACGTCATTTTGACATCTATGACGTTCTTTGACGTCATTAAACGTCAAAGTGACATCATTTTGACATCGATTGTGTAACTTTTTCTAAAGTGAAAACATGAAAAATAAGAAATTTCCGCCAATTACGCATTGATTTTAAAATAAAAATGACGTCAATTGATGACGTCAGTTTGCTACTTGGGACGTAATTTCGATTCTTGTAGATCTGTTTTGATTTGTTGAATGAAAAAAAGGAAAATAAAGGAGAAAGATGGGAGTCTCTCTCTCTCTCTCTCTCGTTTTGTCTTTCGCGAGACAGAGGAATAAACCAGAATGAATCACGCTCTTCCTCTCTGTTGCGTCGCGTGCTACGAAGTTGAAGAGGGCGAAACGAGGGCGAGAGATGTAGAAACATGCAAACCAATCTCATCAATGGGGATATCGACACGAGACGGCGCTTTTCTCTTCTCCTCGTGTCAACACCACGACGTCTATTATCTCGTCCCCCCTTGAAGCTTCCTCTCTCTCTTTGCATTGCTTTATTTCTCATTCCATTGCGATCTTCTCGCTCATTCTCGCCTTTCTTTTTCAGTAAAACCTCTCTCTCTCTCTCTCTCGCTTTTCTCGGAGGCGAAGGGGCGAGACCCGGAGCGGCGAGTTAGTAAATATGATACCGGAATCGGATACAAGGAAACCATTAATCACACCCGAGCACTCGTGAATGGGACTCTGCCACCGCCGAGTGCCGCTAAGTGGAAGATTTTTACGGGGTTATCTTCTGGACGCGGACAAAAAAGCGGAGAAAAAAGGAGGTAGAGAGGGAGGGAGAGAATGCAAGTATCGCGAAATCTTGTAAAATACTTCAAGTTCTTCGAAGTTCGAGAAAATTGCACTGTTAGCTTCAATATATACCAAGTATTTTTATATGTATTCGCATCGTTCGTAGAATTTGCGTCCTCTCTTCCGTGTCTCTTCCGCGAATTTCATCTAGTATCTCTTGTGAGATCGTAAATTAATGAAATAAATAAAGTTTTATTCGCGGATTTAAAGAGAGAATATTTTCTCTAGTATTTCCATTCGAAAATTTAGAAACATGATTTAATAAAATAAAATTTTAATAGCTAATAAAATTTCAAACAAATGGGTATGTAATCACAAATGTGGAAACTCATTTTAGACATTGTATATTTGTAAATTTTATTTGTGAATAATTAATTTGAATTTAATTATTATATTTTTTATTCCGCTATTGAGCGCTATTTATTTAAAATTTATTAAAATTATTTTATAGGGAGAGAGAGAGAGAGAGAGAGAGAGAGAGAAAATTCTTAATTTCTCAAAATAATTTTATACACAACATACACAAAAATTCATTAATTCCTTTGTATTCTTTTCTATTTTCTGAAGAACTATTGAAAGTATCGACATATAAATCTTTTTTAAATTTCATCAAATAAGTTTTTCATACTATTGAAAAAAGTTAATTTATTGTAAGGAAATATTTAATTTTAAAGGAAACACTGATTAAATATATATATATATATATATATATTATATATTTTCATACACTAATATATGTATGACTTTTATATTAAAAATGTGAAATTTAAAATAAAATAAAAATTTAAACAAAAATTTGTATTACTATCTTCAATTTCAGTTAATTGTAAGTACTTATAGGAAAAGAGTAAGTACGTAGAAAATAATTAAAATAAAACACCCTATATATACCTTTTTTGATGAGATAGTTGCCGGAGGAAGGTCGCGCTCTCTTATCAAATGAAATAATGAAGACTTATGGGGATGATGATGCATAATATAAGTAATGAACGATTAAAATACGCGTATGGAGTGCGAACTAATGAATGATATATAAATAATGAACGATTAAAATGTGCGAATGGAGTGCGAACTAATGAATGATATGTGAATACGAATTGTAATTCGACACTGAAAAAAAATTTATTAAATTTGAATAAATATTTATTTCAATACTGCCTTATGAATCATTTATTTGAAACTAATAATATTGATTTGATGCGAAAAAATATTTATTTGATATAAGAAAATTCTTTTTAAAACAGATAAATATTTGTTTCAAATCAATAATTTATAAGGCAGTATTAAAATAAATATTTAGAAAATTTAATAATTTTTTTTTGGAGGAACAAATTTAATAAAAATCAATTCTTCAATTCTGAACAGCACAACGAGGAACACACACAGTTGCAATATTATAAGACAATTATTTGTAGAAAATGAATTTGACGAGATGTACCCAATTCAATATGGACAGTTTAGAAGTTATAATTAGGTATAAGGTTTGGAATTATTCGAAAGATATTTTTATAACTGATAAAGTAGTATTGGATAATGATTATAATGTACTGAAGACGCAATGTGGTACCTTTTTGCTCTTTAAGTGCGAAAATGATTGATTCCTAATGAATGAAGATATAACCCTACATTAGTTTGAGGGTCTAATAATTGGGGTTACTACAATAATCTCAGTAATTTTATCAATATATGATGCTGAGAGCTCCAGTTTAATTTTTCAGTTCAGTTCTGAAGCATTAATGGACATTTTTACTTTAATTATGTAATTTCCTAACTTAACGAATGATTTCTTCTTTTTCTTAGCCAAGTATCTTAACCAAGGACCAAGTTTACTATCATTTGGATTTTTCTAAACTAAGTTCAAAAATTAAACTGGAGCTCTCTCTCTCTCTCTCTCTCTCTGTATCATATTGATAAAATTACTAAATACCACAACTATTTGACACCAAATTAATGTATGGGTTATATCTTTATTCATTAGGAATCAATCATCTTTGCACATAAAGAACAAGAGGGTACCACATTGTATCTTTAGCACACTATAATCATCATCTGATACTATGTTATCAATATTAAAGAATATTTTCCAAATAATTCCAAACTTTCTACACAATTCTAACTTCTGAACACTGTGCAAACAATCCACGTTGAATTGGGTACCTCATGATGGTTCACAAATTTTCATTCCTTTTCAATAATCGTCTCCAACTCGGACTTTCGCTGAAAGGCTACTCACCGTCGCTTTTGCAAGGAGGGGTCGTGAAGATTCTCTTCTTTTCTGGATCTCGTTGGGGCTAAAAATTCCTGTCTCCTCTCGAATTTGGATCCTCCGGCCGGGTTGTTCCGCGGAGCACAGCACGAAAGAATCGTAGAAGACAACCAGTCGCCTTATATAAGTCTGTCCTTATGTACGATTACACTTTAAGTCATCGCCGGAGCGACGATACTTCCAAGTGCAAGATACTTCGCCGATGAACGGATATCTTCGCGTACCTTTCTTTCCCTTATTACAATATATATGTATATCAGGAGACTTATTACAATATAAGTATATATTTTCTTCAAATTCAATCTATATATATATATATATGTATACACACTTCGCGACAATCGCTCGGTTTTGCGAACTATCGATTCTCGGCCTAGCACGACTAGGCCTTCGTGGTCTTATAAACTCTCGGATGGGTGTCCCCACCTCTCTAATCGCGCGAGAGGAGCCTCTTCTTGCGTTGCGACGAGCCCCTTCTCGCCTTAGCCAGCTTGGCTCCAGCTGACTATCTGGCTTCTCCCCTCCCTCTCTTTCTTTCTTTCTTTTCGGTCTCTTCTCTTCATCTCCCGATTCTCTCTGTCTTCTCGCGGAGGTTCTCGCTGTTTCGCTTCTTTTTGTTGTCGGCAGAGCTGAATGATCGCGTTTTTCGCGCTCCGGCGCAATTACGATGTAATATAGATATTATATACGATGTTACGATATTGCGATATTATTACGACATTTTCATCTCGTGACTGAGAGGAAGATGGGAGAATTGTTGTGTGTGTATATATCGCGCGATTTATCGGAGCGATGCGAAGATTTCGATATTTATTCCGTATCGTTTTTTTTTTTTTTTTTATAGGAATGTTTTATCGTATCGGAAAATATCGCGCGAGAAGAGCGTTGAGAAATGAAAAATAATATATATCTGTTTAAAAAAATTATCAGAACTTATTTATACTCGCAATCTTATATCATGTAAAATCTTTGTCTTTTTTCTCTACCAAAACTGATGATGTCGCAAACGTCAGTTTTATATACATATCAAATTTAATTCTTTTATTAAAGATTGCTTGAAAATAAAATGCAGCATGATTGATTACAATATAAATAAATAAATAAATAAATAAATATATATATATATATATATATATATAAATATTGTGTTGATTTCATATGATGACAACCATATTAGAAATACAATTATTCAGGGCAATTATTTATTAGGATACAACATTTTTAAATTTTAAATCAAAGCATTCTTCAATAATAATAGAATTAAAATATATATATATATATATATATAAACAAAAAAAATTTTTTTTTATCGATCTTTTAATCAGGATTGTCATTGCTCTAGATTCTCTCGATTTTGCCCCGAAAAAATTTAAACATATAATATATTCTTTTTTTAAGAAAATTATCAGTATTTATGTAAGTGAAATGTACTTTTTTTAAAACAATATCATATCGTAAAATCTGTCTTTTTTTAATCAAAAACTAATAATGTCAGGAAGTCGCAGAAAACTAATGAAAAATGCAAGTTTTACACATACTATAAAAGTCAATTCCTTTATTACTTAAAAAAACTGTTTGCTATATAATAAAAAAATATTAAATCAACAAATATTTATTTCAATGTTGCCTCATGAATCATTTATTTGAAACAAATAAATATTTATCTGTTTTGGAAAGAATTTCTCTTATATATATCGAATAAATATTTTTTCATCAAATCAATATTATTAGTTTAAAATAAATGATTTATAAGGCAGAATATTAAAATAAATATTTATTTGAATTCAATAAATGTTTTTCAGTGTACAATATTAAGAATATTGTATTTAATAAAATGTAGCATGCTGTACATATTTATTTTTTTTGTTGGTTTCACACAATTATATCAAAAATACAAATATTCAAGATAACAATTGTACATTCTTATAATAAAAGAACTAAATAATATATTGCATATATATTTAAAGATTCCTATATATTAAAATTATATATATTTAAAAATTCAAGAAAGAGAATTTTGCATATTTTTGTGATATTTTAATTAAGCTTGACCTCTTCAGAATTTTTCGGAGTCTGTAAATTTGAAAAAAGGATCTGCAGATTCGCAAAAATTATTATTTATTATATAAAATTATTTTTTTCTCATTTTTTAGGAAAAATGATATTACACTTCAGAGAACACAAATTAAAAAAAATATATATATAGATTTCTTTTCCGTTTTGAAGAAACGATCGAAAAGTATGACAGCGATTCGGAATTAACTTCACGATGAGGAGATGAGACACGAACCGATTTATTTTCCGCTCGACGTATTCATGAACGCAAACGCGACCTGACGCAATCACGGCTGCGAAGAAATCATCGTGTGTGAGAAAAAAAAGGAGGGTTCTCCCATATCGCGCGGAATAGGAGAGGCGATAATTCGCGCCTTTCGATGATCCGATGATTATCGCGATAAAACAATTTAATGATGGTGTCGAATCGTGGACTAATTAATCAACTCGGCGCCTACGCGATCGTAATCATCATCAATTTAATATATATAAGGTGTTAAAAGAAGGGTAAAATATTTTAAGGAGATTTAGTATGTCCAAAAATAAGTTAAAAAGCTTTAATAAATGTGGGTCCGCAAATAAATATTTTAATTTTTTTTATATATTTTTGTATTTTTATAATTTTTTTTTTGTTTTAAATTTTTATTTTTATTATTTTTTTATATTTTATTTATTTTATATATTTTATGTGAATACAAGTAAAAATTAAATTAAATTATAGATAAATTATATGAGATGCAAATATCTCAAAAATGGCCCATTTGCGGACCATTTTCATGCACTGAAAAAAATTGTTAACTTGACTAAACCGTTCAACTAAATGATATTTTGTTACTTGAATATATAAAAATATTTAAATTAAATGTAACATTAATATTATATATATTAATATATTACATATAATTTAAATATTTATATATAAACCCAGGTAGCAAGATTATTTTGACGTTTAATGACGTCAGTTTGCTATATACTTGGGGATCTAACAAAATATAATAATTAATATATATATCTAACAAAATGTGTATTTGATTTAAATACTAATATATGTCCAATTAACAAAAAATAATAATTTAATTGAAAAGTTTAATCAAGTTAACAATTTTTTTAGTGTGTTTATTAAGACTTTTCAACGTATGAACATATATATTAGTATTTAAATCAACTACACGTTTTGTTAGATTATATATTAATTATTATATTTTATATATGTTTATATATATTATTTATATGTATATTATTAAATTATATATATATATATATATATATTTTATATTATATTATATTATATTATATTATATATTATATTATTTTATATTATATTATATTATTATATATTATATATATATTTATATATTTATATATTATTTATATATTAATTATTACATTTTATTAGATTCCTAAGTATAGCAAACTGACGTCATTAAACGTCAGAATGACGTTATTTCGAAACCTATACTGAATCTTCTTAAAACATTTTATCCTTTTTCAGCACCCTGTACCCAATATTTCTCGCAATTTCTCGACACTTGGCGAAATAAGGAAGGTCTTCTCGAGGGACGGTCAGATGAAGAAGATCACTCAGAATTCCGATTTCCGGCGCGGCCCTCTATTTTTAGGCACCATTATTTACGAATCGCGTGCTCAATCATTCGCCTCTGTGTTTCGCTACTAGACAAGCGAGAGAGAGAGAGAGAAAATTTTATACGCGCATATTCAAAGATCCGGTGAAGCTCCATCAAATCAACATTATTGATAGCTCGCGATAATGGATGCCGAACCACCACGTGTGCCTTAGAGAAGCCGCACATAACGTAACTCTGTGTGATCTAATCTCGCGCCACTCTATTTTCGCCGATGATGGTGAAGAATTCCGGTTTTTGGACCGCGCAGTTCTTCGCGGTACTTCGACTAAACTTGGATCTGTCCTTATCGAGAGGGAGATACCTCATCTTTTCTTAGTACGCGCGACTCATTTTTTCAAGAAATTTTTTCATTTCAAATGTATATATTTTCGATAACTATGTATGTAGAAAGTATGTTATTTTAAAAATGATAAAAATGAAAAGTTTTATGTTTGGGTATTAACGAAGAATTATTATATAATCATAAATTGGTCGGAAAAAATTATTTTAATTGCTTCGCAGTTACAGTACTTTTCATTGTTATCGTAAAAATATATAAATACTGGAGGGGGAGCGTAAAGAAAAAAGGGTAACATTTTTGAGTACAATTGAATGTTATTATTATGTTATGGATATTATATGTAATATTATATTCGCGGTATTATATATTGAATATTATATTATATATCATTTGTTATATATATTATGTATTATGTACATATATATATATATATATATATATATATATATATATATATATATATAATTTATATATAAATATAAAATATATAATAATATATTAAGATATTAATATACATACATTAATATTAATATAATTAATTATTTAATGCAATTTTGAACATTAATAGAAATTATACAATAATAATAATTTTATTTTTGTATGTGAGGAAGACCTATGAAAATTATAAAATAATTACAGAAAATGCGATTGTTTAAGAAAATATAATCTCGTGAAATTATTATGTGCAAAATATGATTATTAGGCAAGTATATCGAGATAAGAGCGGATGTTGATGGAAGTAAAAAAGAGAAACTAACCGAATTCATAATTTTTATCATTTTTCTATTACGCAATCTTAATCTTTTTACTTTGATAGCACAGAGACATTGTGGAAAGCAGTTGATTTTTTTTCCTTTTTTCATTAACTGCTTTATCGAATATCGAATGCGTCTTTTTGACATGCGAAATATAAATTAATTGTGTAATATCCCGAATTACTGGAACACCGATTTCGAATTAAGCGATAAAAAATCTGGCACGTGGCCAGATTTTTTCTCATCTTTTTTTCTTAGTTTGCAATTAGTTTTTCTTTTTTTTTAATTAGTTAGAAAGACAAGACTCATCTCGCTTTTTACTTAATTTTTCAGCTTCTATTTAATTTTTTTCTTCGTAGATAATTAAAAAAATTTTTAAAGTTTAAAAATTAAATTTAATTAAAGTATAAAAATTAAAAAGTAAATTAAAAAATTTTTTTTTTTTTAAGAATTCATTTATTTATTTATATCGGAGAAGTTTAATTTAATTTTTTAAATTTTAATTTGAATAGAATAACTTCTTAATGAAAATATTTTTCTCCGCGTATAGACGGCTTCAAGGGCGACATCGTCCTCTGGTGCAAGTTGCTGCTGCCCGGGGCCGTGAAGAGAATCTATAATCTGCAAAGCAAACAGCTGATCAAGCTGTTCGCGCGAATATTGCTCCAGGACGAGGACGCGATGCTCGAGCATCTGGAGCAAGGTGACGTGGCCGAAACGATCAGCGTGTTCTTCGAGAACAGCACCGCCGTCTCGTCTTCCAACGCGAGCGTGTTGACGATTCAAGACGTGAGTCCGTGTAATTTTGCGAATGAAGTCGCGAATAAGACACAGGAACATCTGGCTGAACGAAAGATGTCGATAATCGGGAATTTTTTTATTAAATAATTAAGCTAGGAATTATTGAAATTTTGTAATGGATAATTTTGTGATTTGTAATTAATTTGAAAATTAATTAGTTTATTTATTAACTAATTCATTGGAGAAAATGGAGAGAAAAAAATTAAGAGGGTTCCATGATTTTTGGAATTAAATGCAAATTCATTGAAATTGAGAAAATTTTTAGGAAACTTCAGAAAATTAAGTTAATATATAGTATATAAATATTAAAATTAATTGGAATTAGTTAATCTAAATAATTATAAAGGCGACAAAGAAGCATTAACAAACATTTGTCTGAATAAAAGATTGAAATTAAAATCAAGAATTTTTATACAATAATTAAGCTAGGAATTATTTAAATTTATAGTGAACAATTTTGTAATTTGTAATTAATTTAAAAATTAATTGTACAATTAATTAGAATTGAAAAAATAGAGACAGAAAAATTAGAAAATTTGAAGGATTTTCGGAATTAAATGCAAATTAATTAAAATTTTAAAAATTTAGAAAAATTAACAAAATGAAGCTCCTAAAAATTAAATCAATTAAAATTTTCTTTTACTTAACTTAATAATTACATAAAAATCTACATTACGAATGGGAAAAATTTAAGGAGGGAACAGATGGAATTAAAATTACTTGTCGATACATTTAATTAGAATTAGGAAAGAAAATTTCAAATTAAGTCAATAATTAAATTAAAATTAATTAGAAATAATTAATCAAATAATTAAAACTTCTAATACAAATGTAAAAAAGTTGTAGATATATTGAAAAAGATCAAATTGAGATTTAAGTTAATAAACTAGACTCAAGGAAAATTTCAGATAAATTAAAATTCGTTAAAGAATAGTTAATATATAAATTATACGAATTAACTGGATAATTAATTTCGGTCGATCGAGGTCTCATGTTTATATTAATGCAAACGTCGTTTCATTCGAATAGGTTGACCTTTTTCTAGAAAGGTTGTCACATTTAACCAAGGAGGAGGAACAGATCCAGCATTTTCGATCCATCCTCGACAGGTAAGTTTGCCGATGTTTCTTATTAATTTTTTTGCATCAGGAAAAAGATTAAAAGGGAACAATTTCTCGAAATATTCATCGACGAACAAAGAAATTGTATAAATGCGATGCGCGATTATAACACGCCCAGCTTCGTTTTATTATTATTTTTATACAAAATAGCGATAATTATTTCGCAATTGTAATGAAAAGAAGAACCTCAATTATTTTCGCAATTTATCTTATTTATTCTCAATCAGTTTACAAATTGTTTTGCCATATATGTTAATTTTTTTCAAATATAAGAAAAAATAATAAAATAAAAATATAATAACGATATTAAAATAATAATAAAATATTAAAATAAAATAGTAAAATATAATGTAATAATATGTTGAAAATTTCTAATAGGTCGAGAAAAAGTTTCTATTGATTTTAAAAAAATACGAACTAAAAAAAAATCGATTTTTATCTAATTTGACATAAAATCGTTCATATACCTTTCCTTCAAAATTTCAGATGTACCTCCAACGATCTCAAGATGATCATTCGTCTGATCAAGCACGATCTGAGGATCAACGCCGGTCCGAAACACATGTAAGTGTGCGTCTGCTATTATATGAGTACCCTATATAATTGAGATTTGATGACGGTATATAAATAATAATAATTTCTCAGTCTCGAGGGGATCCACGTGGATATGTACAGGGCCTTCCAGATGTCCCGAGATTTGGAAGTGGTGATACGTCGTTTCCTGTCGGATTCGGAGGAGAAGCGCGCCGCCCCGGACTCGCCATTAAAACAGAATAAAATAGCCATCTCGCTGATGACGCCCGTCTTACCGATGCTGGTATATAAAAATAGAATCGAATTTTTTCCTCTCCTCGATTATTTAATGCAATCTTGATAGTAAAAGTTATTTGCGATCATAATTTGAAGTTATTTTGTAGAGTATATAGGCACTAAAGATTTGCCTTAGATTATAACTAAAATATATTCAGGAGTCACGAAAATATTAATGTAGATGAATAATTAATAAGATTCTAATAATTATTAATAATAATAATAATTATTTATATTATTGTATAATATATAGTATAGTATTTACTATAGTATTTACTATAGTATTTACTATAGTATTTATTATGCTAAATTAGTACTGTAATTTACTATATCAATTACTATAACAATATACTATACGTATATTAATATATAGTATAATATATAGAACATAATAAATTATTGTAATTTAATACTAGATGTGAATAATATATCTATAATATTATTTATTGTAGTTTTCTATATAACTATACTATATAAATATACTAATACACTATATACTAGACACTAATGTTAATATACTATAATTACATACTAATATAGTAAATAGTAAATTACAAATATGTAGTAATATAATATAAATTACAGTGTATAGTATTATTAATATGCAGTATAAATAACTATTTTTTATTAGTACAAATTACTATTTAATTGTTAATTAAATGTTAATTGCTGAATTTTTAGTGAGAAAAATAATAACTTAACAAATAATTGTTGTTATAAGCTTAGAATTGTTGTATTAAAAATTAATTGATTTGCACCGTGAACAAGATGATTGATTAATGAATTAATAAAGGCAGAAGCGTGCACATCTGTGGAAATGGCGATGCGAAAGTGCCCGAACGGGATGTTATCCGAGGTCAAGTACGACGGCGAACGCGTCCAGGTGCACAAAAGCGGAAACGACTTTCGATACTTCAGCAGATCCCTCAAACCGGTCTTGCCACACAAGGTGAAAACGATGACTTAAACGGAAACGTAATAGATCGGGAAAAAATTATATAATGTCTAGCTTTTAAAATCGATCGTATCGTATATAGAAACAATTCAATTCTTTTTTCTCACTTTGGACATTTTTATATATTTGTTCGAGAGATTATAAAAGTTTTCGGTTTTGTGAGAGGAATAAATTTTCTCACCTAACTTTTTGCATATTTTATTGTATATTTCGCCTCTTCGCTTGATAGAATTTAAAAAAAAAGTGAAAGAAATAAAGTTCGAGTCGCATGACGACAGATTACGCTCCAAAATCGAATAAGTAAATTTATTTATTATTTTTTCAGGTGAATCTGTTCAAGGAATACATAGCACAGGCGTTCCCCGACGGTGACGATCTGATTCTCGATTCCGAGATTCTTATGGTCGACAACGAGACCGGGCAACCCTTGCCTTTCGGCACCTTAGGAAAACACAAAGTAAAGATTTTGTCTTTTTGTTACTAAGTTTTCAATTTTACGATTTTTATGTACAGTATATTTTTAAATATTTTACGATTTATTTATTTATTATTTATTATTATTTATTTTTTTATTAGTACAAATTACTAATTATTACTTATTTATTTATTATTTCTCTCAAATTTTGTGATATTTTAATCATAATATTAGTATTTATGTAATAATTTATAATATTTTTTATTATATGATAATAATAATAATAGTAGTATTGTAAAATAAAATCATCATATTAAATATGATTTCAGAAAGCCGAATTTAAAAATGCCAATGTGTGCCTCTTTGTCTTCGACTGTTTATACTATAATGGAGAAATACTTATGGACAAGTAAATATATATATCGAATTTCTACTAAATGAATAGAAAATAATTAATATAATCATTTTTTATCATAAAATATATTAAATAATTATAAAATTTTATCCGTAACTTGAAATAGAATGTCAAATTATAAAAAAAGATAAAATAACATAAAACTGTTGATTATAAAATTTAATACAATAATAAAAATAAAGTATATAAAATGTAAAAAATCAAAGTATATATTTAAGACTGCTATTAAAAAAAGATAATGGAGACATTTTGACGTAATATTTTATGATAAAATAATTATATTTACAACTATATGTAACTATTTTATAATTATACAATTTATCTTTCTTTTTCCTCGCTTTGTTAGGCCTATGCTGGAGCGTAGAAGGATTCTGAAGGATAGGATGACCGAGATACCGAACAGAATAATGCTATCCGAAGTTTACGAAGTTCATGTACGTAAAGAGAAAGACATACATTAATTATCATTTATTTACACAGCAATAAGTATCGTATCGCGGGTTGTGATTCGCATCTCATTTCAGGATTCGCAGGATCTGGCGCTAAGAATCGTGTACGTGTTGAAATTAGGTCTCGAGGGTTTGGTCCTAAAGGATATCGATGTAAGTATCGAACTGCAAAAATGTTTTTCTTCTCACAAAGATTTAGAATAAAAAATATTTAGAAGATATAGTATAATCTATATTTTATTTTTACTATATTTTAATCTAACAATGTTTATGTATATTACACTTTATTTGTATTATTTTATATTTAATTGATATTCTCTAATACATATTTATTACTCATAATTTTCGGCGATAATCATTGATACGTAAATATAATCTTGCGTGAACATTTTTTCGGCGAATCGCAATATTTTAAAATTCTCATTTTTCAGAGCAAGTACGAGCCTGGCAAGAGACATTGGTTGAAGGTAAAAAAGGATTATTTGTGCGGGGGTGCAATGGCTGATAGCGCAGACCTCGTTGTGCTTGGCGCATGGTACGGAACAGGCAACAAAGGTACGATATTCCTTATCACAGTTCGGTGCGAGAAATTTGTATTGAATGAAAATTGATGAAACTTTTTTCGTGTTGCATAAGATAATTATAGTATACCTTTTATCATTTATTTTTTATTATCTATATTATAGATTGATAGAAAAAATATAAATTTTTAATATTTTCTATTTGAATATATTATTTATAAAAAACTAAAAATAAATTTTCAAAAAAATGCTACATAAAAAATTTCTGATGGGTTCACTGTAATAAAACAGAATAATTGTAAAATTACATAGGAATAAGATATATAGATGTGTCTTTAAAAATCTTTGTTTATTATGAAAGATATGAGACAATATAAAACAATTAAAATATAATAATAAACCGTGTAACATGATTATTGGCTTTAAATTATTCTGTTTTGTTACAGTGGATTCATCAGAAATTTTTTATGTAGCATTTTTTTGAAAATTTATTTTTAGTTTTTTATAAATAATATTTTCAAATAGAAAATATTAAAAATTTATATTTTTCTATCAATCTATAATATAGATAATAAAAAATAAATGATAAAAGGTATACTATAATTATCTTATGCAACACGAAAAAATTTTTATACACAGAAAGTGAACAGAATTTAATATAATCACCCTGTACATTAAATAAATTCTATTTAGTTTAAATAATTGTCATTTGGCTCTGATATATCTCTTAGAAAGGTCACTCAAAATTTGAAAGAAAATAGAAACCAAAACGAATCCTTAATTCGAAATATATATTTTCGAATTTTTTTAAATATATTTATTTTAATATATTAAAAAAAAATATTTTTTAAATATATTTTTAAATATATATTCTAAATATATTCTTAATTAATTTTTACAGGTGGCATAATGTCGGTTTTCTTAATGGGTTGCTACGACGAGGCACGCGATAAGTGGTTAACCGTCACCAAGGTGAATAAAATTGTTAACCGAAATAATTCGATTCGAGCCTAGAGATTAAATTTTTTTTTTCATCGTTGTCGATGACGTAGGTTCATACGGGACACGACGATGCCACCCTGGCGGCGTTGCAGGACGAGCTCGACATGGTGAAGATCGGCAAGGATGTGGAGAAGCTGCCGAGATGGTTGGACGCCAAGAAACCGATGGTGCCGGATTTTGTGGCTAGAGATCCCAAGGTAATACATTATTTAATTAAAGAGAAAAGAAAAGGCACCTAATCTATCTATTAATTTTATCTATCTGATTTATTAATCTATTAGTCTTTTACTTTCGCGTATCAAGTATTTCATCAAGAGTATAAAGTAAATCTAGAGATATATATCGATTATATAATTCACAAAGAAAAATTAGTTCTGTGATATATTAGGTCAACTCGGATTGAAATAATTTGATTTATTTAGCAGAGAGAGAAATTTTTTGGAACGAAAAGTAAATGAATTTTTACGGTAGAAAAATGTTCAAAGCGATAAAAATACATAAAAGTTATAGATAAGAAGTAAGATTATTAGAGAAATGAATATTTTACGAGGCAATTTTATATTATAAATGATGACAAAATATTTGATTCCGTTATCTTTTATACCAAGTTATTAAAACTTAATGAAAATATCTAAAAATATTTTCACACATTTCTCTTTAATAAATTTTTTGTTTTATTCACTTTTCTTTTAGTTTTTAGATTCTTGTAGCATTTATGTCCATTAAATAAACCTACAGCTAAATTTAAATAACTTTATTCATTTTTAATTTGAAAAACAGTTTTATTAGTGAGAAAAATGTGGTAAAAAATATTCAACACAATATGTGTGTTACTATAACTTTTCCTCTCGAATAAATTTTCGAGCCGAAAAGTAAATGAAGTTATTTGGATCGGAATTTAATATTCCAGGATTGAATTTTCACACAACAAGCAACAAAAATATTACGCAGTTTCTTATCATAATCTAATAATTGTTCAATGAAGAGCGAATAAAACAAAGGGAGAAAAATACACAATCTACATGTATTATAAATATAAAATGCGTTCCAACTTTTGACGTCATCTCTACGTCATCAATTTTTATTATTAAAAACATCGGACGTAAAATTAAGATGACTCGTCATTTCGCACGTGGATGAGAACAGAAGCAGCCGGTGTGGGAAATCACGGGGGCCGAGTTCACGAATCAGGGGGTTCACACCGCGGACGGCATCAGCATCCGGTTTCCGCGCGTGACGCGCATCCGCCACGACAAGGATTGGTCCACAGCTACCAGTTTGAAGGAGCTGCGCGGGCTCTTCAAGAAGAAGCCGGACTCCGTCGACTTCAGCCACCTGCTCGGAGCGGGATCTGCCGAGGATGTCGGGGAGGAGATCCCGAGAAAAAGACCTGCCGACACGTCGCCGAGGAAACCCGAGAAGAAGGCGAGGAAGGTGGCGAGCTCGCTGGACGAGCCGTCAACGAGTTCCAAAATCGACGAGGAACCACTCCTGGAGGAATCCCCGAAAGACGGAAGAGGGATAAACGTGATCGAGGAGCCGAGGATGTTCAGCCGAGGAAGAAGCTGAAAGTGGAGTCGAGAGTCGAAAGAGATGTGGGATCGAACTCGAGGAACGATGGGATTAAGAAGCGTACAAGTAAGTTCGAATTTGTTCGCATGATTTCGAATTATATAGAATTATTTTGGAAAAGAGATACACAAATACTTTCAAGTAAACTCAAGTCGCGAGTCATGAGTACTTATTACTTTTATGAATACTTTTATGAGTACTTAGGAGAAATTTTATTAATACTTTTATGAGTACTTGGGAGAAATTTTATGAATACTTTTTTGAGTACTCTTGAGAGAAATTTTATAAATACTTTTATGAGTACTTGGGAGAAACTTTATAAATACTTTTATGAGTACTTGAAAGAATTTTGTCAATACTTTTATGAATACATGAAAGAAATTTTAAATACTTTTATGAGTACTCGGGAAAAAATAAATACTTTTATGAGTACTCGGAGAAATTTTATAAATATTTTTATGAGTACTTTTGTGAATACTTATTCATAAGAAATCTTATGAATACTTTTATAAATATTTTTTATATTGAAGTTTGAATACTTGTATAAGATTCGATTCTTTACAATGAAAAAGTATTTATGGTATAAGTATTATTTCAAACTTTGCAAGTACTTAATCTAAAAATTCGAATATAACTGTTTTAAATTCAATTATTTTATAAATACACATATCTGTGAAATATTATTTTTTATGAATATTATTTGAATCCTAGTAAATAAAATTCGGTTATTGGACTCTATTTGTATTTTTAAGTACATATTGAATTTGAACCTTAGAACGGAATTGTAATATTGATTCTTTTCTTAAGGTAGAAAGAAGGATCTTTCTCGGAAGAGTCCTCAGGGAACTTCGATTCGGATGACGAGGATAACGTAAGCATTTTTATTCCTCTTACACGATAATAATTCAAATCGATGGAAATTTGTAAATTTTACTTTTTTACATTCTTAGTTTTGTACTCATATATTTAGTTACTTTAAAATGGCGCTTTTTTATTCTTTGATCCATAAATATCTTCTGTTGTTATTTCTGTAGTTTTGTAAGGAAAATTTGTGACGCTTGAAGGAATTATATATATATATTCCCAGCTCAATACTTATCACAATTTTTGTCAGTCATCTCTTCACGAGATCTTTTTCAAAGATTTAGTATATGTTTTTGTTTAAAGGGATTACACATCATAAAACATCGCAGATTTCATAGAGTGTATATTTTTGTATATCTTTGGAGAATTCTTGATTCTCTTAAGACAATGATAAATGTTTCGCTGTCTCGCTGATCTCTCTTAAACTATTACTATACGAACGTATCACTTATCAGTAATCTTTCATGTGGACAGCTGCTACTGCTCGAAATTCGCTACTTATTTCTGTTCACGATACTGAAACGTTTAATCACTGAAATTAATCTCATTTATCTTCTCGGACATTCGCTATCTAACATAACGTACGTATTTATGCGCGTTTATTGTTTAATTATACCGATATTCTCTTTCTCTTTTTCGTTCTTTTTTATTGTAAGTTTTAATTTCATATATTAAATTTTATTAAGTTTTCATATAATTAAATTTTATTAGAGAGAGAGTTTCATATATAAATTTTATTAAATTTTATATTATTTTACTACTTATTTTTATACATTATCTGATTGATATATTTTTAATTTTTATTTATTATATTTAAAAAAATTGTCAAAATTTGAACGTTTTTAAATTTTGAAATATGATAAAAATTTTAAATTATTTTAGAATCTACATTTTTATTTTTTTTTTATAATTGCGAAATTTGTTTATCCAGGGATCCAACAACGTTCTGCAGGATGTGCGAGCGAGTCTCGCGCCGGGCTTCGACAGGAGCAGGAGAAAGGATGCGCGAAAGATGCTGAAAAAGTATCCTTTTTCTTTAAACGTTATTTTACGCGATGATAATTTGCGCTGTACCAACATGATTATATTATCTTTACGTTCCCGATTTTATAAAAGCTCGATAATTTTACGAAAATTGCACTCGCTTCCAATAATTTCATAAATTTTTATAGCCTCCGTTCTATTTCTTTCTTTTTTTTTTCTCTCTCTCTCTCTCTCTCTCTTCTCTCTATCTCGATCCTCTAATCGATTTCCGAAGTAGCGCAGCATCGGTTATGCATTATCGGAGATTATCGAGACTTGTAACGCGACTTCTCTATCTCCGGATTTTTCAAGTAAAAAGACACTCAGTATCCTCAATTTCCTTCCTTATTTGGGAATATGTTATTTTATGGTTATATAAAAGGATCGCAGATGTTTTTCAATTATATAACAATTATAATAAAATTCTTTTTAATTATAATATTTATTTATTATCTATATTATATATATTTTTATATTATTATATATTACGTTGATATCATATAATATATATATATATATATATATATTAATACAAAAAAAACATATAATAATATATTTTGTATGTTTATATATTTTTATATATAAAATATATATTTAAAAATTTTTTTTATGTAAATTAATCTACATAATCTAATGCGGTATTTAGCATTATAATAACATATAATTAAAATATATAATATTTACATTTATGTTATATAAATTTTGATTAAATGTGTAGAATATATAATAATAATAAAATAATAATAAAATAATAATAATAATAATAATAATAATAATAATAATAAAATAATAATAATTATAATAATAAAATAATAATAATAAAATTGAAATAAAAAATATTTAAAATAATATAACTATAAATATTTAGAATATTTATATATAAGATATACACTGGTCAAAAATGATCGCAACACGCAATTAATATCAAAATTTCGCGTAAATTTAAATAAGCGTATCTCCGCGAAAAATTATTGTATTTGAAAAAATTTTGTTGTAGGGTGGAGTCTCTACTCTAAGAAACTTTCGTTCGATTTTGATTTTATTCTCTCCCTCTCTCTCTCCACCCCTTTAAAAAGTAAGATGTTTTTTTCAAAAAATGCAAAATTTAAATTTACGCGAAATTTTGATATTAATTGCGCGCTGCGATAATATTTTTGATCAGTGTTAAAATTTTTATGTAAATTATTAATATACATAATATAATGCGATATTTAAATATATAATATTTGACATTTCACGTGTATATAAATCTGATAAATTTTTAGAATAATAATAATGATAAAATTGAAATAATACGGAAGACGTAATTAAATCTCGATTTCCGTTCAGACACGAAATGTACAACGCGGATACACGGTATATAAATCAGATCTCGTGTCTCCAATGGGTTACAGTGGTCCACGAGGAAATTCCTCGAGGGAATCGTCCGGTATCCTCTCTCGTCCTTTCCATCTATTTTTCCCTCGAGTCGTTCCTTCTTCTGCGGGACAAAACGCGCACGCGTTTCCGCTTTGTTTCCTCCCGGGATGAGGGTGAATTTAAAGCCGAGCGTACATACCCCAACTATGCTTGAAGTATGATGATGATTCCTCCTTGACAAACGCTTAGACTCGGTGCCACGGTGATAACCACCACGTCGGAGAATGGAGCAGACACGGCGACGACGACCCACGTCATCCACACGCGCGCAGAAATTCCATCCACGGCGCTTCTCCTGGTAAGTTTGAACTAGTTACACGTTGGCACAATGTGCATACATATATACGCGTTCCCGAGATTGTAATTCGCGATTGCGCCTGAGTGTGGGTGAAAGAGAAGAAAGAAGACGTTTAATTTAATTTTGAATGAAGATGAGGGATTCAAAAAAGAACAGAGCTTCGAGATTACATTTTTAATGCGTAAAAGCGAATTTATTTAATTAGTGTGCAATAATGATAAAAGGTGTGCATTTGATACAAAAATCATATAATATGATAAATACGTGATTAAAAAAGCGGTGGAATTAATTAAGATAAATTTAGTATATAAGATATAATATATATTTGTAAATATATAAAATATTTACAAATATCGTAATGCTAAAAGTATAATATATTATATAATACATTATTTTATTTATTATTTATATACAATTCATTAATAATTTATTATACAGTATTTTATTTCATATAATATTTATTCTTCCTATTTATTAATAATATTATAGTAACTTATTTTAATTAATTATAAATTAACTATTTTCAAAAATTAAGTTGCATGAAAAAAATTCATAATGATTTTTATTAATTATATTTATATTTTAATTTTTAGAAAGGAAGTACTTACCGTAACTTTTTTTTAACCAGAATTAAACTTTTCTGATTCAATGATAAATATATGTATGATAAAAAAGGTGTAAAATTATTAATTCAGAAAGAGGTAAAAAGAAATAGTAAAATACAGAATATAATTAATTATAATTTATATTTTATTTTATTACATATTATTTATTTTCATATATTTAATAGCAGGTAATTTATTTTTTATAGAAATCTATAATTTATATGCCTATATTTTAATATAAAAATTAATAATAATAATAGTTTTATTAATTATATTTATGAAAGGAAGTATTGTACTTGTGACTTCTTTTTTTTTTAATCAGAAGAGTCAAACTTTTCAATTCTATCTCAAGCTGGTGACTCTATCCTTGTCGACGATCCTGTTGAATCCCTATACGCGGTATCCCGGCGTCGAGGAAAGAACGTGAAGATTCAACGCACACGAGAGAGGCTATAACCGGATTAACCGCAGTTAATACCGCGGCCATTACTGTCTCCCGCCGCGGCGTTTAGCACTTTCCGTTATCCTGGAAGCAGGCTGCCACAGGCCGATTAATCGTCAGCATCAATTACCGGTCGCCGCCGATCCTCCCCGTTCATTTTCCACGTTACCGTGACGGTTATGGAAAATATATTTGCATATCGCGAAGAGGAGGCAGGGAGGAGATTGCGTCATCGAGGAATGACACCCCCGCGATTTTTTTTTATTATCGAGAAAGAGAGATATCTAACAACCGGGATACTTACATCACCGGTTGCGATATCTGATTTATGATTAAAGATTGATTTCTTTTCTTCATGTTCTTATGAACGTAAGAGTCGCGACAGCAAATTAATTCTCTCTGATCAATCTTATATACATATGATATAAAAGATTGATTTATACTATAATTGATTAATTAAAAAATACTATATATAGTAATATATGTATAGTAGTATATACTATATACATATATAGTAGTAGATATATAAATATAATATAGTATATTGTAAAGTATTTTATATTAATATTATATATATATATATATATATATATATATATATATATATAATGTGATATGTATAGTATATTATAGTATATTGTATATAATATATTATACATATCATATTACATATATATATATATAATATATAAATACTTATATAAAATATTTACATATCTACTATATATATATTTATATGATATATACTACTATATATAGTATATATAATATATATAGTATATATATATATATATATATATATATATTGCTATATATATATATATATATATAATATATATAGTATATTGTTATATATTTTATATAAATATTATATATATATATATGTATATGATATGTATAGTAATATTATAGAGTATATTGTATATAATATTATACATATTATATATAATATATTGTATATATAATTTATTATATATAATATAATATATATATATTATATAATATTTATACAATTTTATGGATAATAAGATAGTTTATGTTTAAGCTAATTTGTTCTGATATTAACATAAAAAATTAGAAGAGAAAACAAATAAATTTCTCGGACAAGTAAATTATAATGAAACTTTATTAAAAGTGACGCCGTATATTTTTATATAAAAATGTATACCATCTATGTATAAATTAAATGTACATACATATACTATTTTTTATAAAAAAATTACACGTTAATAAACTGTAAAATATCGCAGAGCTCGTCGCATTTGTAACGGTGCTCCTTATATAATAAAATGTCATACTTTCGCGGAAAAACTGTCTTATGTACAGTTAATTAAAAATTAAAGTTGTAATATCTGACGGAGGATAAAAAACAGAACGCAGTGTCAAATTAAATATCTGTATCGAGTAACGAGCAGCAATATTTGTATTCTCGATTACCAAAGCCGCGCGTGTAAAGTAAATTATTTTATTATAAATAATATATAATTTGTCATTTTATTTTAATCATTTATTAGAAATATATTTTATAATAAAGCAAAAATGTGTTGTTATAAATGCAATATCTAATTTATATTATTTTATTATAATATATGTATATGCATATATGTATATTTAATATAAAAATTTATTTATTATTGTTAACACAAATAAGAAGACTGTTAAATGTTTTTTTTTGTTTCAGGATTTCGCCGATTTTCCGAGGACCGTCAGGCATGTGAACGTGTCCTGGCTGGAGGAGTCTGCGACGCGGTCCACGAAGCAGGACGAGATCTGGCACGCGGTGCGACTGGCCGGTGATTATTGTGATTGTTCCTGCGCGCATTGACAGGTACGCAGCGGGTGTATTATTACACGGAAAAATATTTTCCTGGAAGTGCGAGGTACGAGGAATCGTTCTTGAAAAAAATAAATAAAAAGAAAGACATTCTAAAATTATCCTGAGGATGCTCGAATGTGTTGAAACATCTATGTATCCTTTCCCTCAATAAAATTAATTTCGCAAATGGATTGACATCGACGTTGTAGAATGACGTAATTAAATATATATACGACTTACAAATTGCGGCGAATCAAAACGAAACAACGCAGTCGCCTTTATATTATTTTGAAGCCTAAGGCTATTTTATTTGTGTAAATCATTTTAATTAATTAAACTAGAAATGCGTATGAATTTACACGGATATATATATATCGAGATGTCAGAGTTCTTGAGTCTTCCAGAGATTAATATTTAATTAAGAGATTATAAGGCGAAATATTATATATCAGATATATCACTGATCGACTCATGTATGTATTAATATTTCTATGTTGTTTTTATTTATAATATCAAAAGAAATATTTTTAATTTTTAATCGCATATTATCACGCGTATATTTATAATTATATTTTCGATGTTTTTTGGATTATTTTTTCAATCTCTTTTTTTTAATCCGAATAAAATCAGTGATTTATTTATTTTTATTTTAACGTATGGATTAATAATTGAATATATATATATAAAATAGTCAATTTTATGTGAGTAAAACATTTTAAATATTTATTTAAACGCTCTCTTTTTTTTTTATAAAGGATTAAATTATATTTTAAAATATTTAAATTGGATTTAAAAGTTATTATATTTTCGTAAAAATTTTAATTTCTTTATTATAAAAATATGAATTATATATTCTTTATTATTAATGATATAATTAATAAATCTAAGAAAATCAACATTATTTTAGTTTTCCAATCAATTCGAATTCTACAAACAGTCGACAAATTTAATTCTCTAATCCGCAAATGCTTTAATCTAAAACTCGTTTATTTATTTATTTAATTTATAAGAGATAATAAAATTGTCGTCATATAATAAAGTCGTCGCAATCTAATAAATGCGTGTCGCGTCATCGTATTCATAATTATATAATCATGTTTTCGCGAGTTTAAATGAGTGCCATGAGTAAATGTGTGAAACAGCAACAATATTGAACGAGAGAGAGAGAGAAAGAATAAAAAAGGTCCGAAAGTGCAAGCAACCTTATGGGGTGAGCATAATTTAGAAATTATTCATTTCTTATTATTCGTAATTAATTGTTCGTCCCCGATAACCGTCCAAATTATTAAATTAATACGTAACACAAATGCATGGAAAATTTTCCAGATTTATTTTGTAATATTTAAAATGTTCTTGTATTTAACTGATATGATTTTCATTGAATTGAATTTTCGATTTTGATCAAATTGAATTATATAGATTCTTACACAGAGATAAAATATTTAAATAACAATTAAATAAAGTGTACTTAAGGATTGTTGATTGTTTGCTTTTATATAATAATTTTTACATTTTTGTCATTATTTTTCAAAAATTAAAAAAAAAACTTTCGATCATTTGCCTTCTATTTAAATTGTATATATTTTAATTTTGCAGATTAACATCGTGATTGTATACACAACTTTGGTAGGAGTGAGTGAATAATAAATTATCTTTTAAATCCGTATATATGAAAATATATATATGCTGTGTCTGAAAAAAATGGAGATAAAAATTCGCTCGCGCCAAAAGCGCGAATAAAATGATAAATAAAATTATCTCCGAGAGAGAAATGTATTTCTTAATGGGTTAAAGATGAAGAAATTATATAAATAAGAGAGAGAGAGAGAGGAGTGACCGTATTTTTCGATTAAACGGATTAAACCTGAAGCTAATCCCCTAAAGTGGTATTTCGACGATTAAACACTGAAAAAGAAACGCAGAAGCATAATTGAATTCACGCGTCGGACATCGATATATATCGCTATCGACGGATCTCGGAAGAGGAAAGGAAGGAGAAATATTTTATATATAATTGAGGGCCAATTACACAACAAGTTTAATCATTCACAGAACGTGGGTGACATATACAGGACGGGATATACATCGACGAGACAGGCAAATGAAATTACGCATATCAATTAAACATGTATTTATATATGTATATATATATCGAACAGCGCGCTAGAAGGTCGGGCTTTCATGATACTAGAGAGAGAGAGAGAGAGAGAGAGAGAGAGAGAGAGAGAGAGAGAGAGAGAGAGAGAGAGGAGAGAGAGAGTTTACAACAGTACCAGAAAGGAAGAATTGGACTTGGCACGTGTCCTCTGCGGAATATCCTCTGATATGTATTCGATTGTACATCGTTACCCTTTGCATTCGCTCGCGAGTCTCCGTCTATCATTATGATTTACAGAAATTTACAGAAATTCAGTTATTATTATAAATTAAAATATTATTAGCAAGTATATTTAATTTTGATGTCACTTTGACGTTTAGTGACTTCACTATCCAAATAGAACAGAAAATCAAAATAATATTATTTTGACGTCATTGATCAAATTTGATCAATGACGTCAAAATGATATTATTTTGATTTTCTGTTCTCCTTGGGTATTATTTACTATCTTTTTCATGCGCTTTTATCTCTTTTTCTTCGTAATTTTGACGTCATAGATGTCAAAATGACGTCTAATGACGTCACTCGACGTCAAAATTACGTATGCTTCCCAACCCAAGTAGAACAGAAAATCAAAATCATATTATTTTGATTTTCTGTTCTACTTGGGTTGTTATATCTGGGGAAGGACGAGACCCAAGGAGAACAGAAGATTAAAATGATGTCAATTTGACGTCATATTGACTAAATATTGACAAAAGAAATGACAAATTTAGTCAATATGACGTCAAATTGACATCATTTTGACTTTTTAGTTCTCCTTGAGGAGTGACGTTTTTAGACGTCAAAATGACGTCATTTTGACGTTTAATGACGTCACTATTATTTATAATTTTTTCATGCGCTTTTATCTCTTTTTCCTCGAAAGGGAAGTGCGTCGATGCAAAGGGCGCGAAAACAAACCGACGGGGGTGACTTTCTTCGCAGCTACTTTGTTCCTGAAAGCTCTAAGTCGGGCAACTTGTGGAGGAAGATGAGGAAAGGAGTCTTCTCTTTTCTTTGTCTTTATCTCGCGTACACATCGCCATAACAGCCGGGGAAAGTTCCGGAAGACGCGAGAGAGAGAGTGAGAGAGAGACTTCCGTATAATCGCTTGTTTTAGTCGGAAGGAGGGCGTCGACTTTGACTTCCGCTTGTGCGGTTTATTCTCTTGCGAATTAATAATAACGCGGTTGCTTCGAATTAGAACGAAGAGAGACACGTGGTGAGTTCGTAAAGAGCTGCCGAGAGTTGCTGAAGAGTCGAGAAAGAGAATTTGTACGCGAAGATTAGGTGTTGTTTTATCTTCAAACTATAATTAATTAATTCTTTCTCACTCTCCGACCTGTAAATATTATTTCGATAAATATTTTTTGTATCGTTTTATTATTCTCCAGATAGCAAAAGTGGTCAATTTACATCATTTTGACGGCAAAATAATGCATTTTGATGTCAAATTGCATTATTTTAACATTAAAATGGTATCATAATAATTACTGCGGCCATCTGGGATTTTATGTATAAATATCTCGAATTATTTTATCTGATAAATTAGGAGAAATTCGTATTTAATGTTTTGCGCATTTTAATAACGCTAAATCATAATGTTATTATATATTAATTGATGTAAATTAACACTATTAATTAAATTAATATCACAAAATAACTATTGTGTTTTAAGACTCACAAAATAATTATATATGTTTTAAGACTCTTGGATTCTCGCCGCGGCCATGTTGGATTGTGACGTCAGAGGCGAGAAAGCACACACGCTGAAAATTCTTAGATGCCATTTTTAAATGAAAAGATATTTCGATGAAATATTTTTAAAATACTTGGAAAATTATTCTTTCCCTTTGACAGTCAATCAATATTACAGTCATTTTACGGCTATTGATTGATTATAAAATCCCAAGTAGCAAACTGACATCATTAAACGTAAAAATGACGTCAGTTTGCTACTTTAAAGCCATCTGAAGAATTTTTTCATCGAAATATCATTTTATTCCTCAAAATGACAATCTAACAATTTTTGGCGCGCGCTTTCTCGCCTCTGACGTTACAATTCCAAGATGGTCGGCGAGGAACCGGGAACCTTAACGCATTAAATATTAAAAAATAGCATGTAACTCTTTCTTTTTAATTATAATACTTTTAATTTATATTTAGAAGCCTCTTTCCGGAATCTCCTTCGCGTTCCTAAGCTTTCCGACCTTAATATACATGTATATATATGTATATATATATATATATATATGTATATGTACGAGAGCTTCCCTTGCGCGCGTCTCTCACTCTTTTCCATCCCTATATACATCCTGCTTATTTACCGAAGCAGGACACGGCGTTGAAGGCGCACTGCTTCCAGTAGCTACGTTTACGCTGTAAATCGCCGATGTCCAGCTGACTGCGGAGGCGCTTCACGATCTGCTTGGTGAACAGGTAATTTATCAGGGCTGTCTCGATGCTGCCGTCGTCGTCTATCAACTGGAACAATTACACGATGTCGTTGATTACCTTCTTCTTTTTTTTTACTTCGTTTCGAGGGAGGAAAAATTACCATGCTTTCTCGGACAAACGATGATCGAATTGTATTTCTATTTTTGTTTCGGAAATAAAGAAAATTTGCAAAAAAAATTGTAAAATTTATAATAAATTAAATTACGATAAATACAATTTTATTATAATGTGTAGAAATATTGTTTATAATGTAAAATGTGAAAGATATTATAATAAAACTGTATGAATAATAAATTGGAAATTGCCTGTAATTTTTAACAAAATTATAATTGTTGGTATGTAGCTTTTTAATTAAATCTATTATAAATTTAATTAAATCGAGAGTTGCGACTCTACCGGAATGACGAAATTTTAAAAGTTTGTACATATTTTTCGTTTCGGGAATGTAAAGAAAATGTGCAAAAAAAGTATTGTAAAATTTATAATAAATATCAGTTTATTATAATGTGTAGAAATATTTATAATATAAAATGTGAAAAATATATAAATTTCTAATATTATAATAAAATAAATTTATGAATAACAAATTAGAAATAGAATTTTTAACAAAATCAAAATTGATGGGGTGTAGCTTTTTAATTAAATTTATATCTAACTAAAGCGAGAAATGGACTGTTGAGAGGCAGGCGCAGTTAGTGAAGCGCGGATTCTTTCTTTTAATAGGAATCTATTAATTAATTCTGTAAATTTACGTTTCGATCTCTTGATTGTGCTGTCATCAGTAAATAAATCGCAAGCTAAATTTAATTAATTAATAAATTCTCGTTAGAAGAAAAGAATCTGCGCTTCGTTAACCGCGCCTGATTCTTAATAGCCCATTTCCTGTTCTTTTATACATTTAAATTTTAATAAAATTTAATAAAATATTTTATTAAATTAATAAAATATTTTTAATTTCTAATATTAAATATTATATATAAATATTTGTATTAAAATATAAAATTAAAATAATAAAATATTTATAATTTTAATAACTGTTACAAATAAGTATTTTTAATATCATAGATTTACTAATTACATCATAGAAATTCTTAGAAAATATTTAAGATTATTTTGATAAAAACAATATTCTGATGAAAAACAATTTTCTCTGTTTTCAAAGATTTAAATAGAAGAAATAATGCGAAATATAATCATATATAATTGAAATCGACTTGAATTATGTATACACTGAAAAAAATTGTTAACTTGATTAAATTGTTCAATTATAAATCACTATTTTGTTAATTGAACATATATTAGTATGTAAGTTAAATATATACGTTTTATTAAATTTAATATGTTATATTAAATTTAAATATTTCTATATGTTTAATTAACAAAACTATTTAATTGAACGATTTAGTCAAGTTAACAAATTTTTTTCAGTGTACTGTTAATTTTTTAAATGTTGATTTTAAGAAATATAATTATTCTTCGCCTCGATGAAAAGTGAGAAACATTACAATTTGATTTTAGTTTCTAAATATATATGCAAATATATTTAATGTCAATTATATATATTTCATATATGCATATATATTTTTTTATATATTTCGCCCCAAAAATAGTACAACCATAATCCACATAATCTTTAACATATTTTAATTATATCATGGTACTTTAAAAATCTTTAGAGAGAGAAACACCATACAAAAATAACAAAAAATTTTGCAATAGTACACTTTTATTCATTGATGCCATCGAAAATGATAATTGTAGCGTAACTTGCAATAAATAATAAATATTCGGTTTTGTCGCGTGTCGCGATCCATCGTCAATTTCGACGAAAGAATGTGCGTTCTTGCGAAATCCGATTAATCTCGATTAATGGCCCGATAATAAAAAGCGAGAAACACTCGCAACGCATTATTGAACCGGGGGAGAACGCGCTTTTTCGTCAGTATCGGAGGGTGCAAATGCAATCTGCGTGTCTGTTCGAAAATCTCGATTGACATATTTATTTATTTATTTCAGTTTCTCCTGCTCGCTACACGAAAAAAAATAATGCAACCCTCGTCCATCAGTCAAATATAATATATATTATATATAAAATGCCAGCGCATACAAATATACGCATAAATTCGTCTGATTGGAGAATCAATCCGGTATTTCGTCTTTTGTGAAAGAATTTTTGAAATTTTTTTAGTTTGGATGCATAAAGATGTTGGCATTTTTACCTCAGATAGTATGCATACGTCACTTTGACGTTTAACGTCACTTTGACGTTTAATGACGTCACTTTGCTACTTGGGACGATTTCGCCAATAATTGTGGCAACCAGAATCTTGAAAACAATAATTATGATTATATTGATTGTTATGAATTTAACGACGAATCAAGCAATATTTTTGCGGGGAATTTAATTCCGACGAGAAAAATCGCGCAATAACTGATGCGAATGGATTAAAAGTACGGGATTTAACATATGTTTAGGTAACATTTATTTATGTACATGTGATGTAATATTTTTATTTCATTTTGCAAGAATTATGCTCCTGGAAAATATTATATTTTAATGTTACAAGTGTCTGAATTTTTCCTACGAGTATCTAGATTCTCTTTACTGAATTAAGAAAATTGCGTTTTACTTTTAAGTATTATATGTTTTATAATTCTTTTATATACGTATAAAACAAAAAAGATAAGTTTCTATGAGTTATTAAATCGAGAAATGAGATATTTTATAAAATTTTTATTTAAACAAACAGTGTTTATTTTTGTTACAAGATATAAATATTTTAATAACATTTTTCAAATCAAGATGAAATATTGCGTATACGTATTAAAAGAGAAAAACGATAATTGCGTTTTTATTCGCAATGCATATCTGTATGATGATTAAGATTCGGTTTTCGATAAAATTATTTAAAATAAAAATAGACATTTTTTTTATTTTTGCCTATTGTATTTTTATTTTTTCACAAAGAAAGAAGGATACTATTTGTTTAAATAAAATTTTTACACGATGTTAAAATACATTTATTCAATTTATTAGACTTCTATATTTAACTATTTCTTTCTACATAAAATTTAATAATATTAGAAAATGTTATATATAAAATATTAAAAAATTCTGTTTAATTAATATCCAGAATTATTATTTTTACGCATCAAAAAGACCCTTTATTTGATGTTATAATTGTCTTTCTGAAAATTTTATCGTGGAAATATACTTCCCGACTATAATAAAAACATATCGAAAACGCGTGTTTCCGGTTCCCTTTAAACGAGTCGTGAATGAAATCCCAAAGGTAAATTGTAAAGCGTTATAAGGGCAAACTCTTCATGATTTCGTTTGGGAAATCTTTTCGAGAAATATTTCTTTCTTTCTTTTTACAGGGGTAGTGTAAAAAAGTATATATATATATATATTCGGTTTACATTTGAAACGTCCCTCTTTTGATATATTATTATAGCTAATTGTGTAATTTTTTTCTTGATATTTCTTAATATATTTATCTTAATCTTTTAATGTTCCATTTATTAATATCACATATTTTACCAGTCTTTCAATTTCTCTTTACACTATGACATTTCTCTCTTATCTAAGTAAGAGATTTACGGAGATCTTTGATTCTTATATACATTTTGTGATATTTTGTATCTCGCTTTTCTAAAACGCATACCTTATTCGTTTCCTCAAAGGAATCTTCTTTTTCAAGATTTACACATCCCAGATCGCGAAATATTACATAAATGTCGCTTTGTGATCACGCGTGATTTCGTACGAGATATCTCCTTTCAAGAGAACTTTTTTCTCTCTCTTTTGCTTTATCTTGTCTTCTTTAACATGTAAAAGCAGCGAGTTGTAATTTCAAGTGTTTATTGCGAAATTTGATCACGTAACAGATCATTTGGAAACACATTCTCTGAAGTTAAATTTTCAAAAACCGTGCAAACTTAATATTAATTTGCATATTTTATGCTTACAAAAAAATGAAATGATTATTAGCTACAAATTAAAACAAAATATATGTTTATTTTTTTAGTATAAATTATAATTTATTTTAAATAGAATATTTAGAAATGGGGTATCTTCTCAAGTAGCAACCTGACGTTATTTTGACGTTTTGACATTTGACGACGTCATTTTGACATTTTGACGTTTTGACGTTTGATGACGTCATTTTGACATTTGATGACATTTCGATGTCATTTTGATATTTTGACATTTAATGACGTCATTTTGATGTTTTGACGTTTGATGACAATTTCCTGGATTTTGTTTCCTTTTTTTTAATGTACAACTATTTCAAACTTTCTAAAATATCTTGTAAAGTTTCACTCTCTCTTATTTATCTATTTTTATTGTGATTATATTTTCCCCCACGGAATTTTTTTTATTAGTTGAAATTAAGAAGCTGAAGATCGGATTATCGATTCATTTATTGGCTCTTTCGCTGTTCTTTGCCCTGTTCCAAGATGTTGATTTGTATTTACGACTCGATTCAGTGTTGCAACTTACTGTAATAAAAAGAACTCCCGTTTTCGAAAGACTTCGAACGAAACTTCGATTCTCCAGTCTTGCTATATGCTTACTCGATGAATTATATTTTTCTGCATTATACTTTTCTATTCTCTACAGAAATAAAAAAAAAAAACAGAATTTCCGTCGACGATAAAGCGAGATGGACGTAATCGATTGTGTAATATATATATCGAAACGGGAAACAGGTACAACTTTTTTTCTTTCAATCTTTGGTGTAACGTGAATCTAAATTACGGCCGAGCGAGTTATTGCTCTTTTTTTTAAATAAAGGGAATCGCTTTCCCGATAGATCGTTTTTTTTTCCGATCCGACGAAGGTTAAACGAAGCTTCGTCTCATTTGCAATTCAGGAAGAAGCGCGGTTACGTAACGTACGATGCAATTTCTCGGAACTTTATTCCATCTGGCTGATGGAAAAGTGTAGCATCAACATCTTCAACAAAGCTTCCGCCTCCTCTTTCCGTTCAGTTACACATCGTCTCGTAACGATAAGGGAATTCATCCGAGAAACCCGACCTAACAAGCGTAAATATATATACATGTACATACGATATCGATTTGTGCCGAATAATAATTCTTCGCGTTTACATTTGCTCTTTGATTCACTCTCTATCGCGTATACGTGAGCTTTTTTATTTTATTTTTGCCTCGAAATGAAACTCTTAAATCAGGCGTAAACGTTTAGTTGTTTTCTTATGTGTTTTTTCGTTATTTTTCTTTCTTAACTTTTCCCTCTTTTGAAGCGCAGTCACGTGAAAAATTTTAGTATATATTGCTCTCGTAAAAAAAAAAAAACCTGCTAACGTTTCTCGTCTTTAACGAGACATCGTCAAACGTTCCACAATTTATTTTTGATATATATTAACAATGTGTTATGCTTTTGTGTCGAGCGACTCTTGTTATGAAGAGCATGAATTTTAGGAGAGTTTTATAAAAATTTATTTCGATACACTACTTTCTCAGGTAGCAAATTGACGTCATCAAACGTCAAAATGTCAAAATGTCAAAATGATGTCATCAAACGTTAAAATGACGTCATTAGATGTCAAAACGACAAAATGACACCATTAAACGTCAAAACGTCATCAAACGTCAAAACGTCAAAGTGACGTCATCAAACGTCCAAACGTCAAAATGACGTCATCAAACGTCAAACGTCAAAATGACGTCAGCTTGCTACTTGGGTTCTTGAACTCATCAGGATATCTCATAATTTGAGATTAATATATCATCGAATAAATCGATGAGGAAAAATGTCGATGGGACATCATTTACCGCAACCTTTCAATTTTCAACGTCGTACATCTTCATAAAATAAAGTTTTAAATTAAAATTCTATCAAAGTTGAAAGTTTAATTGAAATTAATTAATGAACATATATATATATATATATAGAGTTACCCGTTTATATTTGTTTCTGTCTTTCTTTCCACTTGGAAATTATATCGATCCCTCGACATAATTTATCACGGAAGGAAGAATCTATTTCAGGATCGAGCGTTAAAATTAACTCGTAGGATAATTAAATCTTTAATAGAACTTTTGAGAGAAGGAAGATGTAAATGTCGGGGAATTTTTCGCGAATTTCGAAGAAAATTTCGCGCTCGAGAGAATCTCCGCGATCGATCTCTCGCTGTTCGGTTGCAAATAAACGATGGAGAAGACGTTTTTGACAGCTGACTGTCAACGGTCAATCAATCTTTCGAAAAAAAATGTAGGTGAATCCTGATTTTTCGCATATGATTTTCCCGACGTTTATCGAAACGAGATTTTTTTCTCGTAAGAGAAATTTTTTACGAGTGTTAAATCGTCGCCTGAAATAATTTCAGGAATGATTTCTTCGCAGAAAAAATGTCAAATGCAGGTTTTGCGAATTTGAAAAAATTCTCGCAATTTTAAAGAAATTTATATTATAAAATCCCTCTTTCCAAGTAGTAAGCTGACGTCATTAAACGTTATAAACGTCATAATGACGTCATTTCACATAAAAAACGTACGCTTCAAGGAGATTATAAAATCAGGAATATATTTTTGTTAAAAACAAGTGTTCGTCACTGAATGATTTTTTATTACTGAAAAAATGTTAATTTTATTAAATTGTTCAACTAAATATTATTTGGTTAATTGAACACATAGAAATATTTAAATTAAATATAACATGTTAAATTTAGAATACAAAACGTATATCTTTGTCTTAAATACTAATATATGTTAAATTAGCAAAATAGTAATTCAGTCGAATGATTTAGTCAATAAGTTAACATTTTATTTTTCAGTGTAGAAAAGTGGATGAAGTTAATGAGTGGCTTGAAGAAGAAAAATTGAGCGACTTAAGAGAAGTGTTCACGAGTAAAGAACGCGCAACATAATCTAATTTAATGCTTTAGCATCCAGGTTTTATGCCTCAATATGTACTATGCTTTTTTTTACGATTCTTCTTTGCCTATAAACTGTAAACTAATGTTCTTTGTTAATGTAAAAAAACCTATTTCGTCTACATTTTTATAAATTAGGAATATCTGACAATTTAGAGGATTCCCCTCTTAAGAAGGTAAAAAAATTCCTTGGCTGTTTTAGAATTTCAGAATATTCTAATAAGTGGCGAGAAATTCTTAAAATAAGAATATGATTTTTTCACTGAATCTCTCAATTATGACGAAATCGAGGGAAAAAGTCTAAAATCCGGAGCAATCTCAAATGTCATACGGATTCGCCGATTTACTCTCGAAAGGTTCTCTGGTTACTTCGAAAGCTTCTTTTATCGACCTTTCGGTTCGCGAAACTTTATGTCCAAGACGATCTCTCAAACGGAATTTCGCGCACAGAGTATTTCTATAAATAAAACGTTGTGTTTTATATATAAAACGCCGATTTTACTTACGTCCACGGTGTTCAGCAGTCTGTCCTTGTCTTTGTCGGTCGTCGGCATCCCGGCTGACCAGTCTGCCAAAACGAGAAGCACCAGAGCCAGTGCGGCTGCGTTTCGTACCGACGACATCATCGCAAATCTGAAAGCGAGAGTGAAAAGGGTCGAAAAAATTACGAATTTGGTCCAAAATCATATTTTACGACAGATTTTTGGGACAAAGATTTCGTCTCCTTCGAATTAAAAGAGTACCAATAAGTATAGCAAACTGACGTCATTAAACGTCAAAATGACACCATTTTGATGTCAAGTGACGTCATTAAACGTCATAATAACGTCATTAAATGTCATAATAACGTCATTAAACGTCAATGACATCATTAAATGTCAAAATGATGTCATTTGACATTTGATGACGTTTAATGACGTCAGTTATTGGGAAATATTTCATCAAAATAAAGAACTCTTGAACGTAGGAGACTGCTTTTGTTAACATTAGATTTAGAGAATCAGTGTTGAAACTTTTTATTTCAAATAATAACTCAACTGGACATGTCGATTTATTTCATCAATGCAATATTTAGCCATAAAAATCGAGGCAAAAATTATTTTAAATAAATGTATATATATATATATTTGCCTCGATTTTTATGGCTAAATATTGCATTGATGAAATAAATCGACATGTCCAGTTGAGTGCTTCTACTAAGGGATGCTAAAATTCAGCTGTTAAAAATAAAGAAAAAAAGAGATCGGTTTTTTGCAATAATATAAAAGGGACTCACGTGACATAAAATAATTTACATATATATATATGTAAATTATTTTATGTCACGTGAGTCCCTTTTATATTATTGCAAAAAACCGATCCTTTTTTTTCTTTATTTTTAACAGCTGAATTTTAACATCCCTTAGTATTCCTAATTCCTGGGAATTATAGAATGTCATCTTTTAAAAATGGCTTCTAGGTTTTAGTGTAAGGATGTTAAGGATAAAATTTAGCTATTAAAAAGGTCGCTTTTTTGCAAAAAAATGGGTTACTTATTAACAAAAAATGCTCAACTCTACATTTTTTTAACTTATAGTACTTTCGAAAAATAAAAAAAATATTTCCTTGAGTTCACATCGCGAATTTTGTCTCGTCGAAAGTGGAGAGACGTTGGAAATAATTTTATTTCATCGAGAATCGATGGGAATCGCGGCAATCTTGACGTCCCGACGAAACATTCGATTAGAAGACGATGTTTTTACGTGTTTGCGTTCTTTTTTTATTTTTTTAGTATCTTGTGTACCTTCACGCGTTGAAAAGACACGTCGAGAATTGATGTAGACGATTCGGCGTCCCGATAACTAATGGACCCACTAATGGTTCGCACAATTAAGTTTGGCGTACTCCTTCTTTCCTCCTCTCTTGCACGTGGCCAATCTTTTTTATCTCTTCGCATTCTGTACATTTTATCGCGCGATAACGCGCAATCATTTAACGGCCTATCTCTTTTTATTATTTTTGCGGAGCGAAGATGTAATAAATATCGAATTTCTTATTAAGAAGAGATTTCTTCTCGGAAAGAGATTTGCGAAAGTTATTGAAATATGTTTCTGATAAGAAGAAAAGTGAGAACGCGTGTATTTAAATAATGCGAGTATTCGTCAAGTTAAGTTTATCAACTTTTTTAATCAAAAAATCATTTTTGCACATCGTGACAGATTATCGAAATAAGTATTGTAAGAAATTTCTTTTCTCATGTGTGATTTTATATGTTATGTGTATATAATTACGGCAGTCTTTTATTTATTTATTTTTATTTTTATTTAACTTATTTTTATTTAATTTATTTTTATTTTTATTTATTTTATAATAAATGCTGATTATGGAAGATATATAAGATATTTGGGTAATTCCACATCAAATCGGACAAAAATCGACTTCCTATTTTTTAAAACAAACAAAACTTTTTTTTACATAAAATATACATAAAATAAGGAAATACGTATTTTTGCATTTGTCCGAAATATTTTTTTGCAGAAGTTATAAATAATACAATTTTTGTGAAAAATGAAGAAGTTGTCAACTTTAAAAATTAATATCTGTGATTATATTTGTCATAGAGATATTTTCAAAAAGCATTTTAAAAGCTAAGAAGACAATCTTTATTATCAAATTAGTTTAAGTTCCAAAGAATTATTAATTTTAATTGTTTTAATTAATTAAAGTATTTAATAATTTTTTTCAACAAAAAATACACTTTTTAAAATTTTCAAAAAAATACTATTTTATTCTCCATTTTATTCTGAAAGTGTATATATTTTTTATTTTATGGAGAATCGATGCATTTTATTTCTTTTGTAAATTTTTAATAAAGTAGATGCTATGTCGCGCCGGCATGTTTTGACATGTTAATTTCTTCTCTCCTACTTTTTATTTCTTTCGTTGTTTTTCAATATTGCTAATCGTGGATTAATTTTGACGAAATATGAAAAAAATCGCGATAATATTCGAATAATGTATACAAAAATTGATATAATTATCTAAATCCTCCTCGAAAAAATTTTGCTTATCAGGTATCTTCTTTTTTCTTCTGCTTTATTATCTTCCTTTTTTACTAGCATCTGTTGTTTCTTTCTCTTTATCAGTATATCTTCCTTTTTCTTCTTCTTTACAAATATCTTCTATAGATTTATCAGCATTTATTAGACACTTATAAATTAAATAAAAATAAAAATAAATTAATAAATTAAATTAAATTAAATTACAATTATTCATCAATGAATAAAGTAAATAAAATAGTCCTATTATATGTACATATACAATAATATTTATATGAATTTTTATTTATTCCACACATCTACAATTAATGACACTGATAATTGCACGAGAGGATGCAATTTAAGCGGCAAAGTACTACTAGACATACGTTTATATCTTGGTCTCGGTGTGTAGCCGATATACAAAGCCGCGGGCAAAACCCGCTTTGGTAAGCGAATTATCTCGATGACCTTTTCTAATTAATGAATTAGATTCGCGCGAAACCGCAACGCGCGTCCGCTGTCACCCATATATTGTGTGCGCTTTGCGTACGCAATATATATATATATATATATATGTGTGTGTGTGTGTGTGTGTGTGTGTGTGTGTGTGTGTGTGTGTGTGTGTGTATATGTATTTCTGCGACCGCAACAAATGTATCCGATGCGCGGCCAATAATCGCGCAATCGTCGATTGTCTCTCGCAATTAGCGAATTGCGTAACGAAACCGCGGGTGGCCGAGCCTCGTCCGGGCTTCGTTTTTTCCATCCAACCCCCTTGATCCCTTCCAACCCCTTGTGCGTGTATTTATATCCCGCAGATTCTTTATATGCTCCTCTTTCTCTTTTTTTCGTTGTAAGTTTTTTTTTTTATTTTTGGGGACGAGAGGAATCTCGATAATTAAAGTTCGTAGATTTGTAATTAATTTTCATGTAAGAATTTTCGAGGGTTAATTTTTTCATTTATTACACTTTGCGTCCGGATTTATCAACCAACTCTGAAAAATTAATCCGACAATTGAGTTTGCGAGAGTGAAAGTTTCAGCGTGATTTTTTTCCAATTTCGTGGAAATTAATTCTCGACTTGCGACGTTGAAAAATGACGAAAGAAATTGCAAAGAATATTCTTCAGATGGTGAAAAAATTATACATTGTATATACTATAATTACGAAACAATATGTTGTACGCTGAAAAAAATTGTTAACTTGACTAAATCTTTCTAAATTACTATTTTGTTATAATTGAACATATATTAGAATATATATTAGAACATATATTATTTAAATAAAAAATTAGTCACGTTTTGTTAGATTTAATTTAAATTATTTTTACATGTTCAATTATAATAAAATATTTAATTAAAAGGTTCAGTTAAATTAACAATATTTTTCAGTGTATACAATTATTATTAGTATTAAAATAAATAATAAATAATTATAAAAAATATAAAAAATTATAAATAATTATAAAAATAATTATAAACAATTATAAATAATTACAAATTAAAGTTTAGGAATTAAAACGAACGCACGACGGTAGTAGAAGTAGAAAGGGATTTTTATGATCGGACATGGCTGTCTTGTGATAACTTAATATTTATAATTTGGGAAGATTCAATTAAAATTGTAATTGTGTTAATCCAGTGATTTTCGAGACCGAAAATAACGAGACGATTCTGTTGCAGGATAAAATCGCAAATATATCGCGAGAATCTCTTGAGCGCTCGAAGTAAAAGTTTCTTTTTTTTTAAGTTTGCGAGACGGGAAACGGAATGTTCGAGAGAGTACGAAGAAGAAATTTCAAGAATTTCTATCAGAAATTTTTAAACACACTTCAGAATTCCGTAGAAGAAAAAAAAAGATTGGAATTTTTACACTTTTTAAATTGATCTCAAAATCATCACTTTGCATTTATCCTCGAAATATATCGTAATTGTCATCTATTGTTGTATTTACTTTTTATTGGATTGGAAATTAATACGAATTAATGTAACGACTATAATTAGATTAGTTTATGCCGAATAATTAGATTAGAAATGCCGAAAGGCTCTTCTACAAAAGTGAAACATTTACTCAATTAATAGAGTATATAAGTGAATTAATCCAAATAGTTCAAACACACTTTGTCCACCCTTCGATTTTTTTCTCTCCTCACATCCTTTCTCGAAAAATATTATATTTTATAACTATTTAAATAACAATTAACAATAAAAAAACCGCAGATGTCGCATTAATTTTAAATGTAGTTAATTATAAAGATTTATTGTAAGAATTATAAAGAAAATTAATTTAATTTTTCGATTTTAATCATATATGTTATTTTTTACAATAATTCCGGATAAATATAACTGAAATTTTAATTTAATCTTTCCGAATTGTAAGTATTGAATTATCACAAAATCATCATGTCCGATCAATAAAAGTTCCATTCTACTGTCGTGCGTACATTTTAATTCATAAACTTTAATTTATAATAACTTTATTATATATTTGTTATTATTTATATTTTATTACATTAATTTATGAAAGATGTATTTTGTGAGGGACAAAGTATATCAATGAAAAAAAATATATACAAATCAATTTTAAAGATAATTATACAAGAGACTGCAGTTCAAAATTCACTACTCATACGTTTTAATATACATATAAATACAATGTATTTTTTATAGTATTGTTTTTAATACATACAATATAAAAATACATTATATATATATATATATATATATATATATTATGTATATTAAAATGTGTATGAGTAGTAAATTTTGTCGCTTATAATAAATTGTATACATTGTTTTGTAATTATATATAATATATATTATAAATAAATATTATATATATTATATATTATAAATATATCTATATGTGTGTGTGTAAAATATTTACTAAAATATTTATTAAAATTTTTGTATCCATTTTCTATCTATTAATTTACCTATATTTAATTTATATTCACTTACGTTTCTTTTTACACAGAAAATAAGGAAGTAATTAGAGGAGGCGCACCGCACTACCGTATTGCGTAAAGCAAAACGGGCTCTAGTGAAAGAAGATCCAATTTGTCCCCGTCCGACTCGAACGGACGTCAAATTATATGGTTTAGTTTGCGAATTAGGTCGGGAAAATCGTGCGGGAATTCGGCAAGTTTGCACCACCAGGTTATTTATCGTCCCTCGTAGGGTCAATAAAGAGACACGAGGAAGTATCCTTTTTATTGAATTTTGATTCCCTTCCTCTCTATAAGAGAGCTGTTATTCTTCATGTTGTCGGAAGCGACAATGCGATTTTATTAAGTCTCTTCCGCGTCCCGACACGTATTCGTGCACGTATATATTTGTTTTGTTTCGATTTACGAGTTTATTTACGAATAATTAACCCGCATTCCCCGCCATTTATTCGCCACATCACGCCGTTATTTCAATCGATCGGATTTAATCACCTAATTTATATACAAAGCGCAACGTATGCGCGCGTTTTCCGCTTTATACAAATTTATACTCTCTATCTATTCGAATCCCCCTCGCATTACTTCGAAAAGAATCACCTCTTGCGTTTTGCGTAGAAAATTTTTGTTTATACCCAAGGAGAACAGAAGGTCAAAATGATGTCAATTTGACGTCATATTGACTAAATATTGACAAAAAAAAATAACAAATTGGGTAATAATCTCCCCAAAGAGAGACAAAAAAAAACAATTTCTTTCCAATTTGTCCGTGAAACACTATTATTATAGAAACAGTGTCCGATTTGTTATTTATTTTCATTTACTCTCATTTACTTTTATCTACTCACATTTATTGTCATTTACTGTCAAATAACAGTATGTAAATGACACTAAATTAAATTTGACAGTAAAGGTAAATAGATCAGAGTAAATGAAAGATATGGCACTAATTTGTATTATTTGTAATATTGGCAAATGATAGTAAATGACACTATAAATTAAATTTGACAGTTAATGACACTAAATTAAATTTAACATATATGTTATTATATAGCAGTAAATGACAGTAAATGTGAGTAGATTAATGAGAGTAACTGATTATGAGAGTAAATGAAAGCTGGAACTAATTTGTAATACTGTCAAATGACAGTAAATGACACTAAATTAAATTTGACAGTTAATGACACTAAATTAAATTTAACAGTAAATGTGAGTAAAAATAAATGAGAGTAACTGATTATGAGAGTAAATGAAAGATGGAACGAATTTGTATCATTTGTAATACTGTTAAATGACAGTAAATGACACTAAATTAAATTTGACAGTAAATGACAGTAAATGTGAGTAGATAAGAGTAAATGGGAGTAACTGATTATGAGAGTAAATGAAAGATTGAACTAATTTGTATTATTTGTAATAGGGGAGACCGGGGACAAAAGTAACATTTTTGCATTTTAAGTCAGTTATCAATTGCCTTTAGAGATACATCAGAAATGATTATATTTTAAGATATTCTATTTATTGGTGTGTTATTATACCTATATTTTATTTTCAAATGATAGGTATTTGAAAAGCTACTTTAACTTTCCACAAGTGTTTATTTATTTTTACTTTATCCTGGAGGTCTAGAACGAAAGTAACACAGTATAAAAATAGAAGCATTAGTTTTTATTTTAGAATATAAAATAAAAATACGATTATTTATTAAATATTAAATAATTTTTATTATAAAAATCAAACAATAAAACAATTATTATCTTTTTTGAAAAACTTAAATGTTTTTTATTAGCAATCAAATAATTATAATTAAAATCACAACAATTTTATAACTTTTTAACTTTAAATAAATTTACTTACTTATACAAAAAAGATCAAGATATCGATACCTGCTCCAAATTACAGTTTTATTTAAGAATATTCTGTGGTGCAAACACTATGTTACTTTTGTCCCTGGAGACATTTTTTGAAATAAAAGCATTACAATCTAAAAACGACGCAAGACTTAACGAAATCAATTACAGAAATTTATAAATACATTTTAGAAGAATACACCAGCAAATAATTACATCGATATATACACTTTAATTAGACACAGAGACAAGAAAACTAAAATAAGAAATATTTTCACGAGTAGTGTATATACATAAATTCCGATCCTGCATGTGCAACCAGCGCGATCATTCTACAACGACTAGTTGAGAGGAAAGAGGATCGGAATATACTCGTTTACTGTCTTAATACAAATTATTCAACACTTTGTGTAGGCTGACAGGAGGCTTGTTACTTTCATAACGTTGTTACTTTTGTCCCCGGTCTCCTCTACTATCAAATGACAGTAAATGATACTAAATAAAATTTGCCAGTAACTGATAGTAAATGTGAGTAGATAAGAGTAAATGAGAATAAATGAGAATAACTATGAGAATAAACTGATTATGAGAGTAAATGAAAGAAGGAACTCATTTGACAGTAAATGATACTAAATTACTTCCATTTTTTATTTATTCTCACAATTAATTACTCTCATTTACTCTTGTCTACTCACATCTACTGTCATTAATTGTTAAATGAGAGTAAATTATAATAAATTAGTTCTATCTTTCATTTATTTTCATAATCAATTACTCTCAGTTATACTCTCACTTACTCTTGTCTACTCACATTTACCGTCATTAACTATTATTTAATAGTTAATGCACTATTATTTAATAGTTAATGACGGTATTATTTAATAGTTTTTAAGTTCTAGTTTAGAACTATTATTTAATAGTTAATGCACTATTATTTAATAGTTAATGACGGTAAATGTGAGTAGACAAGAGTACACCAGCAATGACAATAAATGACACTAAATAGTTCCATCTTTGATTTACTGATGAATCAATTACTCTTATTTACTCACACTCTTCTTTCACTTTCCTTTACTACATTTATTTTCCTATTCGTATTACTCAACAAAAGACTTCAAATAAAAATTATATATCCATATAGGTATCGTATATATAAAATATATACAATAACAAAATTAAATAATCAATTGTGTTTTTACGCGCGCGGAAAATGACGGGACTGGAGGGTCGAAGAATTGGAGAACGCGATCTTATACCTCTCTCTCTGTCTCTGTATCGTGCAGGCCTGGTGTTCCGGAAGCGGGAGTTCGCGACACTTGTGACTTTTGCCGAGCGAGGAAAGCACTTGTCGGATCCCTGGGGGTTTGGTGGCGTCGTCTCTCCCGATGTCTCCGCGACAGAGTGACCGCGCTTTGGTGCACGCGACCACTTTATACTCTCGCCGGCTGCGGTGGTACGGGCGGAAACCCACCCTCTTCTCTCTCTCTCGCGGAAGGAACCCACCAGGTCGCCCGCTTTCTCTCTCTCTATCTCTCTCTCACCCCCTTCTTTATAGTCGATAGTCTCGCCGCGTGTGCGTATAGGGGTACCGCGTTTACCCTTTGCTCTTTTAGAATTTTCGGAGCAGTAACTTGTTACTTACGGCTCAATTTTGGATTCTGACATGTTATTGCTCATCGACGAATTCAACACTTTTTATTTCGAAGAGATCCTTAAGAGGTTTCTTCCATTTGATAAATATATTTATATGTAGCTACGGCAAGAGAATTTTTTTCCGTATGCAAATTTTATCAGTTTGGTAATAAGAAAATTGTCATGCTGCACATTTTAAGATGTGTATAAAATATTTCATATGTTACTTTTTGGTATCTTTTCCATTTAAATCACTTAAAGAAACATACATTTTTTAAACATAGTTTTTAATATATTTTAAAATTATTTAAATTTTAGTATATTTTTTAGGATTATTAAAATTAAAATTAATCAAATATATTTTATAATTTATCGTGATATTAATATTTTTATTATGGTAAAAATATTAGAGAACCCCTTTTATAAAATTCTTCCAATACGATATTGTCCCACGATTTTCAAAATCAATTCTAAGAGAAAATTTTCTCTGTGTAGAGCATTTAATTTTTTATAATAAATATATAAGGTGTGTTGAAAAATTAGAAATAAATTTTGAAGTAAAATGGAAGACTTCGAAATAAACTTGTTAATATTTTCCTGTACGATGTTTTGTTTCAATATTAGTTTAATACCACAGGAAATAGGAGTTTTTATGACTTGAACAGTAAATCAGCATATAAGCGAAAAAATTGAATTGAATCTTAATCTCGAACAAAACACGGAACAAATATTAGTATATGTATAAAAATGATTCTTTCTTTTTGCAATAAATACTGACAAATTATTCCATTAACTTTTCAATCAACAAAAGGCGACAAACTCAAAAGGTCACAAATTTTTATTTCATATCATGTGTTAAAACAAAACTAGAAGAAAATTGATTTTTGAAGCTTTCTTTTTTTTCAAAGTTTGTTGGTCTATTAAATAGCCTGTATAGTATAAATCAAATGCATTGTATATGATTTTAGGTACATATAATACAGGGTAATAAAAAATGTAATAAAAAAGTGTTCTCTACTTTAAAGGTGGATGGTGAGTAATGGACATTGAAAGATGAAAAAAGTTTCTATCAACGTAGATCTACGAATGACCTCCCATCGAGTTATGGACATTATAATTTTTGAGTTTAAATTTATTGTTAAATTATTAAATAAATGAATAAACAATGCAATGCTTTGATATATATATATATATATATATATATATATGTTTTATATTATATACTATATTTAGTACTGTATAAGAGTAGATTTAAAATAAATACATATTATAAATATAATATAATAAAATAAAGCTTTTTTAATTTGTATTAAGTAAAAAGTTTTAATTGTATACAGAATTATTTATAATAATCACATTAGAATAATTAAAAAAATTAAATTAAAGATATTTTAAGACCTAATTTTACGTAAAATAAGTCTTGCAATATTTTTAATTCTTTTTCATTATTATTTTAATGTGTTTATTATAAATATTCGAAACATTTAGTAAGAATAAAACATTATATATTTATAAAAACATAATATATAATTAATACAATTTAAAATTACAGTACAATTACAGTTTTATACAAAGTTAAAAATTTATAATGAAGAAATAATGATCCCGAAGGGGTAAAATTCGCAAAAGGTTCGCGATTTTTAGTAATTATCTTATTTTACATAAGTGCGGAGAAACTTGTTTTTTTTTTATTTTATAAAAGTGACGAATTTTTAGATTTTGCGAGCTGCTCTCAATGTCGAGGAAGGTCGCAGGACGAAAAGAATCGAGTCGACGGACATGCAAAACGAAATTACAGGAGAAAATTATGACGGAATAAAAGGATGGGAAGCGGAGTTTCGAGAATAAGGGAGGAATGTAGGCGAGCTAATTGCGAACATATACCGATACAGATCTATTTTCCTCCTCTTTTCTCTTTGGGAGGATATTGCGGTTCCTATATACAGGATACGCTGAAAACGTGTTAATCATTGTTATTCTCTCGGGAATAATCGCCGCGAGTTGTAATATTATACTCCTCTTTCCTCTTTTCTCTTTTTGTTTGAAAAACTCAGCTACTCATATAACATTTCGACCCACATAATAAAGGATGTTCGGGGACTGTTGGATGTCCTTTGACCGTAGTTTCTTCGTTTGTCGTCGATTTTTTCTATGAGAAAGAGAGAGAGAGAAATGTCATCTTTCCTATTTTTTGCATTATCTTCCTATAATGAACAATTTTTATTTTGCTGAAAAAAAATAAATTTTTATTTAAATAAAGGTTGCGAAATAAATTTATATTTTTATTTTCCTCCTTCCTTATTTTCAAAAAAATACAATTATTTAACTCATGCTGGCAATGTTTAAAAATATTAATTTAATCCTCGCGATAAAGAATAGGATTACTATGTTTATTACTACATTTTTTCTTGCAATATATTTTTATATAATAAGATATATGTATATGTATACATATACATATATATAATATAGGTAATGTTTTCAGGTAGCAACCGTATGTCATTTTGACGTTTAATGACGTCAGTTTATTACTTGGGGTTTTATTTACATGTTATATATTTTATATATGTATATATATATATATATATAATATTTTTTTAAATATGTTATTGACGAGTTTGTTATTTAGGTTTTTATATATATGTTATATATTTTTTATATTTATATATATAATATTTTTTATAATATGTTACATATTATATAAAATTTATAATATTTTAAAACCTATTCATACACATTTCGACGTACATAAAAGGGATGATCGGAAAATGTTGGATGTTCTTTGGCCACAAGTTCTTCGTTTAAATTTTCTTCTCAGTGAGAGAAATGTCAAGAGATGATCTTTTCTATTTTTAACATTATCTTTCTACAATGAACAATTTTTATTTTGCTCAAAAATTGCGTTTTATTTAAAGGTTCACAAAATTAGTAAAAACGTATAATTTTTATTTTTCTCTCTCTTTCCTTTTATCTTTAAAATATTAACATTTTATTATATAATTTTTTTCATAATTACAATTAATAGTATCAAGTTTATCCTCGCGATAGAGGATTATATTAGTTATATTATTTTGTGCAATATTTATGTATTACATATTTTTATATACATATATTATTGTTTTTATATATGTGACATATTATAATAAATATTTTTCGTAGAATTGTTATTATTATATTTATATACTATTTATATAAAAAAAAATATATATTTTATTTTTGTATCACATTTAAAATTATAAAAGAAATATTTAAATTTATGTTATCCAGCATACATTTTCGAATACATCTACAAAATTCATTACTTAAATTAACTTAAAAAAAGAGAAAAATATAAACAAAAAATGCAACTTTAAGGAAGAAAATAAATTCAAAATAATATTTTATAACAAAATTATATTTTATATATATATAGCTCATATAATCCACGATGTATTTATCTGCTGCCCACGCAGTGAAAAGACGGTAATTTGCATAAGATATGAGTGAAAAGAAAATAAGAATAATATAAATAAAATGAATATGAATGAAAATAATAACACGAAAAATGCGCGCGGATAAATGTAATAATTTTTCGTTACATTATTCTCTTTTCGAGGAAAGATTTGAGAAAATTTTTTTCAGCCATATTAAATTATATATATATTAATTGTTTATAAATTTTTATATGAATAAAATGTCTCTTTCATGGTGCGCATTTATATTATTATTATTATTATTGTTATTGTAAAATTGATGGAATTTAAATAAGTAAGACATGTGATCTTAAAACGAGAGGACGTGCATCGCAAAAATTCTGCTTGCATTTACACGAAATTAATGTACTTATGCAAAATTGTGCTTTTACGAATCACACAATTCAAATTGTTACTTATTATTAACGGTGTCATAATTACGATATTAAAAGCTTCAATTAAAGCGTGCGACTGTTTCTATTTTTAAGAGTCTCGGAATAATATTGGAATATTGTTATGCATAAAATAAAGTGGAGGAATTGTTCTTCGAAATCTGAACGTTAATTATTTTTTTATTTTTTTATTTTCTTCACTTATTTCTTTTTTTAACTATATATGTCTGTTGCAGATAAAAAAATTTTATTTCCTAAAATATACTAAACTTTTTTTTTAATTAAAATTAAAATACTGTAAAGTAAAACAATTTACATTCAAATAGTTATTCGTGCAAAATTGCATGTTTTAATTAAAATATTTAACGTCTACATGGTGCGAATAAATTTCAAACAAATAATAGTTTTTACGATAAATCATTGTTTACTTTTAAGACAAAGAAAAACAGAGACAAGAGATTGCAATTTCTTTTTTATAAAATTTACAATTATAGTAAGAGATTATATATAAATAAAATTGCATAAAATTAGGAAATAAAAAATATACAATATTTCTTCATTTATTTAAAAAAATGAGACTAAATTTACATTAAAAATTTTTTTAGGTTGTAAGTTTTATATATTCCTGGAAAAAATATATACATATAAAATTTCTCTATTTCATTTAAAAAAGCGTCGCAAATTATAATTGCTGTTTGAAAAAAATTGATAATTTTATGTTTTTTTAAACATACTTTTAAAGATATTTCGATTTATCTCATTTCAAGAGTAATAAAAATTTCAAAAGTGAGAGATAAAAATGTATTATGCAAATTTAATTTATCAATTCTTGAAAATAAAATTTTTAATGTATCTTTCTTTTAGAAGCGTCTTGAAAAAAAATACATTTCGATTTTCGAATTGATATAAATTAAAAAATTTGGAACGCACGTACATCCGCGGAGAGCTCTCACAGCCAATCTTATCTTACAAAGTTATTGTTTGAAAGTTGAAAATTCTGCAAAAGGATGATTGGTAGTAAAACATATATTCAAATTCTGAATGCATAACGTGTGCAAGATAAAGGTTTACAGGTATTACACTTTGTCGGGATGGTAATCCCTCGATTATCCTAGCAGAGTCAAGTTTATCTCGAATTTAAATTTCAACGAGCTAAGCAAGAACTAGACAGAGGATATGTCAGTTCAATTTCAAGGAAAATTAATTTTTTATTGAAACTGATTAGCTCATGCACATGACATAAATTTTTCTCGATATCCTTGAGTAATTAAAAAATAATCGCTCTATCAAGAATATGAATATTCTTTTTTTTAGGTAGGGAGAGAGTTTTTGCAAATAAATATAGCAAATTGAGATTTATTTAATTATTTGTATTGCATGAAAAAAATTGTATTCTGCGCATAATTAATTGATTTCGGTGAAAAGTTAATTTATTTCCTTGAAACTGACGCACTGTGTTATCCCTGACACTTTATTCCTAGTTCGTAAAAATTTAAATTTGTTTTATATTGAGAACTTTACTAAATTCTTAGTTGTCAGATTTATTTCAAATTTATAGGGATATTGTTTTATAACGAGATAATTAAAAATTAAATTTTAACAGTCGAACGTGTTTAATTATTCGAGATCGGCATCGATGTGTATTTTATATTTGTTGCTTTATTCAATAAAAAAGCGTTGAATAAATTATACTTTAGTTTTTAAAAGTTTTGAATAAATTACATGTTAACGTTAGAGAAAAATGAAAAATTCTTAAAATTATATAAAGTAGAGCCAAATTTTTTTGCCGAAATACATACATATATATATATGTATATATATATATATATATATATATATATATATATATATATAAATTGAAAAAGAAATCGAGTTTCTCTATTTCTATATAAATTTCCATAATTTGACAAATTAACAATTTTTTGACAGATAGATAATTTTTTCATTTTTTCTCTCTCTCTCTTACGAATATATAACTATAAAAATAATCTGACATTTTTTTAAAAATTATAGTAAATCGTTTAATAAATTTATAGAATACATACATTTATATATAATTATTTAACGTAATTAAAGAATAATTTTATTTAAATAATTTTTTAAAGAATTTGCAAAAACGGAAATGAAATAACTTGTAAAAGAAAAATAATGTTAAAATTAGTTTCGAGTTATAAATCAATATCAAGTAATAAATAAAATTAAATACGAATCTATTCTACAAATGGTTCTTGTTTTATAATAATTTACGAACTTTCTTCTCTCCAACGTTTTGAAATATTTTTATTTACACAGACTTAACAATATATATCTCATAAATACGTACATCTATTCTCTCACATACATTATGAAATAAAGTAGCACAGTCGTTGTTTTTTTCGGACACATCACACACACATGACGAATATATATATATATAAAACAATAAAAATATACATCATTTACAGTTATAGGCCAAAGGTGGTAGGAAAAGTTGAAACCGAATAAAATATCCGTACGAATGTGTTTATGCATGATAAACGTCCCCCGCACATATCCTCTTTTCCCATTTTTTATATATTTATTTTTTTCTTTACAAACGGCCGCAGCTGCATCAAAGTGATGTCGACAATAATCTTCGGTAGATAGATACTATTAGCTTAGTAGTTGGCCCCTCCTGTTATAATATTAATATAATCTTTGAGAATCCGCTTCTTTTCCGCACAGATATAACGCAAAACGATCTCTCTTTTTCTCCCTCTCACTCTCAGTACATCTTTCTTTCTCTTCTTAAGACGTGTTTAATTACACATTGTATTTACATTTACTGAGTGTAACGGAGTCGCCGGAAGTCAAGGTTTAGAGGTCTCTCTCTCTAACTGAGCTCGAAACCCGCGCCCGCTTGTATCGCGTACAAAAGTTTCTCGCGCAGGATTTTCTCGTCCGGAAACTCAGGAAGCTTTAACAGATTCATACAGGTACTCGAAGTCGGCAAACGATCCATGGTGCCGGCGTGCTGGATGCAGAAAGGCGGATCGAGTTCCTGAAATGGAAATATAGCGTAAGAAATCGAAGAGAAATCGATAACTATACTATTACTATTTATATACTATTATTATTACTATTTATATATTATTATTATTATAACTATTTATATACTATTATTATAGAAACTGTACTATATTATTATCATTATTTAGTAACTGTATTATTATTATATAATAACTATTACTATTATAACTATACCATTACTATTATTTAATAACCATATCATAACTATTTTATTGTTATTTTATAGTAACTATATAATTATTTTATTATTATATAATAATAACTATATTATTACTATTATTTTGTGATAACTATTGTATAATTATATAATTGCTATTATAGAGCAACTATATTATTACTATTATTTTATATACTAACTGTCACATAATTATTAATGACTATGATACAGTAATGAGATTATTATATAGATTATTATTACTATATTATAGTATCTATTATATAGAACTAGTAATAGTAATTATATAGCAACTGTACTATTGTCATTATTTTATATTTTATAGCAACTATACTTAATAACTTTTATTATTATACAGCAACTATACTATTACATGGTAACTACACTATTACTATTGCCATTACGTAATAACTATATTATTACTATTATATTATCCCTTTTAGTATATACGAATGTTAACACAATTATGTAATAATTAATAATATTTATATAATTTTGTATCGTAATAATGTAAAAGCTATTTGCATGTTGAAAATATGTTTAAGAATTGATTCTAACAATTATACTGTCACAATATTTCAATAATTGAAATATAATAATTGAAATATAATATTCTAATTTGAGCTTCATTATGCATATCACAATAAAATTTGAAATAATTTTCGAATTTAATAATAATTTTAAATGTATAAATAATAATAATAATTTTAAATATTAAATATATAAATTCAAATTCAGCCAGATTGGATATGTAAATTTATAATAAATAATATATAATAAACATAATAAATATATACTAAATATATAAGTATATATACCTTAAATCCTAGGAGAGGAGGACGGCTGCAACTGGTGACGAATTTCAGCAGCTGGCCTTTCTGCTGATCATTGAACTCGCCGACGACCTTCCAGAAGGCGGTGATGGTCGGATGATCGGACGTGTATCCTCCGGTATAGTTGGTATGCAGCTTCAAGTCATTCACGTCCACGGGGATCTGCGCGCCCGAGATCAGCACCTGCAGCTCCTTGTTGTTGAACATCTGCAGCCAATCAAGCGGAACCACGCTGCCGATGCCCTGCTTGAAGGCGAAGCACTGCGCGCGAATCTGCTTGTTCAGCTTGTAATCTGCCATCAGGTGGATGTACTCGATGCGATTGTGATTCGTCACCGGGATATTCGCGCCGTACGGCTTCAGCTCGTCCACTCGCCTCTCGCCAAGCTCGTCGCTGAGCACGGTGAAGTCCAAGTTGAGATCCGCCACGTCGCCCGTGTAGCTTTTCAGGTAGAGCAGATTGCGGTACATGATCGGATCGAGGGAGGCGAGGTGGTGCACGTCAACGTCGGACTGCCGGCCGACGATCTTAGACAGGAAGAACTCGGCAAAGGGCAGTTCGACGAGTAGATTTTCATATAACGCCTTCCCCAGGATCCTGCCGATGAAGTAGTAGTGCTTGGGAAAGTCGTCCACTAGGAGATGCACCGTGGGATTCGGATAGAGCATGTTGTCCTTGGTGAGCTTGAAGAAGCCGCGGTTGGGATCGAAGCTGGTCTTCAGCAGCTCGGAGAGGAATTCCCTGAAGAGGCCACCGCCGTCGACGCCGGCTTCCTCGAGTCCCGCGGTGTTCACCAGCTGCACCCGCATCTTCAGCCGCAATTCCGGCTCATTTTCGCGCGACAGTTTCTCGAAGGCGTCCTCGTAGAGGTAGTTTCGCCTCACGGAGATCTGAATCGACGGACCTTGCATGAAATGGGTCAGCTCGCCCTGCTGTTCCCGCTTGTCCTTGTAGATGAGGGATTGGAACACGATGACGCGATTGTTGAACGGCACTACGAACGGGATCTCCCGGAGCAACGTCAGAGTTCGCACTTCTGTAGCCGAGAGAGGCGGCCCTTCCTCGAATTCTTCTCTTGTGAAGGCTCTTAAGTTCTGGAAGGGCACGTATCCCCGGAGTCGACGTCTACGGAAGGCGAAGTCCTGCGGCTTGTCGATGGGAATGACCACGTTGGACGCGATCCAGTGATTTGGCGGGCAAAACTGCCTTCTGAGGTCGCGCGTGTGCAACTGGCGCAGAAGACCCACCGTCACCTTCAATCAGATTTGAGATAGTAATTTTATTTTTAATCGTTAATTAGTGTTCAACAAAAAAAATTAACCGGAATGAGACATCCGTTTCTTATAGGTTCTCTTATAGGTTTTTGGACGCTGAACATAAATTGCTCCACCATGTCGCAATGGTCACAAATTTTTGAGAATTTTTTTATTAATGTTGCAGAAAAGGGTTTTTTCAGGAACTTTGTTATATTACAGCTGCAATATGTGACGTGCTAGAGAAGGCTTAATGCAATCAAAGTAAAGTATATTGTTAGGACTCAACTCTCAAAAGGAATTTTTGGTGTCTGTTATGATTAATAAGATATCCATGATTAAATATCAGAGCTGTGTTGTGGAAGTTAACTATGGCTTATAATTTAGATCATTGAAGATTTACAAAATAGCTTGTAAGGATTGTTTTAGGTCATTGAATATGGAATTCAATGTAAAAAATTGTCAAATTTAAAATGATACTCAAAATAATGTCAAAATTAAAAAAAAAAAAAATTTTTTTTTATATATAAATTCACCATTGTTGAGCCCACCATTTTGAATTTAACAATTTTAACACTGGATTCGTATTCAGTGACTTAAAAAACCTTTAAGATTGACTAAAAAAATTCCTTTTGAGAATTGAAAATCCTGACAATATATCATTTGATTGCAATAAAACTTTTCTAACACGTCACATATTGTAGTTATAATATAATAAAGTTCGTGAAAAGCTTTTGTTGCAATTTTAATTCAAAATTTTTCAAAATTGTGACGTAATAGAATAAATTAACAAAAAAACCAGATTCATATTTAGCATCCAAGAAACGACTAGCTCTGGTTAATTTTTTAATTAAACTAAAAATTTATCATAAGAAATGTCATTAAAACAAAATTGGAAACACATGTAGAAGACTTTAAGATCAATCACAATCGTCCCAAAAATTCCATATTAACACCAGACTAATTCCAGGAGTAACCTTGAACAGATGGGTCCAGATCTGTGTGTCGTGTCGAGACTGAACAGTAGACATGGGCCCTAACACAGCGTTTTTGTAATCGTCTCGCACCGTGGGTCGAGTGTCTGGAAATGCAAGCTCCACCAGACCCAGACATACGCCCTTCAAATGACTTGACAGCACCGCCAGCTCCAGGATGGTGAACGGCATGGCATGTTGCTGCCGATTGTTCGACAAATTCTGCTCCGCGGAGTTGTTCTGCTCGAGGAAGAACTCGGTGTCGTGCAACGTCGCAATCAGCAGGCTGAAGAGAGAGCAAAAGACCGCGAGCAGAGGAACTATCTTGTCGGTGTCCTCCGCGGAGAGGGCGATCCCGCGCGAGATGATCTGCAGCAGGGGCGTCGCCGCGGCGGTGCCGCCGAACAGGGAAGTCTGGCAAATCGACACCAGACTCGTCCACAGGTGCTTGAGGAACAGCGGCTTGAAGGCGAGCATGTAGAGAAGCTTGTACTTGTGAACCGCCAGCTTGTTGGTGATCAGCAGGTGGTGACACAGTCGACACAGGGGCTGCAACAGCGCAGCGGGATCGGATCGACTCTGCTCCATCGCAGAGAGGATGCAGTTGACCCGCTGTTGCTCGTTCAGCATCTCGATGCACTTCCGCAGAATGTCGGCTTCCTGGTCGTTCAGGTTCCCATCGGATTCGTTGTCCGAGTCGTTGTCGGCGGCTTGCTGCTGCTCAGAGGCACTCTGTTCTGCCATCACGATGGTGGAGCTTAGAGATGCGAGGACTTGGAGATAGTTCGTCAGCGCGTCTTCGGATCTGCACCAGGCTGCGTTAAAAAAAAACCGACTTAGTAATTTGATTAACTTCTGCGTCAGTTTCATTGTACAACAAAAAATTAACTGGAACGAGACTAGTCTTATAGTTTCTTAGTTTTTTTGGATGCTGAATATGAATCTGATTTCTAAATTATTCCATCACATCACAATTTTGAGGAATTTTAAAGTTGCAAGAGGGCTTTTTTCACGAAATTTGTTATATTATAGATATAATATGTGGGACATACTAGAGGAATTTTATAGCAATTCAATATATTGTTGAGACTTTCAATCTTTGAAAAGAATTTTTGATGTCCTTTTATATCAATAACATATCCATTAAATGTTAAATAGGATATATTGTAGAAGTTAGCTGTGATTTCAATTAAAGAAATTTTAATTATGTTCATTTAATCTTATTTTTATAGATTGAATACAAATCCGATATAAAAATTTTCAAATTTAAAATGGTATAAAAGAAGCATTTTTTAAATTTTAACATTCCCCATATTAAGTACCATTTTGAATTTGACAATTTTTGACATTGAATTCATACTCAATGACCTAAAATATCTTTAAGAACTACTTAGTTAAATCGACAATGATCTAATTGTATGTTAACTTCTGCAATACACATACTAATGTTTAACCATGGAGATTTCTTATTAACCACAACAGACATGAAAAATTCCTTCTGAGACTTGAAAGTCCTAACAGCATACTTTACTTTGATTGCAATAAAATTTCTCTTCAATTTTAATTTAAAATTTCTCAAAATTGTGACTGATGGAGCAATTTGGAAACCGGATTTGTATTTATCATCCAAAAAACTATAAGAAACGATTAATCTCGTTCTGGTGTTTGGAAAAAAAAATATTTTTTGTTGAACAGTGTTTTGCAAAGTTAGTTTTACCTAAAAAATATGATTACATTACATAAGTATAAGAAAAATTACATATAAAAGAAAAAAGGGCTAATCTTTATCTATACATCTTTATGATTGAAGCCAAGTGTCATTAACGAGATTAATAGATTCTTACAGAATTGATCTGTCGAGTCTAAGGATAGAACGCAGTAGAGCAGGTTTATCGTCGATTCCAGCTGAAGACGATTGACGCAGGTGATCAACTGGACATACGGAAAGGTCTTGAATTCCGTCAATGCCGGCAGAACAAACATGCGGATTGGATCGGACAGTCTCGGAGAAAACACACTCTTGCACATTTCTTGGAGCACGAGCGTAGAGAATTCTTCCTTCCGGTCCACGTAAGAGATCAGGTCCAGCGGTCGTTTGAGCATGTCGAGTAGACACTTGGAGATCGGGGTGGGCGCGACCGACGTTGCCTCCACCATCAGAGGCACTTTCTCGTCCAGCAGCTTTCTCAGCTGCTCGAAGTAGCTGTGCTGGATTAAATAAACGAATATGCTCTCCAATTGCCAGTAACTGTTCTCGCGTAGCACCTTCTCCGTGTCCTCTCGCGTGGTGAACGCCTCCAGAACACGCAACGGTATCGCCAAGGAGTAAGCTCCGTCTGGGAGGGTCTTTGTGTTGTACCGCATACACATGCAAAGGATCCACCTGCATACGTGAATTCATGAATTATTCAAGATATCTTGTCAATACTCTTATCTAATATATTTTCCAGATTTTATTAGATAATTTATATATATTATATCATTCATTATTTCTATATTATATATTATATTAGATATATATATATAAATTATAGATTATAAATTTAATTATATATTTTATTATTATAATATTAATATTATATATATATTATAATATATCATAATATATCATATATAATATTAATATATATATAAATTTATTTCTTTATAATATATTTATATAAAATGCAAATAATAATAGTAGAACAGTTCTGAATATAACGTACATTTTCCATTTCACATTTCTTTAGCATTATCTTTTACATTTATAGCCTACCGCAATCGCCACAACCATTGCGATGAGCTTATGGACTTTAGCTTGATGTCTCTCTGATGCTTCAGGAAATGCTGCAGAAGCCATATCAGTCTGTTGGTGTCTGAGACGCGATTGTAAAAGAAGAGGAGCTTCCTCAAATAGGGCACCAGCTCGTCCAGACTCAAGTTCCTACGTCCTGTAGCCTGTTGCGCTTCATCAAACTCCTTCCTCTTCTGTGTATACTGCTGCCTCCTGGTGACGAAGCTGCGCGCGCGCGCCTGTATCTTCAATGCAGCGTCATGCTTTTTCCGCTGCTGCTCCCTCTTCAATCTCTCTAGCTGAGCGTGCTGCAGAAGGACAGTCCTCTCATCTCGTCTGCTGGCTCCTGCCAGATTCTGTTGTGGCTTGCGCCTGTAGTCTCCCTCAAAGCTATACATGCTGACGCATGATCAGTTGCCTGATACCTTAATTCTAATTCTCTGAAAAGGTTCAATACATTATTAGACATTTTATTTTATATACATATATAGATATTGTATATTTTGTTATATATATTTTATTATATATATAAATATCCAATATATTATACATATTTGTGCATTATTAAATAATTTGAGTCAAAATTATGCATTATTGTCTTGTATTCTTTAAAAATAATTTTGTTTTAGATGTATATGAGAAGTATTAATGAATAATATAATTTAATAAATATAAAATGTAATGAATATCATAATATAAAATTAATAAATTTATATGTTGCACAAGAAATATTAATAAGATTTTATATATATACATAGATGTATATATATCAATGATACTCTATTAAATTTTTTACAGGGTTTTAGACGTGGTTTTTTCTTGCATAAAATATTTATATCTCTTATTCTCTTAAATATTAATATCTCTTTACTTACTTTTGATACAAACCAATGATACAACACTGCTATAACTATGGAGGTAAAGTGAACTTTCATTCCCCAGGAACAAATTAACGACACGTCTCCAGTATATATATAATATGTATATAATTAACGTTTATAATATTCTCTCATCGAAGAAGAGATCACTTTCGAGAGGAAAATATATATCTTCCAATATTCAAACTTCGACTCTCCTCGTCGAAGGTTAAGCTCGCCGAACCTTCTCGATCGAACTCGTCGATCTACAATGGACACTGCAAATCGTCCACCCTGGATTCCGAGAACGTTCGTCCTCGCGCCGGACGATGACGACGCCTAACCGATGAGTTTACGGCTTTTTATGCTGACTACACGTACAACGTCCAGTCATCTAGAGGCTCGCCATGTTTTTCAGGCTCTCCTGCCGAAAACCAATGCCGTCGCGCCAACCCGCCGGGAACCAGGCTCCCGTAATCGCGTCCGTAGCTTCGAGACAGCTCCGAGGACTCGAGGCCTCGCGGCCCTACAGGCCCTCTCCGACAGGAACACTCTCGTGTCCTCCGACTGAACCGCACTTTCGGCAGACGCAGAGCCGCGTCGCCGTGTTTGGGGCTTCCGAGTGAACCCCCGGGCGCCCCGAATACTCCTACGACCCTGACACGTCCCTAAGTTCGGCAGCGTTGAAATAACTTCGGCGGCGCGGCAGCTCGCGCACGCGTGGCGCGCCAGCCAATCACGGCGCGGGAGCTCGCGCGTGCGCGGCGCGCCGGCCAATAGGAACGCGGCGGCCCGCACAGGCGCGGCGCGCGAGCCAATAGGAGCGCGGGAGCTCGCGCTGCCACGCATGCGCGAGCCAATAGCAGCGCGGGAGCTCGCGCAAGCGTGGTATCAGTGAAGTAGCTAGTTCAAACTTGAGAATTATTGTTCGGGCGCCATTCAGTCGCTCTTTTTGAATGTTTTCTGAATACTTTTTTCATCGCGTAGAATTCAAAAGATGAAGAAAAGAAATAATAATAATAATAATATTTATTACGAGGGGGTAACCACTCAGAAAATATGTGTACACCTGGACTTCTGACTTCAAGACTTCACCGGACTTCATCGGATTTCATGGACTTCGTAGACTTCATCGGACTATGCCGGATTTCGTCGGATTTCGCTGGACTTTGCCGGACTTTATCGGATTTCATTGGACTTTGTCGGACTTTACTGGATTTTATCGGACTTCGAGGAATTCAACGACTTCAAGGAATTCATCGGACTTTGTCGGATTTCATCGGACTTTGTCGGACTTTGTCGGACTTTGTCGGACTTTATCGGACTTCGAGGAATTCAACGACTTCAAGGAATTCATCGGACTTTGTCGGATTTCGTCGGACTTTGTCGGACTTTATCGGACTTCGAGGAATTCAACGACTTCAAGGAATTCATCGGACTTTGTCGGATTTCATCGGACTTTGTCGGACTTTGTCGGACTTTGTCGGACTTTATCGGACTTCGAGGAATTCAACGACTTCAAGGAATTCATCGGACTTTGTCGGATTTCATCGGACTTCGTCGGACTTTGTCGGACTTTGTCGGACTTTATCGGACTTCGAGGAATTCAACGACTTCAAGGAATTCATCGGACTTTGTCGGATTTCATCGGACTTCGTCGGACTTTGTAGGACTTTGTCGGACTTTACTAGACTTCATCGGACTTCGAGGAATCAACGGACTCCTGACAGGTTGTACACCAGAATTCAAGAGTGGTTACCCCCTCGATTTATTATTATTATTATCTCGCGAGGAAAAAGTGCGCGGTTGCCGCGCATGCGCGGGAAGAACGGTCGCTCGAATCGGGCGCGAATTCTCGAGGCCTCGAATGGCCGGCGCGGCGTCTCGCGCGCCGGCCGACTCCGAGGATGCGGGAAGATGGCGGCGGAGTCGGGCAAGGTGAGACGTGCCGTCGAGGACGCGACGCCGACAGCGACGACGGCGACGACGGAGAGGGAGGACGCGCCGCGCCGACGTCTCGAGTATTACCGATTTCGCATCACCGACCTCCTGTACTACGCGCTTTCGGTCAGTTTCTTTTTCGCGGACGTAGCAACAGGTGAACAAAGAGTACTCTGTCCCCTTCTCCCTCTCCCAAACACGTAATACGCATGCACGGGGTGTCCCGGGATTTTGCAACCCTCGATGACAGGTGTCAAGTTTTCCGGCTGACGGATTTTGTGCGCGAGAAAAAAGGCCTTTTTTTCCATCTATCATTCGAGTATGAATATTTTGACATTTTTGCGAAATTTTTTAGTCATGTCGATACAATTTTCTGAATATTAATTTTCTTGTTTATTCTGTTGTAATTACTGATTTGAATTTACGGGACACCCTGTATATAAAGATATTTTTTTTTTCGACGACGCTAATTAAGATTATCGCAATTTTGCTAAATTCTGTAACTTTTTTTTAGAAAAACTATCCAACTTTTTTTTTAAATTTACTTCTAGTTTATTTACAATAGAAAGAAAAAAATATATAAATAATATGATAATTTTTATTAACGTTGTCGAAATATTTTTTTCTTATTCTAATATTTGTCATATGACGTTATACTTATATATAAAATACTTGCATACTCAAGGCATGCGATTGTAAAAATTTGCATTAGTGGGAAAAGCTTTTGTCTTTGTACAGTGAACACTTTGTAAGATATTTTTCACACACACAGACAGCATTGTATGTGTGGGATACCTTTTGCAAGGCCACTCAGCGTGGGGATGCTTTGCAATGGGTTTCACCATCTTACCCGCTTGTGTTACCCAACTATTTAGTTTGAGATGGCATCGCAGCGACGGTTCTCTGTGGACTGTTCACTGGTTATGGCACTTCTTGCTGCTCGGCTTTTTGCACAGGTATTTTATCATTTATGTTTTTGCACAATTTCTTCAGCCAGATATTGTTTTCCTAGTTTCTTGTAAATTTATATAATATAATTTATATGTAAGTTATAATTTTATTTCATTGATTAATTATTCATATCTATTTATGTATTTGTCTTCAGGTATCTGACGTTGTTTTGCACCGCAATGCACTCTTTGAGAAATAAATCAAGCTTCAGCAGAGACAAGAGCTGGGTCTATCGACAAGAGAGTGATATATGTATGCTGCATTTGTTTGAATCGTTTATGGGAGCTGCGCCACAGTTGATACTACAGCTGTACATTATTGCGAAATTAAATCATGCTCCACTTTCAACGAGTAAGTGTTATTTATAATTTTTTTACGCTTCTTTATATATAATTTTGGTCTACATTTATAGATACATTTTATGTATCTTTTTCTTCTGCTTTTTCGTAGTATCTCTTTGTTCTTTTATTCTACCTGAATATATGCTTATTTAATTTGAAAAGATTTTTAAATCTAAGAAAATTATATATATATATATATATATAGATATTTTATTTACATTTAATACAAATGTTTGAATATACATATATACAAATTTCTCTCTGCGAGAATATTTAAGAAATAATTTATAAAGATTATCTTATATCATGTTTGAGGGAAAATTTAATACTATATTTCTTATATGTCATATAAAATAATCACAAGCTGTCTGTATAAAAAATGCAATAAAACATGCGATGTATTCATATAAATGAAACACGTAATGTTTTATGAAATGAAGCAGGTGGATGTTTCATATAAACGAGTAGTCGAATAATTTGAAATCGTTCTCGTAGATTTTGTAAATCTCGTCGAGAAGCGAGCGAGGTATCCCGGTAACGTATTCGTTGAGCATTTCCCTGTTAGTCGCGCCCTGAGGATTGATGTTTCCGGAAGTCTCACATCGTAGAGATAATCGTGCAGTCCTGCGTCCTGCACGAGGAAGCTTTGATCCCGGTCCAGGGTTTCTAGCTTCAGTATGTAATCGTAGCGGAGCGCGCACGGCTCGCAGGTGCGATAATACGGCGTCCAGTGCTCGTCGAAGTGCCTCTCCTTGGCGATGAATCGCAGGAATTCCGCGAAAGTTGGCTCCAGTCTCGTCGTATTCTCGCCGGATTGCCGATACTTGAGCACGATCCGCCGTCCGAAGCGTTTGTAGTAATATTCGCGGCCCCGCCTGTGCTCCAACTTGTCCCTGTACGCGGACAGGAGACGCTCCAGCGGGTGTCGCACAATCAGGAATTTCTTGGTTTCGCTCACCTTCTGAAAATTTAACGCACATCTCAGATCTGACGATTGCGATATCAAATTATTGTATAAAATTATTTTGTATATTTAAAGTTTCTCTATTTTTTTTATTTATTTTATATTTATTATAATTAATTTGATGGAGGTACATATGCTTACAAGCATTTATTTTAGATATTTTTTTATATTAATATTTGATTAATAATTTATTTTTATTTACACAGACATTTAATTTATATTTTTATTATTTTATTCATTAGGTTTTTTAAATTTATATTATTTATATATTTTTTATTATATTTTATTTATATATTATATTAAAATTAATTTTTATATCATATTTATTATACATATATTTTTATTGCATTTTTTAATATGTGTAATCATGATTGATAAAAATAGCAGTCTTAAAAAAACGGAGTATAAATCTCACCTCGTAGGTCTTATTAAAATTCTCGTCAAGTCGAAACTTCTGTCTCACAATATCGCTGACTTGTATTAGGTTGCGTCGAATTGAATCCATAGTAAAGTCCGTCAGAGCACCTCTCAATGCGGCAAAATAAATCATCCACGTGGAACTTGCTGCTTTATATATAGGGCACCACGATATCTTGTGCTCCCTTCGAATCGAATTCTTGATTATCGTTCAAATTCATTTTTATACTCTTCTTTATTATTTTATAAATGTTTAATTTTTCTTCTCAGATCTCGTGAATTATATGTAATACATTTTTTATATTAATATTATATATTGTATATATATATATATATATATATATATATACATATAATATATATATAAATACACATATATATATATATATATATATATATATATGTGTGTACTCAAGTAGCAAACTGACGTCACTAAACGTCAAATGACGTCACTAAACGTCAAATGACGTCATTAAATATCATTAAACGTCAAATGACGTCAGTTTGCTACTTGGGATATTTATATATAGATTGTTTTCGAAAAAAAAAAAAAAAAATGTTTTTCACTTACGTGTCGATGATCATGTTAGTTAGCGTGCCTTCCAAGCGCGATTCCTTATTCAGGCTTTCCATTGTTTTGCACACGCGGGCCACTCGTCGTCTTCTGCTGTCCAGCTCCCTTTTAACATCCTCCATCTGATTTTGCGACATCGTTGCACGCGGTAGTATTATTATTTCGGACGCGTATTCCGACGCCGCATACCTCGGCGATGCGGTCGATTCTATGTTTGTCTTCCTCTCCATCATGTAAGTTCGCGTTAGGTTCGTCGTTATTAACAATACAACGGTGCCGATCGTCATCAATAGCACGATCGATTTTATCACCGTTACTTGTCTCTGTAATCGATGTAACAAATTTGAACAAAATTTTTTTATACTCTTACATTTGGATTTATTTTATTATTAGTTTTTTGTTATGACATCATTTTGACATTCAATGACGTCAGTCTGCTACGGGGGATAACAAAAAAGCAGACTGACGTCATTTTGACGTTCAATGCCGTCAGTCTGTTACCATATATAATAATATATGGTAGCATATATATATAATAATATACTAATATATAGTATATTATTATATATATGCTACCATATATTATGATATATGGTAGTAGACTGACGTCATTGAACGTCAAAATGACGTCAGTATAGGTAGTACATATATATAATAATATATTAACATATATAAATAATAAAAAATCCAAGTGTGCGAGTCAAATAACGTCATTTTAACGTTTAATGACGTCATTTTGGCGTTTAATTATATCACTTTGCTACTTGGGACCTTTTTAGAACGTTTTTATTGTAGAAAAAAAAAATTAACACTTTGGACATCACCTGGACATACCTGCTTCAGGGAAAAGAGCCTTTTCGCGAGGTGATAAGAACCGGTCTTCAGTAGAAACGGATAGACGGTGAAATTTTCATTGCCGTTCGACGCGTCTATCATGTTTGAAACCTAGTCTAGAGGAACTACCACGTTGTATCACTGTACCACATATGTCGAGCTTGGAAAATTGGAATATGAAGAGAGAGAGAAAGCGAGCTATCTGATGAAGAGAAGGCGCTATTTTTTTTCCTTCACCACCGTCTCTCCTCCCTCGCAACGTCCTTGTTCGCCCCCGGGGCAGATAACTGGATGGCGGAAGGGATCCCGATTGTTCCTTTATCTCTCGACGCTGTTATCTGACTCTTCTCCGGAGAACAATAATAATGCGCGGTGACGCGAGAGAGAGTGAGAGAAAGATCCTCCCTCGCGTGCTCCTCTTCGGTTTTAAATATAAAGCGACGTAACGCGAAGCGAAGCGAAGCGTATTCAAAAATAGAAGCCGAAAGAAAGGCAACGGATCGTCATGGAAAAAATATAAAGTTTCTCGCACTTCCTTTATTTGCCTCTTCTCAAGGTCTAATTAGTTGCGCGAGGTGGTGGAATATATGAAGAAATATCTATATCCTCTGTGTTTTTGTGGCACGAATAAGGATCGAATGATAATATAAAGTAATAATAATATTTTTATTAATAATTTTAATGAAAGTTAATCGATTATATTAATAATAATTTTTATACATTTTTTCTCTTATATATTCCTTTGCGATATCAAGGATATATTAGGAATTAGGATTTAATTTTAGATTTTGTTCTACGACGATTCAATGTTATATATTTTATATTTATGAATTATATTTAGAATGTATAGTTTAGAATTATATATTTATAATATATAATGTAGAATTTTATTTAGAATATATAGGAAAATTATATAATTATATTTATGAATTTTTAAATTTATTCTATATAACATTAATATTATGTGTATAGTATTATTTAATATATTTAATGTTAATATTATAATTAATATTTATATTTATTATGAATTTACATTATATATAAATATTAATTAAAATTTAATATCATATTAAAATGATTAATATTATATATAAATATACATTAACATTATATAGAATATATTCATAAATATAATTATGAATACATTCTACATAATGTTAAATATATTTATGCATAATATCAATCATTATAAATATAATTCATAAACATAATTATGTATATTCCAAATATAAATATATATATGTATATTTCTAAGCATAATTTTCTAAACTACATTCTAAATATAATTCTATATATAAATTATATATTAATATCATCAAATAATATATAGTTATAAGGATAGATTATATTAATTTAAATAGTAATATTATAAAAATATTACTATTTAAATTAATATAATTTTTTATTGTTGTCCAGGTGCTTCGGCCGTAGCTTCCTTTTGTTCCCTGACATGGGCCGTGAGTACGTACATGAGAGCCATGCACAATATCAATCGCGAGCGCAGCAACGCGACCTGGGTCGCTCTCGTTTTTCAAGCCTCTGGCGTGGCGGTATGTTGCTGTCCAGAATCGGGGTCCTCGTGTTAGCCGCCATTTTTTTGAGAGCGTGGTTCTTCTTGTTTCTGGGTAAGTCTCCCCAACAAGAAGGAAAACAAGGAAAGAGAGTTTATTATTAAGAAAAGCGACCAGTCCTTATCATCAATCACAAACATATGTGATTTGCTACGCGATTTACAATGTCCTACCACATCGCTTCAAGATTTTTCAAGGAAGGAACTCGGATAGCAAGCATATGTCATTTAATGACGTCAGTTTGCTATTTGGGAGTTAACAAATTAGAAATGTAAAATAATTAAATTTATTTGAAAAAAAAATGAGATTTATATCAAAATCAAGGACAAAATTGATGTAAGTTAGTTTCTGTAGGATAAAGAAATATAATGTTAATATACATATTTATATATAATATTAATATTATAATATTGATTATTTATGTAATATTAATATTTTTATTAATATGTATTTATGTTATATAAAATAAATAAAAAAATTCATAAGAGTCTTCTGTAAATTAAAACACAGCATTGAGCTGATGATTTTGGTATGAAAAAAACTGAATAATCGCATTTTGCAGGTCTGCATTGGCTGTTCATGACCATCTGGGTGATCCTGCAGAAGACGGAGTTCTGCCCAACCGTGTGGGAGGAGCGCATCTACAATTGCATCATCGGGCTGATCTACTGCTTCGATTTTTTCAATTTGCGCGAGGGCAGGTCGCGTTACCGCGTCCTCGTCTTTTACACGGTGATCGTGGCGCAGAATCTGATCCTCCTGATCATGTACGCGTTGCGTTTCAAGGACACGATCGCCAACGATACGATGATCGCAATAGCGTCCGGGATAATCGGCGCTATGCTTGTCGGTTTGACGAGCATGTCGTTGTACTACGGCAAGTTTCACCCGTCGAGGACGACGACGACGTCTACGAAGGGAATCTCGAGCCGGAACATCGACGAGAACTCGCACGCGACCTTGAACGCTGCAAAGACCGACAGCCCTGGCAAGTCTTTCAAGCTGTTCTATCGCGGCTCCCACGTGTCGTTGCACCACTCCATTGACATCTCGCCGAGGACCGAGGAGGGCGAGGTGGCCACCGACAAGCAGTCCCTGCTGACGAATATCGCGCAGATTTCGGACTGCGCCGAGGAGGGCATCGTGAATCGCAACTACAGCTCGGAGAACGAGTCCAACGCGAGCGTCGTGCGGGTCTCCACCGAGTGCGAGAGGCCGCACAGTCGTGTTGGTGCGAAGCATCAAGAGGAGATCGCGTCGAGCGACAATAATCCGGAGAACGGCAGCCCGGCGTCCCTGTATCCGGGCCTGCTTGACATCGACTCCTCCCGAAAGCGTCACGGCATCTACGAGCACGATATTACGTCGCAACTGGACGACTGGCGCGCGCCCGACATACAGAACATCGACCTGCTTGATCAGCTCGACAACTCCGAGCGGAACAAGTCTCTCTCGTTCGATTCCTGTTCCAGCAAGGTGAACGGCGCGTTGGACGTTATCAAGAACAGAGGAAAATTGACGACCCCAACGCCGTTGGAAAGCGGCAGGATTTTCGATATAGAAAAGGTAGAGTCCAAGGTCCTGCAGAAGCAGCAGCTCTTTCACAGTTTATTTTTTATCTTATTGAATTTAATTTTTATATTTATATTTATAAGTATTATTAATAGTATATACCAGTATATGTATACTAGTGTATACTAGTATATTAGTATAATTATTAATAGTACATACTAGTATTATTACTTATTATAATATATATATATATATTAAAATATGCTAAATATTATATACTATATTACTATTATATGTACTAGTATATACTATAAATAATAATTATACTAGTATTTATTAGTATATTATAGTAAATAATAATACTAGTATATACTAATAAATAATTTATACTTGTATATTAGTATATATACTAGTATAATTAATATAATACACTAGTATAATTACTTGACATAATATACTAGTAAATACTAGTATACAAGTATAATTATATTTATTAGTATATACTAGTATTATTATTTACTATAATATACTAGTAAATACTAGTATAATTATTATTTATAGTATATACTAGTATATATAATAGTAATATAGTATATAATATTCAGCATATTTTAATACGCAATTATATAATTATTTATTATATTTATATAATTATACTATATACTAAATATACTATTATATATTATATACTATACTATTTATGTATTATATTATTATATACTATATATATTACTATATACTGATGCACATACTAATTTCTTTATTGTGTTTCCAGCAGCAACAGCAACAACGGGACGACACGATGAGTTGCGTGACGTCGATCCACGATTACGAGAACGTGTGTCCACTGGGTATCGCTCGGCCGCCGTGGTGCATCCGCAGCTGGAAAGGCTACATGGACATCGAGACGTACATCCACGACGACAGCGTGGTGCGTGACTGTCGGCGAGACACCTTGACGAGTACGACTGGGACGACGTACAGCTCGGAATATTCCGACGGTATGATTTCGCGCGGAAAGCAGGACGATTACGCGGACGCTCTGACTTACGATCTGGTAGAATCCAAGGATAGATCCAAATCTTCGTCTTACGGCGACAACACGTTTTCCGCGTCCTCCGACGTCGACGATCGGACGGCCAGTCTGTACGTCGCGAAGCCGGTGGTGATCGACGACCGGGGCGGCATGCTTGCCCTGGACACGATCTTAGAGGAGCGCGACGACTCGTCGGACGAGAATTTCCCGCATGGGATGGAGGCGTCGCGCGACTGTTCCGCGAGCACCCTGGTGAGCACGATAGACCAGATCAGGCGCTACACGGCGGAGAATTCGCCGCGACACGTTTACCACACCACCGAGACTCAGTGGGAAGATCTGAGCCCCAAGAACCTGATGGCGCGAGCGAGCTTCGCCCGGGTGCTTTTCGACAACGACCTCAGGAACTCCTCGACGACGGTCGGCCCGGTTGATCTGACCGCGCGGGACGTCGAGAAGCGAGAGATAGACGCCATGAGGGAGTTTGTCCGGTGCTGCGCGATAGAGTCCATCAAGAAGACGCCTCTGATAGAGGCGATTCTATCGGACTCGCCGATTTTAGGTAGTAGAGCGAGCAAGCTGGTGCGACAGGTCACGTTCGCGGATCCCAAGGACGAGTTCGACGCGAGCGAGGGCGATCTCTACGTGGAGATGAGACCCCTGGTGTCCGTCGAGAACGGGGAGAAGACCGGCGAGACGGAAAGCTCGTTCAAGAGAAGTAACCCGACTACGATTTCGGAGAAATCGCCGGACAAGGAGAATCTGGCGCCGATTAGGTTCAACACCAGCATCAGGCGGATCAGCAACATGATGTACGACAACGGCGATGGCTGCGACAGTCGTGCTTGGACCATAGAGAGAGACGACAAGAGCGACAGATCGTTGTGCAATGTGCGTTTCAATCTGAAGGAGAAGAGACACCTGTTTCTGGAACAGGTTCTCTCCCCGGTTCCGAAACTCTGGAACAAACGTATCTCTTTTCATCCAAGCACCAAAAATTTGTAGCAAATGGCTCTTCGGATCTAGCGAACTCGTTAAATCGAGTAATTGATTGGAGGTTCAATTTTTTAATCAAACATTTATTGTAGTCAGTAATTTTTTCATTCTCATATTGTAAAATATTCAGTTTGACGTTTAATGACGTAGTTTGACGTTTAATGACGTCAGTTTGACGTTTAATGATGTCAATTTTACGTTTAATGACGTCAATTTGCTACTTGGGTCCCCAGGTAGTAAGCGTACGTCATTTTGACGTTGAATGACGTCATTGGATATAAAAATGACGTCATAGACGTTATTAGATGTCAAAATGACGTCAGTTTGCTACTTGAGTCATTTTTATCGAATACAAAAAATTATAAACAGCGAGTAATCCTTCATATTATATATATTTGATAACTTCAATCGGCAGCTCAGTTTTTTTATCTTGCTCAAGTATTCTCATTTATGTTTTAAGAATTTTCTAGGATTTTTTTGTAAGACTTTTGTAAAATAAGCTCACGAAACGTGATTAGAATTAATTTTAAATCCATCGGAATATTGAATATATATATTTTTTGTGATGATGTTATCAGTTTTTTCCACGCGTATCTGGAGATTAATCAGGAACATGATATAGTTGAATGCAGCGGAAAGGATTAAGAATAATCACACCATAGTACAAATGTACCGCAGTATATTACGTCACTCGTTAATTTTACACCGCACAAACTGTAAAACTTTTTATCCACGACTTTAAGCTGCACCGCGTTTTATCTTTATAGATGACAGAGAGTGAACGCGATGTTAGCGTGTGATACGCGCCGTCCTCCATTGTTATAAAGACATATAGTTATAAAAATATACAGGGTGTCCCAGAACTGGCGGAAAAGTTTGTAATGGCAGATTCCTGGTATTATTTGAAGACGATTTTTCCTTAGTGAAAATGTTGAGAGAGACCATCATTTTTAGCATGTCCCCAATTTTTGTTACATATTATGTATCTTTATAACTAAGCCTTATATTAAAATTCTATTAAAGCAAAGTTTACCTAAATTAACTGAAGAATGTAGTTCTGTTAATATTTTATTTCCACAAGGCTTAGTTTTCAAAAAAGCCTTTATTTTCAACTGCTTATAATTCGAAAATTATTGGTGTCTCGACATTTTCGCTGAGGAAAATTCGTCTCCGAAATCTGCCATTAAAAACTTTTTTACCAGTTCTGGAACACCCCTGTATATAAATATTGCGCTTTTGCGATCCTTTTAATTAAATGTATATAAAATGACATATTTTGTATGTACACCGAGATTATTTTTTTAATTTTTTACTTTTATATGTACAATAAAAAGACTTTGCGTAAAAGATGTGAAACGATTCAGCATTGTTCAACATGAAATATTCGAATTATGTATATTATTATTATTAAAATTCAAACAAATTTTCTCAGCTCTCGGAGAAGTTTTAATAACATTTGTAATTTATAAAAGTCGAGATAAGATAGATTTGTCGCACAAATTATTTTTTAATTTAATATAAATTTTGTCTTTTAAAAATTTATAATTATATTTGTAACTTGATATATCAAATTATGTTATACTAATTGTATTAATATCAAATTATATATAGGGTGAAAAAAAAGTAATAGAAGATTGATGCTCTTTAAAAGATAAATAATTTATGCTATAAATATAATTATGTATAAAAGATAAAATGATTTATATTAAATCATTATTATTGTTAATTAATAATAATTACAAATTAGAAAGGCTAAAATAATAACTATACAAATTAAAATTTTATTGTTAAAATTCAAAGAAATTTTCTCAGCTCTCGAAGAAGTTTTAATAACATTTGTAATTTATAAAAGTCGAGATAAGCAAAATTGTCGCACAAATTTTTTAATTTAATATAAATCTTGTTTTAAAAATCCCTGATTATATTTGTATAACTTGATATATAAAAATTTTACATTAATTATTATATATAGGGTGAGAAAAAAAGTAGCAAAACATTGAATATAATTTATGCTACAAATATAATTATGTATAAAAGATAAAATTTATATATATTAAATCAAAATTATAATATATAATAATTTGTACAACAAAATTTATTTCGACTTTTATAAATCTAAAAATTATTTTAAAAAAGCCGACAAAATTTCTTTTATATAAAATATATATATATATATATATATATATATATATATATATATATATATATATACACACCCAGATAGAGCCACAGTAATTATGACATCATTTTGATGTCAAAATGGGTATATATATATATAATATATTAAAAATTATATAAATATATAATTTAAAAAAAAAATTTTTTTGTTGAAAAAAATCCCTAGATTCTTCGCTGAAAAATTCCCCAAAAAGGAGAACTGACGCGCCATCTGGCGGCGCGCGCTTAGGTTGGGTTATATTGGGTTAGGTTAGGCAAGAGATTTCCGCGAGCGAAGCGGAGTCCCTCGGCGCTTCGTAGCGATTGCGACGTGAGAGCAGACGTGGACGAGGATATTGGGTCGAGGAATACGGGAGGACGGACCTGGATCGGTCGCGTTCGCGCGGTCGCTCGAATTTCGCGGCCCCGGGGAAGCCATGACCGGGAGAGCGTCGTCCGGAGTCACGACGCTGCGATAGCGCTGCTCCTGAAAGGGCCGTTCCATATCAGCGACACATGGATGCGACCAACGGGCAGAAGCCCCACGGGGGTGAGGGTGATTTTCTTATTTTTAGAGAGTTAATTAGATACGTCAATTTCGAGAAATTATAATAGCTGATGACACGGTTATTAATTTTATTTTGTAAAATTATTTTATTTTAAATATATATATTTAATTTTTATAATTCAATCTGCACGTTTTTTAAATATGATGATTATTGGAGAAATTATTCTACTATTTTTATTTTTACTTATTTATTTATTCAATTTTTACAACTCATTTAATTGTCTGTTCAATTATTTCGAATCAATTATTTTATTATTTATTTTTATTTATTTATTCGAAAAAAATAGTTATATTTACATAACACATGGTATATTTATTCTTGATAAAACACTTAGTCTTTGAATATGTTTAAAATTATAATTTAATGTAAATTTATTATAAATATATATATATATATATACATTAATTATAAATTTATTATAAATATATATATACATTAAATTATAATTTTAAACATATTCAGAGACTAATGTGGAAAAGTGTTTTATCAAGAATAAATATACCATGTGTTATGTAAATATAACTATTTTTTTCGAATAAATGAATAAAAATAAATAATTGAATAAATAATAAAATAATTGATTTGAAATAATTGAACAAACAATTAAATGAGTTGTAAAAATTGAATAAATAAATAAGTAAAAATAAATGGTAGAATAATTTCTCCAATAATTATTATATTTAAAAAACATGCAGATTTAATTATATATATATGATATAATTTAAATATCTTTTATGCAAGGAAAATGAATTTATGACAATATAGATTGATAAACTAAACTTGTTTTGCAGCGGGACAATCCTCTGGAGGAGGAGGAGGAGCAGCAGGAGGAGGAGGAGCAGGAGGAGGAGGAGGAGCAGGAGGAGGAGGAGGAGCAGGAGGAGGAGGAGGAGGAGGAGGAGGAGGAGGAGGAGGAGGAGGAGGAGGAGGAGGAGGAGGAGGGGGAGGAGGAGGAGGAGCACCTATCTCCTCCGATAAGGGTAAGGAGTGGCAAATGGAGCTGCTGATGGAGAAATTGCGTTCCAAGGCCTCCACGTTCAAGCCTTTGGTGGAGACGGCCAAGAACATGCGTATGGCCATGGTGAGTGGCTTCCGTTACTTTGAAAATTGTAGGTGCGATTGTGAGAAATTATAAAGATTTTTTTCTATAAACAGGATAAGCGATTCGTGATCGACAGCGTAGAAAGGAATCAGTTGCAGAAATGTTTGGACACCCTACAACATTCTATCAAAGTCACTTCCTTCCAGTCCATGGTGGAGCGGCTGGAAAGTTTGGCGAGACAATTAGGGTGGGTGTCTGCTACTTATTTGTGTAATAACATGCATTGTTACTTTCTCAGCTTCTTAGTGATTTTTAGACCAGACTTTATTAAGCTTTATTATTTCAAACAGAATAAATATTTTTATTATATCTATGATTATCAAAAGCATGTCGTTGAAATTTATATTTTAATAATATACAAATATTATAATTAAATTACATCAAATTAGTTGGATTTTTTAAATATCAATATTAATAAAATAAAATAAAATAAATAAATAACATAAATAAAATAAAAATAAATTATATTAAATAAATTAAAGTAGACTCAATTATATAATAAATAAAGTGTTATTGTAATATATATATGTGGTATATTTTATCATATTTTCAAATTTGTAATTCATATCTTCTGATAGTAATACTGTTTACATAAATTGATCTTACACCATTGTCTTATTACGCAGATTAAAGTTCATGATGTCTGGTCCTCCAGGCACAGAAATATTCATATCCTCCGATATGTTCTTCTTGGAAGTTCTGTTGGAACCGTCAGGACTTGTTAGAGACGTCAAGATCCATCACGAGGGAAAGAGTGAGCAACAGGTGACTATCATATGCTTCTTTTTCTCATTACTTTATTTCGAATTTACTAACAATCTTGAAAATTGTCCTTGCAGAGCTGCGAAGCGCTGGCATCGGCTCTGTCGCGCGGCGACTTCGTCGACTTCACCACCCAGCTGGAAGGATTGGCATCGATATATCAACTGAACGCCGATAAGAAAGTCAAGTGTAAAGCATTCAGTGCTTTGCAATCTCTGGAGGCTGATCTGGGTGTTTTGGCGCAGCTGCAAACATTTATGAAGGAGCCATTCAATCTGGTTCACAAGAGTCCCGTCGGTTAGAAATTTTTTATATATCTTGTATAGCTTGCGTTTCGCAGATAAAACGTCGAGGAAGCTGTTATTTATTTATTTATGCACAAAAGTGCATTTATATGTTTCTGCGATGCATAATAATTTACTGAATCGTTATCCAGGAATTTTGGAGAGAAGAAGAGGCGGCCATCCGATGAAGTTGACGTATTTCGTCTCGCCATACGATTTGATCGACGAAGAGAATCAAACCTACGATGTTCTGAATCCCGATGTCATCGTGAAACGGAAAATCGGTCACTCGGTAACCGTTTGTATGGAAGGTTCCATGGGTCACAAGCTTCCCACATCTAGTATTATAACTGTAAATAGAAGTCCCACGGGCAAGAGGTACATTGGATGAAACCATACTTCTGATATTTATTTATTTTATTTATTTATTTATTTATTTTATTTTATTTATTTTATTTATTTATTTTATTTATTTATTTTATTTATTTATTTTATTTATTTATTTTAAGTATATTTATATATTTATTTTTTATACAATATAATAATAACATTTTATTGTTTATTTCTTATGCTTTTTCCGTTTCTTTAATTTGATTGCGATTAGAAATTCATGTAACAACTATGTTACTTCTTCCAGTACACCCTCCTACGCTCCGTTGACCAGCACAAACTCCTCCATGCTGCCCGCCTGCTTCGTGCTGAAGCTTGGCAAGAAGATGCCAATCTGTATGGAGCTGGTGAGGAGAATACAGAAAGTTACAGAGCTGGAGTGCGGCGACATCTCCGCACCACATCCTATGCTCAGCCTGATAATACAGCATGCAAGTGATGGTCAGCTGGATTGTCGCAATAACAGGGGTTTGTACGTGGTGAGTTGGCGAGTTTCATAAATATTTTTTAAGTTCTGATAACACTGTTAACAACAAAAAATGGCTTTTTTTAGAACATCAGAACGAGAGTTTCTTATAGTTTTTTAGAAGTTGAATTCCATTACGTCACAATTTTGAGAAATTTTTAATTAAAATGCACAAAAGGGTTATTTTCAAAAACTTTGTCATATTAAATTATAACTATAATAAAGTGTGTTGTTAAGGCTTTCAATCGTCAAAAGGAATTTTTGGTATCCAGTCAAGAAGACTAAATATGAGCTGTAGATGCTTGCGAAAGTTAGCTGTGACTTACTTAATTAGGTCATTTTAAGGATTTTTGCATTCAATATGGAGATGTCAAAATAAAAAAAATGTTTTTTTAATATAAATCTGCCATATTGAGTCCACCAACTTGAATTTAACAATTTTGACATTGGATTCGTATTCAGTGACTTAAAAAACCTTTAGGATTAATAAACATAATTGAAATTTATTTTATACTTACAGCTAATTTCCATAATACATCCATTTAACCACGGATATCTTATTAACCATAATCAGTATCAAAAATCCCTTTTGAGGGTTGAGAGTCCTAACAATATGCTTTACTTTGATTGCATTAAACCTTCTCTAGCACGTCACATATTGCAGCTGTAATATAACAAAGTTCCTGAAAAAACCCTTTTCTGCAACATTAATAAAAAAATTCTCAAAATTATGACCTAACGGAATAATTTTAGCATCCAAAAACCCATAAGAAACTAGCCTTCTTCTTAATTTGTTTAAACAGTGTAATATGCAAAATACCTAGAAAATAGATAAAAGCCACTTGATAATTCCTCATCATTCTTGAATTTTCAGACCTTACCGGATCAGCAGCACTGTTACTTCATGACGGAGAACAAGAACATGGAAGGCGTACTGGTATGCAGTATCCCCTTCACGCATCCGGCGCACGTGCCGCAGATCCTAGTGTACCTGCGGCAGCAGGCTCTCTTCAACAGCCTGGTCGCGAGCTGCGTCCGACCCATGGCTCGCCAGGATCCCGAGCACACAAGCATCCTCGAGGTGAGCGCTCTCTCGTGGCAGCACATCAGCGTGAGCGTGGAGCACCCGTACGAGGAGACGATGGCGACCGCGGAGCTGGATCTGACAGACATCTCGGCGCTCAAGTGCCGCCTCTACGGGGTGAGCATGACGACGAACGCTGAGCAAACGTCGGACCTCAGCGGCAGGGTGTTACAACGCTGCCTCAGCATCCCCTTGACCATGCGGACCTTGCTGAAGATCTGGGAGGGTCATTCCCTGCCCGCGGTGATGAGCACTTTAACTGGTGGCAACAGCAGCAACAACGGAAACTACAATCTCAATCTTGGATCCGGTGGAAAAGACCAGACCGGTCAGAACGGCACCGCGTCCGGCATGCCGGACTTCACGAACGGCGAGACGAAGGTGAAGCAGGAGCCCGGCCTGAACAATGGCAGCAATGGATGCATGGGTGGCAGACAGAGTCAGCAACAACAGCAATCTTCGTCGTCGTCGCTGTCTTCGCACCAGTTGCAGCAACAACAGCAGCAGCAGTCTTTTTTAGATGCCGGAACGGAAAATAGTATCGGTTTTCCGTCGTATTCCGGCCAATCCGATACGACGACCTTGACCATGACCTTGGGTGGTACCACTGGGACCAACAACGCCACCGCGTCCATGCTGAACCCGTTGCAGCTGGGCGCGCTGCTGGGACAGGCGAAGAACTCCCTGGCGGGTAACTCGAGCTCGAGCGAGCGCGCTAAGAAGACCCGGAAGAGGAAGTCCGCCGGCGCGGACGGCCTCTGGCGCAGCCCGAAGCGGAAGGGCGACGGCGAGAGCGGAAATTCCGCAGAAATTCTACTGGAAAGCTCGAGCTCGGAGAACTCGACCCCGCTGGGAACTCCCACCGGCGGCAGGGAGAACCTCGCGTCCGAGACCAGGACGTCCACGCCGACCTCGGCCGCGAGTTTAGCGAGCGGGATCGACTTCTCGAACCTGGACAACAGCACCGACATCCTCGGCATCGATAAGAGCGCCTCGGATTACGAGTTGGATAACTCGGAGAGAGACAGCGAGGTCGTGGAGGTGCAGCAGCACACTAGCGGCGCGGAGCAGCAGGACCTCGAAGAGCTGATGAAGCCGCGCGAATCCTCGTCGACGACGCGCAAGTCGAAGAAGAGCCGCGGCGGCGAGGACAAGAAGTCGAGTCCGACGGCCGGCTTCGTCGACGAGACCAGCAGCACCAAGAATCTCCCGGTCCCGCCCTCGGTGAGCATCACCCCGATCTCGTGCGGCAACCTGGACCAGGCGACCGCCGCCAATTACAACTCCGTGCTGACGGGGATGGGTCTGGAGAAGCGACCCGGTATCGAGATCATCCCCATCACCTCCTCGCCGTCGCAGACCAGCCTCCCGAGCTCGATCACCATCACCCCGATCGCCGGGCCGGCGCCGTCGCCGAAGACCACGACGGAGGAGCGTCAGAGGAGCGATCGGAAGAGCGGGAGCAAGAGTAGCGGCAGCAAGAGCGGCTCCGAGGACAACAACAAGAGCGGCGGCAAGCTGGAGAAGCGACGGAAGCGAAAACGGGAGGACAGTCCCATGGGTCCGCCGGACAAGGTGCCCTCTAGCGGGTCCAAGCAGCAGGAGCTCTCGAAACCAGTGTCGGTGAGCATCAACAAACCCAGCACGGAGCAGTCGCCACCTGGCGGCGGCTCGCTGAGTTCTTCGTCGAGACCCACCTCGCCCGCGGCGGTGAGGAAGTTCAGCCCGTCGCCGACGCACACGAGCTCTCTGGCCACCCTGGTGGGCAAGTCCAGTCCTACCCTGAAGGCCGGTCAGTCCGCGGCAGCGGTGGCCGCCTGCGGCGGCAAATCCGTGCAGAGCCCCAAGCACTCCCCGGTCTACAGCAGCAGTCCGAAGCATAACACAGCCAACGTGGTCCCCGTGGTGCCCATGTCGGTCCCGATGTCGCTGTCCGTATCCACGATACCGAACACGGTGTCGTCGGTAGCGGTGTCCGTCCCGGTACCAGCGAACGCGAGCCCGAAACACGGCAGCATCTCGTCCCCGAAGCATGGCAGTTCAGCGGCTAGCAGCGGTAAACCCAGTATGTCCGCCCTGAAGTCGGCGGCGAACTCGCCGTCGGGGAAGAGCGGTGCCTCGGCGGACGCGACGGCGACTCCGTCCAAGATCAAGTCGTCTTCCTCCTCGTCGTCTTCCGGGAAGGACTCCTCCGGTCGCGGAGACAAGGAGCGACGAGCGTCCTCGGTTGTATCCTCCGGTGGCTCGACTGGAGGCCATCAGAGTCCTAAGACCAAGTCGTCGTCGTCCAGCGTGAAGCTGAAGCAGCTGGAGATGATCCCTCCACCTGGTGAAGCCGCCCAGGTCTCCTCCTCCTTGTCTTCCGCGGGGAACAGCGGCGGCAACACCCCACCTTCCGGGCAGGCTGATGCCAGCAAGTCTGCCATCGCGGCCCAGCAGGCGCGGAACCGCAAGAGCTCCCTCAACGCCGTTATCGACAAGCTGAAGAACGCGCAGCACTGCACCGAGCCCGACGTTTGTGGCAACGGCGGCGGGAACCAGAAGAGCGGTCTAGGAAGTGGGCAGAAGGAGAAGAGCCTGAGCGGCTCGTCGACGAGCGGCGGCAAGAGCACCGTCGAGGGCGGGAAGTCGTCCTCCTGCGTCGCGAAGGACACCAAGAACCTGGCGTCCGAGTACATGGTGAAGCACAGCTCGGACGGCATCAAGATCACCATCAACAAGACCCGGACCAAGGACTCGAAGCAGTCGGCCGCCAACCAGAAGCTGTCCTCGTCCTCATCGTCGTCCACCTCGGGGACGATGGCGACGTCGTCTTCGGGGACCACGTCGTCGTCTACGGGAACTTCTTCGTCGTCGTTGTCGACGTCCGGCAACGTCATCGCCGGGAGCAACGGCTCGCCGAAGACCCACACAGGTCTGAAGCCCGGGGTGAACTCCGGACCGGCGTCGAAGAAGCCGCAGACGCTGCAAACCCCGCAGAAGCTGTTGCCTACGAAGATGATGCTGGCCGCTGGAGGTCTGAAGTCGGCTACCTCGAGTCTGCTGAACACCGCCGGAGGCGCCGGCGTCCCGGGGGAAGCCTTCTGTCGAAGAGCGGTTCCTCGAAGACGACGGCCGCGCCGAAGACGGGCGGCTCCGTGGCGACCGACCTGAGCCGCGGCCGCGACAAGGGAGCCAGACTGTCCAAGTCCGGCGAGAAGGGAGTGTTCGCGTCGAAAAGCCTCGGCGACGCGAGGAAGTCGAGCCCGTCCGCGCTGCGCGAGGAGAGCGACAGCGAGCGAACGTTTAAGTTGCTGGCCGCCCAGTTGCCGTCGAGTCTGCCGCCCCAGCTGGTGATGGAGGGTTTGATGAAGCAGCTGGACACCAAGTTTCAGATACCGAAGCTGTCGGCGCGCGCGAACGTCGTCGTTGACGCCGACAAGAACAAGTCTTCGGAGAAGTTACCCATGTTGCCAGATACCAACAAGCAGACTCTGGATGGTCTAAAGCAGGACCCGGGTAACAAGTTGGCGACCGGGTTGTCCACGTCGAAGTCGGAGGATGCGGGTCAGTCGAGGCGGGACCATTCGCAGACGAAGACTCTGGACAACCTGTCGATCGGTGGCGGCGCCTCCGGCGCCATGACCTTGAACCTCATCGGGGAGAACGCCGCGGGTCTTATGCTGCCTCCGCAGACGTCCGTCGACCCGGACGTGCCTACGAATCTGTCTATCCAGTCGATGGTGGACAGCGAGTCGTCCAGGAACGACTCGGGCAAGGACCTGGGGATAAGGCAGATGTCGAGGGACGGTCAGTATCTCCTGGGTAAGTTGGACGACGCGGGCGGCAGCGGAGGCGGGATTCTATCCAAGAGCAGCATCCCCGAGCATCAGCTGACGTCCTCGTCGGCGAAGACTTACGCGTCAAGCTCCGCCTCCTCGAGCGGAGGCTCCTCCCTCGTCCCCGAGAGTCTGAATCTGAGCACCAAGACGTTCGAGCAGCTCAAGTACAACAAGATGGCCGCGGAGGAGAAGAAGTCGCAGCAGACGTCCACGTCCACGTCCTCGTCCACATCGTCCTCGATCTTTTCATCGTTGAGCGGCGTCGCGAGCGCCTCTAGCGGCTCCGACGACAATCCTAGCGCGGTCATGACGTCATCGGACGGCGATCAGGAGGCGACGACCACGACGACGACGACGACGACGACAGCGACGGCGGCGGAGATGCTGCTGGACTTCTCGGCGGCCGGCAAGGACCCACTGACGTCCAAGACCGGCCACGGCATCCCGACGACTTTGACTCAAGGTCACCACCTGACGACGATCCCTGAGCGGGCGATGTCCCAGGCGGCGCCGGTGCGCCGCAACACGCCGCCTCCACCGCCTCCGCCGCCTCCGTTGCCCGCACCCTTTCCGCCGGCCGCCAGTCCGTCCGTCAGCGTCCACATCGTCAAGAGCCCGGCGCCGAGCCCACGCGTCATTCCGCCCTCGCCGCACTCATCTGCGTCGCCCTGCCTCATCGACGACGACGATCTCATGGACGAGGCCCTGGTCGGGATGGGCAAATGAAGATTGCTTAAATTATAAGAAGGAAAATGTGTGTGTGTGTGTGTGTGTGTACGCGTTGATGTCGCTCTCTGTCTCTCTTTCTTTCTCTTTTTTTTCTCTTCGGGTCTTTCTTCAGCTTCTGTAATCCTATCAAAATTCAAGAATTTTCCCACTTACCAGACTAACGTTTAATGATGTCAGTTTGCTATCTGGGGGATAACAACAAATATATACCCAAGTACTAGGTGTGTGCATAAGTCTTTTCCGGTTTAATTAAAAGAAATGGCCCCAGCGAAGAGTACGCAGCGTATTAATTTAACACGTACGTCATTTTGTTCGTCTGACATAAAACTACAAACACACACAAGTTGAGTCCGCCAAAAACTAGCGTCTTTGTTTTATCATTCAGTGATCATGTCGCGTTTTGTGCCTGAAAACGAGCATTTGCGGCACGCATTGATTTTCTTTATTTAATCAAAAGGAAAAGGCTGTTGAAAGTCATCGTTTGCTGGTAGAAACATATGGTGAACACGCTTCATCGATTAGAACATGTTTTTGACATGGTTTTGACAATTTAAAAGTGGTGATTTCAATGTGAAAGACAGTGAGCGCTCTGGTAGACCACAAAAATGCGAAAACGAGCAATTGCAGGAGTTATTGGATGATGACTCAACTCAAACTCAACGGCAATTAGCAGAAGCATTACATGTATCACAAGAAACAATCAGCAGACGTTTACGAGCAATGGGAAAGATCGAAAGACGACCGGAATGGGCCAGAAGACATGGCAAAGTGATTTTGTTACTCGACAATGCGCCGTCTGACACAGCAAAACCAGTGAAAGACACCTTGAAATCGCTTGGATGGGACATCCTTCAGCAACCGCCGTACTCCCCAGACTTGGTGCCATCTGACTATCACCTTTTCACATCAATGGGGCACGCGCTCGCAGAGCAGCACTTCAGCAATTTCGAGGAAGTTAAAAAGTGGCTCGACAAATGGTTTGCCGCAAAAGACAAGCAGTTTTTCTGGCGTGGTATTCATAAATTACCTGAAAGATGGGCGAAATGTGTAGAAGCCGGTGGCCAATATTTTGAAGAAAAAAAATTAATTTCTCTTGAAAATTACGTGTTTTTTTTTTTTTTTTTTACTAAAAAACCGGAAAAGACTTATGCATACACCTGGTAGAACAGAAAATCAAAATAATATCATTTTGACGTCATTGATCTTTGGAGTTCAAAATGATATTATTTTGATTTTTTGTTCTACTTGGGTTGGGATATCGAACTGTGCAAGCTAATGACGTCATTTGACGTCAAAATAACTAGTGCAAGCTAAATGACGTCATTTTGACATTTAATGACGTCAATTTTGACGTCATTGATCAAATTTGGAGTTCAAATTTGATCAATGACGTCAAAATGATATTATTTTGATTTACTTGGGATAAGATGTTAAATTATATATACACATATATATATATAAAATTATATTTTTTATATATAATATATATGTATATAATTTTGTAATATGATATAACAAAGAGCAAGAAACTGAAGAATTTTTTGCTAGAGTAAAATTTTTTAAATTTTATTTTTGATTTTATTTTCAACACTTTTTCAGAAATTGGAAAGTTGATAACATTCAAAATGCATTGGTTCTAACGTGTCCCAAGTAGTAAACTGACATCAGTAAACATCAAACTGACGTCATTAAATGACGCATTTGGGTTTTATTTCGATAAGGTAATTGAAAGATCTCTCGCTGAAAATTGTTTAAATTATAAATTCATAAAAATTTTATTTTTTCAACGTTTAGAGAATTATTTGAATTTTATGATGAGCCACTCTGTATTTCCGGTTAAATCTCTGAAAATTCGTCATGTTGAAGTTTGATCCCTCGAGAAATGATGATTTCCTTAATCTTGAGATCACTCTAGATCCAGGATTTTGCTTTCTTCCGATATTCTTCCATTGTCCTTTATCGTACTTTGTTTCGAGAAGACATCCCAGATAACAAATTGACGTCATTAAACGTCAAAATGACGTCACTTTGACGTCTCATGACATCATTTTGACACTTAATGATACGTCAGTTTCCCAACCCAAGTAGAATAGAAAATCAAAATATCATTTTGACGTCATTGATCAAATTTAGAGTTCAAATTTGATCAATGACGTCAAAATGATATTTTGATTTTCTGTTCTACTTGGGAAGGAGAACAGAAAAGTCAATATGACGTCAAAATGATGTCATTTTGACTAAATATTGACCAAAATTGACATAAATTTAATCAATATGACATCAAATTGACATCATTTTGACTTTTCTGTTCTCCTTGGGTTGGGATTACACTTCCTAAGTAGCTTATGTCTTTTTGACGTCAAATGACGTCATTAGACATCAAAGTGACGTCATTAGACATCTAATGACGTCAGTTTGCTATTTGAGCTTCCATGATACTCGAAAAATCTTATAATAAGAAAATTAGATCTTATTTGAAGTGTGCGAGAGAGAAAGAGAGACAAAAATATATGTATGAGATATGTAAATATTACACATGTATATATAATACATGAGAAAACATTGTAAAAATGGCGAAAAAATGTACATGTATTATATATTGACTGTGCGGTATAAATTAATTTATATACATGGTGGACGATAATTACATACGTCTTCTTCATCGCCTCGCAGTTGAGAGGCGTATGTAGAGCTTCGATAAAATAAAAATTATCCTTTTTTATACTCGTGTGTTGTACAATTTTAATGGTTACAAACTTGTGCGTTAAATCTTGAGATCTCTATCGTTTATTATTGTTAAGCGAACTTTTGAATTCTTAAATATATATATTCTTTTCCAAATTCTGCTCTCTCTTTAATCATATCAGCTATTTTAACGAAGATTTTTTTTCATCAATATATCGATATACAAATTTGTATTTGATTTCTAATATTATATTTATATAATTTATATAATTTATATAATATAAAATTAAAATTATGTTATTATTATACAACTTGAAATTACAACGATAATCTTAAATTATGTAACATTTAAAAATATCACTGCACGGTGAATGTTATTTAGTATTATTTTTTTGTTTTGTTGAAAAAAAACTGTAATTCCTTTTCCTTACAGATTAAATTATTTTTAAACTGCTTTGTGCGAATATAACAAATTTATTTAATACAAACTGTAATAGAGTTTTTAATCGACTAAATGTCTTTATAGGTTGAAGAAAACACGAGTAAAATAAGAGTTAAATCAATCAGTTATAAATAATCTGTCAGATTGATGCAGAGAGGGAAAATATAATTACGCTTTTAGTTATTATTTTTAATACTGCAAAAAAATATTATTTTATAAAAATAATTCTCTTTATTCATTGCCGAAGAATTTTTTAAGAGAGGGCTAAAACATATGTATATTTAATATGATAACTGAAGATTATCATTTCTTTTATAGAAATGCATGTATTTTTTATATTTCTAATAAGTTTATAATGTTTTTTTTATATTTTAATTACAAAATTCGAGATATTGAATTATTTTGAATATTATAGAATCATATGTTTTCAATCCTTTATTTTCTCATATCAATTTTAATTAATTTGTTAATCGATATAATTCTAAATTATACAACGGTTTGCACTAAAATAAACAAAATTATAAAACGATTAGTCTTAATAAAGCGATATCTAAATGATTTTAAATTATAATTCACGTGTGAAAGTGTCATTTCAGACTTGATTAATTTTATTAATTTTTTATATTATACATATATTGTATATATATATATATATATATATATATATATATGTGTGTGAATATATATATAAATATAATCTATTGTATATATACAGTGTAAAATAACATATTTACATGCAAATTATAATATTATACAATATATATTTTTCTGTTTTGCTACAAACAGAAAAATTCTAATATTTTTAAACTGGACGCGATTGTATACTTTTCTTTCCTGTTGCCACGTAAAAATATATCACAAATTTATATCTAATACGATTCTGAATATAATAAGCGTGTTAATCTACGGAAGAGGATCATGAATTCGAGAGGAAAAAACGAAAAAAATATAATTGAGCAATAAGTGTAAAAAAAAAAAAAAAAACAAATAAGTCACTCATTTTCGTAAATTATAATTATAATGAAGGATCAATGAGAGTTAAAAGTTATTAAAATGAAATGAGTGATTTGTTAGAATGCTTGAATTATTTACGAGGCTTTTTGATGATTGTCATTTTTCTTCAATTAAAATTTAATTAACTATAAAATTCAATTGATCAATTGAAATTAGAATCAAAATGTTGCTCGTTTCTGTATCTATTGCATGATTTTAGAATTACTTCGCGTCTTGATAAGAAAAAAATTTTGTTTTCTTTTTTAGTGAAAATTATTAATAAATTATTAATTGACTTTTTCGATCGATTTGAGTATAGAGCCTATAAAATAATTTTCACTAAAAAAGAAGACAAAATTTTTTTCTTATAAAGACGCAAAGTAATTCTAAAATCATACAATAAATACAGAAATGAGCAACATTTCGATTCAAATTTTAATTGATTAATTGAATTTTAATTGAAAAAAATGACAGAATCATCAAAAAGCCTCTCTCATAAATAATTTCAAGAATTCTAATAAATTACTCATTTCATTTTAATAGCTTTTAACTCTCATTGATTCTTCATTATAACACCGAATAATAATTTATACCGAGTTTATAATAAAAGAGCTTAATCCAAATAAATTTCTAGAACTTGTTTCTACAGTACCCAAGTAGCAAGCATATGTCATTTTGACGTCGATGACATCATTTTGACGTTTAATGACGCCAGTTTGCTACTTGGAACGATATCTAAAGGAAATTTGTGTCCTGATTTTGGGTTCCCATTTTGAAGCAGTCTGAGTTTGATAATAAAGCAGGAATAGAGAATTTTCACACCGCTGAAGGTCGAAATTAGACCATCTACGAGGCGAACTGCGTCTGACAGACCCAGCTTCGCGGTACGAGCAGGTCCATGTAGTAATTGAAGTAAGGTGAACAGTTTCGTCGAGCGAAGTACTCCATCGTGTAGGTGCTAATCATGATGCCGCCTCCGAGGCAGAGGGTCAGCCATATGAAGACATTGCTGACGACGGTTCTGCCGATGAAGACGACGGCGAAGCCGCAGCCGGCGAATAAGATAAACAATACCGGGTAGAAGAAGCGGGATGCGAACACCTGAATGTACTCGTGAAAGGCGGCGGAGACGAGGAAAACGACGAGGGTCGCAACAGTCTTGTTGCGTGGCATCACGATCTCGTATATGTCCTTGTAGATGTAGGTGTAGAGCCAGTCGTGTACCACCACGTTCCATGTGCGGTAATACATGCGGTAGGACGTGGAATTCCACCAATCCTGGAAATAATCGATATAGTTCGTGTAATTTAATTTACTAGTGATGGGATTAAGTGTAATTTAATTTTACTAGTGATGGAATTAAGATTATTTGGATAGGAATTTTTATTTAGGAATAGGCATTTTTTTCTCGTTGGACATTGAATATAATTTGAACTTCCAAATAGGTTTGAACTTGTTTCGAACTCTGTATGATTACTTAAAACTCATACTCCACGCGACTATTTGTTCGATTAATTTACGTGATCATTTGGGAGATAGGAATTTTTATTAAGGAACTTTTTTCTTGTTAGACATTGAATATATAATTTGACAATTTAATGAGACTCACCTTATAAAACAGTCGATCAGCGAACTGCAACATCTCCGCCCAGGCGTTCATCCACGAGTGCAATAGGACGTAATGTCCGAGGATGAAGGAAATGATTCCCGGGATGGTTGCTTCGATAGTCCTCTTTACGACCCACTTCAATTCTACAGGTTGTTTACCAAACATTTCGAAATTTGGGCCTACGAGATGCTCCGTGACAAAAGCCCCATAAAAGATTATCAGGCCAACCTCGGCAAAATTTTTTATTACCACTATCCATCTGATTCTGTTTGTTCTGAAAAATTAATCGCGGATATTTTAATTAATTTAATAATAAATTAATAAAATTAATTAATCAATAACATTCATTCGGCTCTTATACCATCTCGTTAAAACTTAAATATTTTTTCTTAAAAATTATTTATATGTGATAATTAAAAAAAAAGAGAAATAAAAATAATATTGTTATTTTGTACAATACAAACATATTTTTGATTATATAAGTTGTGCAAAATATTTGAACAAGGATATCAACATTATATTAAATCGTTTTTTTCTATAGTTAGTCGGCAAAGATTCCAAAGAAATTTTTTCGCAATTTGAAGAATAATGCCAAGAATACCTCGGATATTTATCACGATATATGAGAGTCGGTGCGAATAGGAAGTACAAATATTGCGAGAATCCGGGTCCATTCGGTTGCGGAACATCACTGTGAGGTTTGTAAGATATAAACCTGGGCGCCACGCTTCTAACGAAAGCATAACTCTTCATCATCTGGCGCAGCTGAAAAAAAGTTCGGATTGTTTATTTATTTTATTTTTACATTTAATACTCTGATTAATAAAATTTAGAATTATTATATTTATATTATTTTAAACTTTCATACATACTTGTTCCGAGAGTATAACTAAGCTGCTAGCTATGCCTAGATCCTCTCTAGCATCACCGTGACAGGAATATGTATAAAGAAAATCATGTATATTATAAAGATTATCAGGAAGCTATAATCCCAAAACTTCCGGGTGGTAGCTGAAAAGAAAAAAATTTTAATATTTTAATAATGATATACATATAATAATAATATTAATTGACTAAAATAATTTGCATAACTCAATTATATATATATATATATATATATATATAATATATATATATATATTATATAATTACATATATATGTATATATAAAGGTGTGGACTGAAGGTAAAGGAGGTAAAAGGTGGATAAGAAGGAAGTAAAAGTGTATGAGGTAGTGCAGGAAGAAGTAAGAAATATAAGATGTGAGGTAAAGAGAAAGTAAGGCGAGGATACGTGGAGAAAGAAAAGAAAGCGGTGATGACAATGGAGAAGAAAATAAGGAGTGTGAAGGAAAAGGAAAGTTAAAGATGGAAGCGGTGGTGATACCAGAAAATGGAAAGAAGAAGATTGAGGAGGTGTAAAGATAAGCGAAAAGAGGTTTGAAAAGAAGAAATGACTAGGAGTGCAAGGTGTGCTGTGAAGAAGAGATAAAGAAGACAAATAGATTGTTAAGGATTCTGGTGTGCATGATGGAGGAGGTGACTAGGTGGTTGAAAAAGGAGGAAAAGAGGAATACAGGAAGAAAAGAAAAGTAAAAGAGGCTGGAAGGAGAGAAGTAGACTAGAGGAAGGAGAGGGAGAAGATGAGAAGAGAAGGAGAAAGGAGGAAAAAGAAAGAAGAGGAAGGAAAGAAAGGGAAGAGAGAAGAAGACGGCGGAGACAGAAGGAAGTGAAAAAACGAGGTGAAGAAAAAGGGGATGGAAGTGAAGATTAATTTAAAGGAAATTGTGAGAAAAAAGAAGAGGAGGCAAAGAATAGAAGGAGATAGAGGAAAAGAAGGAAAAGAAAGAAGACAGAAGAAGGGCGTGAGCAGAGGGAGAAAAGGATGGAGGAGAAGAGAAGAAGAAGGAGGCCAAGCGAGGAGCTGTTAAGGACTTTAGAAGGGGAGGAAGAGAGAGAGAGTGAGCAATTAGGAGAAGAGCAATGATAGGTAGGGTAGTAGTTGAGGGGAAGAGAGAGAAGAAAGAAGAGAGGAAAGAGGAGGGGGTAGAGAATAAGAAAAAGAAGAGGTGAGAAGAAGGGGTAAGGAGAGAGTAAAGCAGAGAGAAGGATGGAAGGAGCAGGAAGAGAAAGCTAGGGAAAGCTAAAGAAGAAGAGGAAGAAGAAGAGGAAGGCAGAGAATTAGGAAGGATGGATAGAGGAAGAAGAAGAGAAAGCGGAGGAGAATGGTGGAGAATAGTTGAGGAGGAAGAGGACTGGAAGGAGAAGAAAAAGAGAGAAAGGAGAAGAAAGGAAGAGAGGGAGAAAGGAAACAAAGAGAGTTGAGAAAGAGGAAGAGCGCCAATATAGAAGGAGAAAGAGAGAAAAAGGGAAGAAGAAACAAGAAGAAGAGAGAGAGAGAGGGGAAGGAATAGAAGTGAAGAGAAGGGAGAGAAGAAGAAGAGAAGAAGAAGAGAAGACGGAAGAGACGAAGAGAAGAGAAGAGAAGAGAAAGAGAAGAGAAGAGAAAGAGAAGAGAAGAGAGAGGAAAGAGAAAAGAAGAGAGAACTCGAGAAAAGAGAAGAAGAGAAGAGAAGAAGAGAAGAAGAGAAAGAAGAGAAGAAAGAAGAAAAGAAAGAGAAGAAGAGAAGGAAAGAAGAGAAGAGGAGAAGAAGAGAGAGAAAAAGAAAAAAAAAAGGGGTAGGGAAGAAAGGGAGAAACTAAAAAAGGAAGGAGAAAGAGAGGGAGGAAGAAAAAAAGAGAGGGGAAGAAAGAGAAGAGGAGAGCGAACAATATAGAAGGAGGAAAGAAGAAAAAGAGAAGAAGACGAAAGAAGAGAGAGAGGGGGGAGGAGGGGAAGAGAGGGAGGGAGAGGGGGAGAGAGAAAGAGGGAGAGAGGGGAAGAAGGGAGAGGAGGGAGAGAGAGAGGGGGGATAGAAAGAAGAGAAGAAGAGAGAAAAGAAAAAAAGAAAGATCAACGTGGTGTGGAAAGAAATGAGGAAGAAGGTTAAGGAGGAAAGAAGAGGGTTCATGGAAGAGATGATGAAGAGGGTGTTAGGTAGGAAAGCAGGAATTAGTAGAGGATAAGTAGGGAAAGGATAGAAGATAGAGAGAGAGAGAAGTCAGAAGAGAAAGGGAGACAGAGGGAGAAGGGGAATTTAGGGAGTGCAGCGTTAAGAAAGAGGGGAAGGAAGTTTGGAAAGGAGGGATGGGGGAGGAGGAAGGATAGTCTTTGTTTTTTTGTTAAAGGAAGGAGAGAGGAAGGGAGAAGGCAAGGAAAGGACTGACAAGGGAACGGTCGGAAGTGTCCCTCACCGATTTTAATGAATCTTGAATATGTTGTAGAGCATTGAATAATATTAGACCCGTATTTTTTTAAGCGGCGTGTCTCAACGTTTAGGGGGTAAAACATCCCCTTGAAAAAATTGGTTTTTTAAATTTCTGAGCTAATACCGTCAAAACGGTAAAAGATATAAAAAATATGTTTCAAATAAAAGTTTTATGGTTTTCAATGTTTCTTAAAACGGTGTAATCAAATTATGGAAAGGGGGGAATTTAAAATTTTAGAAAAATTTGACATTTTTAATTCCTTTTTTTTTATATCGAAAAAATCTGAGGTGAACAAATATTATTACATTTTGGTGAAAACTGGAGTCGCTGATAGGCCCAAAGATTGAAAGGAATGTAGACACTGATTGTCGAGATCTGCATGAACGACCAAATATAGAGACAAGTCGGAAATTTGGCGAAAGCTGTGCGTATCGTCATGGTCCCGATCACCAATCTTGAAGAAATTATTAGATATATTTTAATTACTCTCTAGAGAGAATTCAATGAACTTTTAATAAACAAGAGATATCTCGATTGTCATCTTATTTTCGTGAATTACTTCTCCAAAGTAACAATATAAAACAACACGATTGTTCGTTTTCCATGTATGGTATATTCATGTATATACTATAGTAGGCATTTTTTTTGGTAAATTCATGAATCGTAGGCGATAAATATTTTTCGCAAATTTTAAAGAAGAAAATAAGAAATATAGAATAATTTCTCACTTAAATTAAAAATTATAAATTTAAAGTTAATTAAAAATTAAATTTAAAAATAATTCAAATTTTTAATATTATTTTATTTTAAATTTCTTTAAATATCATCAGGATTGATGATTTTACTTACGATCCCTCATCCAGGATGTCGTTCACGACGGTGCTGAACAAGAAAAGTATGAAAGTCACTACGAAGAAATTGTAAACCGTGCGAATGTCTGTAATCTTGAAGAGATCGTCGAGCAGCGAGTTTCTGGCAAGAAACTCTTTATCTGGGAGTGCACCTTCTTTATTAGATTGTCTGCAAGATGATCAGAGATTGCAAGCAATTTATTATCAATATTATATATTAATTCTCCGATATTTTTGTTTTGTAAATTTGTTGATAAATTTATTTTTTTAATTGATAATATTGATTTTTGTAAAAAATATTGCACAAGAAGACGTGCACATTCAGAAATGTCATTTTGACGTCATTAGATGCCAATTTTCTATTTGAGTATTTTAATCAGTTTTATTTATTTGTTAAGGAATTAAGCTACCTTGACGCCCAAAAAATCGTGTGAATTTTGAGCATTTTTTGTAAGCAAACAAAATTAATTAAAAATGTAATTTTTAATTTTATTATACAAGAAAATATGAAAAATTAAAAAAAATGTTTTTATTATAAAATGGCGGCGCCGGACTTGTTACAATTATCAACTTTTTCTGCGGAGCCTTTGCGGCAAATAGCAAAACTCATATAATTTTCGATCACTTGAAATTTTTACAGTATCTTTAAATTATCTAAAGAAGTATATACGGATTTTACGATCCATCGAAAATTTTTTTACTCCTTAATTCATGTTAAATTAATTTTAGATTAAGATGAGTAGCTTCTTATAATTATAGACGATCTTATTAAATTACATATTTTTTCAAAAAATTTCCAGATAGAATATAATATAACAATATGATAAGTATATATAAGAATTTTAATTAATATTTATGAGGAGTTCTTTACTCATATCGATAATAATGATGTGTATTCCACAAAATAATTTGTATTTAGGTCGCTTTCTTTATTTAATGTTATAATATTATAATTATTTAATTATTATATATAATAATATATATATTATACTATTAATAAATATTACATATATATTTATTATATTAAATAATATTATTATAAAAATTATAATATTGTAATATATTATATATTATATATAATATACATATGATATATTTATAATAATGATAATAATAATAATAATATATAACATAATATAAAATATTATGAAATATAATATATTTATAACAATAATAATAATAATAATAAAATATGATATAAAATATTATAATATAATATATACATATAATAATTTAATAAGCATGTAACTTTTACCTTTTATCACGATATTTATCCTTGTTAGACGGTTCTCTCTTGATAGAGAAGTCTCAAATCCTTGCAGAACCTCGGCTATCACATCGTTAATACGATCGTTAACTTGTGCCAAAATGTTCTCCCTCATTTCCTACGGAAATATATATCAATCTTAAAGAGATAGACAAAAAACAATAATTATAATAAGCGCGACAATTTACATCAGATGCGCATCATCTCGTGCTTCTGATGACCGATATAATTTTGACCGAAACAACTTTGTCACTTTAAATCGCGCATTCCATTAAATCTAATCACGATCGAGCCGAGGTCATTAATTATTCGTACCTGCATACTTTTTCGCAATCCATCGGCGGTCGTCTCACGTAAATAAATGTCCACGTTTCCGTTATCCACTGGAAGAAGAAAGTATAAACATATACAAATATAGATGTATGCTTTGAAAGTTAAAAAATAGTTTAAAAGTTAATAACTCTTAATTTAGCTTAATTTAAATTAAAATGTATTAATTTTAACTTCAATCAATTATTTTTGACCTGGAACTTATTAACTTTTTCCCAAGTTAAATTTTTGTTATCTCTGAATACCATTATTGTTTTTTATAAGGTGTAAACGTACTAAGTTTTACAATACTCAATAATTTACCCAACCCTGGTAATTTGCAAAATTTTTCTTACTGCAATAAATACATTTATGTTTTCTTTAAATTAATTAATTTTCTCTTTCGATTATTTTCTATGCATAAAAATATGAAAGTAAGATCATCGAAATATAAATATTATACGAGATTATATTTTATACGAGATTATATATTTTATAGATTTTATAAAAATTAAAATTATTCTCTTTTTGATTATATCTTATCTATGTAAATTTTATCATTAACAACTTAATTATCAACTTAACACCCTGTTTTTAATTTCTGACAACACAAAAGAAATATCTCAATTGTATATTATTGCAATGACATTATTCTTTCGAAGACTGTAGTTTTCATGTTTTGTCACTGTTTGTCAGATTTATAAAATTAATAATTTGGTAAAATTAATATATGAAAACCTAAAGATGTAAATTTCTGTGACACATATTTATACTCTCAAAAAATCGTATACTATATATAATAACAATTATATATATACATACACATATATATATAATAAACATAAAAATTTATGAAAATATTTTAAAATATAAAAATGTATATATATATATATATATACATTTTATATTTTAAAAATATTTTATATATACATATATAAAATTAATATATAGAAAATATATTTTTCTTTCTGTGCAATTAAATCATAAAAACGCTACATATATTCATCTCGACACAAGAAATTATTATTAGTTATTAAATGTTATCACAATTATATAAAACTCTTTAAAGTCTTTAACCGATAGGTCGTAGCAGCATAGAGTAAACAAAACAGAACAGCTAATCGAATAATACGCTTAATTGTGTTTCATATAATAAACGCGAAAATAATAACAGAAACTAACTAATCGGTAGGTCAATATACATTTCATATACAAGAAATTTATTTCAAATATTTTGATTTCTCGATAAAGAGAGTTAACGAGATTCGAAATATAGCTGACAAAAATTCTAATAATTTCTTTCTAAAGTATTGACAAAATTTCCAAAAAATTATTTAATCCAAATATGTATAGAACCAAAAAGAATAATTTCCATGATTATCATCGAAATCGCGAGATTATAAGGTGCGAAGGATTCGATCTCGAAAGAACATTTCCAAAGGAAATTTAATTTTCAAATAATAATAAATTCAATTAAATTCTAGAAATTATATCTGACAATTTTCTTTACCTTTTTCGTGAAATCCATTCGCGACCGATTCCGCGTTAATTTCCTCGGAGGATTTGACGCTGTTGACGTTAGTTTTCTTGATGGACTCCATGGCGATAAAATAAAACTCTTTTTCTCTTATCTTCTCCCCTGAAGACACAAGGGACGATTCACGATTTCCTATTTACATCCAGTTAAAAAAAAGCGATTTTTATCACGATTTTTATGCGAATTTACGCGCGATTTCGCGTCGGTTTTTGAACTCGGAGGCACCTAAGAGTCTGGAAGAGAATTGACGGTCAAATCGGCGCACTTCGATTAGATACTTCACTTTTGATTTCCATCTGTTTCGCGTAACGGTCCGCCGTAAACTGTACTGGTTCCTCGGCTCATCGTGAATTATTAATTATCTCACTGCTGCTTATATCACGGCGCTTATCACATCTCAGACCAAGTTCAAAATTGGTGCATAAGATATCTTTAAGATCTTTTTTTTTGATATCATATTATAAGATTTCTTATAAAGTTATCTTAAAGATCTCCTAATGATATATCTTATGCGTCAATTTTAGACTTGATGCTGTCTGGGATTCCACATCAGTACAGCCGCACCGATTTAAGAAGCCTGAGGTCATGTGTACTTGAACTGATATATGTAGTTGTCCAATGAATCTGCGATGAGAGAACAAAGTCAATTGCTTTCCACGCGCCGATATATACGATATATATGTACGTCAATTATTTATTATTGCTTATTTTCAATTAATTGCTGCTTCCATTTGGATCTTTTTTTTTAAGTCACGAAATGCGCCGACTTTAGTGTGTTCCTTGAATATCAGCTATTTTAACAAAGTCTTTTCCATCAATTTTTTTAAAGTTTTATCGATACATCAATGTGCAAATTATATTTATTTTCTAATATTATATTTATATAATTTTATATAATATAAAATCAAAATTGTGTTTTATTATACAACTTAAAATTACAACGATTTATATAATAATCTTATGTAAATTATGTAACATTTAAAAATATCACTTTGCGCGGTGTTATTTAGTATTATTTTTTTTATTTCTGTTTTGTCGAATAAAACAGTAATTCCTTTTTCTTACATATTAAATTATTTTTCAACTGCATTGTGTAAATATAACAAATTTATTTAATACAGAATGTATAATGGGGTCTTTAATCAACTATAAATGGCTTTATATAGATTGAAGAAAACACAAGTAATAAGAGTTAATCAATCAGTTATAAATAATCGGCCAGATTGATGCAGAGAGGGAAAAGATAATTAGTTATGCTTTTAATTAATAATTTTAATATTGCAAACAATATTATATTATAAAAATAATTCTCTTTATTTATTGTCAAAGAGTTTTTAAAGAGAAGGCTAAAGACACATATTTGATATGATAATTGAAGATTATAATTTTTTTATAGAAATGCATGTATTTTTTATATTTCTAATAAGTTTTTAATGTTTGTTTTGTATTTTAATTACAAAACTCAAGATATTGAATTGTTTCGAATATTATCGAATCATGTTTTCAATCCTTTATTTTCTCATATCAATTTTAATTAATTTATTAATCGATATAATTCTAAATTATACAATGGTTGGCACTAAAATATACAAAATTATAAAACAATTAGTCTTAATATAGCAATATCTAAATGATTTTAAATTATATTATAATTCGCGTGTAAAAGTATCATTTTGGACTCGATTAATTTTATTAAATTTTTATATTATACATATATATATTATCTATATATACATGGCACTTTCACATGCAAATCATAATATTATACAATATATATTTCTCTGGTTTGTTACAAACAGAAAAAATTTTAATATTTTTACTCTAGACGCGAATGTATATTTTTCTTTCCTGTTGTCGCGTAAAAATATATCACAAATTTATCTAATACAATTCTGAAATATAATAAGAATGTTAGTCAATCTACGGAAGAGGATCATAAATTCGACAGAAAAAAAAATGGAAAAGTATATTATAATTGAGCAATAAGTGTAAAAAACAAATAAACCACCCATTTTCATAAATTATTAATTGATTTGAATATAGAGACTATTAAATAATTTTCGCTAAAAAAGAAGACAAAACTGTGTTTTTTTCATCAAGACGCGAAGCAATTTTAAAAACATACAATAGATGCAAAAAGGAGCAACTTTGCGATACAAATTTCAATTAATTAATTAAATTTTAATAGTTAATGTAATTTTAATTGAAAAAAATGACAGAGTCATCAAAAAGCCTCGTAAACAATTTCAAGAATTCTAACCATTCACACATCATTTCATTTTAATAACTTTTAACTCTCATTAGTCTTTTATTATTTGTTTATAAAAAAGAGCTTAATATACTTCTAGATTATCTCTACACTATATATAGTCCATTTCCCACACAGCAATATATCCAAAATCAGGACATAAGATATTGTATGACATCCTCTAGGTAACAGACTGACGTCATTAAACGTAAAAATGACGTCGATAACCTTTATATGACGGTTAGTGACATCATTACGACGTTTAATGACGTCATTTTGACGTCGATGACGCCATTGTGATGTTTAATGACGTCATAGTGACGTTCAATGACGTTATTGTGACGTTTAATGAGATCAGTTTGCTACTTGGGACGATATCTAAAGGACATTTTTGTGTCTTATGTCCTGATTTTGGGCATGTTTCGATTTTGATGCAGTCTGGGTTTGATAATAACAGCACGAAAAGAGAATTCACACCGCTGAAGATCGAAACTGGACCATCTACGAGGCGAACTGCGCTTGACAGACCCAGCTTCGCGGTACAAGCAGGTCCAGGTAGTAATTGAAGTAAGGTGAACAGTGACGTCTAGCGTAGTACTCCATCGAGTAGGTGCTGAACATGATGCCGTTTCCTATGCAGAAGCTCAGCCATATGAAGGTGTTGCTGGAGGCGATACTGCCGATGAAGAAGAAGCAGAAGCCGAAGCCGGCGAACAGAATGAACATCACCGGGTAGAAGAAGCCGAACCCGAACGCGAGAATATACTCGTGAAAGGTAGCGGAGACGAGAAAGACGACGAGGGTCGCCATCGGCTTGCTGCGCGGCATCACGATCTCGTACATATCCTTGTAGATGTAAGTGTAGAGCCAGTCGTGTACCACCACGTTCCAAGTGCGATAGTACATGCGGTAGGACGTCGAGTTCCACCAATCCTGAAAATAATCGATAAATAGTTCGTGTAACTAAATTTTACTAGTGATGGGATTAAGTATTTTACAAGTAAGTAATGGGATTAAGTATCTTACAAGTAAGTTCAAATTTGTTTGCATGATTTCGGACTCGCTCTATTATTATTTCGAAAAAATAGTACTTTTAAGTATTGTATATTCAAATTTAAATAAGATAGGTTCAAATTTTTTAGTATGAATACTTTTAAGCATGGGTGTCTACAGGATTTTTTCCAGAAGGGAGTATAATTAAAACTTTTTTTGTTCTTTCTTAATTATTTTAAATTTAATTTTTTTGTTATTTTTATTTTTATATATACTTTTCAAAATAATTAAGGGATAAAAAAATTGTCCAAAAAATAGGCAAATTTTAATAGCCGTAACTTTGTTACGAAAAATGATAATTTAAATTTTAAAAAAGGGTTTTAAAGCTCTACTTTCGAAAGATCATAGCTTCTTTTATTTTCTTCAATTCTAATATTTTTTATATACAGAAAACGACGAACATAACGAAATGGAAAATATTTCTCACTTTGTAGACAATACGTACATTTGAACTTAAATCAAGTATGTTCTTTTACGAGTACTCATGAAAAAATTTTAATACCTTCCAAATAATATTCCAAATAGGTTTGAACTTGTTTCAAATTTTCTATAATTATTTAAAAATCAGATTCACGCGACTACATGTTCGACTGATTTACGTGATCATTTGGGTGATAGGAATTTTTATTAAGGAATAAAGGAATTTTTCTCGTTAGACATTGAATATAATTTGACAATCATATGACTGAGGCTCACCTTATAAAACATTCGATCCGCAAACTGCAACATCTCCGCCCAGGCGTTCAACCACGAGTGTAATAAGAGGTAATTTCCGGAGATGAAGAAGAGAATCCCTGGGATGGTCGCTTCGATACTCCTCTTCACGACCCACTTCGATTCTACAGGTTGTTTACCAAACATTTCAAAATTCGGTCCTACGAGGCGCTCTATGACGAAGGCCAAATAAAAGATTACCAGGCCAACCTCGACGAAATTTTTCATTACCACCATCCATCTGATTTGTTCGTTCTGAAATATTGATCGCAAATATTTTAATTAATTTAATAATAAATTAATAAAATTAATTAATCACTATATATCATTCGTTCGGCTCTTACATCTCGTTAAAATTTAAATATTTTTTTATTAAAAAAATTTATTTATATATGTTAATTAAAAGAAAAAAAGAGAACTATATAAAAATAATTGTAATTTTTGTACAATACACACATATTTGTGTATAAATTGTGCAAAATATTTGAACATTATGTCAAGGATATCAACATTATTAAATCGTTTTTTTCTTGTTTTTTTCTTATAATATAATGAAAAGTGCAAACGATCAAAGATGAAGGATTCTTAAACATTGAGTCGGCAAAGATTCCAAAGAAATTTTTTCACAGTTTGAAGAATAATGCCAAGGATACCTCGGATATTTATCACGATATATGAGAGTCGGTGCGAATAGGAAGTACAAATATTGCGAGAATCCGGGTCCATTCGGTTGCGGAACATCACTGTGAGGTTTGTAAGATATAAACCTGGGTGCCACGCTTCTAACGAAAGCATAACTCTTCATCATCTGGCGCACCTAAAAAAAGTTCAGATTATTTATTTTATTTTTACATTTAATGCGCGCGCGCGCGCTTTAATTTATAAAAAGTTAGAATTATTATATTTAGAATCGAGCTTTATATTATTTAAACTTTTACATGCTGAAAAACTTTCGCACCTGAAAAAAGTTTGAATTACTTATTTATTTTTTTTTACATTTAATGCTTTGATTTATGAAAATTTAAAATTATTATATTTATATTATTTTAAACTTTCACACATACTTGTTCCAAGAGTAGAGCTAAGCAGCTAGCTGTGCCTAGATCTTCCCTAAGCATTGCCGTGACAGGAAAATGTATAAAGTAAACTACATACATTATAAAGATTGTCAGGAAGCTATAATCCCAAAACTTCCGGATGGAAGCTGAAAAAAAAATTTTTATATTTTAATAACGATTTATAATAATAATATTAATTGATTAAAATAATTTGTAATTTAATTATATATATATGTAATTTGTAATTTAATTATATATATATACACACATAAAATTAAATTGTTTTAAATTATTTAAATTATTTTATTTTAATTGATTAATGTTATCTAATTATTTTTTAAACTCACAATTAAATATTATATTAGCTTATTATCTATAACGTTAAATATCGCATAAATCAGATCTGATGCATTATTATATTATTATATTCTTTAAATTTTAAATTCAGTTATTTATTATTTATAATTATTTTGAACTTTTTAGTTTCGCTTTTTTATTTAATTTTTTCTAAATATTTTTGTATTTTTCTAAAAATAAATTTAAATAATATTAAATTTGGAAAAAGGTCGTTATCATTTAAATCAAATTATTTATCTAATAATAATAAGATATTATTATCATTATATAATAATAATAATATAAAATATTAATAATATAATAGATATTAATAATTTATATATATATATATATATATATATATGTATAATTAATAATATAATATATATTAAATATTAATAATATAATAATATATAAAAAATATATGAAAAAAACATTAAAAAATTAAAAAATTCCTTTTAAGTCCTTAAGTTCCATTTTTTCCAATATTCAAAAAATCTGAGGTGAACAAATTATTACATTTCGGTGAAAACTGGAGTCGTTGATAGGCCCAGAGGTTGAAGGGAATGTAGATACTGATTGTCGAGATCTGCATAAGCGCCCAAATATAGAGACAAGTCGGAAATTTGGCGAAAGCTTTGCGTATCGTCATGGTCCCGATCAACAATCTTGAAGAAATTATTAGATATTTTGATTATTCTCTGGGGAGGGTTCAGTGAACTTTAACAGACAAGAGATATCTCAATCGTCGTCCTATTTTAGTCAATTGCTTCTCCAAACCAACAATATATAACCATACGATTGTTCGTTTTCCATGTATATTCATGTCTTATTTGATGCCGATAACTCTCGTCATTTTTAGATAAGCCGTAGCTTCCATTATTATTAAATTAGTTACAATTCTAATACATAGAAGACATATCTTACAATTCTCGATTACATAATCTAGAAATTTTTTGGACAAGTCTGAAGTAGGCATTTTTTTCTGACAAATTCATGAATCGTAAGCGATAAATATTTTTTAAGGAAATTTGAAGGAAGAAAATAAGAAATATAGAATAATTTTTCACTTATATTTAAAATTAAATTTAAAGTCGATTAAAAATTGAATTTAAAGGTAATTCAAATGTTTAATTTTATTTGATTTTCAATTTCTTCAAATGTCATCAGGGTTGATGATTTCACTTACGATCCCCCATCCATTATGTCGCTCGCGACGGTGCTGAAGAAGAAAAGTATGAGAGTCACCATGAAGAGATTGTAAACCGTGCGAATGTCTGTAATCTTGAAGAGATCGTCGAGCAGCGAGTTTCTGGCAAGAAACTCTTTATCTGGGAGTGCACCTTCTTTATTAGATTGTCTGCAAGATGATCAGAGATTGCAAGCAATTTATTATCAATATTATATATTAATTCTTCGATATTTTTGTTTTGTAAATTTATTGATAAATTAATTTTTTCAACTGATAACATTGATTTTTGTAAAAAAATATTGCACAAGAAGACGTGCACATTCGGGAATGTCATTTTGACATCGAATGATGTCATTAGACGTCAAATTGATGTTATTTTGACGTTTTAACGTCAATTTGCTTGGATCTTTTAATTAGTTTTATTCGACTGTTAATTAATATTAAATTAATTTTAGATTAAGATGGATAGCTTCTTATAATTATAGACAATCTTATTAAATTACATTTAAAAAATTTCCAGACATAATATAATAAAAATATGATAAGCATATTGGTATATATACGAATTTTAATTAATATTTATGGTATTATATAATTACACTTATCAATATTTATTATATGTATTCTGCAACATAATTTGTATTTAGGACGCTTTTTTTATTATTTAATATTATAATATTATAATAAATATTTGACTATTAATAATATATTATTAATAATGTATTATTATATTATTATATATATATATATAAATATTATAATATAATATATTTATAATAATAATAATAATAATAATAATAATAAAAATAATAAAAATAAAATATAATATAAAATATTATAATATAACATATATAATAATTTAATAAATATGTAACGTTTTACCTTTTATCACGATATTTGTCTTTGTTAAACGGTTCTCTTTTCGATAGAGATGTCTCAATTCCTTGCAGAACCTCGGCTATCATATCGTTAATACGATCGTTAACTTGTCCCAAAACATTCTCCCTCATTTCCTACGGAAATACATATAAATCTTAGAGATATAGAAAACAAAAGCTAACATCTGTTATAGAAATTTATCACTAGTACGTCCAAATAATCATTTATTACTACTTATTATCTCTTACTAGTTATAAATTTCTATAAGTGATGTCTTTAAGGAAACAAAATTATAATTGCGATGATTCACATCAGAGGCGCATCATCTCGTGCTTCTGATGACCGAAATAATTTTCGGCCGAAACAACTTTGTCATTTTAAATCGCGCATTCCATTAAATCCAATCACGATTGAGCCGAGGTCATCAATTATTCGCACCTGCATACTTTTTCGCAATCCATCGGCGGTCGTCTCACGTAAATAAATGTCCACGTTTCCGTTACCCACTGGAAGAAAAAAATGAACATATACAAATATATAGTAGATATGTTTTAAAAGTTAAAAAAAGTTAATAACTTTTAATTTAGCTTAGTTAATTTAAAATGTATTAATTTTAACTTAAACTAGTTACAATATATTTGACTTTAAACTTATTAACTTTTATCCTAAGTTAAATTTTTTTGTTTCTGAATACTATTATTATTTTTTTATAAGTTATAAACGTATTATTTTTAAATTAAAGTATTATATTAATTTTTATGTTCATTTGTCATCAATTGTAATTACCAAAAAATATATTTCTATATAAAAATCAAACTTTTTTGTTATTTGTTGTTATTATACATTTTAAAAGAATTAACAAAGTTCTAAATTTAATATAAATAATGTTTTTAAAAATTAACTTTTGATTTAACTTTAGTTAATTAATCGTAACTTATATTAGCTTTAACTGTGTTAATTTTTTGTTTATGCAAACTTTTGACTTTACTAAATTAATTTTACAAGTAACTATAACTTTAACTTAACTTAGTTTTAAAAAACCATTAACTTATCAAACCCTGTTAATTTACAAAATTTTTTACATATAATTATGTTTTTTTTACATCAATTGATAATTTTTCGATTGTATGCATAAAAATATCGAAGTAAGATCATCGAAATATGAATATTATACGAGATAATTTTATAGATTATAAAAGTATAAATTCTTCTCTTTCTGATTATATCTTATCTATGTAAATTTTATCGATCAACTTAACACCCTGTTTTTAATTTCTGACAACGCAAAAAGAAATATCTCGATCATATATTATCACATTACTCTTTTAAACTGTAGTTTTCATACTTTGTCACTGTTTGTCAGTTTTATGATAAAATTAATATATAAAAACCTAAAGATGTAAATTTCTGTGACACATATTTATACTCTCAAAAATCGTATACTATATATAATAATAATTATACACACACACACACACCCCATACACACACACACACATATATATATATAACATAAAATTTATAAAAATATTGTTAAAATATAAAAAATGTATATAAATACAATGTATATAAATACAATATATATATATATATATATATATATATAATTAATATATAAATATATATATATATATATATATATATATAAAATTAATATATAGAAAATATATCGTTCTTTCTGCGCAATTAAATCATAAAAACGCTACATATATTCATTTTGGCGCAAGAAATTATTATCAGTTATTAAATGTTATCACAATTATATAAAACTCTTTAAAGTCTTTAACCGATAGGTCGTAGCAGCATAGAGTAAACAAAACAGAACAGCTAATCGAATAATACGCTTAATTGTGTTTAATATAATAAATGCGAAAATAATAACAGAAACTAACTGATCGGTAGGTCAATATACATTTCATATACAAGAAATTTATTTCAAATATTTTGATTTCTCGATAAAGAGAGTTAAACGAGATTCGAAATATAGCTGACAAAAATTCTAATAATTTCTTTCTAAAGTACTGACAAAATTTCCAAATCATTTTTTAATACAAATATGTATAGAGCCAAAAAGAATAATTTCCATAATTATCATCGAAATCGCGAGATTAGAAGATACAAAGGATTCGATCTCGAAAGGATATTTTCAAAGGAAATTTAATTTTCAAATAATAATAAATTCAATTAAATTCTAGAAATTATATCTGACGATTTTCTTTACCTTTCTCGTAAAATCCATTTGCGACCGATTCCGTGTTAATTTCCTCGGAGGATTTGACGCTGTTGACGTTAGTTTTCTTGATGGACTCCATGGCGATAAAATGAAACCCTTTTTTCTTATCTGCTCCCCTGAAGACACGAGGGACGATTCACGATATTCTATTTACATCCAGTTTAAAAAAAGCGATTTTTTATCACGATTTTTTATGCGAATTTACGCGCGATTTCGCGTCGGTTTTTGAACTCGAAGGCACCTAAGAATCTGGAGGAGAATTGGCGGTCAAATCGGCGCACTTGGATTAGATACTTCACTTTCGATTTTGACCTGTTTCTCGCGGCGGTTCGCCATAAACTGCGCTGGTTCCTCGGCTCTTCGTGAATTATTATCTCACTGCTATACTGGTACCATGGCGCTTATCACATCACATTCCGCCGGTACAGCCGCACCGATCTAAGGAGCCTGAGGTCACGTGTACTTGGATTGATATAGTTGTCCAATGAATCCGTGATATACCGCGATATGCGAGTACAAGTCAATTGTTTTCCACACGCCGATATAAACGATATATATACGTTAATTATTTATTATTGCTTATTTTCACGTGTCAATTATTAGTTCCTTTCATTCGGGTCATCGTATAATATCATTCTAGCCTGGAAGAAGTCTCTTTCGAGTAAAATTATTTTTTTATTTTTTATTTTTAGCAAATAGATAAGAATGAATCGAAATAAAATATATTAAGAAAATAAGGGACGAAAAGAGAGAGAAAGAAAAATAATATTTCATAAAGTTAATTGAAATTAAGATTGTATTTTGATAATAAAATATTTAAGATGCTAGACTCAAAAAAAAATATCAAAAAAATATTCTCTTCTGATTTTTTTAACGTCATTAAATGTCAAAATAACGTTAATCGACATCAAATTGGCGTCATTTTAACGTTTAATGACGTCAGTTTGCTATCTGGAAAACTAAAATATTAAAATAAAAATTATTATTCCAAAATATAAGAAAAACAAGATTTAATATATGCAACATACAAAATCGGAAAATCTGTAATATAAGATAAAATATGTAATAAAATTTGTTAAAATTAGAAATGTAAAATATTTTAGAATAAAATGTGAAGAAAAAAATTTAAAAATAACGCGCTTTTAATAGTTTAATTTCGATAGACAGAGATAATGTTGCAAGTTGCATTTTTTCCAGTTACTTTCAACAGAGTTAATTTGAGATTTTAATTACAAAAATAATATTGAAGTGTGAATATTACGATGTAAATATGCCGGTCGGTTTCTGATTTTTGATAAGTAAAATTTTACCATCAAAGAATTGAATTTGTTTTTATTACAAATTTATGACAGATGAAAAATGAGACTTTTTTGAGACAATATTTTATACAGAAAAAAGCGAGATATTTTATATATTCATAATATTATTATAATGTTATATTATTTTATATTATTATTATTTATTGTATATTATTATAATTATTTTATATTATATTTAATTGTATATTATAATTTTATATATATTTTATATTATATGTATGTGTATATATATTGTATATATATATATGTGTGTGTGTGTGTATATATGTATATGTGTGTTTTTAAACAATATTTTTATTATGTAATTAATTGTATTATGTAATTATTATGTTTTATAAATAAGAATATATATATATATACATATATGTATATAATAATTCTATTTATATAAAATAATAATATATTATAAAATAAATAATAAAAGTAACATTATAAAAATAATAATATTTACATACAATGTAAATTACTCTAATAATATGTGTGAATGTGCACTTATTTATATTTATATTCTTATATATTTAGATATTTTACTTTCTCTCTCTTTCTCTCTCTCTTTCTTGATTAAAGTTAATAATAAGATTAAAAAGTAATTAATGAATTTTTGAAATAAATATATCAAAAGTGATTATTAACTCAATTCCTTCGTCAAGCAGTTTAAAAGATATGTAGGTCGAATATGATTCGACAGCATTGCTTGTTACTACTCGAATTAACTACTAATTCTTATGATTTGCCTGACCTTTATCTCTCCTCGAGATTGACGATATGAGCGAGTGCGACATATACATATTTGTCAAATGTATAAGTGATAAACAACAATTTATACATACTTGTTTCAGTTCTTCTTTTCTCTGGCACACATTTTTGCTTGTTCATCTATATTAAACTCTGCCATTTCATAATCCAAAACGAAGAAGAAAATATAACGAGATTACCGTTTTATTGATGTACATATTTGTAGATATAAATTTGTTTATATCTACAAATATGTACATCAATAAAAACACACATACACACACATGTATATATTTTTCTTTTCTATCACTATTTCTTCCTTTTTAATGATCTTGTTGCATCATTGAACTCTCGTAATTTTACTGAGCAAAAGTCTTAAGAGTTCCATCTATAAATGCGTGAGATTATTATATCATATCATTGGTTTGTCATGATATGAATTCGTCACACACATATTTGTGTATACGTATGCGTACACAATGTTGTGCTAAGTCGGCTAAAAATATTTATCGAAGATTTCGTCAGGAATCATTACATGTTATGTAATATGCTCCGAGTTAAATCACAAATACAAACACATTATCGAATAACATAACAACATTATTATACAGTGTTATAATCTATATATATTGTATATAATTTATTACGTCAAAACAATTGAAATAATAAATAATATATATTTTTAAATATATTATATTTTATTACATATTATATTATTTGATTATTTGTCACACGTATTTTGTGTAATAATTGTGTTATTTTTGTAACATCTTTACAACCACCACATGTGTGTGTGTGTATGTGTGTATGGGGTGTCCTAGATTTTCGAACGAGTAACTATTGTAAAATTACTTTATAGTTACTTTACACAACTATTATTATTACTTGTTTCTAAAAACACTAAAATGATGATATTTAATATCCGTCAAATAATATTTTATATATTAAAATAGCATTATTATTAATGATATATATTCGTTTATTAAATTGTTGCTAAATAATATATTTTTATTTATTAAAATTTTTTTATTATATTGCATGTACACATATATTTATATTTATAAAAATTAGAAAAATTTTTTTAAGACAATATATTTCAATGTTTGTTAATGTTTTTTCAAACTATCGCGTATTCTGTCGTGGAAATTATCAGCAAATACATTAAGCATATTGCAGCAACAGTCACGTGATAAGATGATAGAAAGCTATCAGGTTTTTAATTGATTAAGTTTAATGTAAAATATAATAGTTTAGGAATATCATGTAAACATCTATATATAAAAGGTTTTTTTTATTTGTTTCATATTATATAGTTTTTATTTTTTTTCATAATTTTAATTACGAAGAAAAAATACTATATAAAAAACAAAATATTAAATTAAAAAATTTAAAGTTATAACATTTTTAATTTAAAATAAATTATATTTTTAAAATTAACTTTTAAGTTAACTTAAGTTAATGTAATCTTAACTCAACTTTTGACTAAGTTAGTTTTTTGTTTATGCAACTTTAATGTAACAAAAATAATTTTATAAGCCATTAACATTAACTTAACTTAATTTTAAAATATTAATTTATAAGTTATTAAAAATTACTTTTTTTGTAGAGTAAAATTGTTTGTTAACTGTTAATTTTAATTAACTTATCCAACTCTGCTCAGAAATAATAATTTTGGAAATTTTTAAAGCTGCCTTTAATTACAAATTTGTCTTTACTATAGGCAACCCATTTTGCAAAATGCAAAACAGATTGCCTATATTCTCGGGCAACATTTTACTCGTCTTTTACTAATATAAGATGATGTATTAAAATTATAATATTGTACGGAAAGTATAGGAAATGGTTTTACGAAAATTACATAATAATTTTGTCGTATATAAAATAAGAGGGACTTTATTTATTATTATTTATTTCTACATTAATAATTTTATTTTGCTTCGAGAATTACATTTAAAAAATCGTATTCTGAAAAATCATGTAACGTTTCAAAAATAACATGATTTTGGGAATTTTTGAGGGTTTTTTAAGCTGCATTTTGGTTTTATCGACAAAATGATCTATCTGCACCTTTTTCTTTTATTGGTTGAATAAAATAATAAATGCTTTTCCACGATTAAAATATATATAAAAACAAAGTTAAAATCTATCGATTTTATGTTAAAAACAAAAAAAATTAGTTTTAGTCCTCAAAAAATTAATTTTTAATAAATTAATTTTATAGAAACAAAGTTGGAATCCATCGATGTTATGTTAAAAACAAAAGAAATTAAAAAATTAATTTTTTGTTTCTAAATTAGAATCCTCTTAATCACATTCCTTTTTTATCGACAAAATATGAAGTTAGATAAATTATAAATCTATTTATTGGCTATATGGATTGTTTTTTACCTGAAATTAGAACGCTTCGCTCTTTGTTAATACTTTAATTTGTACGCAGGAAAGATTTATCAATCTGTATATGTCTAGATTATAGAATAAAAATTCATAATTCTGTAATCAAGAAATATGAGACTATACAGATTGATAAATCTCTTTTTCCTGTACAAATTAAAGTATTAATACTCATACAGCACAACAAGATTGCAGCAGCATTGTGGCAACATTTCATTGCAATATTACAATATTGCATAAACATTGTGAAATGTTGCAGCAAGATTGCTGCAAGGTTGCAGCAACGATAAAATGTCCTCTTTCAGAAATATTGTTCTATAACATTGCAGCAATAATTGCAATAAAATATATATGTAATATTACTATTGGATTATTGGAAATGTGCCAAATACGTACATGATCAGACTGAATGTTCTGTAGCTAATATTTTTTGCGTGAATTTTATTTTCATAATATTTCTGAAATGTTACTGCAATGTTGTTTAAACTATATTGCAAATTCATGCCTATATAATATTTCTGTAATATTGCTATGCGATGTACAATATTGCAATGGTGTTGCAATATTGCTGCAAACTTGTGTGCTATATGGGTGTCCCTACAGCACGAAATATTGACGGAATATTGCAAAAATATTGTTTTGCGAGATTAAAATATTGCATGCAATATTCCTGAAAGCCTGCCAATATATAGATATGCCCGCCCTCAAACTATATTGTGCAACATTTCTGCAATGATACTGATTTATTTCTACAAAGGTGAATATAATATTTATAAAATATTGCAGAATATTTATTTTTTTATTTCTTTTATTTATTCAGACATTTATTTGTCTGATTTCTGAGCAATCAATTTAATATTTGAGTTCCCTGTATTAGGATCGTATCAGAAAAAATTAAATTGATTAAAAGTGTTGATTGTAATTGCTACTTTTTGCATGCTTTATATACAATAATTCTCGGGACTAAAACTTAATGCGAGTTAGATAGTTCAGTATGCGGCGCATAGTGGTAAATGAAAGAACTATGTGATTGCATTATCATATAGCAGTAATATTTTGCAATGTCTCCAATAAAATAATAACTTATTATATTTGCACAATATTGCTGCAGTATTGGTAATATGGCACAATATTGAAATATTTATGCAATATTTTAGTAATATTTCGTGCTGTAGGGGTATTAACAAAGGGCGAAGCGTTCTAATTTTAGATAAAAAACAATCCGTATAGCCAATAAATAGATTTATAATTGAATTTAACGTCACAGTTCGTCGATAAAACAGGACTGACACTCAACTGCGTTTAGAGGATCCCCTTAATAGATAAGTGTTCTCTATAAATTTTTCTTCCTAAGAAAACTATCTCGGTTATATAGGGACGGAAAAGAGAGATTGTCTGCCCTTTAATATTGTATAAAAGGGCCGGTCAATTTATCTAATCTCATATTTTGTCGATAAAAAAAGGAAAAAACAAAAGAGCTTCTCAAAGCATCCGTCGGAGTTCGGCCAAGTTCGTTTAGGATCCCCTTAATCCAGGCAACCCGTTTCACAAGCTCGCAAAACCTTCCTTATTTGCTGGCAACATTCCACTCTATACTATCGCGCAAGAAAGTCTGACATTTAATCTCGCCTCGATCTCTCGCGAACGATTCGATCAAATGCGAAAGGGGAAAAACACAACGAATAAGAACTACAAAATCGACGAATTTAAAAAAATCGCCGAATTCACGTCCTCGTAAGACCGTCGAAAAAAAAAAAATCTCCGGATCTCGCTCATCGCTTCTCCCGCGTCGAAGTTTCTCACTTTTGCTTCGCCTCGCTTTCTGTCTCTCGTGAAAGTGCACCGATCGGGAGGGGAGAGAAGAACTTACCTCTCGGAGGAGAACTACCTATCTTGGTGGACGATGCCACGGCAGTCTGACGTTCACCTCGACTCCGCTTTCACCTGACCGATCTTGCGCGATCTCTTCGTGTCTCTGCGACAGTTTTCTCGCGTGAGTTTTTTTTTTCGCCTTCCTGTTTTGTGCGATCGAGAAAAACGGATGTGCCCGCACGTCGAGGGAAGACACGACCTGCGAAAGTAGGGAACAGTTTTCTTCCGAACGTCATCCGAGAAAGCTGGTCCAGGAAGCGAGCCTGAAGCATCTCCGTCGAGCGTCATCCGTCGTCGACTATGAGGATACCCAGGATAAGGATTTAACAGAGACCGAATCGTCCGCAAGTGAGTGAAAGAAATTGTGGTATTTTTTTTATCAACTTTTCTCCATTTATCTTTCTCCATTAATGTTTGGATTCGAGACCTTCTGTTTACTAAGCATACTGAATTATCTCTTTAAACTGACGTTTAATAAACCCAGTCAAGGCTCTTGAGTTTTAATTATTACATAAATAATAAACATTAATAAATATATATATATATATATATATATAAATAAAATATTTATTATAAATATATTTTATTTTTATTTTATCGAACGTAAAATTTTAATAATAAGTGATCCTGTGCTCTTTAAACTTTTCGATGTCTGAAATTCGTGAATATAAAATGAATTTAAAAGTGATTTTACGATCTTTAAAAATATCTGTGGTTTGCTATATACTAAAATTCTTTAGCTTATAGCTACTTAATGGCTATTTTTAATGGCGCGACCTATTATATTGGTCAATTAATAATTCCGATATTAATTCTCTCGAGAAAAGAGAGTTCTAAGAAGATAAAAGCGCACAATCATTTTCGAAAATGCATTTATTATATACATCATGACTTTTCGACAAGTTAAAAAATCCTTTCAAACCTAAAAAGATGAATTGTCGATTACTCGAAATTAATTATTCGAAAGCCGAAGATGGGAGAGAGGTTTAAGACGATCGCGATTTAACTTTGAATGCGCTTCACGCCACAATTACTGGGTGGTTTTACTGGGTTAACTTCCTACTTATTAATCCGCCGCGAGCAGAAATGAAAGTAGTTTTGTTGCGTGCCCCATTTGCGCCGTTACGCGAAAACTATGCGCAAGTTTCCGTACTAGACTTCGAATGCTAAGATTTCAAAATCTCTCTCGTGTCAGGAATAAAAAAAAATCTAACAATGCAATTCGAATGTGTTAATTAATTTGTTACACGTACGTAAAAAATCTAAAGAGGCTTGGAATCTCGTGCCAAAGCTACAAATCCACCGAAATGACGAGAACTACAAATTAGAAAATTATTATTATTATATTAATAATTATTTAATATATTGTTATGTTTATACATATATATCTCTTTCTATATTATTATATAAAATACATATATAATATGTACACATATTATATGTGTATTATAATTATTTATAAATTATAATCACAGTTTAAAATATAATATAAAATATATAAAATAATCATATACGCATATATTGTAAAACACAAAATATTGAAAATACTTATATATTCCATACGCAGATTCTATATATTTCTATTTAAACATATATAGATTTTTAAAATAAATCTGATATTTTAAAATGAAATTTTATCCTCAAAAATTTGGAATTTACTTATGCGGAATATATTGTATAATCGAATTAAAGTATATTTAATTTGCATTTTTATAAGTTCATTCTTTTTTTTTAAATAGGAAACATTAAAATATTAATTAATAATTAATAATTAATAATTAATTAATAATTAATAATACAATAATTAATAATTAAATTTAATTTTTTTCTAAATTACGGTTTATGTGATAAGAAATATGATGATATGAATTCAATTTTGCGATTGCCAGATAACAAAAGGAATTAACATATAAATTATAAATCAAACTTGTACTTGTTTATGATATAGATATTTATTCACACAAAATATATTTTGATATGTGATAATAAGGTAATATAATCACATATTATACATTTTACATCCCGTCACCAAAAATATTTTTTCACATTTTAATACATAATATTGCCATGGGATAAGAATTCAGCTGAATATATTAATAATCACTTATTAAACTTTTTATCCCATAATTTCCTTTAAGTGACTTTTTAAAGCCCTTTTAAAACATTTTCCAATACAGTTTGTAAGAATTCTGACAGATTGCCCAATAAATCTAATTGCCTCTGAAATACAAAAAAAGTAAATTAAATTTAATTTTTACATAAAACATAACTATAATTGATAATTATAATGTTGTATAAAAATTTATTTGCGTGGTTGTAAAAAAATATATATATAAAATTACAATATACATATAAATTTTATTTTTGATACACAACAAAATAATTTTTACATAAAAATTCTTATTTACAAATAAAAAATGAAATTAAAAAGTTTATTAATAAATAAATTTATTAAAATATATTAATTTATTTTATAATATGTTTCCATGCATTATTTCATGTACACTCTCACAGTATAATTTTATTATCTCATGTATATAATTTTGACAAAAACATAAAAGAGAAAATATGTCATTTGTTTTTATTTGATATCATAAACATGTATATAGGCACATACAATTACTTATTGTAATTGTATAAAATTATTAATAATTAAATGTATAAATATAAGAATTTTTAAAAATATAGAAAACCTAATTTTATATATACAATATATATATATATTTATTAAATAAAAGTTTTACCTTAGAGCGTGATAGCGTATCAGGCTCATCAGCATCAATTGACGGTTTGGCCATGACTTCAAAGACCGAGACAATTGCAAAAACGGCAACCAACAAAAATAGATATATTTGGGTGTTCATCGTTGCAAGAATTATGAAGAACTAATTCCAATTTTTTAAAATTCTGATGGTTCATCTTTGCAGCGACTCTACTTATACAGCAAATATCGTGATCTGGGCACCATAAACCTTATCTAATCTGGAAAATTCTAACATTTATTAAAATTATTGAATTCTTTTCGCATTACTGTATCTTAAAACTCTTTTAACACTACTTTAAAAAGATAAAGTAAAGAGCTTCGGTTATATAAAAATTGCTCAAAACAAATAAATACGATAATTTTAATGTTTTAAATAATATTGCATTTATTTTATGTACAATAACATAGAAGAGATCGTGCAAACAATATTTTTTTATTTGTTTGTCATCTGAGAAATAGAACAAATTTTATTGCACATAACATTATATCACTTGAATTGTAGATAAAAAATTGTTTTCTTAGAAGAAAAAGATATAATAAAATAAATAATAAAAATCTTTCCTCAATGATAAAATAAATAATCACAAATTTATCTTGTGATGCAAGAAGGAAATAATATACATAATATAAATATAAATATATATATATATATATATAATATATATATATATAATACTATATATAATATATATTACATATATATTATAATATTTATATTAATTATTATATTATTAATATACAAAATGTTCTTTGAATAACAAATTCTTAAATTCAAAGTCGATTCTCCTCCAGCGAAAATGTCAAGGTACCAATAGTTCTTGAGTTATAAGTGATAAAAAAAGCTTTTTGCAAACTATAATTTCAAATGCAATTTAATAGAATTTAATTTTTAAAGCATAGTTACACGATGGAAACAATAAAAAAAAATAATGACCTTCTTCGACATCTTTGCTAAGGAAAACCGAAATTGGCCAGATATCCGGTTCTGAAATATCCTAAAATATACATGAAAATTTTCTGAGGTTTTCGAAGATCTCGCAAAATGGGATGAAAGAAAGAAGAAGCTGAAAGAACAAGTGCGTAGGTTAAGAAATAACAATCGCCCAAAGCGTTTGTGGGCGAATCAGCGTAACGAGAACGCTAGTAAGGATAGCCTCGAAGGCGCGTGTCGAAACGATCTCGCGGAACTTCATTGATCGTCTTGGGAGATGAGTAAGAGGGCGGCGTGCGAAATGCCGTGACGAGAGACGAGAGAGTCACGTTGTTGCGAGAGAGGAGGCGATAATTGCATATTTATGGTACGGCGTGACCTTGCGCCTGTTACTTTCGCTATCGCCAATTATCTCAGGTATACATACGAATCTTAGCGATGGGATTAAGTCCCATACAGCACACAAGTTTGCAATAATATTGCAATATAGTTTAAACAACGTTGCAGCAACATTTTAGAAATATTATAAATAATAAAATTCACGCAAAAAATATTAGGTACAGAACATTCAGTTCGATCATGTACTTAATACATTTCTAATAATTCAATAGTAATATTACATATTTATTTTATTGCAAGATTGCTGCAACATTTTACACTGTTTATACAATGTTGTAATATTGCAATGAAATGTTGCCACAATGCTGCTGCAATCTTGTTGCGCTATATGCCCAGTAAGAAATATTTTATCAACATTTTATAATGTTGATTTTATATAAATTTTCTAAACGTTATAATATATAATGTTTTTTATATATAAATATATGTTTAAAATATTATTAATAAATATTCTAAAAAAATATTTTAACTGATGTTTTATAAATGTTTTAAAGATATTATTTAATAACATATATTGCTCAAAATATTAATAAAATATTTTAAAAACGTTAATTTTAACATTACCAAAACCTCTAAATCGATGTCAAAGTTTGTTCATAATGATGTTGCATGCAATGTTAAAAACTATATATATATATATATAGTTTTTAAGTATACTTGCCAACAAAAATAACGTTGTAGCAATGATTTTTTGCTTACTGGGTGGGGTATGTTATAACCCATACAGCACACAAGTTTGGAGCAACATTGCAATGCTGTACATTGCGTAGCAGAATTGCAGAAATATTATATAGGCATGAATTTGCAATATAGTTTAAACAACGTTGCAACAACATTTCAGAAATATTATGAAAATAAAATTCACGCAAAAAATATAAAGTAGGTACAGAACATTCAGTCCGATCATGTATTTGGCACATTAAAAAAATCCAATAATAATATTATATATATATACCATATATATATATATATTTTTTATTGCATTATTGCTGCAATGTTATAGAATATTTCTGAAAGCGGACATTTTACCGAAAAATTTCCAATACAAAAAAATCGGCTAATAGAAAATTTAAATATTTAGAAATTACGTTAGATTTAAGTTAGGTTTATCTATCAAAATTTATTTATCAAAATTTGAGGACGATTGTAAAAAAAATTTACGGAATGAAAAATTAATTTATTGAAAAATTTATTTCATAAAAATATACTCAAAATAATTAAGGGATTAAAAAATTGTCCAAAAATGGGCAAATTTTAAATAGCTGTAACTTTGTTATGAAAAACGATAATTTGAATTTTAAAAAAGGGTTTTAAAGCTTGAAATCTCTACTTTCAAAAGATCAATGCCTTTTTTTACTTTCTTTAATTTTGATATTTTTTACATACAGAAAACGACAAACATAACAAAATGGAAAATTTTCTTGTCACTTTATAGACAGTCGCATACACAAGAAGATAGGAAAAAATTTTAGACATTTTTACGTTAAAGCCTGCAGTTTTCTCTGTAAAATCATTTTTTAAAATTCAAATTTCGATCTTTCTTTATCAAGTTATCGCAAATTAAAGAGAAAATACCATTTTTACTTTACTCGTTTATAACTACGTTAAAAATCATCGTACGGCAATTTGAAGAATGAATTCTTAAAGCTGAATCTTTACTTTATAGTATGATATAGTAACTGAATTTTTTTTAACTCGTACATTTTTGACAAAAGATGAAAATAATGAAGAAATTCGTGAATTTTTGTGTAACCTTTTTTAACGTTTAAACAAATAGGAGAAAACTTGTTAAGTACATTTGAACTTGAATCAAGTATGTTTGAACCTTTCATGAGAAATTTTTAGTGATGGGATTAAACATCAAGTGGATTCAAATTTGTGTATATGGGATTTGTGTTATCTATCTGCACTAATTCATCAGAGCAGCAATAAAGAACAAATTCATGGTTTCGAACTTTTTATGATTACTACGAAAGAAAATACTTTTAAGTAGAGTCAAACCTAAATGAAAGATTGAGAATATTATTTTTAAATCTAGAAAGAGAAAAAGTTGATTTTTTTTAAAAAAGGATGTTAAAAAAAGTCGATTTCCCGACTATCGATGGAACCTAAAATTCCATGGGTATCTATGAACCATATAAGATGTAAAAATGATGGTTTTTTTTCCTAAAGACCCGAGGAAAGTATTGAAAATCTATCAAAACTATTGAAAATAGCGTCATTCGATCGATCTGAAGACAACTATAAAATCGATGACATGGATGAATTTTCAATCAAACCAAGTTCTGGTTAAGCACTTATCAAATAGTTTTCCAGATCAATAGTGTTTTAATATCGAGATCGCAAAATTCAAGATTGCGGATCGAAGATGTCGATATTAAAACATTATTGATCTCCAAAACTATTTGATAAGTATTTAACCAGAACGTGTTTAACCCATCATTTTTACATCTTACATGGTTCATAGATACCCATGGAACTCGAATTTTAGGTTCCATCGATAGTCGGGAAATCGATCTTTTTTAACTTCCTTCTTAGGTTTTTAAGTACATATTGAACTAAATGGATATACATTTTAAGTACTAAATAGATGACATTTTGAAATAACGTGTGAACCTCATCCCTATAATCCATCTCTCGCGTTTACGTGCGTTAGATCGATCTTGGCGATATGGAGTTGCTGTTGCTGACGCAACAGAGAGATTAGAGCGGCTAGGAAGCGTGTCTCTCGTGTCCGGATACTTTTTTCTTCTTTCTCACGTAAAGTCATCATTTATCTAACGGATGACGCACGGACTTATCCCTCTTGTAATCCGGTGCAATTGTCCGTGGAAGTCGGTCATTTTATTTCGATATTATCGACATTATCGATATCATCGACACAAACAAAAACAATAAAAATTTCCTCGATTTTTATCTCACGGCATATCAAACGATAATGTATTATCGCAATATGAGTACTTTATTTTAATATTGTTGTCGGTTATCAAGAGAATCGCTTGTTCGATGATTGGTTTCATTGATTTTCGCTTGATAAAAAATTTTTTATTTTTATTTATTTCTGCTTATTAATTGTTTTTATTTTTATTGTTTGATTTGTATAATTTTTTTTATTATTCTCGCGAGATTTGAAATAACAAAACGGATTCCTTTTTTCACGAAAAGTATCTTAAAATAATAATTTCGTCTTGTAAAGAATAACAAGATAAAAAAATCTTTAGATCACAATTTTTACATTACTAATTATTGTTAATTATTAATAATTTTATATTAATTAGAAAATTAATAATTTAATAATAATAATTTCAAAATGCGTCTATCAACATGTAACGTGAATAAATAATTGAATATATGTATACAATATCAATATATATATATATACTATGATTGTCGCAGGTTGTATCATTATTTAGAAAATAGCATGACGACTGTCTCTTGGTGAAAATTTCCATTAGAAAGTTTCGTCGCGTTTATCTTTGAAAATGGCGAGGTATATGATTTATATTCGCAATAACGCAACAATTGCTTAACGTCAGAGAAACTACATATAACTTCTTTCTCTTTTAGTGCGTTTCAAAATTCAATTTTGTAAATATTTTCATTAAAAATTTTAAACACATTATACGCGAAATAAATATTTAACTGTGAAAAAAAAATAATTTCAAAAACGTTTTGCGAGAATAAAATTTTGTTTCGAACTGCATCCTTAAAACAGACGTAATTTCAAGTTAAGATTCAAAATAAAACTTTAATTAAATTGATTAAATTAATTAAACTATATAGCTGACAAGTTACGATTGCCATAAATATATTTTATGTATTAATTATACAGGTATATAAATTATACTATTAGATAAATTAATTAATAACATATAAATGAAAGTGTATAATCATATGTATAAGAGAGAGAGAGAGAGAGAAATAAATATAATCTACTCCAATATAAAAAAATCCAATATATAGACAGATAATTCGATAAGTGCCGTCGAACGATAAGAATTTTAAGTACATTAGATCTAAAAGCGTAAAACGCGGAAGAGCTCGGCGATTTAATTCCGGTGCACGAATCTTCGCGATTTTTCCCCTCTTCTTTTTCTTTTATGATGCATCCTGTACATGTACGTAATCGCTAGAAATCGTGGGTACCACTGGCGAACTCTCTTTCCTCTCTCGTATAGCGATGAAATAAAAATAGCCGAGAGACCAAACTAAATTAACACACACTTCTCCTGGGAACGGCTTGGAAAAGTGCTTGATTCACGATCGAGAACTATCGAGGACGATGAACTGGATCCGGCTGCCGATCGGCAATCTCGTGTTTTTCCCTCCTTTTTTTTTGGTCCCTACTTTTCTCTCCTTGGTCTCTCCTGGAGGTCTCGTTAAGATCCATTCTCGAAATATATCCGCCGAGTGGCAAGGTCGTTCCTTTCCACGTGACCTCGCGTTCCTTCGAGAACTCTGGCTCCTTTTCTGACTCACACACATACATTCATAAGAAATTCTTGGGCGATTCCGCGCCAGGATTTCTCTCTGTATCCTGCGGTTTATCCATATGATAAATCGATAAGACGCGAATTAGCTGAGTTCTGCTGAATCAGCCTTTACTGCTCTCGATAAATGAGAATTTTTCGTGAAATAAATATATCTTTTATTATCCATGAGATAAGTTAATTATTTTTGCTAAATGAAGAGAAATTGATTATTTTATATCATCTCATCTTTGTATAAATCTATTCTCTATTATAATAAAATCTTTTATTATATATTTAAAGACAGCAATTATTAGTTAAATAAATGTTTTTTACAAAAATTAAACTTTAAGTTTAAAAATGTTTACTATGTAAAATCTTTAATTAATCGATATACATTCCTCAAAATAATTAAGGATAAAAATAATTGTCCAAAAATAAGCAAATTTTAAATAACTGTAACTTTGTTTCACAAAATGAGAATTTAAATCTTTTACATACAAAAAATAATAAACATAACAAAATGGAAAATTTTTTTCTCACTTTGTAGACATGTTGCATGCACAAGAAGATTTGAAAAAAAAATTTTGACATTTTCACATTAAAGCCTGAAGTTTTCCCTGCAAAATCATTTTTTTAATTTAAAATTTCGATTTTTCCTTATTAAGTTGCAGCAAATTAAAGAGAAAATGTCATTTTTACTTGGATCGATCATAACTCCGTTAAAAATCATTGTACTGCAATTTTAATAATGGATTTTTAAAGCTAAATCTTTGCTCTATAGTATGATATTGTGATTGGATTTTTAACTGGTGAACTTTTTACAAATAGGTGAATATAACAAAGAAATTTGCGAGTTTTTTCCTTTTTGTTGAAACTTTGAAAGAAAGTCATGTAAGTAACTAAAAAAATTTTATCGACTAAAATTTCTGTACCTCCAAGTACCCTAAATTGAACAAAAAATCACAGGCTTGTTGTGATAATTTCTTTATAGTGTTCCGTATTTTCAAAATAATTGATATATGCAATATGTAAAAAAATCTGGATTTGCTTTGATAAAAAATAAAAAAAAAAGTAAAATCCGTGACAGAACAATTTTTTGTTCTACTTTTTAACATAATCTTTTAACTGTCTCTATATAAAATTTAGAAAATGTAATGTTATTTATCATTTCCAAAATTACCGTCGATATCAACTTCATCCAAAGCGCATCACGTGGAAGTTGTACGATTGGATTTGTTCTTTGAGAAAGAAATTATCACAGCACATCTGTGATTTTTTGCCAAGTTTGGGATACTAGAAGATATAAAAATTTTAATCGATAAAATTCTTTAGTCACTTTACGTAACTTTTTTTCAAAGGTTAAACAAAAAGTTTAAACAAAAAGGAGAAAACTCGCAACTTTCTTTGTTATTTTTCACTTATTTGAAAAAAGCTCAACTAGTTAAAAAAAATTCAATATTTATATCATACTATAGATACAAAGATTCAGCTTTAAGAATCTATTCTTAAAATTGCTGATGATTTTTAACGAAGTTGTGATTGATCAAAATAAAAATGACATTTTCTCTTTAATTTGTGATAACTTGATAAAGAAAAATCGAAAATTAAATTTTAAAAAACGATTTTGTAGAAAAAACTTCAGGCTTTAATGTAAAAATGTTGAAAATTTTTTCAAATCTTGTGTATGCGACATGTCAACAAAGTGAGAAGAAAATTTTCTCTTGTGTTATGTTTGTCGTTTTCTGTATGTAAAAGATATCAGAATCGAACGAAATGAAAAAAGCTATAATATTTCGAAAGTAGAGATTTTAAGCTTTAAAACCCTGTTTAAAAATTTAAATTCTCATTTCTCGAAACAAAGTTACAGTTATTTAAAATTTGCCTATTTTTTCACAATTTTTTTTAATCCCTTAATTATTTTGAGTCTATTTTTATAAAAATAATTTTTCAATAAATTAATTTTTCATCCCGTAAATTTGTTTTACAATCAATAAAAATTTTGACAAATAAATACCTAACTTAATCTAACGTAATTTCTAAATATTTAAATTTTCTATTAGCCGATTTGTTAACGGAGTTATGAACGAGTAAAGTAAAAATGGTATTTTCTCTTCAATTTGCGATAGCTTGATAAAGGAAGATTGAAATTTTAAAAAACGATTTTACAGGGAAAACTTCAGGCTTTAACGTGAAAATGTCAAAAAATTTTTTCCAATCTTCTTGTGTATGCGACTGTCTATAAAGCGACAAGAAAATTTTCCATTTCGTTATGTTCGTCGTTTTCTGTATGTAAAAAATATCAAAATTAAATAAAGTGAAAAAAAGCATTGATCTTTTGAAAGTAGAGATTTCAAGCTTTAAAACCCTTTTTTAAAATACAAATTATCGTTTTTCATAACAAAGTTACAGCTATTTAAAATTTGCCCATTTTTGAACAATTTTTTAATCCCTTAATTATTTTGAGTATATTTTTATGAAATAAATTTTTCAATAAATTAATTTTTCATTCCGTAAATTTTTTTACAATCGTCCTCAAATTTTGATAAATAAATCTAACTTAATCTAACGTAATTTCTAAATATTTAAATTTTCTATTAGCCGATTTGTATCGGAAATTCACTGTTCCTCCTGACGAACAAATAAGAAAGCGCGATTGTTGTATACCATAATAATCCTTACAATTAACTGATTATTAGAAACGCCTTAACTGCCTTCGATCAACCGCATTTCCTTTCGCAATTTCGAGCAGTTCGTTGCACCCGAACGCGTTTCAGAAACTTATTATTCCGAATTGATGGCTAACGGTACTTCCTCACAGTTTCGATGCGTCAAGAATTCTAAAAAGGGAAAAGAAAATCGATCGAGAACTTAAATTGCGATTGAAAGAGCGATTTCGAGCATTCGTTTAGATATATAGAAAAATCAAAGTTTCGATTCCGGATATTGTGTATGAATCATATGCTAATTAAAACAAGTTATTTCTACATCATCAATTTATATTACAACTTTACAGAAATGTCAAATTAATAATAAATATTAATGTAAATTTTTTCTAAAAATAAAAAAATTAAAAAAAAAAAATTAATTAATAAATAATTATATGTGTTTGAATAATTTTGTAAAACATATTATCGAAATATTAAAATTAGAAATAATATAAAATTGCGATATATTAAAAAAAAAAAAACAATTTCGAATTAAAAGAACTATTCTCTTGCTTCGATAAATACTTTCTTTTTGCATCCATTGTCTCCTTATCGAGGGGCGTGGACAGTCCATCAAAAAAAGTGTGAACAAAGAAAAGAGATATATATATATATAAAGAGAGAGAGAGAGAGAGACACGAAAAGGAGAAGGTCAAGAAGGATCCGCGGCTAAGAACGGCGCCGAGCTGGCGATTTTTAAGTTTGACGGCTCTTGAACCGGGAGAATATGCAGGAAGGGGCAAGGAGGGGGGGGGAGGAACAAAGTCGAGGGATATCTCAAATACGCGAATACTCGAGGAGGGCGGCAACGGCCGGAGTCGCAGTTATTGCAGTGGACGTCCTTGCTACGTTATCTGCCACGTCGTACGTTTCGTTTCCCTTTCACTTTCAGTCTCTCTCTCGGAGGAGTCCAGGAACCAGAAACCCCGGATCTTTCTCGCGAACAAAGATACATATTTCCTCCCCTCCCCCCTCCCACCCTTCTCTCTTTCATCGTGTGCCAGATGCTGAGGAGAGATAAATTGGGCGAACGCTTAATGCGAGATAAATTCAAATCGTCGAGGATTTTTTGCGCATTCAAATGAATTGACGCTAACTAAATTGAGCAAACTTGTCTATAGTTGTGACACACTTACATATATGAGAGAAGGGGGATTTATAATTAGATAATAATGAAATGAAACTAGGATAAATATGATAATTAATAGATATACAAGATGGAGGCGATAGAAATGAAAATTTTGATCAAGAGACTTTTGAAAGTCTTTTGATCTAAATTTCATTACGAGTCTAATCTTGCGTTTCTTCGTGGATCTTTATAAATCTAATCTCGCAATCGTGGGATTTAGATAGACAATTGTAAGAGAGGCATTATTCTTCGGAAGAATACGGAGAGAGCGACGACAAGCTTGATATCTAACTTCAAAATAAAGTAGAAAAAATAGAAAATAGAAGATTTTATTTATTCATTTTATTATTTATATATATGTATATATTCAATTTTTATATAATTTTTATATAATTTTATAAGTTTATTATATAATTTTAATTTAAAAATAATTTAAAAAATTTTGTTTATAATTTAAATATTTTAAATGGTTTTGAAAATGGATTTAGATATTCTACGATGCCTTAGATCTTGAAACTTTGTATCTTTCGCATTTCCCTAAAAATCAGCTGATACACAATTGCGTTTAAAATAAATGCGAAAAGATTGCAAATAAAAATTAATTTAAAAAATAAAATAAAATATTAAAAAAAAAAATAAAATTAATTTTTGCAGAATGGCGAAGAATCAACATCAAAATGGCATAATACCGGGCGGTGGCGCGATGTCCGGACCGGATGATTTTTCGGATGGTGAAAGCACTCCTCTGACTCAGGACTATGTCGGAAGGTAAGTGACGATTTCATCATTATTGATGCGATTTCTTCTTAATTTTATCTCGAAAAAATTTTGCGATTTTTAGGAATAAAAAAAGATTTAATAAAATCAAACTCTAAAGTAAATACAAAATAAACAGGTCAGAAATATTGGAGAAAATAAAATTTAGATAAATACAGTATATATTTTAAAATAAAGATCAAGAGAAAATTACATTGATTTATTATTAAGGAGTCAATTATTTATTATTATTGGAACTATAACTTATTTACTATTGCTTACTACTACTTACTATTATCTACTATTGGCGACTACTGTTTATTATTGCTGATTATACTATTGCTGAATATCATCTATTATTATTATATTATTGCTAACTATTACTTCCTATTGCTGGCTATTATTCAGTATTGTTCATTATTACTTACTATTACTTATATTACTTGCCATTACTTACTATTGCTTATTATTACTTCTTATTGCTTACACTATTACTTAATACTACTATGTACTATTACTTACTATTGCTAACTATTGCATACTATTACTTATTATTGCTTACTATTGTTTACTATTGCTTATTATTAATTATTATAGAGACTATTTTAATTAAAATTGAGAAGAAATAAAATTACTTTTTATTACATTGTAGATGGCAAAAAATAAAATAGCTTACGAAAATAATTAGAAAGTTAGAAAATTTTTTGATATCGATCAAATTAATTTGTCGGCCGATCGAAATAACATTTCAACTGACAACTATAGCCAACGCACGATTGTCGAGACGAAAGGATGGGACGTATTCCGAAATCCACCGCTGAAAACCGACTCCATCTCGGGCTCCATGGCGAACCAGAAGTGCCTGGAAAGAATGGTGCAAATGATCAAGGTCCTCGTCTATCTACTGGTTTTCGTCATTGTGCTGGGAAGCGGCGTGGTCGCCAAGGGCACGATCCTTTTTATGACGTCGCAGCTCCAACGTGACAGAAAAATATTCTACTGCAACAGACAATTAGGTAAAGATATTAATTTTTATTTTTATTACTTTTATTAATTTTTTTAATAATAATTTTTTGCGCGATTCATCTTTCCTTCTATGCAGATCGGGAAAATCAGTATACCGTGACGTTGCCCGAGGTTGAGAGGATCGCCTGGATCTGGTGCATAATAATTGCGCAGTCGATACCAGAGTTCGGCGCGCTGATGCGCAGCATTCGCATGTGCATCTTCAAGTCGTACAAGAAGCCACAATTGTCGCACTTTCTTCTGGTCTTCCTCATGGAGACGTTTCACGTCGTGGGTTGTTCCTTGATGTTCATGGCGGTACTTCCGGAACTGGATGTCGTCAAGGGGGCGATGTTGACCAACTGTGTCTGCTTCGTTCCTGGATTGCTGGGTAATTTTTTATTCGAGTTCAACAAATTTAGATCGGTTAATTTTTAAATTTAAGAAATTTTTTTTAAAGTTTGTGATTAATTCTATATAGAGCTAAAGTAAAGTAAAAAATATCTAAAAGAAATTTAATATAAAAAATAAATAAAATTAAAAAAAATAAAATAATAAAATTGAATATAGCATATATTAATAATAAATAGTACAATTATGTTTCAGTTTATTGATTTTTTAAATTTTATTTGCTTTTTCTAATTTTAATTTAGTCTTTCCCTTTCCAAAATTTTATTTTAGATCTACAGAATTAATTTATAAAAACCTAAAAGAAAGATAAAATTTTTTAGATTATATACATATATAAAATTTACCGATTTATATATAATCTATTTTATTAAGTAGTGTAATGTGCGGAACGATTGCATGTTTCATTATTAAAGGAAATAAGAATCCGCTTTCGATCGCGAGCGTTCGACTTTCACGTTCCATCTTTCCACAGTTCCGTGTTATCGAACGAATAATCACATGTAAGAATAGCGAAACACCGCACGCTGCAACACGTACATTATTAATTCTTACAGGCCTACTTTCTCGTAACAAAAGCAAAGGTGAGTCCAAGCGATTCGTGCTCGTTCTCGTCGATATCGCCGCCCTGGCCGCTCAGACGACCAGTTTCGTCCTTTGGCCGCTGCTGGAGAACTCGAAGCACTCCCTGTGGCTGATTCCGGTCGCGCTTTTCCTCGTTTCCTGCGGGTGGTGGGAAAATTACGTCTCCACGCAGAGTCGAATAGGTAGACAAAATTCTTTGATTAAATCAATAGAAATCATTTAAGAAGCTTTTTTTATTTATTGAATATTTATCTCTCAATTATTAGAATCCTTCTTTAAAAACGCTTCAATTTTTCACTTTCTCGCAGGTCTGATCAGAACTCTCGGCAGAGTGAAGAAGGAGATGCGACTGACGCGTTACTTCACTTACATGTTAATATCCATCTGGAAGGTTGTGGCGTTCTTCATTAGTTCGGTATTGATATTGTACTTGAAAGGGGAAAACGTCGGCCATCTCTTCACCATGTTGAGTAGCGCTTTCAGCGAACACAGAATCACGGTCACGTCCATCAAGACGGCAGCAGGTGGAACTTTACCTGATCTCTCGGAGATCGTAACCGGCGACATCAGCGAGATCGTCAACTCTGACTTCAGCACGCCCATCTACGTTCTTTTCCTGCAGATCGCCGGCTCTTACTTTGCCTATATTTTCGGTAAACGATTTTAAAATTAACTCTTCCTAAATGTCAATTATATTTTTAAATGTCAAAATAATTATTTTGACGTCGATGACGTCATTTTGACGTTTAATGGTAGCAGTTTGATGTTTAATGACGTCAGTTTGTATTTGGGAATTAAGCTATCTTTGGATCCTTTTTAAATATCACAATTATATTTTTAACATTAATAAAAATTATAATTGTAGCAATTGTAACACGATAAATATCAGAAAAGAGTAGAGAAATTGTCATTAATATATACTAAATAATTTATTTTATTACGATTTTAATTACTCTGACTTTCAGGCAAATTCGCGTGCAAGATCCTGATTCAGGGCTTTAGCTACGCGTTTCCGGTGAATCTAACGATACCGGTATCGATTTCGTTGCTGATCGCCGCCTGCGGTCTTCGCAACAGCGATCCATGCTTCTTCCACGGCACCATTCCAGATTATCTGTTCTATGAATCGCCACCGCCGAACTTCCTCAACGACTTTGTGTCAAAGCAGTATGCCTGGGTGTGGCTGCTCTGGCTGCTGTCGCAGACCTGGATCACCCTGCACATTTGGACGCCCAAATGCGAGCGTCTTGCAGCCACGGAGAAGCTATTCGTGGTGCCGATGTACAACTCTCTGCTGATCGATCAGTCGATGGGACTGAACAGAAGAAGAGACGATCAACCAGAAGTCAAAGTCGAAGTAAGTATATTCTCAATCAGAAGACTTCATAGTTTCTTTATTTTATATTTTTTTATTGACTCAATTTAAATTAATTAATGGATCGATTCAATAGGATCTGGCGGAGATAGAGAAAGAGAAGGGCGACGGTGACTACGAAACAATCTACGAGCAGACGGATGGCTCGACGACACCTCCTTCAGCGGTGAAAAGCAGCGATCACGTGACCAGGATCTACGCCTGCGCTACCATGTGGCATGAGAACAAGGAGGAGATGATGGAGTTCCTGAAGAGCATCCTGCGCCTGGACGAGGACCAGTGTGCACGACGCGTCGCCCAGAAGTACCTCAAGGTCGTCGATCCCGATTACTACGAATTCGAAAGTTAGTTGGCAAATTAGCAATTCATCATCATTAATCGAACGAACCTTAACAGCTCACATAACTCGAAGACGTTCAGAGAACATTCTGAGGATGTTCGAATGTTCTCTGGATATCCTCTGAATATGTTGTGCTATTAGGGAATCGTCCTAGCGGTATTTGTCGATTTATTATTTGGTCTCGCTTCATAAATAAAACTGCCTGTTTTTTTCTCTTTTAGCTCACATATTCTTCGACGACGCATTCGAGCTGTCAGATCACGATGAAAACGAGTCGCAGGTAAACAGGTTCGTAAAACTCTTGGTCGGCACGTTGGACGAGGCCGCGTCGGACGTGCATAAAACGAGGATGCACGTAAGAGCACCCAAGAAGTATCCGACTCCGTACGGCGGACGATTGGTTTGGACTCTTCCTGGAAAGACGAAGATGATCGCCCATCTAAAAGACAAAAGCAAGATCCGACACAGAAAGCGTTGGAGCCAGGTGATTCCTTCATTCTTTTAAGCTGTAACTAGGATTTAGATATTTAGAATCTAACAAACTTACTTAGAGTCTCTATATTAATCTTGATTCTTTGAATTTGTACCTTCCCCTAACAGCACACATATCCCGAAGATGATTCAGAGAACATCCTAAGGATATTCTCTGAATATCTTTCGGGTATGTTGTGCTATTAGGGTCTTGATTTCTTACTTCTTTTCAAATTTAGGTAATGTACATGTATTATCTGCTCGGACATCGGCTTATGGAATTACCGATCAGCGTCGATCGCAAGGAGGTCATCGCCGAGAATACGTATCTGCTGACACTTGACGGTGACATTGACTTCCAACCGGCGGCGGTGAAGCTTCTCGTGGACTTGATGAAGAAGAATAAGAACTTGGGCGCCGCATGCGGTCGAATTCATCCAGTTGGCTCTGGTAAGATCATTTGGTCAGTTAAACGACTAGTATGTCTGTAATAATTGATAAAAGTGACTAAAATGGATTCAATTATGGTATACATTAATGTAGCTATGTTGATGTTAGTACAAAGTCTAGAGAGAAATTGTTATATCATTTATTAAATATAATCAAGTGAAGAGAGAGAGTAAGAGATTTTTTTACGATTATATTTATTTAATGTCCGATTATTACGATATTTTTCATAAAACTTGCAGGACCAATGGTGTGGTACCAGATGTTCGAGTATGCGATTGGTCACTGGCTGCAGAAGGCTACCGAGCACATGATCGGCTGCGTGCTTTGCAGTCCTGGATGTTTCTCGCTGTTTCGTGGCAAGGCACTAATGGACGACAACGTGATGAAGAAATACACGACCAAATCCGACGAAGCGAGGCACTACGTGCAATACGATCAGGGCGAGGATCGTTGGTTGTGCACGTTGCTGTTGCAACGAGGTTACAGAGTAAGCTTTTATCATTATTTTTATTATTTTTAGTACAATAAATACTCGTATTATCAATTTTATTTTATTAAAATATATACGTATATAATTTAATTATATTGTCACGTTTAGGTGGAATATTCGGCTGCAAGCGATGCTTATACACATGCACCGGAAGGATTTAACGAGTTTTACAACCAACGACGTCGTTGGGTGCCTTCCACGATCGCGAATATCATGGATCTGCTGATGGATGCGAAACGCACGATTAAGATCAACGACAACATCTCGCTACCCTACATTTCCTATCAGATCCTTTTGATGGGTAAGTGCTCGTTGATTCAATTTAAGGATGTTCGGGCAGTACAAGTACTTTTTCCCTGCTAAAAGTTTACTTTCTCACGTACAGTCAATTTCAAGAGTTAGACCATTTTTACATTTGGCAACGTTGTATAACATTTGATAGTGTATGTACGTGTCATTCACAGCACTGAATGTTGTAGTTGAGCATATAAGCAAATTCAAACGATGGAGTCAAAAAGTAAAGTATAAGGAAATACTAACCTAATGAGATAACTTCACTTCAATAACATTGACATTCAATGACAACTCCTCACTACTCTAACTCTAATGTTGCTGCAACGAATGCAACGTTGCCACTTTTTGTCATACTAAGAAATTGCTCAAAAATAATTATTAAATTAAAAAAACGAGCTTCTTAATAAAGCTAAAACTTGGTTTGGATAATTGTGTAATATTACTTATTCTGGTTAAAAAATTTCAAATTTTTTTCATCATTTTTTTACTGAAATATCATAATTTTTAGCCCATTTTTCATAAGACTACATGTAATTTTATTATTTAATTTTCCTATTAACAACCTTCTAAAATAATCTCAAATTTTAACAGATTTTTTTTTATGTTGAAATCTACAGAATACAATTGGATTTAACCAGTTTTCATCATTTTTGTCCTAATGCCTGAACATCCTTAAGAAAAAATTCAATAAAATTAAAACATATTTATTTGAACGATTGAGCATTAAGGCACTTTGGAACATTTTTACTTGGTGTTAAATCGTGGCTAAAAAAAGAAAAAACATCCCAGACAGCACCAAGCCCAAAATTGGCGCATAAGATATCATTAAGAAATCTTTAAGACAGCTTTAAGAAATCTTATATGATATCCAAAAGACATCTTAAATATATTTTAAAGATGTCTTATGCGCCGATTTTGGATTTGATGCTGTCAGGGTTTATCCTCATCCTTTTTATTAGATAGAGCCTCTATCACTTGTGCACCATTCATCTATTGTTTCTACTCGTTTACATATTCTCTACAATATTATAACTTTAACTTGTCAAAGAAAAGACAGGTTTAATTAATTAAAATATTTAAGTATGATTAAGACTATTTATTTGATTATAAAAAAACAGGTGGCACGATCTTGGGACCCGGCACGATTTTTCTCATGTTGGTGGGTGCCTTCGTGGCTGCCTTCAAGATCGACAATTGGACCAGCTTCTATTACAACATTATCCCCATCTTGCTTTTCATGATTGTCTGTTTCACGTGTAAATCGAACGTACAGGTATACATTTTTCGATTTTTATGCCTATATGTGTGTTCGCTTTTTGTCGCGCATTGTGTTCGTCGCTCGCAATTTGTGTCAACAACCAGAATTCTTAATTAACAATCTACATTAATTTCTCACAGAATGCGACTGTTCAAGTTCTTCGAAAGAGTCAAAACATATATATACAATTTCTTAGGGCAAAATTTTCCACTTATGATATTTTCGAGTCAAGAGAGTGAAATGAACGTTTCTCATGAGGAATATCTTCAAAATGGGAGGAATTAAGAGTGAGTGGTTTTCAGCTCTTGTGCGCCCAGATCCTGTCAACAGCGTACGCGATGATCATGATGGCGGTGATCGTAGGTACGGCTCTGCAGCTTGGCGAGGACGGTATAGGTTCGCCCTCGGCGATCTTCCTCATATCACTGTCGAGTTCGTTCTTCATAGCAGCCTGTCTACATCCGCAAGAATTCTGGTGTATTGTGCCCGGCATCATATACCTACTATCCATTCCGTCCATGTACTTGCTCCTCATACTGTACTCCATCATCAATCTTAACGTTGTATCGTGGGGTACCAGAGAGGTGCAGACGAAAAAGACGAAAAAGGTTCGTTCATGGCATGTCCAGGTAACAAGCATACGTCAAATGACCCCATTTTGATGTTTGATGACGTTAGTTTGTTATTTGGATATCAATTTTTCTTCTTTTTTTCTTTCATCTTAATTAACTGGGTTCATAAAGGGATATATGTATTTTTCTTTCATTGATGAGAAGGGCTTTGGAGCTTCGGCAAGAGGAAATATTTATGTTTATATAACAGTTGTTGAACTTTAAAACATGTATATGGTACATCAACAAGAAGAGACCGCACCCTGGATAACAATCACTCACTCAAGGTTCTTCATTATTGAATAATCCTAAACAACCATTCGCTTGAGCTTTGGTCGCTTTATTTTAAGGGAATCTTAAAAGCCGTCCTGTTTTATCGATAAAACATCATTTAGAGCACTCTTTTCTTTTTATTAGTTAAAAAAATTTTTCTTTTAACATAAAATTGGTAGGTCTGCACTTTGTTTCCATATGTACTTTAATCGTGGAAAAGCACTTATTATTCCATTCAACCAAGAAAAAGAAAAAGGTGCACAAAAATAATGTTTTATCGGTAAAACAGGACGGCGTTTAGGATCCCCTTAAAACGGAGAACGATTAACATACACGCATACACACACACACACACACACCAAGGATTGATGGGGCTAACGGCAGGTGATGGTGGCCGCAGTGATCAGCACCGTGTACGCAATCCTAATGATGTCGGTGATTGTCGCGTACGCGATAAACATCATGAGGGAGAGCGTGATGTCGCCGAACGCCTGGTTCCTGTTCCTCATCGTAGGCGAGTTCGCGATTGCGGGTCTCCTGCACCCGTACGAGGTCGGTTGTCTCCTGCACGGTCTGATCTATTACCTGGCGGTGCCGTCAACGCACATCCTACTAACCATATACTCTCTATGCAATCTCAACAACATTACGTGGGGCACGCGAGAGATTAAGACGAAGGAGAAACACGCGGTAATTGATCGTTCACTTTACCAACATTGACTAATCTGCACTGATCAGGATACTTCTCTACTTGTGCTTCAAATTCATATTAATTATTTATTTACGAGAAAATTGTGGAGCAGATCCAAGTAGCAAACTGACGTCATTAAACGTTTAAGGATGTTCAAATGTCCTCTGAATATTCTCTGAATATTTTTTCGGATATGTCGTGCTATTTAGGTAAACGTCAGAGTGACGTTATATTATTAAATGTCAGAATGACGCCATTAAATATCATTAAATATTAGAATGATGTCATTAAATGTCATTAAACGTCATTAAATGTCATTAAACGTCAGAATGACGTTATTAAATGTCAGAATGACATATGTTTGCTATCTGGGTTAATAATTGAAACAAATCCTCCCAGGTAGCAACCCAGGTAGCAAAACTGACGTCATTAAATGTCAGAACGACGTGATTAAACGTCAGAATAACATCATTTTGACGTTCGATGACGTCGTCCAAAATGACGTATGCTTGCTACTTGAAGAGATTGTGTCCCTCCATTTGGATCTGTCATTGACATTCGTGCAATTCAGGAGCTCGAGCAAGAGAAGCGCGAGGCTGAAGAAGCGAAGCGCAAGGCCAAGCAGAAGTCCCTACTTGGTTTCCTACAGAATGGTGCGGGTACCAACGACGACGATCAGGGATCCATTGAGATATCCCTGGCCGGTTTGTTCAAGTGTCTGCTCTGCACTCATGGAAAACCTTCTGCCGAAAAGCAGCAACTTGTGGCAATTGCAGAATCCCTCGAGCAGCTCGGCAAGAGGCTCGAGACTATCGAGAGGTGAAAAATCAAAGTATTCTTTGTTACCATAAAAGCAAGTCTTATGTCGATTTTGAAGCGAGTTTATGTGTATTTGAGCTAAAATAAACCTGATAAACTTGTCTGGATCATTTCAAATTTGATTAATATTTTTTTGACGCTTTCAAAAGATTACAATTATCTTGTAGAGCTGTGGATCCTCACTCTGGAAGGAGAAGGGCTTCTTCGGTGGGTTCGCGAACCGCTGATCATCTGGGCGCCATCGGCGAGGATCCAGCCGAGGATGACGAAGCCAGCGACACGGAAACAGTGACCAGTTTGAATACGGAGGGTAATCGTGATGGCAGCAACTTCCTCACGCGACCGTATTGGTTGAACGATGACGGTTTGAAAAAAGGCGAAGTGGACGTTCTGTCGCTGCAAGAGGAGCAGTTCTGGAAGGATCTTCTAGAAAAGTATCTCTATCCGATCGACGAGGACAAGGCAGAGAAGGTAAAACGACGAGCAAACTACTCAGACTGATTTGAATATTTTTTTAATCGGAGGAATCTGTTTCTTTTTAAAAGTTTTTTGTGAACATTTACTTTATTTATATCTATTCCAAATATGGCAATAATCACGTCTCAAAAAAGTTTTTTTAAATATTTTTACTTTAACCGATTTCTCTTGAGAATTTTTATGAAAAATATTTTAATTGCTAAATAATCTTTATTCTGTTTAAAAATTAAATAATCTGTAAAGGTTAATTTTTTTTTGTAAAATTTAAAAATTCCAATTTTCATTTTTTTTTAACTTTGTCAATTTCTCATATTTTGTTTATATTCACATATTTTTTTATAAATCAAGATACATATTCATTACTGTTTCTATTGTGAAAATAATATAATTTTTAAATGTTAAATATAAAAATTTTTTTATTTAAAAATTGTTTATATAAAATAGATAAATTAAAAGAATTTTGAAGTTTATTTTGCGAGATTTAGAATGCTTAATTTTTTAATTTTGCCAATTTCTCTAATTCGCATTTTTGCTTTACATAACAGAAAAAATTGTATTTTGCAATTACATTTCAAAAAACTTTTATAGAGTAATTAATATCTCAATATGAATTTTGATCTTAGAATTTTTCGGGATCGAAACGAGCTTTCTTGCGATACAATACGTCTTTGTTATTGCAAGCTGTCGTCGATCCAGGGTGAAGAAATATAATTGATCTTCCTGAAATATTTATTTCTAAACCATTTCATTCTCTCATTGGACGATCATGCAATTGCTGAGCATTCAAAAAAATGTCAAGAATTTGTAGATCTTTCATCTCTCGACAATCGCACCTATCAATTAAATGAAATCAAATTAAAAGTTGAAGAAAATTCCTAAGAATTCAGAAAAATTAAAAGAAAGAATTAATAATTAATTATAAAAAATTGAAAAAAATCGTCTTTCATAGAATGATATAATGGTGCGCTTTTTTCTCTCTTTTCCTCTTTTACAGAGATACATACATTTATTTGTTAACTGTATATTCCCACATAGTGTAATACTTGAATTAATGTACGCCATGCTGTCAGGCAAGAATCGCCAAAGATCTAAAGGACCTACGCGACCAGAGTGTCTTTGCATTCTTTATGATGAACGCCCTCTTCGTCCTGATCGTCTTTCTGCTGCAATTGAACAAAGACTTGTTGCACATCAAGTGGCCATTCGGCATCAAGACGAACGTCACGTATGACGCTAGCACTATGGAGGTAAAGCCAGCTCCGTCGGCGCCTCGTTTTCCTCGATCGCAAATATAAATTAATCGTTGACGATCTATTAAGAGAACTTTGATTTAAATCTAGATTTTTAAAGTGCTTTCCAGCAATAAAACGCAGTCATACATTGGGTGACAGTTACATAATATCGACTTGTAGCTGAAACTCTGCTTTTTCTTATTTCACCACCAGAGGGCAGAGCAGTCGCTTTAACCTCTTCAGTTTTAAGTTTTTTTAAAGTTTATCTCCTATTACTCTATAAAAAAGTTGTATTAAATGTAAGAATATGGGAATAACACAACAGAACACAATGGAATACAACATTTTAACTGTCAACTTGTGTCATAGTTGGAAAATACTTTAAGTTATTAGGATCAAGTTAGATTACATTACAGGTTGGGTATATTGTGTACACAGCCTATGTACATTGCTGGGAAGCATTCTTAAGTACGCAACCCAAGTAGCAAACTGACGTCATTAAACGTCAAAATGACGTATGTTTGCTACCTGGGAAGGATTTGCAGATAAATCGAGCGGATCGTTAACGACGAGATCGACGGATATCGATGGATCGATCGACGGGGCTTTTTTTTTACTATTCTAATGCCATATCGTCTCTTTTTTCTCTGTTTCCTCTGCGCCATTTGCAACATAGGCCCGCATCGCCGGCGATCTGATCGAGCTGCGCAACAAGAGCGTGTTCGCCTTTCTAATGTTCAATGCGTTGTTCGTTCTGATCGTATTCTTACTACAGCTGAACAAGGATCAGCTGCACGTTATCTGGCCACTTGGCGTCAAGACCAACATTACCTACATCGAGGAGACTTCGGAGGTATCCGATCATCAAGACGGGGGAAAAGGATTTTAAGGCGATGGTGGCCATGGTGTCCCGTTAAAGTCGCTCTCGATGCGCTTGGATTCTCGCAAAATTAATTTTTTTTAAATTAATACATTAAAATTAATTAATTAATTAATTTTAGTTTAACAACTTGAAAAGATTGACGACAAAATTAATTTTTATTTTGCAAAATTTATTGATCCTAACGCATTGGGGGTGATAATTATACCTTCGGTACGATGACGATTGCACCTGCTCAATTCAATATGTATATATATTTTTGTGTATGTAATTAACACGACTGGCTCGCGTTCGAAAGGTTCATTAATATTCCGGTCTCCGGTTAATATTCTCACACAGGTACCTCACCCTCACCCCCGGGTCGAATGGAATGGAGATGATTTCTCGTGGCTCTGTGACTAGGAATATAACTAGAAATTAGCAACCTGAACACACAATAACATATTTCTGTTTACCTTCAGTTTACACTCATTAACAAAAAAATTTAAGCACCTAAAAAATACATCCGCACTTTGCTGCATGTTTTTTACATGATGCATGATTAGTCAAATTGAAATAATTTGCACATCTATAATTTTATATCAAATTTTGTTGTTATTGGATGTTTTGCTGGGTGCTTAATTTTTTTATCAATGAGTTTAATTACATGACTCAATTAAATCATGATAATCCAAAGATAGAGGCGGATATTGATCTTTTTCAAGATTTGATGCTAATAATTCTTGGAATTTAATTTTACAAATGAATAATTTTATGCTTCTAAATTATTCAATACTTGAAAAATTATTAGCATTAATAATATTATAAAAATTATCGCTAAAAAGTGTTATTAAAATTAATATTTTTATATTAAGATTAAAGTGTAAATTATATTAAAATTAATATTATATATTTTTGATAAAATTATAGATCCGTCTCTGTACACGCAAAAATCTTGTAATTACAGACTCAAATTCGCAAGAATCTACAGATCTATAGATTTTCGGATCTGCGTCTCTCTTTTCTCTTTCGTTGTCTAACTTTGACATATGCACTATATCGCCAATTATGGACGAGCACTACTAATGTGTAATATAATGTAATGGATGCTTTCAGTTCAATTCCCGAGTTTGTCTTATGTCGTTCATAAGCATACATTTATATATATGTATATATGTATATGTGTATATTGATGTGTTAATCTTAACACGCACGAAAGATGCACCGACGATTGTGGAATTTTAATCGCTAACAGAATTTATTTGTGTATTTAATTATATGAAGAAACGTTTCTCGATGACGATCGATCGATTATTATTATTGCAAAAATAATACAAAACAAAATTTCTATAACTTGGGAAGAAAAAACGATTCAAAGCTGCGAAAATAAATCGATTTGTAATTTAATAATTTAATAATCCAAATTAATTATAAATTTTATTCAACAGTTTCGATCTTTATTAAAACGATTCAAAGCTGCAAAAATAAATTAATTTTTAATTTAATAATTTAATAATCCAAATTATAAATTTTATTCAACAGTCTCGATCTTTATCTCCAAAATTAAATGAACAGATGAACAAATAGATGCGATTTCGATCGCCATTGGGCGTTTTTTCTTCAACAAGCACGTCTTTTTTTCGTGCACACGTTACACATTTTACATACGAACGATTTTGCAGGTACACATCACGAAGGAGTATCTACAACTCGAGCCGATCGGTCTCGTCTTCGTGTTCTTCTTCGCGTTGATATTAGTCATACAATTCACCGCGATGTTGTTCCATCGATTCGGCACTCTGGCTCACATCTTAGCCAGTACTAGCCTAGATTGTTGCAAAAAGGTATGCAGAATTCATTAAAAAAAATCGGTTTTTATATTAAATCATCATCCTTTTATATTTCAAATAAAAATAAAAGTTGGGTATTTAAATTTTTTTTAAAAAGAATTTTAGGAATTTTCTCTCTACAGAAGTATATGTATTTAAGTTAATTACTTTAATTATTGAATTTATATACGTTTCATATATTTTGAATTAATCTTTCACTTATATTTTCTTCTACAACTCTTTTGGAATATACTTTTAATTTCTTATAATTATTATTCATACACATTTGTGTTTCTAATATTTTTAAAGTGACTTATTGAGAGTGAGTCACTTTACTCAAACGATCTCTTATAATTTATTATAATTAATTAATTAATTATTTTCGCAGACGAAGGATCTTTCCGAGGAAGCCTTACTGTCAAAACACGCGGTCGAGATAGTGAGAGATCTACAGAGACTGGACGGAATGGAGGGCGATTATGAAGAAGGTAGTGGCAGCGGACCTGGTAGACGAAAGACGATTAGAAACCTGGAGAAGAGTCGCAGGAAGACGCAGGCAATCAACACGCTCGATGTAGCCTTCAGGCAGCGATTCTTCAGCATGAACGAGGGCGCAGGTTCGAATTTACTACCCTTCTTTAACCCCTTAACAGGTGCGAATTAACTGAGGCAAAAAGTGTTGGCAGAATTGCGCAAGTTCGAGTAGGCAAGAATATTATTTCTAGGACCTCTCGATTTGATAGGTCATTTTCATAGAGTCAGGTAGAAATAGGTGATTTTTTATCACTAGACTTATATATTACTATCTTTGTTCATATTTTCTGTTAAAGATTTAAATATTGAATTTTTATGCGTTGCATAATTAATTAATTTATGCATTAATTGTAATAATAATTTTTACATGCATGCGTCGCAATCTTTGAGATTTTATTATCAAAGAACAAAATTTTGCTTTGCGTGCATAATTATATTTGTTTAGATTAAACAAAATGATATATATATATATGCTACATATTTAGCATTTATAAGCAGATTTTATTAATACAATAGGAAGTTACAAGTAAAAGTAATTATGTCGATTCATAAATCAAACTCAATTTTGTTATCAAATTTAATTATGATAGCAAATTATTGTTAGTATAGTAAACTGATAATAGAATACTATAATACAAACTTGAGAAATACAATTTAATAATTTTTATTAAAAATAATGCAGGTATAATGCTATATAGTATTATATTAAACAGTTATATTTTAATCTTATATTTTATATTTCAATTTTAATTCCCAAATGTCTATTGTGTACATAATTTTAATTTGTCAAATTTTAATTATATATAATATATAATTTTAATTTTTGTTATGTACCATACAACACAAACGCTTAATCCTTAATAATTTCAAGTAGCAAACTGACATTATTAACGTCAAAATGACGTCATTTGACTGACGTTAAAATGACGTATTGTGAATTAAGATTTGTTATCTGGTATAAATGTAGATTGGAGATTAACACTCTTAATGATAATTAAGTAGATTGGAGGTTGATCCCCATCGTTGAGGAAATTGAGAAAATTCAAATGTAGGATTATAAACATCAACTTTTAATTTAAAAATTAACTCTTAAAAATGAAAAAATTTTGAATAAAGGTTTGCCGAGGAACATGTCGACGCGACGCACCACCGAGGCATTCAAGGCCTTCGAGGGTAGACGCAACAGCATAATGGCGATGCGCCGGAAGTCGCAGATGCAGACCCTGGGCGCGAACAACATCTACGGCGTGGCCGGGAATCCGCTCGGGATCCAGGGTCGACCGTCCCGCAGCAGCCAGATATCCGTCAAGGACGTGTTCGAAGGACACGGGACCACGTCGGCGGCCGGACACGTGAACGCTGGCTACGAGGGCGACGACAGTCCCGTCAACAGCCTGAGGCTGCAGAATCTCGGCAGTAGTCAGGTCACGTGGCGGGAGGCCAACTCCAACGTTTGAGCCCATCGTGGAAGGTCGATAAAGAATTAGTTCATTAGGTTGAAAAGAGAAAGGAAGAGCACATTTCCGAATCGCGTTTCCAAAAATTTGGAATTTCAAGCTTTTCACAATTTTTTATTATTTCTTTTTTTTTGCTTTTATGGGATTATAAGATTCTAACGGAAATATAAAATATTTTTTAATAAAATTTGTAAAATTTTTGTTTAAATTATATTTTTGAGTGAAAAATCTCGAGATAAAAAATTGCAAAATGTTTAGAAACAGAAGAATAATGATTACATTCTAAATATGTAAAATTGTATGCATTTGTGTAGTAGTTAAGATTTATTGTAAAATAGAAAATAATGGGCATTTTTACGCGCATTGTCATTTTCGATTTACAATAGCTTTTTTTAATTTCTATGATTTTTTCTAATTATTAGAAAATGAAAGTGAAAAAGACTCGATTCTAATAAATTTAAATAAATAATTTTGCAAAAAAATTAATTTTTTGAAATTTTTTTGTGAATTAAAAGTGATACATGTAAGTTTAAAAAATGCCAATTTATTAAGACTGAATTTTGCATAATTATTATGCAAATGCTATTATTATTATTCCATTTTCTGTTTCAATATTTTATACTTATCTTAATTTTATTACTAAAAAATGTATTTTTTAACATAAAATGTTGTGAAAGGTTTAAATAGTAATTGTCTATTTGTTTAAATATAAATTTTATAGGACATTCTTAAATATTCTACTTTTTGATTTGCCAAATTCTTATATAAATATATATATTTAAAAAAATATTTGCTTATATGTATATATATTTAAAATCGGACGCTATCCTGATATTACATGGATTGAAGATATTATTCTGTAAATTATGAACGGCAATTATTTTTAACTTAAATTTTTAAATATAAAATTAAAATATTTATATTTTAAAAAATATAAATTAAAAGTGATTTTGAAATGAGCTCTTTAAATTGTAGGCTAATTGAGATTTCTAGCATCAAAGGTTACGATATTTTAACACCTACGTGTTTCATTAATTATGTCACAGAATAATTTTAAAACTATATATCTCTACCAAAATCCGCACAAATTTTCTTACTTATCTGATAAGTATTGACAAAATCCAATCGAGTTTTCTCTTTTTGCATATTTTTTTGCACCTTTTCTCTTATTTCTAGCACATCTCCCGTTCATTGTTTTTTCTGTCGCTTTCTTTTATATGGATATTTTATCCTTTCATACTCTAAAAAAGTATATACATTCTGCATCATAACGTTGAATTACAACAGCACTGTTTTATTATTCTTTTTCTTCCTTTAACTGCACATCTATACTTTCTTGTACCTTTTTTAATATGCTTCTCTTCAGTTTTTCTTACCTTGCATGTATAAAGTGTAGAGTGATGCGGTTAAAGGAAGGAAAAATTAGATTTTTGTATCATTACTATCAGGTAGTGATCGCGATGATTACGCTTACTTGCTCCTTTTTTTTATCGTGTAGGTGATAAGGTCGATATTTAAAATATATAAATTTAATTGCGTATGAATGTGTAAATGTGTACATCTGAATTGCACGCGTGTATTCGAAGATTGGATACATGCAATAATAATAATAATTTTACAAAAAAATGTGAAAGGTTTTAAATAAACTTTGTCAAATGAGAGAAAAAGAGAAGCTGTTTTTTTCCTTATTACCAATATACTAATATATATCAGATTGATACAATTTATTGTATTTACATGTAAATAATATAAGAGCAATTTTTTGTCCAAATTAGTACGAGGATACATAGAAGAAAATAAATTTATGTGGAAAATTATTTATTTTATATATTAGTGTGAAATACACGTGTACACAGGCAAATAAATTTAATTTTTAATCTTTGATTTTGTATGTCATTAATTTTTTAAATATTATTTTATGTGTGTAAAGTGCTTTCTTGAAAAAACCTATGCTAGAAAAATTTTTACACAAGCAAATTTGCATACAATGTTTTTATATATTTAACATGTTTCATTTCATTGTGTGTTAAAGATTTTATTGTGATTAATTAATATAATTATTTTTGTAATTATCATTATAAATCATTAATTTACAACGCGTCGTTAATAAATGATGCAATTTTGTCATTCTCCATCATTGTGAGATGAGAACCTTCCACATAATGAATTTGTACTTTATTTTCGGTAATCTGAAATAAATTTCTCGTATAAGAAATATATTAAAATATCTTAAAAATAATTTACAATATAATTTAATTTACCTTATGTAGACCATAATCCTCTTCAAAAAAAGTGAAAGGCGTATGTGTAGGTTTTAATAGTATTATAGATGATTTTAAACGCGGCAATGAAGATGTATTATAATCTTTTACAGCGACTATATGATTGTAAATTGTTGAACATAAAATATTCCGATTTTCAACAGTTAATGCTGTGATATCCTTTGAAAAGTGGGAAAACACTTCTAACTTTTCCTCCCATGAATTGCACTTATTCAGTTCTAATGCAAGCTGTAAATAATAATATAATTGTATTAAACACAATTAATAATGAAAAAAACAATATTTATTTAACTAAAACAGTAATATAAGTAAAATTATTTTTTTGGTAGCATTAATTAATTACTTGAAATTTCTATAATATAGAATTTAAAATAAGATAAAATATTAAATAAAAAAAATGTAGCATATTTCATCATAATTACGAGAATATTCCAACGAGTTATTTTAGAAACTCTATTCTTGTATTAATTATATGAGAAACATTTTTATAGTAAAAAATCATAAAGCGATTTTAATAATAAGTAACTAACCGTTTCATTGCTAGATCCAAGATATATTTCTACGAAACGAATTAAAATGTAATTTTGTAGTTCTTGCTCCGACGGATAATTAAGAACTTTGTCAACAAAAAATTTCATTAAATCAGGAGCTCCGTCTATAAGTATTAAATGTGCAAAAAAATTCTCGGCTTCCAATAATTTTGCCAATTCGATGGCAATTAAACATCCAAATGAATAACCCACAATAAGAAACTTCTTTCGACTTTTTATTTTCTCTACTATATACTAGAAAAAGAAACATACACATATATAATACAGTACGTAAAAAAATATGTATAACACATGATTATTTTACATATATTAGCTTATAATTCCGTACAGGCAGAAGATATGCTGCTGATTTTGTTATTGAACGATTAACATCGGGAATATGAAATACTTGCAAATAACACATCGCTGAAGATTCAATTTTCGATTCTATCAGCTTATATATTCCGGTACAACCATCAATTCCTGGTATAAGAAATATTTCTCTTTCAACATCTTCCCTCTTTGTACCGACTTCTCCATAAATATCTGAACTCAAATCCGAATCATTAAGTTTTCGAGTCAACATTTTTAATCCGTCCAAATCATTTATATTAGCTTCAGTGGCGTCGTGCACTTTTTCTTGCTCGCTTGTCTTTGTCATTTGTTTAAGTTTAGCAAAATTGAGACTTCGAATATCTTGTGCTGTCAATAAAATATCAAACTCTCTCTCCAACGTCTGTTTGATTTCCACTGCCATCATTGAATCCATTCCTAATTCGGCCAATGATATGTTTGGCGGCGCCAAATGTGGATTTTTCAATTCTATTTTTAAAAAAAATTAGAAAAACTTAGATATTTAAATATAATTTTATCGGATCTTACTTGAAACAGCGATATAAAAATTTGCGATTGAAATTTTATGTTTCTTTTAATGACTTTAATATGCACTTGATTATTTGTTATAATTTTATAATGTACTCTTAATAATAGTGTTGAATAATAGTGTTGACTTCAGAATTGATTTAATAGTTGATTTTAGAATTGAATAATAGTTGAATAACAGTTGATCAGTTAAAATTATAGTTGATTAGTATACATAAATGTTTTGTCACAAATTTTTTCCATACGCGTTTTTTAATGACATTAATGTATTCGATTATTTGTTATAATTTTATAATGCACTCTTAATAATAGTTTTTCCTATTGTATATTGTTTTTCAATTGTAACTCGATTTTTGAATTTTAGTTTTTATTTAATTTGTACTTGAAAAAAATCACAATCTGTAATCAAAACGTTGAAATTTCATATAATAAATAAAGCCAGTGTGGGTCACTAACAAATAATTCGTTTTTTTAATTTCTTACTAGCGATATAAAATACGATTGAATAATAGTTGGTTTAATAGTTAAAAATACTTGATTTGTTGTAATAATAGTTGATTGGTTGAAATATCAGTTGCTTAGTATAAATGTTTTGTCACAAATTTTTTTACATAATAGTATTTCTAAACTTACCCATAATATTTGCAACAGCTTCAAACGGATTCGTTGCCTGGCCAAGATTTTTTCTTTTCTCAGCAACAATCATGCTGCCTACGATTGACTGATCTTGAAGCAAGAATACTTCCAATGTATTCAAACAAGAGGATATTTCTTGTTGCAATGTACCTCCAATAACAAGTTCTTTGTTGTTTTCTTGCATATCTGCGACAAGCCCAACATTACCAATAGCGCCCCATTGTATAGCCAAACCATGTAGACCCTCTTTCTTTCTTCTCTCACAAATTCGTTCCATTACGGAGTTAGCCATTCCGTAATTTGTTTGGCCCGCGTTTCCTCTTCCGCATGAAACGGAAGAAAAAACGACAAAATGTCGAAGTTGGAGACAAATTGTTCTTGATAATTCGTCCATCTTTTTTGTCGTCCATGCTTTTGACAAAAAGGATTCTTCGAAAGTCTCTGGAGACTGATCTTTGAATATACAATCTTTCAACACAACTGCGAGATTGAATATAGCATCCACAGGACCTTGTTTTTCGGCAAATTTCAACAGAGATTTACACTCTTCGTATTTTGAAGTGTCAACAGCTGTCATGATTTGTATGTTTACCCCTTGTGATTGCCACAACTTTACTCTCGATCGCTGATAACCGTTCTTTATTCCAGTTCGCGATGTTAGGACTAAATTTCTCGCACCACGTGTAATCAACCAATCAATCAATTCTAAACCGAAACCACCTAGGCCACCCAAAACAATGTAAGATTTGTGTTCGGAGCAATAATAGCGGGGTTGTGCAAGTATAGGCGCATCCAAGGATTCATCTTCATTGTGAACTTTTATTATTATCTGCAAATTATATTAATTTAAAACGAATACAAAAAGAATTGGTACATACACATTTAAAAATATGAGGTCCTATCTTTGTCTGCTTTATCGACAAATATTATTTATTGCTTATACAGATTGAAAAAATCCTTTTCTAGAATTTAAGTATTCATAATACAAAATTTGGGTTCTTGTGTTTTTATATAAAAAATTAACAAGGCTAAATAATTAATGACAGTTTTCTAATCGGTCTTTTTATTGATCGTAATTACGACATGATGCAAAGAACCTAATACGAAAACTGTTTTATTTAACATTTTAGATTTTTATATATAACCTAATTTACAAATAAATACTTTGATTGTTGAAAGGAATTTTTTATTCTGTATAACCGAAAAATAGATAAATGAAAATAACATAAGAAATATGAAGGACAAGAGAATGTTAGAAAAATGAAGACAATTTGAAATAAAGATTACAGATATAGAGCTGTAAAAATGTAGGCAAAGAAAATAAACTGTTGAAATATATGTCGCGTTTTATACTACGAAAATATAATAAAACAATTTAATAGAATTATGGTACTTTTATGTAAATTCAACGAATACTTGCTATAAATTGTTTATTTGTTACGACGTTTTGACCATCGGTTTAGGTCCTTTTCAAGTACAACTATAAAATACAATGAGAATTATTTATATGTATAGTAATAATTTACAATTACGGTTTAAAAAATATAATAAAAAGACGAAGATACATACGTTCTAATGCAATATAATGTTAATGGCACAATCCCTCAATACATGAAAGAATCGTTGTGTCATGATGAAAATGAGTTAAACGAATGAACAGTTTTAACTAAACACAAGTTAAACGACCTTTATTATTTTGTCATAGGTATTATCTAAACTGTCTGTGTCTTTTTATAAATTGATTTTAATTGGACAAAATCTAATATACTACATAACAAAGAACATGTGCAAAAATGAGAAATTGCTGAGATGTCTCTTATTAAAAAATTAATAAAACAATACAATTAATTTACAAAAAACAGACAGTTTAAATAATACCTATGACAAAATAATAAAGGTCCTTTAACTTGTGTTTAATTAAAACTGTTCATTCGTTTAACTCATTTTCATTATGACACAACAATTCTCTCATGTATTGAGGGATTGTGCTGCTAACATTATATTGCATTACAACGTATGTATCTTCGCTTTTTTAATATATTTTTCAAACCGTAATTATAAATTATTACTCTACATATAGATAAATCTCATTGTATTTTATAGTTGTACTTGAAAAGGACCTAAACCGATGGTCGAAACGTCGTAACAAATAAACAATTTATAGCTAGTATTGATCAAATTTATATAAAAATACCTTAATTTATTAATTTACTAGCGATACAAAATATTCAATTAAATTAATAAATCAAATAATAATCAAATAATAATCAAATAAAAATTAATTCTTCCATTAAACATATAATGAAAAATAACCATACCTTGCCAATATGCTTTCCAGCAGCCATATATCTGAATGCAGTTTCTATTTCATCCCGTTTGAAGACTTTTCTGCACAATGGTTTGATAGCACCGTTTTTCAAACCTTCTATTATTTTGTTATACAGTACTGTTCTATTCTCTGGTGATTTTGCTAATTTTGCAGCAAAAAATTCATCTAATATAATACCGTGGAAACTAATGTTTCTCGAGAATAAAGATAAATCTAAAGGATTATTGGCAAACATGTCAAACTTTCCGATTTCGAGGAAACGACCGCCCTTTGCTAAGCAACGAACGGACGCTAGCAATTTCTCCTCGACTAAGGAATTCAATACGATATCCACTCCGCGACCTTCGGTTCCCAGGATAATCATTTGCTCGAAACTCGTGTCTCGAGAATTTCCAATATGATCCTCGGGTATGGAGGGAAACGTTTCTCTTATAAAGTTTCGTTTCTCGGCAGTCCCGACCGTCGTAAACACTTCGCAGCCTTCGTAAAGCGCGAGATGAATCGCAGCTTGACCGACGCCTCCTGTACCGGAGTGAATCAACACTTTGTCGCCCTTCTTTATTTTACCTCTCAGATATAAAGCGTAATAGCACGTGCTATATGCGCAAGGAATCGTCGCAGCTTCTTCCATCGTCAAGTTGTCAGGTATGGTCCAAGTGAGAAATTTGTCAGGTACGAGAATATTGGCAATTCCTCTAAAAATAATTATTTCAAAAAGTATATAAATATATTATTTATATTAAATATAACCATTAACACGTTGATTGCTTAGCAAATTTTCTGTCTTATCGTATACATAAAGGCAATTGAAATTTTCATTATAATAAATAAATATTATAATAATGATAAAGTATTGAAATATTTTATTATTTATTACATTATTACTTAATGTAAAACAATAAACAATACAATCAATAAAATAAATATTGCATTAAGCTCGAGTATGTTAAAATTACTATTATTACATAATTAGGCCAATTAAAACGAGCAATTATTAAAATCATGAATATAAAAAATCTTTAATCGAGATCGTTTAATAAAACAGTTTATGTACTAAAAAAAAATATTAATTAAAAGTATCCATATCACTAACCCAGATAGACACATGCCCATTACTCTTTGTCCATTTATAGTAAAACCAACAAATTCCATTCCAAGTAAAGAATCATTATTTGATACGTCTGAGATAGATTCGAAGTTGAGTCTACCGCTGGCTATCATGAGATCTTTAAAATTGATAGACGCATAAACTATTCTTACTAAATTTTCCTTATTATCATCGTTGACTAAAGATGTCCTGTTTTGCGCCCAACAAAGGCTACTCAGATCACCAGGTGTCTAATATAAATAAATATAACAAATAATAATATTAATTTTAAAATTAAAATTAACATTAAATTTATAATAGCCGCAAATTATATTATAAATAAAAGTGTCATAAAATATTATTTTAATCTTTATATATATATATATATATATATATATATATATATATATAATCGAATTTTCTTAACGTACCATCTGAGTAACGTGGGCACTCTCTACCAGTTTTGGTTCTAGTGGTGGTAACAGAAAATGCCTGTATGATCCCCAAATGTTACCGGAACGTATAACATTAATGGGTAAATCCAGCTGTAGCTGATCCGTGTACAATGATTCTTGTAATGAAAACGTAGGCACATCATTATCTTGAATAAAAATACCTTGGATCATTTTACCACCCGGTTCTCTTCGCAAACAATTGACAAGACCAATCAGTCCACTTTCGAAGTCTCCTTCAGCGACCAGTATTATCCTCGTACTTGCAGCCTGATTTTCTTTGTTCATAAATGATTTAAGCTTATCTACCCATGAGAAATCATAATTGTTTACATGCACTATCTGCTGAATCTTCGCAACATATTGCATTTTCCTTAACAATACAAAAGTCTTATCTCTGGTGCGTTTCTCCAAAATTACTTTTAACCCGTACTTTTCCAGACACGAGTAATCGTAGGTGGCATCTAATTCTTCCCATATCAAGAGAAATCCCATCGGCATTATGAAAGACAACAATTGTTCGTATAATTCGTCTTTATTTTTTGTTAGAATTCCGTAAGCTATGGTCATCAAAGAATTTTCTTTCTTTGTTAGTTTGCCAAATTCTACTGTAGAAACGTTGTCGGGCAAAGTGATGTCTTTGAATCGCTCTTGTGTTGCTACCAGCTTGATACCAGATTGCATTAGCGGTATATTATCTAAAACTTTACTCACGAATAAACAATTTAAATTCTCCGGCATCACTTGATCGCTGTCTTCGATGAATTCAATGATTTGTACATTTATCATGTTGTAACATTCAAGAGCAAGGTGCACCGACATACTTATTACCTCCGGAAAAGATATCACATTTAGATCTCGATGACCAACAAACTTGTACTCTTCAAGAACAGGATTGACTGTTCTTTGTCGACGAGATATAGGTGTAGCCATAACGCCGGATATTTCTATTCCTCCAGATATTAAGACGTCTATATACTTATAATGTTGTACAAGGATTTCTGCAATATAACGCACATACGATGGCATATTAGTAGTGTTATCTAAATAAAATCATAGAGACGAATTATCTAGATGAAATTATGGCCTGATCTTTGTATGGATAATAAAAATATGTGTTTTATCTATATCGGTATCTTAGATAAAAAAAGTGTTATCTTTACTTAATGTTAAACATTATTTAAATGATTTAAAAAACATAATACTAGTCTACAGAGTAGCTAACAGATTGTCGATATGACAGAACAACTTTCATGTTTCTATTTTTAATTAATGTAATTGCTGAATAAGAACAACACTTGAAAAGGACCACAATGTTGGTCGAAACGTAGTGTGTACTTATTTTCAATAAATAAATAGCCAGTTTTTGGTCGAATTAAATTGCATTTTATTATTTGTGAAAATTTTATTACTGGCGATCAACAATTAATTGTGAAAATTATATATTTATGTATTTCCCAAGAAATAACACTATGCAAGTTGTAATTTTGTATAAAATTTGTATATTACATATGTATAATACTGAAAACTTACGACTTTCTTCGTTTTTTGAAAGTTTTTCGATATATTTCATGTGAGATTTCGGATCGATTACTACTTTGCGAATTCTTGTTGGAACCATGAGGCTTCTCGAATTCTGTCCTAAAATCATCAACTGTAACATGTTATCCATAAATGTTACCCAGTTATCAGTCCAGGCAATATGACCATTCTTTCCCGTGATCGAAGCACTTTTGAGTCCACGAAATTCGTCAGTATACTGATATCCACGAAGTTTCAATTCCTTATAGATATCTTTCGTGTTCATTTCCTCTTCGTCATTGTCATTTCGATCAATAAATGTAGCACATATTTTCTCGTCTTCTATATTAACTGGAATTCGGACTGTTCCAGTAACGACAGGATTGCCTCCTTCGATGATTTCGAACTTGTTACTACCTATAACAATGATGATGTAAATATTGTATAAATAAAGTTTAAAAAATTTTTATATTTATATTTTCTAATAAAACTCTGAAAAATATATTAAACAATAAAAAATACATTAAAATCATGGAAAAGTAAACTTTTTGTACTTCCATTACGTAATTCATATTTGCACATCTACAGGGGTGCGTTCCGTATTAACGTCTGACACGTCGAAGTTTCATTCTATCTTTGTTCAACTTTCCGTAAGTAACAAAGATAGAATGACACTCTGACGTATCAGACGTTAATATAAAACGCACTCCAGTTTATAAAATTAATTTGATTGCACGTGTTACCTTTTTGAATCATAAGAGTTAAAATGCTTGCGTTTTGTGGTGATAAAATAGTAGAACGTAGAAAACTGACATCTTCAAATACAATTGATATATCAACGTGATGTTCCTTCTTTAACCAGCCGACCATCTGCCATATAAGCAAAAGATATCCTGTAGCTGGTAATAAATTTTTTCCATTAACGACATGTCCAGTTATATACATAAATTCGTCCTCTGTAGTTCGAATACTAATAGCTGTTTCTCTTATATTAAGTTTTCTTTGTCCGCTATAACGATATACATACCAATCTTCGGAATGATCCCATCTGTAAAGGATATCATTAATTCAACAATGTATAAAACATTATTCTATATTATTTTATTGCTTTGAACAATTGGAAAAAAATAAAATTTAATTTCGTATTTTTCAAAATTCCATTATTTTTTAATCTTAGTACAAAAATCTTTTTAATCTTAAACAGTATTTACCTTACAAGATGAGAGATCATGGATGTACCACGACTTACAGGAAACTTGACTTTCGGATATAAATTTGCGATTTGCGGCTGTAGTCCAGCATTATAAAGTTTTCCAATTCCGTCTAAAAATATTTCCATATCCGGTTTATCAGAGAATTCGTATAACGCAACATTTATCACTGTGGGCTCTAAGGAATAATTAAGAACATATTGTAGCATATTGTGAGGTCCTATTTCAATCGTCACTGCGTCATTTGGAATTAAATGCACAATTTTCGAAAATAAAACCGGGGCTATCAGATAATTTGCATAATATTTTGCTAAACATGACATTGAAGATGCGCTGAATCCTTTACAAGAGAGACCATTCAGCCACTTCGGGCTTGGAAACGCTTTTTGCGGCAACACTTGATTCAAGTACTTCAAAAGTTTGGCTCTTACGAGTTCGACGTAGCGACTATGAAAAGGTATACGTCCGCAGGAAATTTCTCTTGCAGAAATGTTGTTATTCTGAAGAAAATGAAACTTTGTCACTTATTAAATTCGACATTATAATAAGCGTGATAAATATTATTTATATACTATTTTCGAACCTGTAGTTTAGCAAGGAATGCTTTTATAGAGTTTGTTGGTCCACTCACAATAGAATTATGGAAACTATTGTAACATGCTACATCGATATCCGATGGACATATATTCTTCAAAGTTTCAAAATCGAGATTAATTTCAGCCATTGATCCGTCTATTATTTTAGTGTTGAAAAATGCTAAACCGACATAATATGCCAACATGATTGTTTCTTCAGCAGTCAAGCATCCATCGGCGTATCCACAAATCAACTCACCAATAGAATGACCCATTATAATATCGGGAGTTATATCGATACTTGTTAAAAGATCAACTATTCCAATCTGAAATATGTACAAAACATCCAACTTTCTGTTTCTTTTGAATAACTCAATATTATATAATATTATAAATTTCTCCTTCTACGTGCAACTATACAGGGTGTCCCATAATTCGCGAACCACCGCGAATGGGCAGATAGAGCGTGTTAAACTGAATAGAAAAGTCCTGTATCATTTTGCGATATTCGCAATTATTGAATTATTAACTAAAATATCTAAACGAATGAGCGGGTAGAAAGCGGTAGGCCGGACTCGGTGTGCATGTACCGCTTAGTATCAAAAGTATCATCTTACTTTTCGGCGCCACATTGGTCGCCGCTCGCTGCATGACACCACCTCTCGATCAAATAATGCTTTCTACCTGCTTATTCGTTTAGATATTTTAATAAATAACTCAATAATTATTGCGAATATCGCAAAATGATACACAACTTTTCTATTCAGTTTAACACGCTCTATCTGCCCATTCGCGGTGGTTCGCGAATTATGGGACACCCTGTATATATATATATATATATATATAGTTGCATATATATATATATATATATATATATATATATATATATATATATGGCAGATTTCTTTAGTTTGTTTACAAGAAAATTTAAGTTATACATTCCTCAAAATAATTAAGAGATTAAAAAAATTATCCTTAAAATAGCTAAATTTTAAATAGTAACTTTGTTTTGAATAATTGATCATTTTGAACATAAGAATCACTAAAAAGAATTTATCACAGTAAGTCTGTGATTTTTCACCAAGTTTGGGATACTAGGAAGCTCAAAAATTTGAGTCGATAAAATTTTTTGTCGCTTTACGTAACTTTTTTTCAAAGTTTAAGCAAAAAGGAAAAAATTCGCTTCATTAGTTTCATTTATTTGTAAAACATTCACGAGTTAAAAAAATCTAATCATTATGTCATACTACAGAGCAATAATTCAGTTTTAAGAATCTATTATATTAAAATACATAGATGTACAATAATTTTTAACGGAGTTATAATGATCGATCAAAGTAAAAATAACATTTCTTCTTTAATTTGCGATAACTTTATAAAGAAATATCGAAATTTAAATTTAATAAAACGATTTTGGAATGAAAACTTCAGATTTTAACGTAAAAATGTTAAAAATTTTATCACATCTTTTTGTGTATACGATATGTTTACAAAGTGAGAAAAATTTTTCCATTTTGTTATGTTTGTCATTTTCTGTATGTAAAACATATCCGAATTGAAAAAACTGGAAAAAGCTATAATCTTTCAAAAGTAAAGATTTCAAGCTTTAAAATCCTTTTTTAATATTTCAATTATCATTTTTTGAAACAAAATTACAACTATTTAAACTTTGTCTATTTTTTGAACAATTTTCTTTTATCCCTTAATTATTTTAAGGAATGCATAATAAAAAGCTTGTCTCTAACGATAAATCTAGGTAGCAAGTATACGTCATTTTGACGTCGAATGACGTCTGTTCGACGTTTATAACGTTAGTTTGCTACATGGCTGCTTTATAAAAATTGAAATAAATACAGAAAAATTCTGCAACGTGATATTAGTTATAGTGATATTATATTTATACATTTATATTTATACCTGGAGTCCAGTAAGGCCTACAAATAAATTGACGACGTTGTCGAGAATATGTTTGTCTTTATTTGTCAGAATATCAGTAACAATTATGCCCTGAGGTCTCAAAACTTTGTCACATTTTTGGATTGCTTTATTGAATACTGGAAATTTTAATAAAGCGCGACCTGTCAATGTGTTAAGAATAAAATTTAATTATTAATTGTTTTTTAAAATAAATGTTGTTGATATCTTTAATTTCAAATAATTTAATATTTTTACATAAATATTCTAAATATACATATAAATAAAATTTCAAGAAATTAATTAATTAATTAATTTTATTTTACATGTGCTTTTTAAAGCATTATTATTATATTTTAATTTAATATATATCAATATTTTGTTATATTATAATATTCTTAATTAATGTAATAAATATAATTCTTAGAATTTTTAAATTTGCTGTCTAGAAATATTGAAACTGTTAATTTAATTTTTGTTTTATTACTACATATATGGTATATGAAAACATATGTGTATAATGAAAAATTGTTAAAAGTTAATTGCACAAATACACATTATGTACATCTTATATAACATTATATATATATATATATATATATATATATATATATATATATATATATAAATAAACTGTTAAATATTACATTATTGTAATATCTTATTTGATTTAATTACCCATATTAAAGCATTGAGATCCAATTCCAGAAAATACGAAGCAAATTGGTCTTTTGGTACATAAGTTATGTCCCATCTTAATTATTGCATTATCGGATAATTTTGATCCAGCAATCATGTATCCTCTGTAGGGATGATCTTGTATATTATTGCCATAAATATGATGAAGCAAAGAGAAATATTCTACATCTGCCGATCGACTCTGTATCTGTAAAAATATCATTGTTAATTGTAAATATACAACAATTATCTTATCACATATTCTTAAAATTAAGTAGAATTGAAAATATATACGGGGTTTTTTTAAATATCAAGAATTTAAGAGAATATTCCTTAGCTAAGGAATTTTTCATGAAGAAAAGATATATACAACTAAGATTAAAAGATATATAAATGTATATATATCGCCTAAACTGCTTTGATTTCAAAATACAAAATGTCAAAGTTGTTGAAAAAAGGATAATTTTGTTAAATAAATTAAAATGACATCCATAATGATAATAATATTAAATGAGATATATGTATATGAGAGAGGAGAAAAGATTAACTTATTTGTAAAATAAATTATAATATACTTACATCATTTAATAAAATTTTTACTGCTTCCTCGGTACGTCCAGATACAGCCACAAGCCTAGATAAATTGTAATCTGTTCCATTATTGATTTTAATTTTCGGATTTGATTTCAACAAGATGTGGCAATTAGCACCGCCAAACCCAAAGCAATTAATACCGATATAACCTCCGTTAAATTCTGTCGGTTCAGTGATTACTTTTATTCTTCCTTCAATAATAGCAGTCATATCCTTTCGTGGATGGTTGAAATGTATAGTAGGCGCGATTATACCAGTTTCCATCGCTATTATGACCTTCATAAAATGAATACATATTTTTATATAATTTTAACAGTAATATTTTCTATAATTACGGTAAATAATCAAAAAATAACTGATAATTAAAGAAATATTTGCACAAAGTTACATATAACATTATAATATATTGTTGTTGAATTAAGCGGAACTCCTATCGCCGTCCCGTTTTATCAATAAACAGGACAGTGTTTAGGATCACATTAACTATATTTTTTGTAAACTCACTTTTGCAATTTGACAATGGCCGCTAACGGGTTCAGTGTGTCCAATATTCGACTTCACTGAACCCAATAACAGAGGGCTGTCTCTTTTGGAGCATAAAGCTTCATCGATGGCTTGTAGTTCCACAGGATCACCAGCTAGAGTACCAGTTGCATGAGCTTCTATATAAGATAGCTCAAGAGGCGAGATACCACATTCCTCGTAAAATTCTTCCATTAGCATTCTTTGCTTGTCAAGTAATGGATAAGTAATTCCTTCTTCTTTAAAGCCATCGCAATTGACTTTACCGTAGATAAAAGTCGCGTAGATTCTCCTTGCATCCTTCGCCTTTTGTAGGTACACTACTACAGCCGAATCACTCCGCATATAACCGGAGCCTTGTTCATCGTAAGGTCTACAGTAACCATCTCTAGAAAGAACTCCTAAAATAATAAAATCGGTAGTTCATTTGTTTTAATAAATATATAAATATAAAATTGTTTTAATAAATATAAAAGATATATAATTTTATTTTTTGTATTTCACAATTCCTTGATTAAAGTACCAATTTAAGTACTTTAAGTAAAAATTTTGATAAATATATATAAACAAATTATTCTTGTTTTTTAAGAATAGAAACTACTATATTTAGCGAAACAAATATTTATATAAACTTTGATTAAATATATATTTTCAAATAAATGTATCTACAATATACAGAAAGTGTATTTGAACAAACATATTTAGAGCACACTATCACATTTTCTAGACCACTTGAAGATGATTTTTCTTCAGTGAAAATGTTAAGATATCAATAATTTTCAAGTTATGAATGACTCATAGTGTCTAACCAAAACTAGATTTCGAAGCCGAAATCGAATTTCTACTTCTTATCAATTTCTAAATCAATTTCGGCCGAAACCGAAACTTTTTTCTATTTCTTAAGGTTAATAATTAATAAATGTTTAAGAATAAAAATAAAAATAATAAATAAATATTGTTGTTTAAAATATCGTTTCCAGAATCCAGATATGCTTAGGATTTACCTATACAGCACACAAGTTTGCAGCAATATTGCAACTACATTGCAATATTGTATGTTGCATAGCAATATTGCGGAAATATTAGGTAGGCATGAATTTGCAATATAGTTTAAACAACGTTGCAGCAACATTTCAGAAATATTATAAAAATAATGTCTTGTTATATATATGTATTGCCTAGACTAATACAAAAGTGTTATTATAATAAGGATTACTTTTTATAATTTTGAATCTTACGCATTTTTGTGAGTCGTACATATACATGTTATATTAAAATGTTACATCTATGAGTGGGAAATTACAACTAACATATACGTTACATGTAACATGCTTGAGTATATAACATTTATATATTGTTTGCTGGGATAATATATAAATTTTTATTACATCTAAATCCTGATCTTAAAATAAAATACACTTATTTATGCGTTTTTTAACATATTAATATTTTGGTCAAATTGAAATCTTTCGTGCCCAATAATTATTTTGTATGAATTTATGTACATTTTTCGTTTAACAAAATTTTACGTGCTGGTCTTCAAATGTAGCCTCAACACTGACAATATACATATAACAACACCTGACAGCACGTAAGTTTATTAAACGAAAAATGTACACAAATTCACGCAAAAAAATATTAGGTACAGAACATTCAGTCCAATTATGTATTTGACACATTTCCAATAATTCAATAATAATATTACATATATATTTTATTGCATTATTGCTGCAATGCTATAGAACAATATTTCTGAAAGCGGACATTTTACCGTTGCTGCAACCTTGCAGCAAGATTGTTGCAACATTTCACAATGTTTATGCGATATTGTAATATTGCAATGAAATGTTGCCACAATGCTGCTGCAATCTTGTTATGCTGTATGGGTAAATTTAGATTATTATTTACATTTATAAATGATAATAATACAATAGTAGCTTATTGAAAAATCTTTATTGATATCTTATTTGCTATCCTTGCTATCAATTTGAAGAATAAACATCACAAAGTAAAATCAACTACTGTATTTATAATAACATTTAGTTTATGTTAATTAACAGTCCCAATAATTTGTCAATAACAAATAACAATTACTTGTAACTAAAATAAAATCTTAATTATTTGTGTTAAAATAAAGACTTTTAGTTACATAAAACGTTGCCAAAGAATTGAAAACTTTTTTAAAAAACAAAACAAAAATAAATTTTTTTAAACAAAAGATATTCTTTTCCTATTCCTATTTGAACAACAATACGGCGACGAGCGTAGTCTCGGCGGTAGCCGAAAGTTCGGCCATTTCTTGACCAAAATTTAGCCGAAACTAGTGTTTTGAACCGAAACCGAAACCGAATCTTCGCGGTCGGACACTATCAATGATTAAAAAATAAGAGTTTTCACAAATCAAACTTTAGAGAGTTAAAATATTAACAAGACTATACATTCTTCATCAGTTATTATTTTCAAGTAAAGTTTACTTTAATAGAATTTTAATTTAAGGTTTAGTTATAAAGATACAGATGGCAAAAATTGGGAAGATGAAAATATGTAAATTTATCTTAATTATATATATTTTAAATATTTTAAATATATCTAGATAAAAGATAATTGCAACAATTTCATATGCAATAAAATTTTTTCTACATACCCAGACAAAAGAACTGATGAGTTACGAAAGGATGAACGCACAAATTGCTACTAGCGACAATAGCAGCTTCACAAACGCCAGATCGAATCATCTTGTAAGCCTCCACCATAGCGAAATGACTCGAACTGCATGCAGTATCGATGTTATACGATGGTCCAGTAACGCCGAGCCAATAAGAAATTCTGTTTGCTATCATGGCTTTGCTGCATCCAAGAATGGGTGATCCAGCAATCTATCAGCAATTACGCAATATAGCATTCAGAGGGTGAAATCTTTTTTGCATATTTAACAGTATCTTCGTATACATATAAATATCTTTACAATTTAAGGAGAGTGTATTTTTTTTAACAATTTCTGATATTTTATTATTGAATAATCAATATGTGAACCACATACGTGAGGCTTCTCATATACTAAATCGATATATGTATCACAGGCACTTATTGCTGTCACGACGCTTGTGTTCGTTCCTTGTAATTCTGCTGGATTTACACCCGCATCAATGATTGCTTCGTAGGTATGTTCGAGTAACATTCTGATTCCAGGATCAAGTACATGAACTTCTGAGCTCGGTATATCGAAGAATTCTGCGTCAAACTTTTGTATATTCTTTACTGTTCCTATACGAAGAGGCATTTCATAGATATCTATCAGGATAAAAATATTTTAAATATTTAAAATGTTTTTATATAAAAATTTAAAATATTTATATAAAAATAATTATTATATTGTTGACGGTTGTAGATTTTATTTGCAATAACATTTTCTAATAAATTGATTGATATATAATCTGATATAATTTTGAAAAAAATATTACAATCACTCCAACGTTGATGATCGTCCGAACCAAGATCCATTTTATTGAAAAGATTTTCCTGAAATTCTTTTATATTATCAGATTTAGGAAATCGCCCGGAAATTCCAGAAATGACGATTTCTTCTTCAGCATTGACTCTAACATATGGATTGAATCGCTTGTTTTTATCCATCTTTTAAAAATTCTGGTAATTATAAGAAAAAGCTATATAATAAAACTTTATTTTACAAAGATATATGTATGTGTATATAAAATAAGAAAAAAATGAAATTTTATATAAAATCATTTTTTGGAAAATGAAAAATTTAACTTTAAAAGAAGCCTAAGAAGAAGAAAATAGTTGTATAATTTAAAATCTTATTATTTTCCTAGAAAATATATATAAAATTGAAATTTTTAAATTATTCTAATCAATAACTTAATTGTAGTATAGCAAAATTGGTTTAATTATTAAAAATTTTATTATTATTGCTTAAGGAATAAAAAATCTTAAGATAAATATGATTGTGCAAATGTATTATTATTTAAAATTTTTTTTTAAATTTGAAGAAAGCAAGAAGAATTTAAACTCACCCTGTTAAATTTTTCAAAATTTCTTCTGTTTAAATATTAACAACAGTGAAATTTTTTTCTATTAAAAACAGAAAAACTTTAACACTGACAAACACAATAATGATCTATATTATAGATTATAATATGCTCTATTGTCTGTTAAATCATATATGATTCTAAACTCAAGCTGTCATAACAATTTCATTTTGATGAGAAATAGCGTAGTTATGCATAATTATTTTTAATTCAATTTAATTTCATATACATTTTATGTCAAATTTCAGCGGATACGATAAAAATGCAGAAATGCGAGTTTTGCGAATGTTGTTGTGTTTTTGTATTTTAAAGAGATATAATCAAATGCAAAATGCATCTTTATTCAAACTTATTACGTGCTAATGTCAAACGTCAAAATACCTGCATTACATATACTTTTAATATGTGATCATAAAATTTTGAAAGGAATAAAACACTTTTTTTTTAAATTAACATCTATAATAAATTATGCGGTGAATATAAAAAATAATTCCATATTTCCCCACTAATCTTCTTTTTTATTAATTTAATTTAAATTAATTTAATTTTCGTTTTGCTGAGAATATATGTATGTTTAAAATTTTATATATATGTATATTACATTAATTATATATATATTTTGTATATTAATTTTGTATATATTACTATATTTACTTTTTAAAATTGTTTCAGATAATTATTTTAGTAATTTGGAAATGTTCATGCAGAATTATTTCTATATTATATTGTATAATTATTGTTACAATTATCATAATTTAAAATTTACAACACTTCGTTAATAAATGATTCTATTTTGTCTGTTAAATCAGAGATATGATTCTAAACTCAAGTTATCATAATCTTATTTTCATAAGAAACTGCGTATTAGATATGCATAATTAGTACATTCAATTCAGATTAAATCATATACATTTTGTGTCAAGTTTCAGCGGATACAATAATAATGCAAAAATATACGTGTTTTGCGAATGTTATAATAATTTGTATTTTAAAGAGATATAATCATATACAAAATGCATTTTTTATTCAAGCTCATAAGTGCTGTTGTCAAACGTCAAAATATATGCAATACATATATTATTACTTCCTCATAGAGGAAGCTCCCCAGCAAACACCAAGTAACAATTATATAACTGTTAGTTATAATTTCCCATGCAATAATGTAAAATATAAATGTAATATAACACACGTGTTATATTGTATTTACATTTATTAAGTGGAAAATTAAACTAACAGTTATATAATAGTTACTTGATGTTTGCTGGGTTATTTGTTTTTGTGAAAAATTTTATTTTAAATTTCTATGCCAATGTGTTCATGATGTTCCAAAACATCAAAAAATAATATTTTTGAAAAATGTCCGTATGTGTGTGCATGTAAGTATGTATGTGCCCGTTTTGAAATTTAGATATTTCAAGAATTATTCGACTTACAGCGTTCCAATTTGACATATAAGTAAAAAGTAGTACAACACTTTTATTTACTGTTATTTTTATAAAAATTTATACTGAGTTTTAAATTGTAATGCAATTTTAATTTTTCAAAAAATGTTTGTGATTGCTCTAACTTTCGTAAATTTTAAGATATCGAAATAAATATTTTTACATGAATAGATTTATTATTAAAGGATGGTTGATATAAAATATTTGACGAGGATCAGTGTAAAGGTAATTTTTATAAAATTTTGATTTTTTAAGAAATGCGCACTTTTAAATTTTCGCAAATTTACCGAACTAAATTTTTTTACATAAATAAAGTATCATTAAAGGATATTTGATATTAAATTTATCGAGGATTGGTAAAAGGTTTCATTTGAATAAAATTTTCAATTTTTCCCAAAATGTAAATTTTATTAATTTTACAAAACATATGAGAGGGCATACATAGACATATACACATACGTATTTGTGACATTTTGAAAAATGTTGTTCTATGTGTAGGGGTCTGATGGGCGTGAGAGAGAGAAATAGAATGTTTCTCTCACCGTTTCGATTAGGATATCGTGTTTCAATGGATAGGCCAAAGGTTTAATTTATTCCAACGCAAAATGATAGTATGTATATGTATGTATAATGTGCAATTGTGAATATTACACGTCTTCACGTCGACAATTCTTCAGAGCCGTATCTTGCCGTTTTCACCGTCGTTCGATGTTTCGAAGAAGAGAGATATGATCTGTTCTGTTCGGTTCTCTATTGTCTGTCCCGATTCCCAAAAAGTCGGCATATTTATACCCGGTGTTAAAACCTTCCCTACCCGAAACATCGGACCAATCAGAATTACCTTCGTTCATCGCGCAGAACTGTGTTTTCGGTTTTCTCGACAAACAAAGGATCGCTCAGAACGCTTTCAATAATAAATATTACAAATAAATAAGTACCCGGCACGAGGTCGACAAACAAAACACGTAAATCAGCTAATCTCATCGTCGGTTAACGTCTTTATAAAAAAATGCCTACATATGTGAAAAAAGCGTGCAAATTGACAACTTGCACATTGTTTCTTCACCATCAGTGTTTACTGTTATCTAAATAAAATTATATAGATGATCATCTAGATGAAACTTTGGCGTCATCTTATCTTTATACAGATAATAAAAATATATATTAATAAAAGAAAAATGTAGGCCACTAAACGAGCTAAATTAATTAGGTGTTAATAAGAAAATTTCTTTATTATTCATACAATTCGCATGTTTAATTTGTGTGTACACGTTTTGACCGTACTCAGTTGTACAATACAAATTTAAAAAAAATTAATAAAATAAACATTAACATTAAAATATGATATAAAGAGCTACTACATTGTGGTATCGCAATTATTTAGATGAAAAAAGCTATGTCAATATCAGTTAAAGCAAAAATACAGATTGAGATATTTCGACACTATTAGACACATGCGTCATCAATACAAAACGCGCTGGACTTTGATCTGACTTTTTACTACCGCTATGTAGATGATATTATACTTTGCACTCGTTCTGAGAGAGTTTCACACATTGTTGAAAAATTTAATAATTATTATGATAGGTTAAAATTTACAGTCGAGCAACTCTCTGGACATTTCTCTCAAAATAATAAACAACATAATATATACTGATTGGTTTCACAAAAACATATTTGGGTAGACTTCTGTTGATTTCTTTTTACTCCAATCACCCTAAATGTCAAAAATAGGAATAATATACAATTTAGTTGACAGAGCAATTTTATTATCACATTCACGGTTTCATGAAAAAAATTTAGAAATCGTTATATATATTAACACATTATTTTCCAACGGATACCCTCTTGATCTAATTTTTACAGAAATAAAAGTAGATTAAAAAATTTCATTATCAACAAATTTAATAAAACTAAAACAAAATAATACAGCAATTAAATATAATAATACAGAAGATAATAAAAAATACTTTGTCATTCCTTACATTTAGACGATCTGAGAATTAATTGTATCTGCGATAAAAAACCTGATATAAAAGTAGGATACCGCTGTATCAAGAAACTTAATTGTTTTATATAAGTACAAAAAGACAAGAATTAGCAACTTTGCAATTCTAATGTTATTCATATAATAAATTGTAACGATTGCGATGCAACCTATATACATAGGTCAGACAAAGAGACAATTGCGCATCAGACTTAAAGAACACATGAATAATGTTCAGTTGAACTCTACGAGACATTCAGTGGTTTCAGAACATATTTTAAAGGAACGACACTCATTTGATTGGGAAAATGCAAAGATATTGGATAATGAGAGAAATTATAAAAAAAAAACTTATATCCGAGATGCTACATATTAAAGAACATAAAAGCAGCATCAATTTAAACAAGGACACTAAATTACTCGATAGCAGTTATTTTGGCATCCTTGGAAAATTATCATAAATATGACAAATAATCATAACAGTGGGTATAGATATTATTTTATATCAACTATTTTTCATTGTAACTTTGATTTTCAAACGTATAATATTAGTTATATCGAATTTCTGTTGTACTCAAGATATTCAAACTAATTAACCGACGAACTGTTTTAAACTATTTGACACATAAGTAAGTAAATTTTTCATCAACTTAAGTAAAAAAATCTTTTATAAAAAAAAATTTTTTTTCAATATAAATGTAATATTTATATGGATAACACAGATTATTACGAACTTTGATGACTTCTAACTTTTGACTAAATGGACTTATTAAGAAAATGACTCATAAAGAATCTTTAACCATCTTTTCTGTCGCCTTTCAACGAGAAATTATGTTAAAAGCTTTTTGGAATGGTATGTGTCTAATAATGTCGGAATATCTCAATCTGTATTTTTGCTTTAACTGATGTTCGAATTGACATAGCTTTTTCCATCTAAATAATTGCGATATCACATTATAGTAGCTCTTTATATTATATTTTAATGTTATGTTTATTTTATTAATTTTTAAAGAATTTGTATTGAAAAAGACTGAGTATGGTCGAAACGTGTACACACGAATTATACATGCAAATTCTATGAATAAAAAAGTTTTCTTATTAACACCTAATTAATTTAGCTCGTTTAGTTGACCTAAATTTTTCTTTTATTAATTTTGAAGTTATACAAGCCTCTACTGACTAATATTTTGAAAATATGTATTATCTTATTATATATGTGCATCTTAGATGAAAAAAGTGTTATTTTCACTAAATTATATAGAATAATTTTTAGATAATTTTGATTTAAAATCGTAGAACATAAAAATACATAAAAAAAATAGTAAAAATCATAGCATATAAAAATACTTAAAATAGTAGAAATACTTAAAATAGTAGTAGAATAATTAAGCAGTAAGCGATAAAAAATTATGAATAAAAATATATGAAGACATATATTTTATGTCTTTTTTATAATTTATATTTTTTTATAACTGTGTTTATATAAATAGTGTTAAAAATTATTATCTAGAAAATTATCTAGATAAATCACCATATATATTTTATTTTTTATCTAGATATATTTGAAACAAAATCATCTTAATCTTATCTAAGATAAATTTACATATTTTTATTTTATCTTTATCTAGCTAATTTTAAAATCATTTAAGCATAACACTGCTGACTATATATTATTTCGCTAATTAAGATGGTTTTTCAATTATGGCTTCTTCATAAACGAAGCTTAACTTGCACATTGTCATAATTTTAAAATTTTCTTAATTAACGGAATTAAATTATGATTAAGTAATATATATATATATATATATATATAGTATATAGATTAATACAATAGATTATTTTATTTACGTATAAATAATACAACAACAATACTTATTTGTTTAAATTAGTACGAGGATACATAGAAGAAAATAGACCTTTAATTTATGTGGAAAATTATTTATTTCATATTGTAAAATACACATGTAGGCAAATAAACTTAATTTTCAAACTTTGATTTTGTATATGTGTCATCTATTTTTTAATCGTTATTTTATGTGTGTAAAGTGTCTTCTTGAAAAAACCTATGCTAAAAAAATTTTTACACAAGCAAATTCGCATGTAATGTTTTCATATACTTGAAGTATTTCATTTTATTGTGTGTTAAAGATTTTGTTGTAATTAGTTAATATAATTATTTTGTAATGATTATTATAAATGCTTAATTCAATGCTTCGTTAATAAATGATGCAATTTTGTCATTGTCTATTATTGTAATATGAGTACCTTCCACATAATAAATTAGTACTTTACTTTCGGTAACCTGAAATAAAATTCTCGTATAAGAAATATATTAAAATATCTTAAAAATAATTTACAATGTAATTAAATTTACCTTATGTAGACCATAATCCTCTTCGAAAAAAGTAAAGAACGTAAATGTAGGTTTTAATAGTATTATAGATGATTTTAAGCGCGGCAACGAAGATATATTATAAACTTTTACAGCGACTATATAATCGTAAACTGTTGAACATAAAATATTCCGATTTTCAACAGTTAATGCAGTGATATCCTTTAAAAAGTGAGAAAATACTTCTAACTTTTCCTCCCAAGTATTGCACTTATTCAGCTCTGGTACAAACTGTATATAATAATATAATATAAAAATATAATATAATCTCAGCAAACACAGTATATAAATGTTATATACTTAAGCATGTTACATGTAACGTATATATTAGTTGTAATTTCCCACTCATAGATGTAACATTTTTAATATTACATATATTACATTGTAGTTATATTGTCATTATATCCCAAGATAGCACATTGATGTATTGATAAGTCGGTGCTATCTTGGGATATACAGACAATATAATTACAATGTAATAACATATATGGCCGCTCTTCAGAAATTATTGCTGCATTCTAAATTTGGAGATTACCTGCAAACAGAACTGAGGAATCAATTTGTATTTGGGCTGAAAAATCAACGGATCCAGTCAAGATTGCTGGAGACGGCCAATCTTACAAGGGAATCAGCTTTAAAAATTGCCTGCGGCATGGAATTGGCGGAAAAAAGAGTCAGTAAATTGAAGGAAGAAAATCCGTTGGAAACAGCCGTTGACTTTGTTGGTGAAGGAACAAAACACAAGAAGACAAAAGGTCGAGAGGGCCGTAAAGGAAACAAGGCATATCAACAAGGCCAGAGGAAGAACACATCGGCAACAAACCTTTCCAATTTCAAACAGAATAATAAGTACAATAATAAGCGTATTCATTCCAAATCTAATGATATTGTTTGTTTTACATGTGGACAGGCTCATTTGGCACCTAACTGTACCCTTCCTCGGAGCGTAAAATGCAGAGAATGCGGTGGTTTCGGGCACTTACAGAAAGTTTGTAAAAAGAAAGGACAGGCCCACTTGTTGGAGGAGGTTTTTCATGTCAACGATACGGAGCATCTCGAACATAGAACAAAATTCACAGTGCCCCTCAGTATCGAAAATAGAACGATAAAATTTGACGTAGATTGCGGTGCGGCAGTTATGCTGGTAAGCAATAAATGGCTCAAAAACTATTTTCCGAAATTAAAATTACATAAAACGAATTTAAAATTAAGGTCGTATTGTAAGCAAAATTTCGTGCCCCTCGGTTTTATAAAAGTTAAAGTAAAAGATGCAAATCAAATTAAAATGTTAAATATGTACGTAGTAAAATATGATAGAGACCCATTGTTAGGCAGAGAATGGATAAATCAATTAAAATTATTAGATAAAATTAAAAATAGTTTAATAGAGGTAGAAGACATACAAATGTTAGACGCGTCGGGTAAAAAGCAATTGACAAATTTGTTTAAAAAATATAATAATGTATTTAGTGAGGAATTTGCGCATATTAAAACATTTAAAGCTCATTTAAAATTAAAGCCAGAGGCAAAACCAATTTTATAAAAAATCGTACGGTACCGTTTAAAATTTTGAAAAAAGTAGAAAATGAGTTAGAACGCATGGTAGATGCGGGTATTCTAGAAAAAGTTGAGACGTCAAGATGGGCAACCCCAATCGTACCGGTTTTGAAAAAAGACGGTGGAATTAGAATCTGTGGTGACTTTAGTATCTCAGTTAACCCGTCATTAATTGTGGATGAGCACCCGTTACCTACGATAGAAGAGTTATTTGCATCTATGTCGGGCGGCACGATATTTTCAAAAATCGACTTAAAGCAAGCGTATTTGCAACTACAGGTTGAGGAAACCGATAGAGAGATTCTCACATTAAGTACGCATAAAGGATTATTTAAATGTAATAGATTAATGTACGGAGTAGCATCTGCGCCTGCTATTTGGCAACGAACTATAAAAAACATATTTTCCGGAATACCCGGGGTGACAGTATTTCTCGATGACATTAGAATCGCGGGAAAAGATTTAGAACAACATTTGGAAAGACTAGAATCAGTTTTGAAACGTTTATCTGAACATAATATACGTATCAACATCGAGAAGTGTGCTTTCCTTAAAGACGAGAATATTGTGGTTATTTAATAAATAAAAATGGAATTGCAAAAGAATCAAAGAAAATTGAAGCCGTCCAGAAAATGTCTAGACCAACCAATATTACACAATTACGAGCTTTTATTGGCCTAGTTAATTACTATGGACGCTTTATAAAAAATCTAAGCTATATATTACATCCACTAAATAATTTATTAAAGAAAAATGTAATTTTTAAATGATCCAAAGAATGTGAAGCCGCGTTTAATAAAGTAAAAGTAGAATTTGGAAGCGACAAAGTTTTAGTTGCTTTGAATCCTACGTTGCCACTAGTACTTGCAGTAGATGCTAGCCCGTACGGTGTAAGAGCCGTTTTATCTCATAGATATCCCGATGGTACAGAGCGCGTAATTCAGTACGCATCAAATTCGCTAACAGAAACGCAAAAGAAATACGCTCAGATAGATAAAGAAGCGTTTGCGATAGTATTTGAAATTAAAAATTTCATCAAATCTTATATGGGAATCGTTTCACTTTATTAACAGACAATAAACCACTTGTTCAAATTTTAAATCCTAAAAAAGGCCTTCCAGCATATAGTGCATTGCGTATGCAGCACTACGCTATTTTCTTGCAAGCCTTTAATTTTGATATTAAATATCGAAAGTCAATTGATCATGGAAATGCGGATGGTTTTTTTCGATTACCCATATTGGAAAAGAATGATAACAATTACGACTCGATTGATGTTCTGCAAATTGAAAATTTAGAAACTTTGCCAGTAACGGTAAAATGTATTAAAATGGAAACAGGCAAAGATTTGTTTTTAAATAAAATTCGGCAAGCGTTAATGAAAGGCCAAAGCCTCGTTCCGTTAGGACTTGACGATGGTGAATTCACATTACAAGATGAAATCGTTTTTAAAAGAAAAAGAGTAGTGATTCCTGAAAGTTTAAGAAACAAAGTGTTAAAACATTTACATGCGGGTCATTTTGGCACAGTAAGAATGAAGCAATTAAGTAGAAATTTTTGTTGGTGGCCAAAAATTGATAAAAATATTGAGGAAATAACACAAAATTGTAAAGCATGCATTATGTTGAGTAACAATCCAAATTGTAAAGTGAAACACCATTGGGAAGCGGCATCATTACCGTTTGAGCGTGTGCATATAGACTTCGCCGGTTCGTTTATGGGACACATTTTTTTCGTCTTAGTAGACGCGTACACTAAATGGCCGGAAGTGCACATTATGAAGAATATGTCTGCACATGAAACTATAGATAAATGTAGAGAGATTTTTGCTAGTTTTGGTCTACGGTAGTAACGGATAATGGTCGCACTTTTATAGCAGAAGAATTCCAGGATTTTCTTAAAAACCATGGTATTAATCATAAGCGTACAGCGCCTTATCATCCAGCCACGAATGGCTTGGCAGAACGTCTTGTTCAAACTTTAAAACAAACACTGCGTAAATTAGATGTTACAAATGGCAATATTAAGACTAATCTGCAAAAATTTCTGTTCAATTATAGATTAACTTCACATCCGGAGTTAAATAAATCGCCTGCAGAAACGATGTATGGTAGGAAGATAAGATTGGACTTAATGTTCCCAAAAATAAATAATGAGCGAGAAATAGAAAATGATAAAATATTAAAAGCTTTTAAAACAGGCGAAAGAGTTGCGATAAGAGAATACCTAAACAAAAATACTAAATGGCGTTTTGGAAATATATAAATGCAAGATTAGGTAAACTACATTATGAAATCAAATTAGATGATGGTAGGATCTGGAAGCGGCACATTAATCAAATGAAAAAGATAGGAATTCAAATCGTAAATTATACAAGCAACCTTAGTGATATGGATCACAATGGTCCAATAGAAACTACGAAAGATTTTGTTACTGCGAAAAATAACGAGCAAACTAAACATATATCTCAGAACTTCGATTCTGACAGTTCGAGATGCTCCCGTGAAAACCTTTCGATAGTCGAATCCGAGGAAGAGGAAGCTGGTGAAGCCGAGAGTCCATAAACTCCAATATTAAGCACAATGACAATTAGCGAGCGTAATCGGAATGCGAGCGTTGAGGGCCGACCACAACGCAATAGAAAATCGCCAGAACGTTACGGGAATTATTTGTCATTAATTTAGAATTCAATTTATTGTTTTTGATTATTTGTTGCGCCTAGCTTTAAATTTACAGGGGGAATTGTATATTTGTTGTATATTTCATATATAGATATTTTTTTTTTTATTGGGCAAAAGGCAAGCCTTGGTCATGTGACCATACAGCTGTAGTAATAAAGAAACTAAAAACTCACCTTTAAAAAAAGGTAAAAAAAGGCGACCAGTTAAGGGCACGCCATTAACAAAAATTATCCATTGCAAACCCATGTAGAATCCTATCCTATTGCAAACCCATGTAGAATCCTATGAAAAATTAATCATTGCAAACCCATGTAGAATCCTAGGCAAAATTAACCATTGCAAACCCATGTAGAATCGTACCCATTGCAAACCTATGTAGAATCCTATGAAAAATTAACCATTGCAAACTCATGTAGAATCCTATGAAAAATTAACCATTGCAAACCCATGTAAAATTGTATTAAAAATTATCCATTGCAAACTTATGTAGAATCCTACATTGCAAACCCATGTACAATAGAATTGTATGAAAAATTATCGATTATAAACCCATGTACAATCGTAACAAAAGTAATGAAATAAAAAAAAAATTGCGCCAAGTGAAAGTAGAAACTTGTACCAGTGGAAAATTAAAGTTGCAGACATATATAGAGTCGTATAATGAATCAGTAAAAATTTAAATTTGCAAATGTAGAATCGTACCATAAAAAAACTTATCTTTTAAAAAAAAAGATAAACAAGATGCCAAGTCCATGCGCCATGTGAAAAAGAAATAAAAAAATTTTAGTTAAAAAAACTGGGAGCGCTGCTAAATAATATTCTAACAATATTAAAATTAAATTGTTACTTTTAAACTCATTACAGTTAAAATATGTTTTGTGTTTAAATTAATTAATGTTACTTTAAGGTGCATTGTAATTTTGAAACTTAGCAGCGCGCCCAGTTTTTTTAACTAAAATTTTTTTATTTCTTTTTCACATGGCGCATGGACTTGGCATCTTGTTTATCTTTTTTTTAAAAGATAAGTTTTTTTATGGTA